ACAACAAATAGCCTAGATCATGACAATGATGATGGACGAATTAAGTAAGAATTAATCTCATATTTGTTGCAGAAATGTAGAGTGTCACGTTGAATCTTTTATAAAAGTACAAAAGGGTAACATTTCTACGACAGTCGATAAGTTGATCAAATCTGACAGATACATCTCTTAATAGATGTTTCATTAACAGCGTTATGCTGTTATATAGACAGGTCTGTAACTCGCTGTTGAGTTAAATCAATAAGACAAGCTGAACAAATGAAACCTCGCATTCTCAAAAGATTTTATCAGTACCAATTTCTATCTTTTGAATTTTCATAAGGTCAGCCTGAGTAAATATACACAATTCTTTTTCAAGTGATATATTTATTCAGAATTATGAAAATACACAGAATAGCGACTGAACTTACAGAATTAAGAGCCATCATTTAATAGCCAATATTCAATACCATTTAATTGAACCACTCAGCAGATGTGGTGCATAAATAAGCACTGGCAGATCCAGGATCCGGATCTGGGGAGGGCCCAGAAAAACATTTCCAGGCCCCAAAAAATTGGCCTTTTTGGGCTACTTCTAGGCCAAATTATCAAAGAATAGGCCTTAAATTTTCAAAATTGATTGAGGGGCCCTTTTTCAGCGCAAGCGCAGAATTCTTCTTTATCTTGAAATGTGCCCCCCCCCCCTTTGTTAGCTTCTGGATACGCCAGTGATAAAGGTTGTGTACTGCAAGGATTTGGATACAAGGTTTATCCCAAGGGAAATATGTGTATCTCCCAAAGGACAGCAGGGACCAAGGGAGATATCCATATTTCTCGGAGAATAATACCTTTATCCAAAAACTGACCATACATAACAGACACATAATACATTCTTGCCTGTTATGTACCTTGGGCCTCAGTAGATATGGATTACAGGAATGTATTGTGAAAAACATTGAAACAATGTAAGACATAACATGCAACTTATTTCATAAGAAAAGTAAGTTTCTTTCTCAAATCATATATTATACTGACTATAGGTGTCATGCAGTGAAGCAGTAAAACATTAATCAAGCGGAAAAAGTCCCACATGTTTATTATCAAACTAGAAAAGATTTGATCCTTATGGTGAGGTGGGGGATTAAGGAGAATGCATGTAGTATCTCTGAAATTACATTGGAGGATCCATGGGGCCCACCCCTCTCCCCTCTCCCATTTGGGCCCAAATATTTTGTAGGGCCTAAATTAGTAGGCCTTTTTGAGCACTACTTGGCTTATTTGGGCCTTATTTTTAGGCCAAATTATCAAATAATGGGCCTTAAATTTTCAAATTTTGGTCCGAAAATCATTTCCTTACAACCTCAGAATGTTTTTCTGACTTGAAATGTAGTCCCCCACCCCTTGTTAGCTTCCAGATCCACCACTGAATTAGATGACATATTATTTTTAATTTCTTGCATTAGATAACATTAGATAGCATTATGGATAACCAAGGCATGAAGTTTCCATACCTTGGAATCTGATGGAATCTTAGGCTGGAACTCAAAACCCTATCATTTTGTCATCATAGATTGAAGGCTCTGATGAATGAGATATTGTATTATTAAGCCTACATTAAATGAGTCTGAATAGAATGAAACCAATGAGATGATAGTTAAAACAAACAAATCATCTAATTGTGGACGTTAAATCCTGCACTATATGTACCAATTAGATGGTTTGTTTGTTTTTCAGATGGGAAAAAGGTCTACTGATACCAGTATGAATGAAAATCAAACTGTTAAGCAAGTATGTTAGATAGTTCAATGTTATGATAATATTTAATTTTTGGGAAAACTAAAGATCAGAAGTCCACGTTTTTGTTATTGTTGAATATGTTTAATAAAGGACCATTCTCGGTTTGGAGAACCGTCTTATTTTGACGTTATCAATGTTGCCAACAATTTTGATTTTTTACATAGTATAAATTGAAATGTGATCTTTTAAATATTTAAGATTTAATTATGGTAATAAGCCAAAGAAATTCATTCTCCAAACCGATAATCCATTCTCCCCCTGACAATCAGTGATATCCCATGATAATTGCTTTTATCTATCTTATATACCTTAGATATATCTTGAGACCACCTTATGGGTATAGTATTGCTGATATATTGAGAAAATCAAAATAAAACAACTAACTGTCAGAATTGAACACAAATGAGTTTGATCGCGGTAATTGAGGGAAAACCCTTTCAAATGACACGAGCACACGAACAGGCATCGGCAAACTCTGCACGTGCCTTGAGCCAGGCAGCCAATCAGATTCAAAGCCAGTTTCTAGTTTCTTTTAGTATTTCCAGAATTGCCATTTATGGAGTTCTTTACTGATAAATAAATTTAATACCAATTTAATACCAATCAGATGACATATAGATTTCCCCCCTTTATTCAAATTTCAGATAATTAATTTCGATGAAAATAATTTGACTGGTCAGCACAATTAGCACATAAAACATTGGATCTGGGGGTTCTTCCTTGGTAAGATAGATAGGTGAATATGAAGGCACAATCTGCAAGAAAGTTCAGGGGTGTTTGATTGTGCTTTCCTATTCACCACATCCCTCTTTATATCATCAAATCTTTCTTTCTATGGTATAGCATGGGACTATGTTGTACCTGTGTAATTATCTAATGTCAATGCTCTGGAGGATACTGTGCGAGTATTAATCTGGAAGTCTCCAGGTTCAATTATAAAGCAGAAGGTTGTTGAACTGACATAAATGAGAATGATTTATCATATTGTATACTCTATAATCAAAGAATTTATCTGTGCTATTTCAGTTGGAAATCCATAATGATAAAAATTCCAAAGACTGAGTAGGAAGCAAACAGATTTTTCGATTCAGACCTTATTAATTAAGCATATCTTTTGGTCTTAAATGACCAAATCGTACCAGGTACAATTTAACGAAATAATATATGGCCAGATGGAAGTACCATGTAAGCTAAAAGTTAACAACATTTATTTAATAAAAATAGATTTTATCTTAAGACATTAGGCAAAAACATGACAAAATGGTAACATCTGGTGACAAAGGTTACAAATGGTTACAGAGGTTTAATAACAATTTGTTGCAGAAAAACACTGCCAAACACTGAGATCTTAAAGCCAGTCAAAGAATGGTGGCTTTAACAATAGGTCACCACTCGTGAGTGGTGACATAAAAACTATATTGCTGTTCATAATTTGGTCGAGAGAACTTGACTTTTGTACTAACTTTAATAGGCCGGTGGCAGATCCAGAGGGAAACCATGGGGCCCCAAAATTTTGAAGGGCCTCAAAAAATGGGCTTATTTGAACATTATTTGGCCTTTTTAGGCCTTTTTGGGCCAATTTATCAAAAATGGGCCTTGATTTTTCAAAATCTTTTCCAGAAATTTTTCCAGACTCAAAACTTGGGCCCTAATTAATTTCTGGATCCACCACTGTAGTCTTACATGTAAAATCAACATTGATGACCAGGTAAAGAGAAAATGTTTTCCTTGCATAATTCTTATTTGTCAAGTCAGCACCTAAGATTGATGCTAAATTTAACTAGTTGTCTTGGGAATGATTTTTTTTACTATAACTGCCCTCTTTTTATATTCTAGCTTGTTACATACACAGTGAGCTAAAACATTTGAATAAAACATATGATAGTGTCCAGGCTGGAAAGCTAAATATTGTTTAAGATTGCCAAGTATTAATTAAATGTACACAATTAACTCTCTAGAATAGAATTGTGTCAAGAAATTGTTTCCATTATTTCAGAGTGAAAAGGAAAACATAACCTAGTTTATCAGTATTTAACATACATACATACTTACATGGTAAGACAATTTTTTATAGCGCTCACTCTTTGAGGAGTGAAAACTAAAACATATTTTTATAGTGCTCACTCTTTCGGGAGTGAAAACTAAAACATATTTTTATAGTGCTCACTCTTTCGGGAGCGAAAACTAAATCATTTTTGTAGCGCTCTCTCTTTCAGGAGTGGAGACCAAAACATATTTTTATAGTGCTCACTCTTTCGGGAGCGGAAACTAAATCATATTTTCATAGTGCCCACTCTTTTTGGCGTGGAAACTAAATTATATTTTTATGGCGCTCACTCTTCTTGGAGTGAAAACTAAAACACACTTTTATGGCACTCTTTTTGGAGTGGAAACTGAAACATATTTTTAGAGCACTTACTCTTTTTGGAGTGGAAACTAAAACATATTTTTATAGCGCTTACTCTTTTTGGAATTGGAAAATAAAACATATTTTTATTATGTGTTCACTCTTTCGGGAGCGGAAACTAAAACATATTTTTATAGCGCTCACTCTTTCGGGAGTGAAAACTAACATATTTTTATAGTGCTCACTCTTTAAGGAGTGAAAACTAAAACATGTTTTTATAGTGCTCACCACACCAGAAGTGAAAACTAAATCAAACTCTAATACATTAATGTACATGTACATATATTTGAAAACAAAATTTGCAATTGGCAAAATTAAAAATGTCTTATACAAATTCATGAAATCTCTAATATCACTGAACTAACTATTCAAGAAAAAAGTGATAGTCAACCATGGTAGAAATCCAAAATGGAATACAAACTGCTAAGTAATTGAATCATCAAGGAATAAGATAATCAGAGACTTAATATTATTGCCTAAAATTCAGCCATTCAGAATCAAAGAGAGAAGAATGTGTGACTACATCCTCCGATCACAGGGCTTCAAAATTCAGAATATATTCTTTCTTTTTACCCCCTGCAATAAGCAGTTAGCATTTCCCCGATTAAGAACTCGCAATCTGATTGGCTGTCGCAACACTGCGACAGAAATCATGTATAAGTCATTGCTCATAATTAGATCACGTGATTCAGTTTAATCGGTTACTTCCAAATTGGTTATAGCAGGGGGAAGAAGGAGGTACGGATTCTCGATACCTGCTTAGGAGGATGGTGTGACTATAGCTAGGAATCTCAAGAATGAGCAACAAGACACATACCACATATGGCTGATTTCTCGTCAGACTTATCTTCACAGTCAACAATATTGTCGCATTTCTTCCAGTTGTGAATACACTGACCATTGTCACATTCGAACCAAGTAGGAGCCACACAGCTATTAGAAGTCGATGATGATACAGTTGTAACTGAAAATAAAACCAAGAAACTGAAACTACATATTTACAAATATATAAAGCCTTGCACAAATTTTTAAACAGATAACAAAAATTAAAACAAGGCATAACATGCAAAATGTCAACACCTGCCATTCGTTACAGATGTTGAACACCAACTGCCAAACATCAACTGCCAAATGCAGACCACCGAACACTGTCCACAAAAAAAGTTGGAGACTAAAACAATATTTTGGTGGTGACATAAAAATTATTGTAACTAATTAAACCCTCTAACATTATCATATCAACTTTAATAAATATTATCATATCAGTCAATATAAGAAAATGAGATAACAATTGATAGAATTGGAAAACAGAAGCGTGAGTTTATCCAAGAAATATATTGTTAAGTTTAATCCCTACAAGGGTATATAGGTCCTTGCTAATACAAGCCATCTTAAATTATCAATTTAAATGGTTTAATTCTTCTTAACTACCATGAGTAATACCTGTATATACAATTTGAAAATAGGTGGTGCTGATTGTCATGTACCTTTGCAATTGAGTTCATCACTGCTAATAGTCTCACTGGATGTTCTTTGACAATCTGGCCAGTCGTCACATATTTTTGTACTTGGTACACACTGGTATTTGTTAGAGCATAGTGTTTCATATGGCTTGCACACTTTGATTTTGGAGGCTGAGGAGAAATCCAAGTTGAGATATTAATATTAAATTTCCAAATATTAAGTACATTACAAATTCTGTTTCCTACAATCTAAAATCCAAACAAAATTTGAAATATGAACATTTGTGCAATTCAAAAAAATCTGAATGATATATTGCAAAAAAGTCACATATGTAATATTCTGTGTAAAATGTCACATAATTGTTACATGCTTGTACAATTCATCTGATTCTGAGTGATATGTCACAATTCAATTAATTCTGAATGGAACATCAAAAAAGGTCACATATGTTAAATACTTGTACAATTCAACAAATTCTGAGTGATACATTGCAAAAAGGTTGCATAATGTCACATACTTGTACAATTCAATAAATTCTAAGTGATACATTGCAAAAAGGTTGCACATGTCACATACTTGTACAATTCAATAAATTCTAAGTGATACATTGCAAAAAGGTTGCACATGTCACATACTTGTACAATTCAATAAATTCTAAGTGATACATTGCAAAAAGGTTGCACATGTCACATACTTGTACAATTCAATAAATTCTAAGTGATACATTGCAAAAAGGTTGCCCATGTCACATACTTGTACAATTCAATAAATTCTAAGTGATACATTGCAAAAAGGTTGCACATGTCTTATACGTGTACAATTCAATAAATTCTAAGTGATACATTGCAAAAAGGTTGCACATGTCACATACTTGTACAATTCAATTAATTCTAAGTGATACATTGCAAAAAGGTTGCACATGTCACATACTTGTACAATTCAATAAATTCTAAGTGATATATTGCAAAAAGGTTGCATATGTCACATAATTGTACAATTCAATAAATTCTAAGTGATACATTGCAAAAAGGTTGCATATGTCACATAATTGTACAATTCAATAAATTCTAAGTGATACATTGCAAAAAGGTTGCACATGTTGTACAATTCAATAAATTCTAAGTGATACATTGCAAAAAGGTTGCACATGTCACATACTTGTACAATTCAACAAATTTTAAGTGATACATTGCAAAAAGGTTTCATATGTTAAATACTTGTACAATTCAACAAATTTTAAGTGATACATTGCAAAAAGGTTTCATATGTTAAATACTTGTACAATTCAACAAATTTTAAGTGATACATTGCAAAAAGGTTGCACATGTCACATACTTGTACAATGCAATAAATTCTGAATGAATCACACAAAAAGGTTGTTACATATCTTTGGTATAACTAAGGTAACTTTACTTCTGCTTTTAGTATATCCAAATGAATTAATATTATAACTAACTGTTCCAAAAACAAAATAATGGCTCCAGTTTTCAATTATCTTATATAATATTATAATAGGGATGTCATTATAAATGATCAAACCAGATAAGAAATTCAATTAGAGGATGGAAATTACAGAATCATAGCCACAGTCAACAGTTCAACAAAATGGAAGGAATAATTAATTAAACCACTAAGGTGTTGGCACGAATTTAATCATGAAGATGATTAAATATAAATTCCTACTAAGATATTATTAATATTATTGTCATGCGCTAAGCACATGCAATCATAGGGTCATTCTCCTAGCTCAGGAATTCATGATTTTAAATCACATCCACCCTCAAGGCAAACATTGGTTGAAACGAAGAAATAATGAGTCATAACCTTAAAAACGAGAAAGAAGTAACGAAAGTGTATTTTATCAAAAATGTGACATATTCACAGTGAGTATTTCCCCAAAGTATTAAAAAACAAGAAAATATTATAAAAAAGTGTATTTCATTCAAAATGTAAATATGAAATACTTAAACTGATTCATTAGTAATTAGAATATTATAAAATCCCATGTGACCTGCAACTTATTGGGTATCTAAAAAACTTTTGGTCATAGTAAAAATCCTATACGAAAAACCTGTCGTAAAATACAGTGTAAATAGAAAATGATGAGTCGCCTGACTTCTAAATTCTTGTTAATTATAAGTGTATATGAATATAATATTATGCATACCTGAAAAATATAAAGTAGATCTATTCTGTATATTTCTAAGAATCTTTTCTTTTTTAATTAGGAATCAAAATTATATTATATCTTTATTAAAATAATAATCAATAAAAATGGACATTGTTTCTCCGCTCAATTTCTTAGTCACTACATTCTAAAAATGTCTGAGCTGATAAAAGCAAAATTAAATGACTTAAAATGACCATATTATAATTTGTTCTACCAATTTTGCAATAAACAGTCCCTTATCCCACATACCAATAACTCCAGGGATTTTGGTAGATTTAGTAAACGCAAGGTAGAGATTGTCATTTGTTATGAATGGTAAAAATGTGGTTCTTCAAGGAAATACAGGGTGACCCAAAAAACAGAACCCTCCAAAAAAATAATTTCTTTATTACATGTGTAATCAGGCTGAGCTTCATTTTTCATGTACAGAACCTACAATCTACGGATGATAATGTGTGACCAAATTTGTTACATAACATTCAATATTTTACTAGTTATGGCCATTTTAAAAATGTGCCCACTTTTGAAAGAGAGGAAAATGAAAGATTTTCATGTCAACCAAAAGGTTACACATCGTTTGTTTAAACCCATCACATTCTTTATGTCATCTTGAGGTGTGGTTGCACCTTCTGAGCGATATTTTGGGACTCAATGCAGTTACACACAGTGCTTTCAGGTGTTCTCATACCCCCATTCTTAGAAACCTCCTAGATAGGTGTAAGCTAATCACTTTCCCATTCAGATGTTAAACAGTTCTCTTTTCTTCCTCTTCCAACTCATTATTCAACATTTGACTTTGAAATCACATGTCATGCAATGGTCTTGGCTGATCATACATTCTGTTGTCTTCATGATTTCTTAAGAAATCGAACGTTTGAAATGTGCTTGCTCAGAGGCAGGGAATTTCAGTCATCTGATCTTTTACTAGGTGTTTAACCATTGCCTATTCTTCATTTGTTTCAATTAAAATATTAAATGAGACTTTCATTTCATGTCTTCTTTGGAATTGCCTTCTGAATTTCTCAAAAAATCTCAAGAAATGATTTTGTCTCAATGTTGGTTTTCCTAAAATTGGACACATTCTAAGATCATCCATCATATCACATATAATCAATTTTGTGTTACAAACTTGATATTGAATTATCATCCATAGATGGTAGATATTACTTACTCTGCAAGGACATGGCACAAATCCAACGTTCATGCCCACACCAACAGGTATCTGGTAGGTTGCTGTGCAATTAATTAATTCTAAATTGTTGTTATTGTTGGGTGGATCTCTAATTAATTAACCAGGCTACTGACCAAGTCAACGTCCTTCTGCCTACGTGACATTCTGTGTGTCCAGTTAATCTGTACTAGCGTGAATAATACTAGACATTAAAAATAATAAACATGAACTTGGGCTTAAATCACCTTATGGCCTGTTCTAGCCTCTTTTAACCATTCAAAGGGACTTAAAAATATTTAGATTTATCCACAGAGAGCACTCACATTGAACTACTTTGAAAACTATTAGTTCAATCATCTTGTAGCATTATAGATATTTTCCTCCCCCATTGCTCTACAATTTTATTCAGAATACCTTTTTCTAAAAACCTGCAGTTCCCTGCAAAATAATACAAAACTTTTTTGGGCACCCAGTATATGAGCTGTTATCGAAGTGCAGGTCACAGGTTGAAGAGTGGTACATAGAGTGGTCAGAGCAAGTCGCATATTACTGAGCTCCTACATTTTTGGAATATTTTAGTGGATAGAGTCAACAGTTTTTGATAATTTATGGACAACATGCTACCTAATGTGTTAGAGAATCTTATTGATGTGTTATTTCAACAAGGACAAGGATTTATGGACTACAGAGTTCGAGGGACTTCTACAGAAACAACAGTCACATTAAAATTTTCAAGCCATGACACTTCAAGTACACCAGAGGTCAAACACATGAACAGCAAGGCAAGGCGTAATATTAATAGGATTACTTGCTTCAATGAACATTTCAACTCGGTTGATTCAGGGAACAATACTGAAAGCAGCTATACTGGTCAATCAACTGTGGATTTAAACTCACAACCGTCAAGTACACCCAACTTGGAAAGTAGATCAACCCAAAACGAATCATTTTGCAATCAAGACATTGAGGGACCATCTCAAACAGTGAACCAGGGTTTGGGAAACAAGTCTAAACAATCATCTGAGATGAACACAGTAAAATGTCAAGATGTACAGTTGAAATTTCCAGATGATCCCTTAAGCCAGGCAGAAACTTTACCAGCTCCTAATACATGTCCAGCTGAATATGATCAAATTCACAAGAATGAACCCAGTAACCTGTCTCCTATGAATGAACCATTACAAGAACAGGAACATCTTAGGAATAAACATTATAATCATGAACCAATAATTGGAAAGACTCCGAGGATAAACAGTAACATTTCTGTGCAAAGGAATAAAGAAGTACAATGTTGCCCTACCATGAAGTGTGTCGAAACGCAGAGAACATTATTAACAAAAACAAAGGCTACTGATACGTTTCAACTGGCTAAGTACAGTCGAAGAAATATACAAACTCAAGTTATGAAGGATGATTTGGAAACTGAGGAAGACACCAGCACAAAGGATTTTAATGAAATGTGCAAAGCTGCTGCAGAGAGATCATTGACCAAGTTTGACAATATGATCAAGTTGCAATTGAACCCTGACAATATCATTCAAAACTTTTAAAAACGTTTAAAAGTAAAGAACATCCTTTGATTTTGTTAAACAATTTGGATTAATCTATCTTGAGGACTCTTCAACATAGCATGAAATATTTTCCTTTTCTTATCTAATGACCATGCATTTGAAATGAGGCTAAATGACAATGACAGTGATTCACAGATTATTTGTTTTTCAGAGCCAGATAAAGTGATTTCAATTAAATAATTGAACATTTGAACTGAACTTTTAACACTCTGTCTAGATTTAAAATTAAGAGGATGACAATATTTACTCTTTAACTGAATTACATTTTATTAAGCAAATTGTGCATAGTATAGTAAATTGTTATCTGAGGCATTTATGACCACCACGTTGTTTCTGGATCTCCAGTTACATAGGGCAACCCTAAATGCAGCATAGGATAACAATAATACTTTATATAATTTGTGATTGTTTTGAGATACTTGCACCCTCATATTATTAACCAGCTCCAAATTTTAGGATAATGAAAAATGTATTTAACTCTACAGATAAAGTGAATTTTAATGAATTATTACATGAAGTTTAACACTTTGCTCTGACCAGCTTTAATTTAGGTTAAGGGGTTAACGTTTTATTTCTACCATTAATGATTAGTATTTAGCAAATTGTGCACAGTGAATTTTTATCTGAGGCATTTATGACCGCCAAGTTGTTTCTGGATCTCCAGTTACATAGGGCAACCCTAAATGCAGCATAGGATAACAATGATACTTTATATAATTTGTGATTGTTTTGAGATACTTGCACCCTTATAGTATTAACCATTTTCAAATCCCTGATTATGAATATGTATTCATACTGTAACTGTAAAAAATATAGTGAAATAAAGGGGAAAAAAAAAAAAAAAAAAAAAAAAAAGTTGAAGAGTTTTTATAGCATTCCATAGCTTTTGTTGACAATATTTAAGAACATCCATGTGCAACCTTTTTATTCAATACCACATGAACAGTAACAAAAATCATGACCTTGAATCAACTTTTATCAATGAATTATTAATATGAACAACATTTTATAATTAAATCCACATCTATATTGTACATATGCGTCAATGAAAACAACATTAACTATCGATGATTACCTTCACAACTTGCTAATGATTCATCAGAGTTGTCTCCACAGTGGTTGGTACCATCACACATAGTGTCTCTACTGACACACCTATCGTTACTACAGGGGAAGTACCTGTACAGATCACAGCCATCTGGAAAATAATGTTTTAGGGTCGCAACATAGAACTGGTTTGTTGTTTAGTATATTTCACGGCTGGCCAACCAGTTGAGAAATTCCAGTTCACTGTTCTATTAATAGAATGTCATTTTTTCTGTGATTATAACAATTAAGAGGAATTCTTAACTTAAAGAAATTATTGTCAATAATCCAAGCTGATAATTCTATATTCACACAGGTATGCTTAGCATTTTATATCACTCTTTGGCTAAGAAAATGTAGGCTTTCTATAATTTTCAAAAATACATGGATTAGTTAATATTAGAGAAAGCTATATTAATGAAAAACATTGACCTTGTGTGAAAAGTTGAAAACTTAAACTGATTGGTCAAGTTGGTGCTTAAATGCATGTCAATGGGTCAGGGCTTATAGTACAATACATATTTGATCCTGTGCCAAGACTATTGTCCTGAGAACGTCTCAATCTTTTGCCTGTACGATTACAACATGGGAGAATTTTCTACGCCTCTTACACTTAAGATTTTTGTGTAGTTGAATCCACAATTATCTGGGTTTATCGGCAGAAAGAAGAAATTTTTGTTTTGATCACAATATTTGCATGTAAGATTTAACTTATTTCAACCGTCGAATTCCTCCATTTATTGGTACTTCCGGGCCAGTCAAACGAGGAATCCCCTTTTAAATCCAACCACCATCTTGAAAAGTGATGGAATCTCTCTCGATGATAAAGAAAAATGTTCCCATTCTGCCGATAAACCCAGATAATAGACATTGTGGATTCAACTACACAAAAAGAATTGAAGTAGGTATCTTCAGTGTAAGAGACGTAGAAAATTCTCCCATTTTGTAATCGTACAGGCAAAAGATTGAGACGTTCTCAGGACTATAGTCCTGGCACAGGATAACAATACATAGTCAAATTTACCCCAAAAAGTAGCTGTCATGGCCTTTAATTACAGTCTCAATATGAATTATATACCACATGAAAGCTTACATTAAATAAGTTCATAGTCTGGTAATATTAAATCCATTTATTGGTGTTCATTGTCACAGACTTTATTACAATTTTTAAATGTAGCGATCTATCTTCAATAGCATGGGCAACTTCAATCTAGATCGCTTGCGGGATGAATTTATATTGCCATAGCAATTAATCATTTTTTGACGTTGTTAAGGTTTAATGATGTAATAGTAGATTTACCTGTATTCATTTCAACTGTTTTCAATTTAAATTTAGTGATCATGGATGTGTAATGACCCGAGGGCGCCCCAGGGGAATGACTAACTAACGAGCATAGTGTAACAAGCCAGATAAAGAAATAGAAATAAAGTGTGCTAAATTCAATGCCCCGAATGGGAATCGAACCTACCCTTGGATCCGAAGTCTGATGCTCTACCGACTGAGCTATAAAGGCTTAAGCCACAACACCTGGACTGTAGTAGCAACTTGCTATCAAGGGTCGTTACAATATCTCCCCCTTTGAAAGGACCACAGCCTCGTGGTCAGGCCTGCTTCCCTAACAGTGACTACCACACACACACAGGCGCAAAGGATACAACCAATGCTTTGATCATCTGACACCAATGTAATGACCCGAGGGCGCCCCAGGGGAATGACTAACTAATGAGCATAGTGTAACAAGACAGATAAAAAAAGAAAGAAAGTGTGCTAAATTCAATGCCCGGCATGGAAATCGAACCTAGGACCCTTGGATCCGAAGTCTGATGCTCTACCAACTGAGCTATAAAGGCTTAAGCCGCTACAGCTGGACTGTAGTAGCAACTTGCTATCAAGGGTCGTTACAGATGCAGTTTGCATTCGAAACGTCTAAAACAAAAAATTGTAATAAAGTCTGTGACAATGAATACTAATAAATGCACAAGAAAGCTTGAAATTCAGAAAATGGTACTTTTGATTTGGTAGCAATATTCTGGATAAATACATCAATGGACTATATTTGAATCAACAAGTGTAGATAAATCTCAGTCTTTAAAAGATGCGAAATCAAAATATGACCACTCACGTGATGTAGGGACAATAAACGCTGTGAAGGTAACTTCTAACAGGTCACTCATGTGATAGACTCCCTTCAGCCTCACATAAAAGCCACTTGTATCAACAAATCCATCAAAAGCATCTTGAGGGGTGTCATTGGCCTTATAATGCCCTAGTAAGGCACCATCTGATGATACACCACGTCTTATTTCAAGGCTATTGAGCCATTCTCGCCAACCTAGAACAAAAAGAAATCATTAAAATTGGAAGAATGCCATGAATAAATTTTGTCAAAACATTCGAAAACATTCTCAAAACTAAAAAAAATAAGGAGAACCAAAAAAATACAAAATACCAAATTTAATCCAAATACAATATATACAATATTTCATGTATCAGATTAAGCTCATTCAATTCTAAATACTATGGGACATAACATGAATTGATCTTGATTGGAAAGTTGTCACTCATTGATTTGTAAAACAATGTCAGAAAATTAGACACATCATGCAAATTTGATATCACCTGAAATAATTTATAAACATTACGATTGAATAGCAAAAATAAATCCTATGTATTACTAATGCCTTGGTCACATTTGATCTGCAGCGAAATCAAGAGAAATATGCAGCATAAAATATAGGGGTAGGTATACGATGTAGATTTTCTATATCGATTTTGTGAAGCTACAGCCGCCATACATCCAACAAAAAACCAAATGTGTATGAGGCTTCAACAAGGTATAAAATGTGATATGTTACCACCTGAAATTTGTTACAGACTACCAAACACCAACCCTCGAACAACGTCCACAAAAAAATTAGAGAAGATAACAATATGTTTGGTTGGAAAGAAATCCATGTATAAACCTTCAATAAAAGTTAGGATCTGCTTGACTAGAAAAATTGTTCTCTATATCTGATGCTCCCTTTAATTCATTTCATGTATAATGTACTTCTACTCAATTTGGCGGCTGTTTTCATTTAGCAGATCTGCCAAATTGTTTAAGTCCGCCAAATTAAGAAGCCGCAAAATTCAACATTTCATATTTCAATTGTCAAGTATTGGCATATACATTTCAATATTATAAGTCCGCCAAATTAAGTAGCGGCAAAATTTCAATCGTCAGGTATGGTATATACATTTCAATATTATAAGTCCGCCAAATTAAGTAGCCGCAAAATTTCAATCGTCAGGTATGGTATATGCATTTCAATATTATAAGTCCGCCAAATTAAGTTGTCGTCAAATGTTCACCATATCCGCCAATATTTAGTTGCATCAAATTAAGAAGAAGTAGAGTATCTGCTTCACTAACCTTGATTGAGGCGGAATGTCTTCAATTTCAGGTAGAAGGCATGGAAACCTTTGGGTGTTGTTAAAGACCAGTTACAATCAAAGTATCCAGACCCTGTCTGTGAGTAACTATTGAATGTGATCACTCCACAGGTTATCAGACCATTGTTATAACATACATTGTTGTATGAACCACAGGCTGCAATTGAGAAAAATTAAGATCATTGTTATAACATACATTGTTGTATGTATCACAGGCTGCAATTGAGAAAAATTAAGATCATTGTTATAACATACATTGTTGTATGAACCACAGGCTGCAATTGAGAAAAATTAAGATCATTGTTATAACATACATTGTTGTATGTATCACAGGCTGCAATTGAGAAAAATTAAGATCATTGTTATAACATACATTGTTGTATGTACCACAGGCTGCAATAGAGAAAAATTAAGATCATTGTTATAACATACATTGTTGTATGTACCAAGGGCTCCAATTGAGAAAAATGTAAAGATATTGTATTTGTAATCTTGCATCAAATCTCTGGATACCTTGCCTTTTTACTTCACCTGTGGAGATGACGAATGCACAGAGAAACAAGGGCTTGAAACAAGACTCATTTAAACTCAAAATTTTGTGAACCATTGAAGTGCAGTAATACAGTAACTGAGTTACAAATGTATTTATGACCAAATGTTAAAAGCACTTCTGGTGGTGACATAAAAATATAAATTCTCGCTCACTCATTTCACTCACTGGTTAGTTCTTGAATCCTGATCAACAAAATATGTAAAACATCCCAGATTTATGATAATTTTTCAATAGACACTGCAAAGATCCAAGTCACAATTCAAAAAATAATCATAGATATCAAAGGATGCTTATATATTGTAGGGATAAGCTAGCCTACAAACCTGTTGTTGGTTTATTTGTCCACGTTGATTTTGTAACAAATTCATATGTTCCTTTGAATCCTATCATTTTGCCATCTGCCCAGCCTGACTTAAATACAACTAAAAGGACAGGTCCACTTGACTGTACAGCTGGTCTACGAGAGTAACCCGATGATGTAAAGATCACATCCTTCTCACTTTCATCATTATAGAACTGGAATATGAGTAAAATGTTCAATTAAAACTACAATTAACTACTGCTAAACTCCCAGATATCACTTGAAAATATATATTCTTAAGAATCGATGAGATAAACTCTAAGGGGTCGACTGAAGAGTTCAACTCCATCCCAGGGGACTCATGAACAGCCCGACTCCCAGGGGACACCTGAAGAGGTCTAACTCCTAGGAGATCCCTGAAGAGGTCAACTTCCAGGGAACACCTGAAGAGGTTAACTCCCAGGGGACCTTTGAAAAGGTATGTGACCCCAGAAGACAACACTCATAGGGATTACTTTGAGGTTTCTAGATAATTATAGCTTAATTGATGAGATAAATTTCATGAAGTCACCTGAAGAGGTACACTCCCAGGTAACACATGAAAAGGTCAACTCCCAGGGGGCACTTGAAGAGGTTAACTTTCAAAGGTCAGTTAAAGAGGTAAACTCCCAAGAATCATAGTAAAACAAAACACCTACCAACATCTGGCTGCTTTTTGAGTTCAAATTCCAATCATCAAACACAATGCGAATAAATCCATTTACATCTGGATTCTTGATTAAATAGGAATATTTTTCTCCCTGCATCGCATATCCTTTTGGAAAGTTGGGACCCCGAATTGTTCCGTTAGGCCCAAGAGTAAAATATTGCTTCTTTTCTAAAAAACAAACAAACATGGTACCCTCAGTAAAAAAGAAATTTAATTGGGGACAAGTATAATCTTACACAGCCAACCCATACCCATGTGGAATCCATGCTGTAAGGACCCACCTGAAGTCCATATGGAATCATCATAAAATCCATGTGGAGTATGTATGTAGATCCAAATAAAAATAGGACAAATTTTTATAAGTAGATCCACATGGATCGAATCTGAATGTATCAAGTATTTTTTGCAAACATCTTTTAAAATTATGTAATTCAGTTCATGATAATGAATATAATTTTAAGTTCATAATAACTAAACATGAATATATAAATCAACTGACAAAATATTGCGATGTAAACAGAGAATCTAATTACTTTAGCCTTGCAAGTAAAGCACTGATGCAATGTCAAGAGCATTGATTCATACCTTTGGCAATAGAATACAACACTGTTAATATCACTGCTATTTAATTGTGTACCAAGGATGTACTATTTTATCATTTTACCTATACAGTAAAACCTGTGTAAGTGGAACACCTTTGGTACATCTTAAAGGTGTTCTACTTGGGGGGTGTTCCACTTATGGAGGTTCATTTAACATTAAATTAGTTGGTCTTGGGACTCTTAAGTGTTCCACTAATGGAGGTATTCCACTTCTAGAGTTTCCACTTTACAGGTTTCACTGTACTTAGTGTTCACTTTTGGACAAAAAATGTTCACTACTAGAAAATTCTTGTGAAAATGGTGTTCACTAGAGAGGTTTTATTGTATGTTAGGAGCTGAAATGCAAATTGTGTGATTGATGCTCATGGATAGATGAATTCATAGTTTCTCCCTCAGGATAATACTGATATCCTGACATAACTAGACATGTTATGTACCATTACAGGGGGAAAATGATCATACGGGGAATAAACACAAACATGGTATGAAAATATAATTAGTCATTATCAAGAGTTTGAAATTGATAAAATTGACTGAATAAGATGTGGATTAAATTCAAGCATCCTTTTTGTGAAACAAAAATGTAAATTTTTAAGCCTCTGAAACAAAGACAAGAAATATGAGCAAGTGAACTTTTTATAATTTTAAAGGTTAAGGGAAATTGGTTAATAAAAGAACATACCTTGAATTACATAGTTGATCTTAAACCTCTTCTCTAGTCTCTTCACCATACATAACTTCAGAGTGACTGAGTTAGATATTGAGGTGAACACTTTTGATACATTCTGTTTCTGTATATATGCTATAGTATTCTCTGTATAGAACTCCTCATAAACAAACAGAGTATCACACCTGAAATACAAGATTTTGAATAGCGTTAGAACTAAGCCTGTTCACCTCCAAGAGTAAGAAGCCTCTTTCCCGGGTTTCCTCCACGGACGAATCTTTTTTCAATAAAAATTTGGTTCTGATGAAAAATGATGCTATGTACATTGTATTACAGTAAAATTCAAGAAAAAATGTATTACATGCACATGTATGTGTTTTATCTCAGTCTTTAAGCTTATTCAATGTCTATATTTCATTTGAGGAGTATGTTTGCACTCTTAATTGTCACATTGCAGAATGTCTTTAAGCAAACAAAGAAAACAAACTGACAAACAAACAATGAACTTTTGCATGTATCTTACTTATCGACGCAAGTGTCTTGTGTTGGTGGAGGAATATCGCAAGGAGGCAACACAATCTCTGTGAACCTTAGTTCTATTTTACACTCAGGGCATCCATATAGAGTCAGGTAACAACTTGCAGGTGACAAGAAAGCTCCCCCGAAGGATTCTGGGTAATTTGGAGAGTGGATTTCCCCATGATCATTTAAATCTACTTGAATACGATGATCTGTCTTGAAGTTACATATATTTATTTTGTTGAAATCTGAAACAGAATATAATAAAAATAAAGGAGAAATTAATGTTTATACTAATATCTAGTATTATTATGCCTGTTAAAAGACATCTACATAAAGGCTTTAACAGTGTACCCACTGGATCATGGAGGGTGGGAAATTCCAAAGTTAAAATTTAAGGTTAGTCCTTCAAGGACACTTCATCTCCAAAACATGAACTACCAATATAGTTAAATTACCATTATGAATGTAAATTAAGGTGGCTTTATTATTTTTGGCTGAAGTCACTTATGTACGAGGGTTGATCCAAAAGTTCCGAACCGTTTCCTCTAAAAATCTTAATTCTTTATGAATATTGTTCATATTTGGCCACAACCACCCCATATAGTTGTTTCATTTTTTTTCATCCCTCGTGAGATATGCACATCTACCTTCGGTCCCTCAGGTAGATATGCATATCTCCCTCTGGATAAACCCCATATCCAAAACCTCCCAGTACATAACCCTTATTTATTCAAAGGTCAGTTACAAAACCTCATTTATGAAGTTGAAAACTAGATTACTTTTATGAGGTATGTTGATCTATTTTGAGTCAATCAATTAGGTATGACACTTACTCAGTTTAAAAATGGGTTCCAGATGCTGAAGAAAGATCTTAAAGATGCTATGAGAAAAAATGACCAGATCTCCTTGGGAACTTTTACTTTCACCATGATAATGCCAAAGCCCACAGAGCCAATGTTACAAGTTCAATTTATTCCAACTCCACATACCCTGTTGTTATGTTGCTATGGTAACCAGACAACTATGAATCTGGTCAGATTTATTGTTTATTTTTACACAAAATGAAACTACTATATAATTATTGTGGCCAAATATGAACAATATTCACAAAATATTAAGATTTTTTGAACAAATGGTTCGGAACTTTTGGATCAACCCTCGTATAATATTACCTTTTGATATAACAGCATGCAGAGCAGCAAATACCACAATGAACCTCTTCATGGTGAAACCTCTCCTTGTTATGACATTGAAGTAAGTTCACATCTTCATATAAGGCCTTTAATATAAAGTATGGTATCAGATTAATATGATAGAGACAATAAATATACATTGGTATTTTTAATATATGAACATCATTTTAATTTTATAATTTTCTAGGTGAACCCTTTTGAGATGTATAACTTCTTTTAAAATGGCTCAAGTGTGGAGGATCACTTTAAGAGCACTTCAAAAGATTTTATCCCAGCTCTGAATGACGTATTTTCTTAAAAATCTAATTTTAAACTGGGTAATGGTAGTTGAAACTGCTGTTAGTTGCTGAAGTATCTAGCCAAATTACTTGGCTAGACATCATGGCATGTAAAAACTGTGTACTTGGGAAAAGGTTTCCTTATATACTGTATATATCTCAAGACAATCTGTCTACCAGTTGTAGAACTCGATAAGTTACATCTACAATGTCTTTTATATAGTATTAAAATGAACAAAATAATTTTTTTCGGCGTTTGGTTTTGTGCTGTGTCGGCCATCATTTTTTGGGAGTTTTTCTACAGGAATATTTTTGCTGGACAATGATCAGCTAAAATGCGTATAAAAAACTGGCGTGACTTCAAATTTTCCAATTGCGGGACAGTTGTACGGCCTGCAGTACACTTCAGGGTAGGCACTCTATAATATTGTCAGGCATGGTAGGTTTATTCATAGTTTAACCTCTAAGATATGGAGTCTGTGTCCCAAAAGATGATTAGTTCCCTGGGATTGATTCCCAAGCTTCCATCTCGATATTCTGCCAATGGATGAATAAAAAATTGAAATCAAACACCTACAATTTTTTCACTTCAATATTCCGATCAATGTTGTCATCTATCAAAGTCAAGAGAGTCAATCCTCTTTGGAATCCCGTAAGAAAAAATCTTTTCTTCTTGGTACTAATTATTCATGTTCCTGGGTTCCTGAGTCTCTGGCCAAATTACTTGGCTAGAAGACCTAGCATGTGGACCACTGTGCACTAGTGAAAACGATCATTCGGAATAAAAATGAATTTAGCGTTATTTTAAAAATCGTAATGAGAATATTTCATCAAATAAAATGTAAACGAATACTATCCTTTGTGAGATATTGCAAGCTTTCGTCTAAAATTAAATCAACGGCTCCATAGATCCCGGGCAGATAATATTCCTGCAGCCCATGGTTGGATCAACATGACCAGACAGATATTCTCTCACAGAGATGTGGAAAAAGGTAGTGTAGTATTGTTGGCATCCATATATTTTAACACACTAGCCACTGTGGCCCTCCCTTCACCGTTCTCCAGATTCTCCGGGTGCTAAGAGCCCTTGTTTTTAAAAAACCACACCTGAGATTTGAAACTAAATATTCGACGTTCAAGAATCATCACGAAAACACTTTTTATGTGCAGATAATGATAACAGGTCATTCTCCATTTAATCATATTGTTTTATAGATTAATCAGGACATTATAAAATTACCCACTCTGCTAGCTGGACGGTTAAATTTCCCAAAAAGTTGTATAACTTTTTTTATTTTTACCTGTCCAAAATAAACAAAATGACGTCACTTCACATGACAGAAAAACGAAAGTGAAAGTAATATGTATTTTCAAAAACATCTAATTATACAATTTCTGTATCGGATTTTCAATTTTGTAATATAATCTGTAAATAGGCATGTACTAATATAGCAACTCAACTGACGAAATAAACTCATAAACAGGTAATGCTAGCGTTCTGGCCATAATTTGTCTATTTATACCTCCTCATAGAAGAATGTTTGCGGTAATTATACGAACGACCGAACAATTTGACATAAATCTGTTCTGTAATTTTACACAGAAATGTCCTATTGGTAGAGCGCTTCCTAGTCAACTCGTACCCAAGACAACTCGTACGCAAGACAACTGGTACCCAAGACAACTTGTACCCAAGATTATTTTCAGTTTTATGGGTGCATATTAGGGAAAAAATTGAGTTTGTAATGCTTTCATGTTATAATGTGAATCAAATAAGCCTCAATATTTTTTTTGAATTTAGAAGATGTTTTTTCTCAGTAAAGCATTTTTTATTAAATAAAAGAAGTGCTTGAAGCGCTTGTTCTCAACATTATTTTGTCAAACAGTATATATGAATAAATATAATTACAACATTAGATCTGACCGTACTTGTTCCAAACACTCATAAACATACAATATTTTGAAAAATGATTATGAATATGTGGAATAAACATATGTCTCTTCACTCGAACATCCTGAATCTGTGACCAATATAAAATAATAGTCAATATAAATTGACACTCAGCTCAAAATGTCACAAAATTAAATCAATTTCTTCCGAAAATTCTTTTTCAAACTTTAAACTATTCTGAACAGTATGTTACAATTATATGTATATCTGTATATCTATTCACATTCCCAGTCCAACGCTTGATTCAAAACAAAATATATACTTGGGTACGAGTTGTCTTGGGTACGAGTTGTCTTGGGTACCAGTTGTCTTGGGTACGACTTGTCTTGGGTACGAGTTGACCAGTTACCGGTAGAGCCCGTGCTAAAAAATAACCAAAGATGCCTGTAGCCAGATTTTGGTGGGGGGCGAGAGACTCTGACCCACATAAAATATTTTCCATGCTAAACCAACTCCTTTCGTAATGTAAAGGGTTTGTTAACGACACCAGGGGCGATCTTGACTACTCCCAGAGGGAGGGGTAGTACCCCCATAAATGTGGGTTCGGTTTGCTTTTTTTTTTAATTTTTGACTGATAAGGCAAACCTCACCAACAGCTGAACCTTATTCCAAATTGTGTAGTTGAATACCTTGATGAATTGAAGATGAAAATCAGGACTATGTCAGCAGTTTCCTTACCGCATTCTCTTGTTTTCTTTGACAAAACACCATTACCAAGGAAACAATGCTTCATATCTGCCTTTTTCTGCATTTATATCTGGGTCTTGAATTTTTTCCTATTGTCCACAATTTTGTTCTTGATGAATGGAAGATGAAAATCAGGGCTTATATCAGCATTTTACCAACTTCACTCTCTTGTTTTCTTTTACAATACACTTTCCCAATGTAAAATAGAGCGATTGATTACTGGAAACAATGCTTCATATCAGCAATTATTCAGCATTTATATCTCGGTCATTAAATTTTTCAGCATTTTGTCCAACTACAAAATTTCCAATAGCTATAACATTCAGTGGGGGAAATGCTATCACTTATGTCAAAAAAAGCCAAAACACCCCCACATTCATGGGGGTAGAGGGGAAGTGGCCCAAACATATATGGGCCTGCCCCCTGGCTATTTCATAGATTTCATCAAGCCTACCTCTTACTGAAACTTGTTGAATGATAGAGCATAACATAACTTTTGTGCACATTTTTCTTCTTACAACTAGTCCCGATTTGTTCATCAGTGGCCGGCTATTTTCACAATCCAAACTATTGATATTGAAAGTCGTCGTCTAGTACTCCGCCACAAAAAATGAACATACCGTTTTAAAGTGCTGACTTCGTTTTGATTGTAACAGGGGCTTTTGCCTCTAAACTGAGGTCACCCAAGGCTACCTTCAAAAAAACTTTTTATATTTATATATTTTAATTTTTTACCATATTACTGCATTTCACGTATAATATAACATGATTTTGATAAAGAATTAAGAACTTTTGATTAACAAGAGAATTTGGAAACTGTCAAAAAGTAAAAAAAATGGCACAATGTGTTGGTGTCATTACATTCTAAGTAATAAAAAACACTGTCTAATGGAAAGGGGTGCCCTTTGCATTTGTTCGACTTCGCTTCTCCAAAGGAGAGTTTAGTCTTATAGTTTATAACCACTGTACCACAACTAGTTACTTTGACGGAACGCCAATGCCCGGGCGCCAATGCAACAAAAACTTCCTGAAAACTAGGTTTTTGTTTTCTCGGGCCCCCCTTTGTCGTACGTACTTGTATAATACATGTTGCGGATTATCATTTAGCACAAAGTTAGCTTTTAGAAATGCTCTCGGTTTGGAATTCGATTTGTAAATAAAGCTGTAAATCAGGACTATATCTCCCCCGTAGTAAATATTGTTGTTACTCTGGACACAGTAAGCACTATCATTCATGATTAAGTTAGGCTGCTATTATATATTTGATAGATGGTGCTGACACTGAGTCTGGATTATGTTAAAACTTTTGCATGACCGCGCAGCGGGAATGCAAAGTTTAGGAAACAACGCCTGAGTCATCAAATCCGATGGGGAAAATCCATTCATCACCATGACAACTGTTTAACTAGCGACCTTGCATGTGTTATTGATATTTCACACAATGTACATCATGTGAATACTCTCTTCGGATTGGCTGGAATCGGACACATCTAGCCTTGCCCAAGTTGGTCTTCTATTATGACCAGCGGTAATAATTCAAGATCAGATAAGTAAAAAATACCGACTTGGGTAAGGCCAGGACACACCTTGCCTAGCTATTTGTGAATTAATAATGAATCCAGATGTTATCTATTTAAGTATTTCTAAAGTAAAACTTTTTTCTTTGTTTTAACAGCTGAATATTCAACATGTTTCTGAAACATTGAACATATTCTTTTATCCATATTGTCATATGATACAAATTTTTAAAACACCTGTTCTATCACAGTAAGAAACCCAATACCAATTGTTACGTTTTCGTGTTTTTTTTTATTTCGACGAATCAATAAATGGTACATACTACCGTTAAGAATGATTGAACACAAGTACGATTAAATGTAAATAAAGTACGTGATCTCTTGACCAATAGGGAGGATAGGATTAAATGTACGTATACCTATCCCTATCCGTTTGTAAGGGTGGTCAGTTGCAAACATACGGATAGCGATAGGAATACGTACAATTTTTTCGCTAATCGTAACCTCCCTATTAATACAGTACAACCTGTTTAATCCGAGCACCACTGGAATCTGCCAAAAGTGTTCGGAGAAGCAGTTATTCACATTTCAAGGTTTCCTGTTAGTCTACGGGTGTATGTGAGATAACAGGACCGACGAAAAAGTGTTCAAGTGTTTGGATTAAAGAGGTTTTCAGATATGCAAGTTTCACTGCATGTCAAAACAAAATTGATGCAACTTCAGATAGTTATATTTGTGTTAAATTATGCGTCTAATCATATTAGAAGAGTACATTTAGTAAGTTATTCATGTAGTACTGCAGATAAGGAGTATATGCCATTTAAGAGATTGATTCCATGCACAAAGTAGTTTTGTCTCCCCGGGTTTGTCTCATTTATTTCTTTTCTCCGCTGTTACCATCAGAGGTCTGAAAACAGAATAAAAGCACATCGCTGGTTCATTCTCTAAAACCATTTCGTTCGTTGCGTACCAAAGAGGCACGATTGCACTGAACGAATGCTATAAGGAGATTGCCGCCGGTTACAAAGAAACAAACCCAAATAACTCAAACCAAGAGGGTAATGCAAAGGTTATCAGATTCATTCAAGACTTATTCATAATTTCTCGGTTTTGTTGCCGAAATAATTGCAGCATAAAAACATTTTATGAATTCGTAAACATTAAACAATTGACCCCTTTTTATAAACCAAGAACTGAAGAGGGATAATTTGTCAGATTTATTTTGTCTGTTCTTTGAAACTTGTGTGAATTTAGCACAGGGTGGTCCCGCATTTCAAAAATAAACATCGATTTCCTTGATGAAAACATGTCATGTTATAGACCAGTGGATATGGAATATACTTATCTTTAATTTGGTATATCATAATTTTAAATTTATTTTAATGTCTGTGAACCAGCGTCCATATTATAAATGACGTCATTTTCGTTTCAAAACAGGTATTCCAAAACTTGCAAAAACAAGTTTTTTGTCAACTTTAGTTACATATACAGACGTACAATATGTCCACCATTTTGATCAATTGTAGCCCTCAATTTTGGGCTAAACTGGTCAATAGCATCATTGATATGCTGTTGAGACAATGAATTCCACTTCTCAACAATTTTATCAATAATAAGGGACTGAGTAGGTGTGAGGGGTACACCAATTCTGTAGGCCTACGTGGTAGTCGTAGACGTTGTCATTGGATGATCTAATTATGTTGTTTTTGGACCAGCCTGATATAAGCTAATTTATGAATCATTACAATTTACAACAAGATGGGGCTCCAAGCAATAGATCCCACAAGAGTGTCAAATGTTTAAAGGAAAATGTGCCTTGATTCATCCCCCCCTTAATCACTGCCTCAGATCACCCAATCTACCAACGTCTGAGACTACCACATATAAGGAGAACTAACAGAATTGGTATACCATAAATCTTGTACATCTATTCAGTCCTTTAAGGACAGAATTATTAAAAAGTGAAATTCATTGTCTCAACAGGCCCAACAGCATATCAATGATGCTATTGGCCAGTTTAGGCAAACATTGAGGGCTATAATTGATCAAAATGGTGGACATATTGAACGTCTGTTTATGTAAATAAAGTTGACAAAAACCTGATTTTTGCAAGTTTTGGAATACCTGTTTTGAAACATAATATTTATATTATGGACGCTGGTTGACAGACATTGTAATAAATTTTGAACTTATTATATACCAAATTAAAGATGAGTAAATTTCGTCTCCACTGGTATATACTATAATATGACGTTTTCATCAAGAAAATCAATATTATTTTTGAAACACGAGTGTCCCATTTTTGGACCACCCTGTATATACCAACTGCATACCTTTCCAACTGGGTGTCCATCATCGTCGACCAATGTCCTCTTGAACAATCTTTTTGCACTATAATTGAGGGAAAATTTTGGTGATCTCTTCATAATCTCTCCATATTCATCTCCATCATGCGTTTTCGTTGAGTAACCTAAACCCTTCAGAAAAGACGCAGGTTTTGCTTCATTGTTCACAACCTAAGACAGAAAATAGCCATCATGTTGACTAAAGATACACAGGCGGATCCAGGATTTTGCGCTATAGGGGGCGCCAATATATCTCAAAAATGCGCGAGAATGAATGTTGAGCGTACGCAATGGGGGGGGGGGGGGGGGTGCACCCGAAAATGTTGACAAATAGAGTGCAATTTGAGCATTTTGCCACGATCAAAATATGAATGAATATTCATAAAAAAAGACTTCTTTTAATTTGAGTCAGATTGTAGAATGACATTGTAACAATTTATCCTGCAACTGTCATGACAAATTGTTTCAAAATAAAAAAGCTATGGTTGTTATGGTAACAGGAGTCACGGGTATGTGGAGCAGCGTCACAATTATGTTTTATAATTCTTTTCTCCTGTTCATATCATCTCGACGCTCCGTCGTCTGTTGCTATTATGCATCAAATTATAACAGGTATTTTATCGGATAATCTTTATCACATAACATCATGAATACGATATATTTAATGTATTATCTTAAAAGTATTTGAGTAACTCACCAAAAGCGTAAGGAAAACTACGCAGATAGCTACTGTCCTCATATTCAGCTTGCGTCTATCTATGGAAAATAGAGTTGTGTTTGGCCATCTCCTACTTTTATCGAGATATTTCCTTTAAACTCCAGGGACTGGCTATCAAAGTACACCTCCATTAAACCAACACTGATATAGCTTTTCTTTTCGACTGAATTTCGAGAACACCCCTTTAGGCATTTGATCACTACATTGTGAGTTTTGATGATTGATTGAACATGCTGAAATATCCTTGAAATGTCACTGATCGATTCAAATTATAATTGTTAAGGTTCAACTTACCTAAGAAACATGTTCAAATGGTGATTAATTCATCTAAATTATGGCAAAATTGATTTGGTACAATTTCAAATCAAGCCATATGTTTAAAGTCAAAATACTAAACACTTTGAAGGTCATTTGTTATTAATGTAATTGGAAGATAGATTCAGATTACCATCTAATTATAGTTTTTAGATTTTATCAGAAATCAAAGACCTCATTATGGAAATGCTCTTAAATCAGGAGAATTCATTCTGTCATTAATGAATTATATGTTAGCCCAAGGTATGTAAGAAATCAATGGGTCTCATCGATTTCCGGACAACTCGGACCCAGGACAACTCGGACCTACAACTCGGACCCTGGACAATTCGGACCCAAGACAACTCAGACCCAAGATAACTCAGAGCACTTTTTGAAATTATGATTTTTATCATTACATTTGGTTTTAATTATTTTTTTATGTTTATTTTGACATATATTATATATTGTGAATTCATTTATTATGTTAATTTGATGAAATTGTTTTAAATTAATGTTTTCATGAGAGTTAAGAAGTAAGAAATTATTGAAGCTAAAGACCCAAGACAACTTGGACCACTTTTTGAAGTGATGGGTTTTATCATTGTATGGGGTTCTAACTTTTTGTTTAATGTTTTTTATGACATATATTATATATTGTGAATTCATATATTGTGTTAATTCAATGAAATTGTTTTAAATTAAATTAACTGTAACTTCAAAAAGTGGCCCGAGTTGTCTTTGGTCTTCAGCTTCAATATTCTCTTACTGGGCTTACTTCTTAACTTTCATCAAACGAGTTAATTGAAAGCTTACCGTGTACAATATATAAACTCACAATATGTCATGCTAAGCATTAAACAAATGACCCCTATTACGACAACCAAAAGTATAATTTCTCGAAGTGGTCCGAGTTGTCTTGGGTTTTTAGCTTTATCTTCTACTTAATTTTCATCAAATAAGTCAATTAGCAAATTAAAACATTTTCATCAAATTAATCCAAAATATGAAGTCACAATATATAATATATGTATTAATTTTCATAAATGAAAAATTAAAGCTACACATAATGATAAAAATCATAATTTTAAAAAGTGGTCCGTGTTGTCTTTGGTCCCAGATGTCTTGGGTCCGAGTTGTCCAGATGCCATTCAACAGCAGGTGACAGATGTTTTCTTCTAGGCAGCAATTGCACACATTGCTCTCCCAGTTCTCAACCTCACAATGTGTTATTGGATCTTTCAATAAGCCTACAGAAGTGCATTTGGGTCCAAATGTTTAAAAGTGATCTTCACAATGTATGCGGTCATGCGCATGTATGACATTGTGAATGCAATGGATGTAATACTTTCAGTGATAATGAAAAAGAAAAGTTTTTTGATATTTTCTGAAGTATATTATATTGCAAGGTAGGAAAGATGGAAAATGGTTGACTGTTCTTACTGAAATAAAAATGCTTGGCCACTTCTAATTGTTCATGTACTCATTCTACGTTCATAATGAAAGCGCTTACAAGTAAATGGTCAATTATTTCATTCCTAATTGTGAACATATAATATATTTATTCCTTATTCAAAAAAGGATGTGGTTTAACTGTGGATTTGTCTTAGTTGCTGTACTTAGCATCTAAATAATAAATACAGATGTTTTGTTACAGCTTGATTGTACATTTATTTATCAAATTCATGATAAAGGAATCATTTACCTTGATACAATGTAACATTTGATGTGACATTTTTAGAGATATTATGCCCCATATTATACTGGAACAGAATGGACTTCTTAAACAATCTATCATAGTGTTCGGAGAAGCAGGTATTCACATTTCAAGGTTTCCTGTTAGTCTACAGGTGTATGTGAGATAACAGGACCGACGGAAAAAATAATAATAAAAAAGTGTTCACATTGAGAGGTGTTTGGATTAAAGAGGTTTTCAGATATACAAGTTTCACTGCATGTCAAAACAAAATTGATGCAACGTCAGATGGTTATATTATATATGTGTTAAATTATGCGTCTAATCATATTAGAAGAGTAGATTAAGTAAGTTATTCATGTAGTACTGCAGATAAGGAGTATATGCCATTTAAGAGATTCCATGCACAAAGTAATTTTGTCTCCCCGGGTTTGTCTCATTTATTTCTTTTCTCCGCTGTTACCATCAGAGGTCTGAAAAGAGAATAAAGAAAATGAGTACAGTGGGTACTGGGCTCACATGGTGTTGCTCAAAAGTAAATGATGGCTAAAATGACAGAAAATAAAATTTATTGTAACAAAATTATTTCATACAATTACTCTTTACAATGCAGGACACCTGGAATTATTTGTAAAGCTAGGAAATGGGCCAAAAGTGAATTTCCCAAGACAAAAATGGTGGCCGTTTTGAAAATAGGTGAGCTTTTGAAGCAGGAGTCACAGTTTTTTTTTCTTTATTGGATGTTGAACAAAAATATCTTAAAACGGGAATCCTATCTACAGAGGATTTAAAAAGAGCCAAGTGTTGACAGACATAGGTTTAAACTTGCCACTATCTTGGACTGACTGAGAGACAGATGAACAAATAAATGTTAACTAAAATGGCTGAAAATAAAAAACGGATATGATTTTTTGCCGATTTTTTGTTACAAAATTATTTCATACAACTACTCTTTATAGTGACATTGCTTTTTACAATGCAGGACACCTGAAATAATTTGTAAATCTAGGAAATGGGTCAAAAGTGAATTTCGCGAAACAAAAATGGCGGCTTTTTTGAAAATGGGCGAGCTTTTGAACCAGGAGTCATAGGGGAGTTTTTTGTATTGATGTTGAACAAAAAGAACATGAAACGGGAATCCTATCGACAGACGTTTTAACGCAAATGGTCCAAAAGTGGATTTCGCGAGACAGATGGACAAATCAATGTTAACTAAAATGGCTGAAAAAAAAAAACAGATACAATTTTTTGCCGCTTTTTTTGTAACAAAATCATTTCATACAACTACTCTTTACATTGACATGTATTTTTACTATGCAGGACACCTGAAATTATTTGTAAAGCTAGGAAATGGGTCAAAGGTGAATTTTGCGTGACAAAAATGGCGGCCATTTTGAAAATAGGCGAACTTTGAACCAGGAGTCATAGGGGAGTTTTCTGTATTGATGTTGAACAGAAATAACTTAAAACGGGAATCCTGTCGACAGAGGTTTTAAAACGTGCCACTATTGTTGACGGAAAAGTGGATTTCGCGAGTCAGATGTTAACTAAAATGGCTGAAAAAAACGATATAATTTTTTGCCGATTTTTTGTTACAAAATTATTTCATACAACTACTCTTTACATTGATATGGATTTTTACAATGCAGGACACCTGAATTTATTTGTAAAGCTAGGAAATGGGTCAAAGGTGAATTTTGCGAGACAAAAATGGCGGCCATTTTGAAAATAGGCGAGCTTTTGAACCAGGAGTAATAGGGAGTTTTCTGTATTGATGTTGAACAGAAATAACTTAAAACGGGAATCCTATCGACAAAGGCTTCGACAAGATGGGGCTCCAAGCAATAGATCCCACAAGAGTGTTAAATGTTTAAAGGAAAATGTGCCTTGATTCATCCCCACTTAATCACTGCCTCAGATCACCCAATCTACCAACGTCTGCGACGAACTTACACATATGGGGAGAACTAACAGAATATGTTTACCATAAATCTTGTACATCTATTCAGTCCCTTAAGGCTGAGACTAACATAAAAAGGACAGAATTATTGAAAAGTGAATTTCATTGTCTCAACACCATATCAATGATGCTATTGACCAGTTTAGGCCAACATTGAGGGCTATAATTGATCATAATGGTGGACATATTGAACGTCTGTTTATGTAAATAAAGTTGACAAAAACCTGATTTTTGCAAGTTTTTGAATACCTGTTTTTAAACAAAATGATTTATATTATGGACGCTGGTTGACATTGTAATACATTTTGAACTTATGATATACCAAATTAAAGATGAGTAAATTTCGTCTCCACTACAATATGACGTTTTCATCAACAAAATCAATATTATTTTTGAAACACGAGTGTCCCATTTTTTGGACCACCCTGTATATACCAACTGCATACCTTTCCAACTGGGTGTCCATCATCGTCGACCAATGTCCTCTTGAACAATTTCTTTTTTGTATTGTAATCGAGGGAACCAAATGGAGATCTCTTGTTGTAATGCGATTTTGTTAAGTTACCTAAACCCCGCGGAAAAGGCGCAGGTTTTGCTTCATTGTTAACAACCTAAGACATAAAATAGCATCATGTTGACTAAAGTTACACAGGCGGATCCTGGATTTTGCGCTATAGGGGGCGCCAATATATCCCAAAAATGCGCGAGAATGAATATTGAGCGTACGCAATGGGATGCACCCGAAGATGTTGATAAATATTGCAATTTGGGGCAATTTGACCATTTTCCCACAATCAAAATATGAATGAATATCAGTCATAAAAAAGACTTCTTTTAATTTAAGTCAAGTTCTTATTCATTTTCTGGATAGATTTTACGAGAAATTCTAACACTATAAGAGTATTGTATTGGATTTTTTTGAAAATTTTTAGAGGGGGCGCGCGCACCCGGCGCCATCCCCTAGATCCGCTAGTGAGTTACGTTTAGCAGTAGAATGGATACAGTCAACAAACAAGTTGGAGACTTGACAATATGGTGGTGATACAATCATGCAAGAAAACACAAAGAAAATATGAAACCATCTCTATTTAGAGGGCTTTCAAGAGAAAGAAAGCCCATGGAGGATATAACAGCCTCATATATGTACTTATAATGATTAATGGCAATAAAATCTCTTGATAAAAAATAACAGCAGTATCCTATAAATATCTAAAGGGGCTTTCAGATGCCGTATTCTGCTATAACAATCAAAATCATCTATTTAAAAACATGCGCTTTTATTCAATATTTTATCATTTAACATCATGAGTACGATATGTTTAATGTATTATCTTAAAAGTATTTGAGTAACTCACCAATAACGTAAGGAAAAATACGCAGATAGCTACTGTCCTCATATTCAGCTTGCGTCTACCTAAAAGGAAAATAGAGTTGTGTTTGGCCCTCTCCTACTTTTATCGAGATATTTCATATAAACTCCAGGGACTAGCTATCAAAGTACACTTCCACTAAACCGACACTGATATAGCTTTACTTTTCGACTGAATTTCGAGAACACCCCTTTAGGCATTTGATCACTACATTGTGGGTTTTGATGACTGTTTGAACATGCTGACATATCCTTGAAATGTCACTGATCGATTCAAATCATAATTGTTTAAGGTTCAACTTACGTAAGAAACATGTTCAAATTGTGATTAATTCATCTAAAATATGGCAAAATTGATTTGCTACAATTTCAACTCCATATGGCCAAGGCCATATGTTTAAAGTCAATCTACTAAACACTTTGAAAGTCATTTGCTATTACGTAATTGGAAGATTCATCTAATTATAGTTTTTAGATTTTATTAGGAATCAAAGACCTCATTATGGAAATGCTCTTACATCAGGAGAATTCATTCTGTCATTAATGAATTATATGTTGGCCCAAGGTATGTAAAGCTAATTTAAAGCCGCTTTGCACGCCGCATTAAAGCGCCATCAAAGCGCCGTTGGTGTGAACTTAGCTTTAAGAAATCAATGGGGCCCATCCCTAGTTGGACTGATTTATATTAAACCTAGTTCACACCAACGGCGAATGCCACGCTTTAAATCGGCGAGCAAAGCGCCGTCATTTTTGTTTACTTTTCCCAAAATATCATTATCTCCTAAGTAATGTTACGCTCTGATAAGCTCTGATACGCTCTGATTTCGCGACTTGTTACGGTTACTCACGCTTAGATCCCGCTTCGACCAGGCTTTGCTACGCATGAAATCACGCTTTGATAAGCATCATTACGCTTTGATGCGATTATGACCCTTTAAATCAGGCTCTGATACGATTGCCAAGCTCTGTTGTGCATTGTTACGCTCTGTTAAGCTCTGTCACGCATTGGAAAATGTCGAGATTTCATGCCGCTTTTGATCCAATGACCATATAAAGATGCGGTATATCCATAAAACCATTGCATCTTTGACTCGAGAACACGATGGCCGAACAACAAGATCCTGAAATTCCAGATGGACCAGAGCATGACCTATCTGAAGAAGACATGATGTTTGTCGCACGGTGTGAAAGAGCGTGAGGAAGCTCGTCAAGCTTAACAAAGCATAACAAAGCGTTTCAATCCTTAATTAAAGCGTCTCAATTCGTAATAGTAATGCTTGGCCACTTCTAATTCTTCATGTACTCATTCTACGTTCATAATGAAAGCGCTTACGAGTAAATGGTCAATTATTTCATTCCTAATTGTGAACATATAATATATTTATTCCTTATTCAAAAAAGGATGTGGTTTAACTGTGAAATTGTCTTAGTTGCTGTACTTAGCATCTAAAAAATAAATACTGATGTTTTGTTTCAGCATGATAACATTTATTTATCAAATTCATGATAAAGGAATCATTTACCTTGATACAATGTAACATTTGATGTGACATTTTTAGAGATATTATGCCCCATATTATACTGGAACAGAATGGACTTCTTAAACAGTCTATCATAGATAGATCTTGAAAGATATTTTGAAGAAAAATTCAACCACTCAACTATTAGTTGTAGGCTTTGTTACATCATTCATTGATTGCTTTTTCATCTGTCCATTACAGCATAGCCTATAGTGTTTGGGATCTATTAAACATGTTAAAAGCGTTAAAAGTCCTCGTTTATACAGCTACTAGATGACATTGAGAATCGCCATAACTGCTGAGTGACCATTAACTGAGCTACAGGCATTATGGTCTCCTGTAGAAACTATGGAGTGCGAATTTGTGCAGCTATAAAGATGATTCAGCTGTAGTACACTCTCTAGTCGGGAATGTTAAGTCACTGTTCAGCTATCTATACACCTAATGGCCCATTTGAGCTAGCACCCAAGTTCTGTTGAAAATATCAGGACTCCTTTTATTTTTCTGGTTCTTGAAGTAGCTTTTCTCAATAATTAACTGATTTACAGTCACCTGGAATAAAATTAAAAATTCATAGTTGTGATTTTTAAAAATAATCGCACAGGCAACATTTAGTGGAATAATTATTCAAATAAATTGAATAAATATATCTCATGAATTAAGGCGGTCAGACAAGTTGGTGTGGCAGTTGATTTTTCAAGGAAATAGGTTAAATGAGGTGTATCAGCAAGCCGTGAGTTTTACATGATATAGGTAAGACGAGGTTCGCAGCCAATAATCCTCAACCATTAGAGGTCAAATGAGAAATATCAGCTGCCCATGATTTTCCCAAAATATAGGTCAAATCTTAAAATCGTTAAGCTGATACAAGCACTAAAAGTAATCATGTATTCCTCTTCTCTTAACATATACTAACTAAAACCGAATCTTTTTAAATATTCAATACTTTCCATAATAAAAACCAAAACTGTTTAATGGACTACATACTTAAGAATTCAGAGACAGGATCAGATCCTTCATCATTGCGCAGAGATCCTGTAATGTCTTCATTTTCTATGAGAGGCAGTAACAACTGGACAAACTCTTGAGTATAAGGAGGAGCTATAACATCTAATATCTGCATAAGAAAACACGAACAGTTATAAATACCCTCTGTATCAAAAGTCTTTTCCTATTGAGAAACCCTTAAATAACTTTTGTATAAGGCAAGTAAACTTAATGAAACTTTCCACGCATAATTTGAGGCATATAATACACCCTCTGTGAAAGTTTGGAGACAATTGATTGATTTTTACTCAAAATATCACACATAGAACATAGCATATACCAAAAACACCGATGTGACTTTTTCCAAGTTTGTGACGTCAAACTTACCTAAGATTGCCAAACTGACCAAAGTCAGGCTGCTCTGCAAAACTAAGTGGACAAAGGTAATTATATATAATATGCTAATAATGAGCAATCAGAATATGTTATAGACTTTACAAATGATCCTGTTCATGAGAGTTGTATATTTCATAAAATAAAGGTGTCACTGAAAGCTGTATAATAACAATGCAAAAGTCCTTACACTTGGGTCTTAGAACAGTATTGCCCAACTGTTCATTGTTATGCCATATTTCCTTAATATTTACCCCTTTCCTGCCCAATGAAATCAATAAGTATGATTTTGTGACTAATGTGTCAATATGATTTTCTCAGGGGTTTATCTTCTAAATATTCTTGATGTACTTTTGGTATTTAATTCAAAAGAATCTAATCATATTTCCATTTTATTGCAATAATTCTGAATCATAATGCACCGAACATTGATATATTAAGGATAGCAGTGCTTATTGTGACAACATATTTCTGAATTCCTCAAATAATTTTGGTCAGGAAAGGGTTAAGTGGAGTACAGCATGGTCCAGGACTGTTAGTAAAATGAATGAGGACATTCAGAGTACATTTTTTGTATATTTAATAACACATTCTGCTCATAATTAGCATTTTATATATAAAGACTTTTGTCATTTTGTCTGCATACTTTTACAGAGCAACCTGATTTTGGTCAGTTTGGCAATCTTAGGAAAGTTTGGCGTCACAAACTTGGAAAAAGTCACATTGGTGTTTTTGGTATATGCTATGTTCTATATGTGATACTTTGAGTAAAAATCATTCAATTGTCTCCAAATTTTCACAGAGGGTGTATTATATGCCTCAAATTATGCATGGAAAGTTTCATTAAGTTTACTTGCCTTATACAAAAGTTATTTAAGGGTTTTCTCAATAGGAAAAGTCCTTTGATACAGAGGGTACATAATTTACATTTAATGAGCAAGTTGATGTATAAAGTATAGGCCTCCAAAACAAATCTGCAATGGTTTTAATTGTGGGGATCCTATTGTTCTCACTAAGGTACAAGTTACAAAAATCAGAAGTTAGTTATTTCACACAAGCAATATATGCTCCATGTTATAGCATGGCAACAATGATATAATGAGTGTTCGACCCAATGCCATATTTTGTGTACATAAATAAATAGTTTATATTGATTCATTGAAGTATACTCAGTTATAGGATTTATTGTGCATTTTGATTACACATTGCGGCATTATTAACAAAATATTAACAAAGAGTAGCTTATCCCACTATCACTTTGAACAAATCATGACAGAATGAACCAGTGTCTACTTGCGACAAAAACATCTAGCGTGGGCACATGATATTCAAGCAATAGACTTGCAGCTATCTAATGCAGCTATCTAACGCAGCTATCTAATGCAACTATCTAATGCAGCTATCTAATGCAGCTATCTAATGCAGCTATCTAATGCAGCTATCTAATGCAGCTATCTAATGCAGCTATCTAATGCAGCTATCTAATGCAGCTATCTAATGCAGCTCTTATTCCAATGAACCTACCTCGGTCACAAAATGCCGAATCAATGAAACATCAGTGTCTTGTTTTTCCCAGCATGCTTTGATATATGAGACGACAGGGAAGACGCAACCACGACTAAACAGATGTACCATTCTATCCAGCAATGTCTTTTTCAACTCCAACTGTGAAAAAAACGTTTAAGGATAAATGTATATTGGTGGTAATTTGTTCTAATTATACTTGTATATTAAATTTTCATAACTGGAAATGATGAAAATTCAATATGATGGTTCTGGATAAAACAGTATGGTTCCATGTAAAAATATATTGTTCAAAGACAAAAAATTGAATTATTTTCAAATACTTGTGGCCTCAGAAAACAAAACATTTTCATTTCCATATGATGAACCATGTAATGGAGTCAGAATGAGTCTCAAGGCGTGCGTTCAGAGGGATCTTATGGGACATAATTTTTCATGTTGCTAGTATGATTTTATGTATATAATGAAATATAATATAATGTATATAATACACTGTAACTGTATTATGTCTGTAACTGGAAACAAAAATGAATAAAAAAATTCATTTAATGGAAGTAGATGAATAGAAAACGATTTTCAATTTCACAATTATACAATATTACTCTTTGTCATGCCTTTTTCTAAAATATCCAGAAAATAAAATTGGAACAGTAAGGAAAACACTGGTATAATTTTTGAAAAGATTTCAATATTTTACACTCTCTATCCCTCCCACTTAGTTTAACCTGTATCAGTGGAATACTTACTCTGACTAACACATCTAGTTCTTCATATGCTCCTTCGAATAATCGTATCAAAAGTTCCAGAACTTTTTGGTGCATTATAGTATGGCAGGTACAGATCTACAATTATATTATACATATCACTATAATAATCTCACTGATATTAAACATAGCACTTTTGGTAATTCAATTTAAAATTCGATGTGGTATTTATCAACCCAACATTCATTTGAAAAATAAAAGACAATTTTGTAAAAGATATTTGTAAGTTTTGCAATTCACTTGTACATTAAAAACTTAATAAATTGTGATAGTATTAAAATAATTTAGATATTACGAATCCCAAAGATTTCTTATGCTACTTTAACATATACATGCTAATTGTTATTAATACAATATTTGGGTCTGGGATAGTTAAAATGAAAAATACAGAATCTAAATACCTCATCCAGTAGAACCAGATGTAAAGGTGTGTGGTCTGTTTGGAGGTTAAAATAGCTAGGCTCCGAGACAATGTAGTCAATCCAGCGTAAAACACCCATAGCAACCACTGGAAATCTGCAAACAAGAAACAAACACAATCATAGCAACTGCATAAAATTGGCAATGGTTCCCATAGAAACCTCTAACAATCACAGGAGGCGATGATTAGATTGAGATAATCAAAGGAAAATACTCAATCTTCGAGAATGCCAAAAATACAAAATTGTACATTCAAATAATTTCATTGAATAAAACACAAATTAGGTGACATAATAATTCACTATTCATATTCATGATTCTGAGCACTTCTGATATTTTGTTATTTTGCAATTTTACTTATTACTCTATTTTTGAGCGTGTCTATAACATAATTCATGGATTAGATGGCATTGCCCTTTATATAAGGTTTCCATAACATGGTTGAAATCTTACTTTATGACACTAAACAATATGCTAACATCTGCTACAAGTTCTGATGATCCTTTATTTTCACTGCACAATCTGTTTGCTTTTTCTATTGCATTCTGGGTACTTTTTAATTCATCTTTATTCACATGCCTTCGGGTACCCTAAAATAGAAGTCATTTATTTTGAAAAATGCAAACAAGGATAATCTTATGCCATTATGTTAATGACATTACATTATGTACAATACATTTCATTATGTACAATACATTTCATTATGTACAATACATTTCATTATGCACAATACATTTCATTATATACAATAGACTAGAGATGAAAGCATGACATAAGAACACCAAGGATTGAATAAGTCAGGAGCAATGAATGAAAAAACATGTCAGTGTCATGTCAGCATTTGAGCAAGGCATTTTTGTGTTTTCTGAGCACTTAGTAGTGCCTTGACTTGAAATTTTATAAAAATGTAATTTTTGTGTTAAATACACAGGCAAATTACATCGGACCTCGTACAAGCCCATACAAGGCTTGTTGAGTCAACAGGCCCTGTACAACCTTATACGGGACTTGTTACAAGTCTCGTAATTGGTTGTAATTGTCGAGCCTTGTAAGAGCTTGTAATTACAAGGCCTGTAATAGCATGTAATTTTCGACCCCCGTAATTGACCGCACGGTGCCCATAACGAGCCCCGTAATAAATCGTAATTTAAATTATTAAACATATATAACATGTTATAGTTCGATACGTGAATCATGTAGCATGACAATAAATATTTTTTTATGCTGTAAAAGAGTCTGATAACGGGCCTCGTATGAGCTTGTACGGGCCTCGAAATTACAAGCCTCGTACATGCTCATACAGTCCTCGAAAACAACAATTACGAACATCGTAGGAGCTTGTCATATGAGGATCATGCTCCCTTTTGCCTGTAATGACTCGTAATTCTCGAGGCTCGTACGGGGCCCGATGTAATTTGCATGTGTAGAATTTAAGAAAAATTACACACTAAACCAAAGACTAATGATAATGAATTCAATGCAACTTTAATAACAAACACTTAACTTTAAGTAAAATTAACCCTAACTAAAAAAAACGAAGAATGTCTCATAAACATGTTAACTATTTCTTGTCACCTGCTCATCACTTGTGTCACTCTCACTGTCTGTCTCACTGTCAGACATCATCTCACACTGAGTCATTAAACAATGAGTACACAGTACACATAGGAGTACACAGTACACATAGGAGTACACAGTACACATACGAGTACACAGTACACATAGGAGTACACAGTACACATAGGAATACACATTACACAATGCAGTCTAATGACTAGTTCAAAGAAGCAATGTGTGATTTTTTATCTTTTTGACATTCATTTCATGTGCTACATATAATGCTTGCAAATTCCTTTTTATTTTGTAATTATCATAGTAAATGTCTGTATGAGTATGTACTATTTTTATTTTATATAAATGTAAATACATGTATAATATATCATGATATAGGATGTATAGTAAATATTGCTGTCTTGGAAACATTTGTAATCATGACTTTTTATAATTATTACAACTTTCAATGTTCCAATGTAACAAGACAAGGAAAGAAACAAGATATAGGATAGGACTCTACCTTTTTATATGTTTCAAATACACAGGCAGCATATGCTAATATGAATATGTACTTCTGTTTGTGGTCTGGGTTCAGCTTTGACCCTGGCTTAAATAAGCATTCTGTAAACATTTCTGTAAAGAAAAGTACATGTAATGTTAACCCAATTATTGCAAAGCTCTTTGTATTTTTTATCATTTTCAGAGGCCAAAATATGGGTTTATTCTGTACATGTGGATAAAGTATATGCGTATATGGTGTATATTTTTCATGATTATAATAGCCAATAATGTGTCACATTTAAACATTATAGTGGAATACTTAGTCCAAAATCAAAATATTTCATTTAAATGTTAAAATGACATTGCTTAAAGATTTTATTTTCAGCTTTTTTGTGTCAGTGTAAAACTGCCTTATAAACACAACAAAACTTGAATCTCCTGTATTAAGGAATTCATGACTCACCTAAAAATTGCGGAGATCTCAGTAATTCTACAGGGGGTGGGTCATGGCTAATATAGATTTTGTATAACTGGAAAAACATAAAATCTCACTTTATCTAAGAATGAGATGACAGAAATAAAACATAAGTGGATGCAAGTCAGGATATTTTCAAAATATTAGTATCAATAACTTTAACCAATACATGCACATTAGAGATACATGTGAAGTGATTGTATAATATGACCTTAATATCAAAATATGCAATATTGAAATCACATAATTAAATACTGTGATGTCAAAATACTTACAACTGTGATGTCAGCGGGATTAAGTGCATTCCTTGAGAGCATTGAAGAGAGGGCTTGGCAAGCCCTTGGGTACCTAGCAGCCCCACACAGAGCCATTGTGATGGGGGTCACATCTAGACCTCTGAAATAGCAGCAAATACATACATTTTAGTAGGACAGCAAGTATCAGTATTAATAGCTATATACTCAAATCCCTGATTCTTATGCGTTAAATACTGTAAATACTGTAAATGATATTTTCTCAAACAGCGGAATTTAATGCCCATGAAACATTTTAGATTGACAAAATAGTGAAACTTTTCGTCAGCGAAAATTTGGACTTTTACAGTATACTGATGACATTTATCTCGAGTTATCTCTATATTTCATATAAACCTATTATTTGCTACTTGGCCTTACTTTTCTTTGGCACTTTTCTGTAGTTCCTGACAGAGTCTTCTGATATTTGAGCCTCCCTTGGTCTCCTGGGACAATATCTGCATGACTACTTGACTGTAAAGGTAGGTGTGTTCACCATGGCACACCATTTTCTGAAAGATGTGTCATAATATGAGGTTTTAATACTATTATTTGACCATTATGTAAAGGTAGGTGTGCTCACCATGGCACGCCATTTTCTGAAATATGTGTCATAATATGAGGTTTTAACACTATTATTTGACCATTATGTAAAGGTAGGTGTGCTCACCATGGCACGCCATTTTCTGAAATATGTGTCATAATATGAGGTTTTAACACTATTATTTGACCATTATGTAAAGGTAGGTGTGCTCACCATGGCACGCCATTTTCTGAAATATGTGTCATAATATGAGGTTTTAATACTATTATTTGACCATTATGTAAAGGTAGGTGTGCTCACCATGGCACGCCATTTTCTGAAATATGTGTCATAATATGAGGTTTTAACACTATTATTTGACCATTATGTACAGGGAGGTGTGTTCACCATGGCACACCATTTTCTGAAATATGTGTCATAATAGGAGTTTTTACACTATATTATTTAACATTCCGAGATTGAAATTTTCATTTCCCGAAATGTATGAGAACAACAAGGCATTTTACATGCAAAATGTTACCACCTGCCATTTTTTACAGATGTCAGATGCCGAACACAAAAATTGTAGACTATTACAATTGGTGACATGACAAAGATCAGTCCAAAACACCCATGATTTCCTATTCATGCTAACATAGTCCATAAGCATTCAACAATATGATCACATTCAATTTCTAAATGAAAGCAAAAACATACTGTAAATTCTCCAAAGTTTTTCTCAATGGCCTCCTCCCCTCCATCAAGGAAGTTTGTGATGGATGTTCGTAAGACCCGGCTGAAAACTTCTATCTGGTGACATGCGGTAGAGACACTACTGATTTCTCCCTGATAACCCGCGTCTGAGATCAACTAGAATGAAATTAGATAACATAATACAAAATATTTTTTTATGACGCTCGATGAAAACAAAATATACAATACATGGATAAAAGCATACCAATTACAATGAGGAATCAATAACATTGTTTTCATGTGATTGTAGAAAAAATGGAATCATTAATAAAAGTAACATACGTCAAATATATATAGAGATCATCTTACAAAATAGCCATTTGCCCTATACATACCTTTATTGTAAAGTTCAACATAAGACAGTCTGGATATTCCTCGGCTAGTTTATAAAATAAGGACCTCCAGGTTGGGTACTCAATCATCTCAGCAAGCCAGCTTGGAGTCTGGAATTGAATAAAATGCATTTTAAAAATGTCAAAATGTCTGTTATCGAATAATGAAAGCAATCTGAGTTTACTCAATGATGATGAAAGGCTGACACAGAAAGGCAGCCATAGATCACAAAGTTATAATAAAGCTTTTGCTTCAATTAAAAGATGTCACCCACAGAGCATTTCATAAAAATTTATCATTGCCAAGATATAGTGAAGATTTTGCTTCTTTCAAAAGATTTCAATTCCTGCTCAAAGTGTATTTTCTAAAAGATAATTACCACATCAAAGAGGTAAGATGGGCAAAGTGTGGAAAGTATTGGACACATAAAACCTGCACAATTAATTGATCAGGCACATCAACCCCCGCATCAACCCAAGTTAAATACCAACTTCTTCCTCATCTGTGAAATGAAATACTTACCTCTCCTTCATCTGTAAAAATGGAATCAGCCTTCTTTGGGTCAAAATGTTTGAGTATCATTGTCTTTAAATGATCTTCTACCATCTCCTGGACCTCCTTAATATCAACTCCTGTAAAAATGAGCTCAAATGAGGGAAATAAGTTGATGCCAAAAAGGGGAAATTATTAAAAATACAGTTGAAATCCTGGGCTTATACTTATATATTTATCTTGGAAAAAATGTTGAAAAGTACAATTAACATCAAATCCAACTCCAACGACTTGATAAAACTGTCATAGCACGTGTATTCATTATTCTTTGAATAAATGCTATTATCGGCACTACTTACTTACTCAACTGACTCATATATGAAAGCTACTTCAATCATAATACATCATAAATGAGACTACTGTAATAAGTACTAACACATTATATGTGAGATACTCCACTGACACACCATATAATGATACATCATATACGAGACTTATTAGTACTAACACATTATATATGAGATACTCCACTGACACATCATATATGAGACTTATTAGTACTAACACATTATATATGAGATACTCCACTGACACATCATATAATGATACATCATATACGAGACTTATTAGTACTAACACATTATATATGAGATACTCCACTGACACATCATATATGAGACTTATTAGTACTTACACATTATATATGAGATACTCCACTGACACATCATATAATGATACATCATATACGAGACTTATTAGTACTAACACATTATATATGAGATACTCCACTGACACATCATATAATGATATATCATATACGAGACTTATTAGTACTAACACATTATATATGAGATACTCCACTGACACATCATATATGAGACTTATTAGAACTAACACATTATATATGAGATACTCCACTGACACATCATATAATGATACATCATATACGAGACTTATTAGTACTAACACATTATATATGAGATACTCCACTGACACATCATATATGAGACTTATTAGTACTAACACATTATATATGAGATACTCCACTGACACATCATATAATGATACATCATATATGAGACTTATTAGTAGTAACACATTATATGTGAGATACTCCACTGACACATCATATGATACCTACTTGTGAGTATCAACCACTCTGCAAGTTGGTTAGCAGTCTGTGCTACGGCTGTATAGTTGTCAGAGAGGAGCTCAACAACTTTCTCTGGGACACCACCATACTTGAAGTACCTACAACACATTCATGAACTATGTGGTGCTGACTTAAAACTCAGCACTAACTTAATAATCTATTTTGTTTGGCGGGTGTTAGGTTCAAGGTTGTTTCTTTTACTATGAGTGTGGAAACCATTTAAACAAATAATTTCAAAGTCAGTGTTCCTCAATAAACATATATTTGGTGTTTTTTAATTAATGAAATGGGTTGCATTATGCAATGTGAAACATTTGAGCCCTAATTTACTTACTATTTTCAATACAAAGTATAAACACTTGGTACTTTTGAAATTCAAAGCACAAAAAGTTTATCAAGTCAGTATGTCAATTCCATATTTCAAATACAGACACTGTCCTACCGTGATAAATAGATTTTAAACCAGAATTTCCCACGAAGCAAACATTTAATCTGTAGGTGCCTTACCTCTGTAGTTGTGCAAATACATCAGGCTCCATGATAAAGTCAGGGGAGGAGAAACTGATGATACATTCCTGCTGAATCATAGCATTATTTTCCTCCTCTTGTTCCCCATTCTGAAGCAGATATACCAAATAGTACATCAGTTTATTAAAGGAACATTGCGATTTGTAGAGGATAAAATGGATAAAATTTGAGAAATTATTGGCATACATATTAAGCCTATTTAAAACAGCATTTATATTATTCAAAAACGTTGATTATCAATGATTCCCAGCCCTCTGAAGTTTGAATAATTAAAATACCTGGGTGTTAATCCATAGTGTATTGGTGTTCTTTGGATGAAAACATAAGTGAATTGCATGAAAAAACTCCCCCAATTCATTCGACAAATAACTCCCCCTCCTTTATGAGTCGAGTAAATGGTGATAATGTTCTTTTTATGAAGTGGGGAAGTCAAAACAGTACTAATGGAATGCATAGTACCCATTCCAAGATCATTTAGAAGCATTTAAAATTGAATCCATGGCAAAATTGAAATAACTGAAACCTTTATGACTCTTCTTCTTTGCCTTCTACATATGGTATGTATATTTGTGTTGATTGTTAAATTACAAAATCGGTAAGGTAACGAATATGTCAAAGTCACTGGCGGATCTGGGGGGGGGGGGCCTGGGGGCCCGGGCCACCCCCCCCATTGGGTGGGCCCAGAAAAAAAAATTGGGACCTTGAAAAATTTTGGGCAAAAAAGGCCTTAAAGTCCCAAAAAGTGGGCCTTTTTGGTCATTACTTGGCCTTGTAAGGCCTTATTTTTTAATTTCAGGCCAAATTTTGAAGAAAATGGGCCTCAAGATTTCAAAATTTGGGCCCACTTTTCGGTTTTAGGGGCCCAAATTTTTTTTCTCTGATCAGAAATTTGGGCCCCCCCCCCTTGTTGGTTCCTGGATCCGCCCCTGAAAGTAGTTTGATCTTGTCCCAAAAGCAATATTCTGTCATTTCCATGACCATGGGCTTTCAATTAGCTAGTTGAAACCCCATGCCGTGAACTAGAATTTCTTTAAGGTTCAGCTGGAAAGTAACATTTTGGTAAAAAATTGCTATACCTGCACATGTTATTTTCTGGTACAAAATTAAGTATGAAGGCATGTGTGTATTCCCTTGCTTTTTTCAGCAAAGTATCATTACACTGTCTACTTTTAGTAAACCTGGAAACAGGTCAATGGTAGCTCCTGTGTTGTCTGGAAACTTTGAAAGAAAATTTGGAAAAATAGAAAGTGTGAAATATCAGAATTTCCTGGAGTTCCCATTGAACTCCTACTAGATATTCTCAAAGGAGACAATGTAATGATACTTTCCTGAAAAAAGCGAGGCAATTGACACATGTCTTCATACTTTATTTTGTACCAGAAAATAACATGTGCTGGTATAGCAATTTTTTACCAAAATGTTACTTTTCCGCTGTACCTTAAGTATAAGATATCCTGTGATTCTGAGTGATATTATTTTCATCCACGAGTTGATATCAATATCTGGACGAGTGAGACAGTGAATAAGTACAGATATTGATATCAATGAGTGGATTAAAATGATATCACGAAAATTCAAAGGATGTTCTATTTATCCCATAGTTTACCAATAAAACTAAACCCATAAACCAAGCATGTCAAAATAACATTCATTTAATCATCCCGTGACATCATGAAGCCACCAAGTAACAACACACGACACATTGGAGGGGGTTTTGAAATCCGTGGAAAAAGTGATATCTTTATCTTCGGATTCTCTGTATCCCAAAGATAGATCTATCACTTTTTCCATGAATTTGAAAAATATCATAAATGCGATATCATACAGATTTGACTTCAAATATGGCATAAGACCTAATATGCAATGTACAGCTAAGACTATCATTGAAGTTAATAACGTGTATTTTTAAATTGACAGAAACTCATAATTTTCAAACATTGGCTTGATTATTATTTTTACAAAGTAGTCTAGCTAACAACTTACCCATCCTTCATCATCTGACATATTTTCTTGGTCATAATCATAATCCGCCATCTTGCTGTATTCCTAACAGTATACAAATCTGCGATGTTATGATATTATCGGCCAAAACATGAGAAAATAAATCAAATTCAAAAAATTTTGAATTTTATGGGCGCTGACATTTTGTTTAGGGAGCATGGAGACTTTTATTTTCTTCAATGAATTTAGTCCTTATCTTAGGATTATTGACCTAATATAATAGTTTTATTTGGAACTAATGATAGAGTTGATATTGCATATGGCCAGAAACCTAAGATATATGTGTAACTTTACAGCAAAACTAGTGAAATAAAGTTGCATTAAAATTACTATGTGGTGTGTCATATTTTGTGACGTCATATGCAGGTGCTTGTTCTAGCACAAAAATCATAAAGATGTCAAACACGCCGTTCTAACTGGATATTTACAGCAGATCTAAGGATACACTTTCGTCTGAATCTTCTCTGTAGTGCCATGGAGACAGGTATTTCACTATTTTTGATCTAAGTCAAATGTAAGCTGCAAAATATTTGAATTAAGTTTGACCTACTTTTGACTGCAGAGCTGCAAACAAGACCCGAGAAAGATCAATGTGAATTGAGCTTCATTTTCTCAAATTCTAGTCTAATTATCAAAAAACCTATATCCCCATTTTCAGGACTCTGCTCTATTTTATCTTAATACTAATTCTAATCTTTCTTGACTCTTATCTATTATTTGACTTCCATACCTTTCTCGATGAGCAGCTCACCCATAATTTATCTGTGTCGACTTAATTGTGGACAAGTAAGCCAATGTTTTTATATCATGTTTCTTTTTTGATAATTTGGATATTTAAAAAAAAATTTACATTGAGACCTAATGTTGAAAAAATCGAAAATAACAAATATCCAAATGTGAATAATGACATTAGGTCACGTTCACTCAGACAAGCAGACACAACATCATTGGTCATTTGGGCGCATTAAAATCTTATTTTGCATTGAAATCACTCAGGTTTTTTTTTATAGATAAATCGATATTGTGGCATATTTACTGAACCTAAAATAAGAAGATAGGGCAATGTTTACTTCCTGCGAAAGCTATTTGGATTTTGATATAATAGCTTTCCCACGGAGCATTTGGACAGCTCAATGATCGTGACCTTTGAAATCGAATTAAGTCGATCCGCGGCTTACTTTTGGTCTCTAACTGTGTCTTACATCAGTATCATCAATCCGTGTAAGTATTGGAGCGCTGGAGTACTTCTTTTTCGATCAAGACTTGTAATTGTTAGTCGAGTGAATCGTTTTACTGCCAAATTCCAATATGGCGGTTTCTGCTCGGACATTTTCGTAAATCTCCGGAGGTTGTCCGAACCTAATTAATTCTCAAAATTCATTTCGTTCGTTGCGTATCTCGCACCTAGCAAACCGCCATATTGGAAATAGGTCTGTAAAACTTTAACTCGATGAACAATTTACAAGTCTTGATCGAAAAAGAAGTACTCTAGCGCTCCAATACTTACACGGATTGATGATACTGATGTAAGACACAGTTAGAGACCAAAAGTAAGCCGCGGATCGACTTAATTCAATTTCAAAGGTCACTATTGATCAGCTGTTCACTTCTCCGTTTGAGAGCCATAAGTTTCAAAATCTAACATGGCTCTCGAAGTGAGTAAGGCAATGTCAAATGAACTACTTTTCAAAATTGCAAAAAAATCTTAATGGACACACTTACTTTAAAAAGAGCCAAAAGAATCTGAATTAAAATTTGCCATTTTCTGGACTGATTATGGGATTCTCCTAAATATTCCAAATTATGTCAAATTATAATTTCTAATTACTGTATATTAATTAGAGAGCCACAAACTTTTATTCAATTATCATTAAACTTTTCATATCTGAGGAGTGAAGGCCTTTGCATAAAAAAATCATTAAGTTAGAAAATATAGATTCATTTATTTGTTTTCATTTTCTAGAAAAGAATTCTGTGCCAGCTGGTGGTGTCAAGGTTGTAGAAAATGACAAGCCAAACAGTCCCGAGCAACCGCCTACAAAAGCCAGAGAAACAAGAAGCACTAAAAGCCCTAGTAAGCAAAGTAGCAAAAGTCCTAGTCTTCAGCGTAAAAGTCCTAGCCCAGCACCGAAAAAACCCACGCCAAAAAAAGAATCCATCACCAAAGAAGAGCCACCAGTCCCTGTATTGACTAAAGAAGTTCCAGATCAAAAACCAAATAATGTTGAAAAAATGGACGTTATCCCACCTGACGAAAATAATGGTGACATGTCGAATGATCATTCTGAGATGCCAGATATAAAGGAGACAGCCATTGAGCCTCCACAAAAGGCAAAGAGAGGTCGCAGGGGCAAAAGAAAAAGAACACTTTCAAAACCAAAACTACAGCCCATGACCCTTGGTGACCCATTAGTCGGCCAGGAGGCAGGAGAGGCCCCCATTCTAAAACCCAAGAAAGAAAGAAAACCAAGGGTAACTATATCTACAATATAGTTGATTAGTGTTAAGATTTCGCTCGTTTAAGCTAAAATTTATTGGTCATGTTCAGCAAAATTTTATGAAGGCAAATCATATCAAATGTAACTATGGACAATCTTAATTTAGAGTTGAACTTCAAGCATCTTATGATTCACTCAATAGGAACAAGCAAACTTTTAAAGTAGAGGTATCACAGGACAGATATGTTTGAAATGGTTCATAGTATGAAAGAGTTCAGGAAGATAGCAATTTCGATTCTTGTATTAACAAGCATGCAGTCAAGAAATTTTTCTCTTCAGCAAAAGAGATCTGCTCCTGCTGATGTTGAACCAAGAGTGACCCCTAAGCGTCAGAGGAGACAGTTCGAACCATTTCAAGCCATCCCTGCTCCAGAGATAAAGAGAGTACGCTCGTACCATGAATCATCTGACACAGAGGAGGAAGAAAAGGTCATGGTCGCTAAAAGAGGGACTTTCCTAGCTGTCAGGAATGAAGAAGGTAAGAGACATCTCATTTCAGAAATAACATCTCCAAGAAGGAGTTGATCTGCTTTATACTATCCTATAAATACTCTCTGGTTGTTTCATTTGATTACAGCTCTAAAGCTGAATTTAATAACTATCTCCACTATTTTGGATGGATTTACAGCTATGATGCTGCCAATAAGCTTCAATTGCTTTTAGGAAAGTCTGAAATTGAAACTGATTGAGCTACTTAATACTTAGTAGGGCAACATTGAAAATGTCATTATTTTGAATAATGAGAGCAAAAAAATATTTTACTCAGAAAATTCTCAATGAGTCTATCCCTTCTACTCCTTTTGAAGGCAGAAATCTAAAGTTATTTTAATTTTCTGACAATATATTCTATTCTAATTGGAACATGCAAAAAATAAAGACAATGTCAAGGTCTTCCTATTGTTGAGAAATGTTTGATTATATTCATATTTATGTGCATCATGTAGAAATACTCAACAGATGTCTCATTTGTCTCTCATGTATTATATTTTAGGCACATTTTACCTGTGTCAGACTCAACAGGATGTGTACATCAACAAGAAACCTTTCCGTATTCAGTGGTTGGATAATACAGAGACAGGGGACTCAAACATATACAAGAAAGAGTCATTTGATACAACGCAGTTGCATTGTGTTATTACAAAGGTACATAACGGGACTCCTAATATTAGAATCTCTAGGGCAGCACATCCAAGCTCAGCTCTAAATCATTCCATATTAGCTTCCAAAAATTCAATGTACCCTTGAAAATTGAAATGAAATGTACACTAATGGAGCCTCGAAGAAAGACTCGAATTTGACTCGAAAAACTTTAAACCTGAGTATCATGTTCTAAATAGGTGGTTGTCGAGAAAATTGGCAAGGAGGAATACAGACTCCCAAAAGCTGAGGTGAACAGGACCACAGATCTACTCAACAAGGCTAAGAGTGGAGTGAAATTGACCAAGCTAACTGGGGGCTCTGTACAACAAAAAGGTACCATTCCTGCTACATTTTGTTCGTTATGCAGTAGATTGAATATGGTTGTACATATAATTATATACACATAATATGTACATATTTTCAATCCATCTCATTTTCGTTATTTATCTTACTTTTTTTCTACACATAAAGAGCCCATGGAATTTGGCTTTATTCCTTATATGGACTCTTTTAAAATGGTCTTAGGAAGGTATTTTGAATAAATGAATAAAACTGATTATAATTGTTTATAATATTTACCCAGATGGACTTGAAGACTCCCCCTCCCCCAAGAAAGTGAAAGATAGTCATAGCAACAATGTTGGCAACACCAGGCCTAAGAGGAAGGTACAGAGAGGCACACTAGTGGTCAGGAAAGATAAGAAATCTGATAAACAAAAAGGAAAAGGTGATTGAACCATTTATATAATATAATATGAAATGTTAAATAATATATCTTATAATATAATATAAAATGTTAAATAATATATCTTATAATATAATATAAAATGTTAAATAATATATTTCAGGAATTTATAGAGTTGGATGGTTTTGCTTTTTTCCCTAGTTTACATCATTTTGTCATTAGGATAGCAAGAAAACTATTCATCTGGTTAACTTTTAATTTTTTAATTAGATTTACATTTTTATGAAAACTGTAGGTGCAAAAATGGTCACTGTCATTGAAAACCCTTTTTCAGATAAGAAGGGCCCAACTAAAGCTGTAAAGAAAAGTGTGCCAAAGAAGATGGCGCTAGTGAGACAGAACAGTAGTAAGGTGGCGATTGCCAAAACAAAACTAAAGAGGGCACTGACAGTCACTAGGACGGGGTCGGGAAGTGGGGAAGGACTGAAAGCAGGTCAGTTGAAAATTCTGTATGATTAATTTGAAACATAGAATAAAATGTTATGTTATGCTGGAATGAGAAAGTCACTTCACTTGGTGGGAAACAAAATCACAACTTCTTGATTACATGTTCATTGTTGAGTGCTCTAATAATAATCATAGTACCATAATTTTGAAGATCTATTATATTAACATATCCTAGAGTAATGACCTCTCATTTTGAACTTTGGTATCAGGTTAAGCTTATTTCTACCATGATTTTTAACCCACTTGATAAAATATTCTGATGTGAATTTTAAAAAAATGTTGCAGCCTACATTTATCTCCAATTCTTAATGACAAACTGTTTCAGCATTACAAAAAGCAAGGAAGATCAAACAACAGGCACAGAAGGCTAAAGGTCCCCTGGATCCAAACAGAATGCTAAAACCAAACAACAACATTAAAGTACTGGACAAAGATCTCTTGTATGAAACTAGGTATGTTCTTTGGAAATTATGCTTTTGTGCCTCTCAGATTTTTGAATTAGAGTGACATGCAGAAAGAGAAACCTTTGGAAAAATATTGATGTCAATTACACAGCGATATGTATATGTAATGAAAATGAAAACACTTATGTGTCATTTTGCCATTGAGCTAACTTAGCCGTTTACATAGCAATACTAGTATACAGTATTTTGTTTTAATTTGTTAAAAACTGTATGAATTGCTCTATTTGAGATTGCTTTAAATACATCTTGTTTAAAATAAAATTGTTATGTTTATTTTCTGTTGCAGACAACCCCTTCCATTTATCTCCAGTAGCGCCCAGTCTCGACTCTGTATAAGAGCGGCCATCTTGAATGACAAGAAGATGTTACAGGAAATGATTGACAATAGGAAGCAAGTTTACTCTGTAAGTTAAATGAATAATAGTAATTCTAGTTGAACATCAAGATAGACTAGCAAATCTATAGTTCAATGTTTTACTTCAGATCATACTTTCAATTGATGATATTACATACATTTTGTGTACATTTATAAACAAAAACTTTGGCAAAGTGAATGTTCGGTTTTTACAGTCCCTTTGCAAAGAATATACATCCATGTTACCAGTTTCTTTAAAAAAATGCCCCACTTCATATCTAGTCCTGAATACACTTTGTAAATAAAAAACAAAAATGTTTTTTAATTTGAAAACAAATTATTTCATTGTTGCAGGCTTTCCTTGGTCAGAGTGATGAACAACTCCCTGTCAATAAAACAGCAGCACATATAGCTGTTGAACGGGAGAACCACGCTATGTTGAGAATTCTGGGTAAAGAACGTTTGAAAAGTGAGCCTCGTGTTGGTAGACCGAGTTGCCTCTTAGACCATAGAGGAACTGGGAGGTAGGTGTTTATAGATGAAATACCATGGCAACCATTTAGATGCTCATCACATCTCTGTCTTGGAATTTCAAATTGCATTGATTAATAATGATCTGAAATTACCAATTGAGATCAACAATCAAATGAATTTGCTATTTCAACACTTTTTGGAATCTTTTTATTTCAAAATTTGCAATACATAGGATGCAAGTGCCAATTACATGGCACATGTCATTTTATTCATAGTTTAGATATTTTTATGTTATTAGGCCTCTGTGATCACAAAAATTGTTGTCCAGGTTTACCTTGATATATCAAAGTCATATTTCAAAATGTGAAATGTAGTTAAAAGAACAGGTTTGTATTTAACATACAAAATATACGTATTCATGCTTTCTGTTTTATAGGTACAATAGGGCATCTTTGGGAATTAGACATGTTCGTAGACTCAACATGAGTAGAGGGAGCAAGGAGGGCAACAATGCGCTCATAAGAGTAAGTTTCGAGTTTAGTTATTTACTTTATAGTTTGCGTCTAGTGATTTCACTTACCACACATTTTTACTCCAACCAAGATAAAACTTGAGATAGTCTGGAAGAAAATGATAAAGACAAACCTTATTTCCCAGATGATTAATTAAATTGGAGCCAGTAACAGCATTATGAAAGCATTGTTTGAATTTGAAAAAGTGGACAAAAGAGTTAATTTTTACCAGTATAAAACTAATTGCTAACAATTCACTGTCTCAAAGCACATTGACTATAGGTTCCTTATTTCTATGATAGGTCAAATTTTTACTTCAAAGTTTTTTTAATTCGGAGAATATTGTAGTACATGGACATTGTACATGCAGAACATTTACTATTTATATTTTTCATTTTTATTATGTCCCCACCACATAGTGTGGGGCCATATTGTCGGCCTAGGCGCGTCCGACTGTCTGTCCGTCCGTCCGTCCGTCTGTCCGTCCGTCCGTACGTCCGTCCGTCCGTACGTCCGGGAGTTTTCTCCAAAACCGCTACAGATATCACCTTCAAATTTTCAGGGATAACTTATGAGTGCCTATAGATGTGGATGAAAAAAATTTAACTCGGAACCTACTTCCTGTCGGCCATTTTGAAGTCAAATGCTAAAATCCTTGTCTGCAAACTTCAAGAAAAACTACTTCACAGTTGCTTTTAAAACTTTAACATCTTGTTCAGCTCACTTCATTCTAGATCTGATTAGGTTTTGGACCTGCTAGCTCAGTCATGTCAGCCATTTTGAATGTCTTAAGAAAAGTTAGCGCGCGATAATACTTTGTATCATATTGAATGGTGTTTTTGAGTTTTCATACTTTAACTATTTAGTAGCTTTATAAATAATTTCAGATGTACTTTGTTGTAAAAGCCTACTTTATTGTTAACAGTAGTTATATGTGATCATTTTGTAAAAATAAATCAGCAAAAACTCATAAGGACTTTTTTATTGTCGGCCATTTTGGATTTTTCGGTCCTAAAATCTTGTCTGTGAAGTCTTCTCTGCGCGTTTCAGGTGAACCGTTTGGTGGATCAATTTCAAATTTTCAGGGATGATTCTTAGTATAAAAATCTAGATCTCAATAGTTTTTTGGCATTCTGGGTAACTGTCAAGGCAGCCATTTTGGATTTTCCGTCCTAAAATCTTGTCTGTAGAGTCTTGTCTACTCGTTTTCAGGTGAACTGTTTGGTAGATCAATTTCAAATTTTCAGGAATGATTCTTAGTATGAAAATCTAGAACTGATTAGTTTTTTTGCATTCTGGGTATATGTCAAGGCAGCCATTTTGGATTTTCCGTCTTAAAATCTTGCCTGTAAAGTCTTGTCTACGCGTTTTTAGGTGAACGGTTTGATAGATCAATTTCAAATTTTCAGGGATGATTCTTTGTATCAAAATCTACATCTGATTAGTTTTTTTGCATTCTGCGTAAATGTTAAGGCAGCCATTTTGGATTTCTGTCCTAAAATCTTGTCTGTAAAGTCTTGTCTTCCCGTTTCCAGGTGAACCGTTTGGTAGATCAATTTCATATTTTCAGGGATGATTCCTAGTATAAAAATCTACAAACAGATTAGTTTTTTGACATTCTGGGTAAATGTCAAGGCAGCCATTTTGGATTTTCCATCCTGAAATCTTGTCTATTTTTGGCATTCTGGGTAAATTTTAAGGTTGCCACTTTGGATTTTCCGTCCTCAAATTGTGTTGGTAAAGTCTTGTCTACTCATTTTCTGGATAACCATTTGACGGGATCACCACTTGGTGGGGACATTTTTACACATTTGTGTTCTTGTTTTATATATTTAATGATTTATGGTTATTTTTTGTAGAATGATAGTGATGAAGAAAAACCAGAACTACATCTGTGGGCCCTACAAAAGGGTGTTTCCATGGATACCATCAATGTGTTGACAGCTACTGAGCTTATTGATGTAAGTTGTCTAGTAGAATAAATTTTGTTTTTGGTTATTTTATATTAAATGATTAGAGAATTGTAGAATATCCAGACTTTCATGATTATTTTTAAGCATTATGAATTGCATTAGGGACAGACTATTTTTTGTAATGCAACAACAATGTTATGTTTTATTTTCCAGAAAGATAATCTGTTCTCTAATATCTATTTCGCTGTGAGACACGGGCACAGGATACTGGCAGGAAAACTCATAGAGCTGGGAGAGAAGACACAAGGCTTGGGGATGAATCACCTTCATAAGGAGGTAAAATGTCTTTTCTTATGGCCTCGTACATTGAATGAAATCCAGCCAATACTTAGTAACATTTTATTCCTTGTGTACTATTAGATAGTGATATACCCATTTTATACAAACATTATTTTTGTCTCCATTTTTTGTGGATGGTGGTTGGCGTTCAGTGTTTGTAACAAATGGTAGGTAGTGACATTATGCATGTTAATGAATTGTATAATAATATGAATTTGAAACTTGGTATTTCAGGCTTTACTCTTCAACAAAGAAGATTGGAAAATTCCAATTAGAGAGGCCTCGGTCAAGAAGAAACCTTATGAAAACAAACAAGTGAGTAAAATGTGAAAACCCTTTTAAAATGTGAAAGACTTTTTAAATGTGAAAGTCTTTTAGTCAAAGGTCAGATTTAAATGAAGAATTTTCTATAATATAATTTTGAGAAATCAATGTGAATAACTATACATTAAGTGAATATTTTGTCGATGTTTAAAATGTCATATGATTTGAAAAATGCAATGATGTCGATTATAGGTCTAGTGTTAAATAGAAAAATCAAACACATTACTTGAAAGCCATTTTAATTAATGCATGTAGATTAAAAAAACGAAACTGTATTTTCAATTAGATGACCCCACTGCACTGTGCAGCAATCAACCCAAACACTAAGTATCTGTCCAAGTTACTGTCCATCTTCCCTGACCATAACCTGTGTGACATGGATCAGCGTAGACCAATACATTACGCAGCAGCTTGTGAGGGAAAGGGACCCCTTGAACTATTACTAAACAGGTAAGAGCAGTTTATGACATGTGATTACTGTAATCTGCTATTCTAACTTGTTACAATCGAGCAGTTTGAGATGTTAACAAGCTGAATCAAGATTGAGTCACACAATACTTGATCGCATAATGACCCTTTCTTGACTTAAAATATATATATATTTTTTTTTTTCACAATTTATTTCATTTTTGTTCACATCATACATTCAATTATTGTTAAAACATATTGTAATCTGAAAAAGTATGCACCTTAGAATGTTAACTTAAATAGTATTTTGTATCATTAGGTGATCCAGTACATATATAGTTGTATTATTTGTAACAGATTTATTTGTTTTGTGTTATATGTGTGGTATGAACAGAAGCAAAACAATTTAGCATTCATACCTCATTCATTCTGCCATTCATTTTCACTCATTCACACATTCACCCAAATTTTACTGAACACATATAGTTAAATCTTATAATATTTTATTTATTTCTTGTAATTTATAATTTCCCTTAAAAAATGTTGATTTTGTAATATAATCTTTAAAATATATTTTAAATCCAACAAAGGTTACATCTATCTTATCAATAAAGCTTCTGTATATATAATGTTTCATCAAAATAATAGCTAAATTTAAAACATTAAATTCATCATCCTTAGGTTGATGGCCATATAATATATCTTTGTCACTTAGTTTAATTTTCTTATCACTTACCATAAGAGTTGTAAATTCTTTCCACAGTAATTGAGCTTTAATGCAATCAACTAACATATGTTTGATTGTGTGTCTTTGTTGACAATATGGACAAAGATTTGTATCTGCTATATTCATTTTAAATAGTTTATCTTGACACACTAAAATATTGGGTAGAATTTTGAATTGAAAAATTTGAATATTTGAGTCCTTTGTAACTTTGTTTGCCAGTAGAAAATACCATTTTATCTCCTGCTCATCTATGAATTGTTTTATTTTAAACAAAGAGGTGGGTGCTTCGAATTCTCTCTGATTTAATATTGCATATGCCTTTTTACATGTTACATTCTCAACAGACACCGACTTTTGCTCACTACTTGCATTATTTGAATCACTTGGTTTTCTTAAAATATCTTTCCATTTTATTGGTATTGCCATTTTTATGCTGTTGTATTCCATATCTTTTATCTTTAACTTATATGATTGTTCTATTTCATTTTTCTCAATAAACTGACCATTCATATCGACGATATCTTGACTTAAAATATGCCTGCTTAAGTGAGGCAGAAGACATTGTCAACATGGTTAATTTAGCTGGAATGAACATCTCTAACTCTCTATTTCAATCTGATTTGCTTCAACCTCCTCATCAAATCCTAGAATTTTAATCATTTTGTTGCTAATTTTGATGATACTAACACTGATTGGAATGTTTCTCTAGGGGCGTAAGTGCAGAAGAGGCAGACAAGAAAGGATACACCCCTCTGATGATTGCGGTAGAGTGTGATCGTATACAAAATGTACATGTTCTTATGAAGAAAGCTCAAGCAGCAATTGATGGTAAATAAATATGGGCTTAAGGGCGATATGTTGATGATGTCCCTTATATTTCAGATTGACCCCCTCCCTCTTAAATGTAACCAAGCATTTATTGATTTATTATAAAGTCAAAGTCAAGTTCAAGAATCGATGAACATCAGTAAAATGTAATAAAATCTTACCCCCTAATGCAATTGTAACTAAAAAGAATTTAAGCCCAGGACTCAGTGAAATGTAGTTGAGTTTAAACCATGTTACTGTATTCTCTCTTATTAGACGCATATACTTCAATAAATAACATTTTACTTGCCCAGAAAGACCGGCAACTTGAGAAACAAAATTCAGGAAAAAAATAAAAAATTCGAAAATCAATTATTTGTGACAGGGTGGTAAAGTCATTATGTCTTGTAAATGACTTGATTCAAATTTCATTTTATACAATTTTAGAGCAGCGGAAGGAGGAGGAGTCCCAGCGACCTCGTAAAATGGGGAAGTTTGAGGATCCTGCTCCCATTCCTCCTGTTGGTATGGTAGGGAAATATGGTGTAGGGGGTGTCAACAGAGGGAATAGATCAAGCTGGTGTGCTCTACATCTTGCGATACAGTATGCCAGTCTGGTAAGTTTAAAACTATGTAACGGGGAATATGGTAGGGAAATATGGGGTAGGGGGTGTCAACAGAGGGAATAGATCAAGCTGGTGTGCTCTACATCTTGCGATACAGTATGCCAGTCTGGTAAGTTTAAAACTATGTTTACGGGGAATATGGTAGGGAAATATGGGGTAGGGGGTGTCAACAGAGGGAATAGATCAAGCTGGTGTGCTCAACATCTTGCGATACAGTATGCCAGTCTGGTAAGTTTAAAACTATGTATATACAGGGAATATGGTAAGGAAATATGGTATAGGGGCCACCATGTCAACATAACCCTAAATGCTGACTTTTTTCACAACTCAGTCAAAAACTCTGAAATGTAAATGAAATGTAAAAACCATGTACCATATTCTCTCTATTAGACTCTATTTGTCAAACATTTGTGACAACGGTATGTGACTTTACCGTTTTCAGGCTATTCCGGGGTGATAAGGTGAACATGATTTGTTACATTTTTTAGTTCAGTTTGAAAATAGAGGATTATTCCTTTACCTTTCAGGCCATGGTAGAAATACTAATAGGATATGGTGCTAATGTAGAGAGACCCCTTAGTGCCACTCAAAACAAAGTGACTCCTTTAATGATGGCTGCCCGTCAAGGTGACCTCGCTCTTGTGAAATTATTAGCAAAAACAGCAAAGATTGAAAAGAAAGGTGAGAAGCTCTTACATATTCATTTGGCTGTTTAGAACATAACATAGTACATGTAAAATATGAAGGTGAAGCCATAGGTGCCAGAAGTGTTGACATTTTGTTACAGTCCAACTTTTTTGTGGATGGTGTCTGACTGTTGGCATTCAGCGGCTGGTTGTTAGCTTCTGTAATAAATGGCAGCTTGTGACATTTTGCAAGTTAATGCCTTGTTTGAAACCTTTTCTCAACTTGTCTCTATTCTTCCTTGTAATCAAATACAGTACCAATTGAATTTCCACATCCATTCCTCTTGAATAAGTAATGGTAGAGTGCCTTTTTGCTACCAGTATCTGTAATTTTTGCGATAATGTTTACCTATGTTTACAGACAGACTTGGTCGAACTGCTCTGATGCATGCTGTGATGAATGGCTACACTGCAGTGTCATCGTACCTGATACAACGTGGGGCTAACCCAAGCCATGCCCATTTCTTTATAATGTTAATATATGTTTACAGACAGACTTGGTCGAACTGCTCTGATGCATGCTGTGATGAATGGCTACACTGCAGTGTCATCGTACCTAATACAATGTGGGGCTAATCCAAGCCATGCCCATATCTTTATTATAATGTTAATATATGTTTACAGACAGACTTGGTCGAACTGCTCTGATGCATGCTGTGATGAATGGCTACACTGCAGTGTCATCGTACCTAATACAATGTGGGGCTAACCCAAGCCATGCCCATTTTTTTATAATGTTAATATATGTTTACAGACAGACTTGGTCGAACTGCTCTGATGCATGCTGTGATGAATTGCTACACTGTAGTGTCATCGTACCTAATACAACGTGGGGCTAATCCAAGCCATGCCCATTTCTTTATAATGTTAATATATGTTTACAGACAGACTTGGTCGAACTGCTCTGATGCATGCTGTGATGAATGGCTACACTGCAGTGTCATCGTACCTGATACAACGTGGGGCTAATCCAAGCCATGCCCATTTCTTTATAATGTTAATATATGTTTACAGACAGACTTGGTCGAACTGCTCTGGTGCATGCTGTGATGAATGGCTACACTGCAGTGTCATCGTACCTAATACAACGTGGGGCTAACCCAAGCCATACCCATTTCTTTATAATGTAAATATATGTTTACAGACAGACTTGGTCGCACTGCTCTTATGTATGCTGTGATGAATGGCTACACTGCAGTGTCATCGTACCTAATACAACGTGGGGCTAACCCCAGCCATACCCATTTCTTTATAATGTTAATATATGTTTACAGACAGACTTGGTCGAACTGCTCTTATGCATGCTGTGATGAATGGCTACACTGCAGTGTCATCGTACCTAATACAACGTGGGGCTAACCCCAGCCATGCCCATTTTTTTATAATGTTAATATATGTTTACAGACAGACTTGGTCGAACTGCTCTGATGCATGCTGTGATGAATGGCTACACTGTAGTGTCATCGTACCTAATACAACGTGGGGCTAACCCAAGCCATGCCCATTTCTTTATAATGTTAATATATGTTTACAGACAGACTTGGTCGAACTGCTCTTATGCATGCTGTGATGAATGGCTACACTGCAGTGTCATCATACCTGATACAACGTGGGGCTAATCCAAGCCATGCTGACACCTCAGGCAACACCTGCCTCCATTATTCTTGCGCATATGGCTGGTACTTTGTTACTGAGATGCTCCTCAAGGCAGGGGCTGACCCTAGCACACCCAATGACTGGAAAGTGAGTATATAAGCAGGGTTCTCACCAGGAAATATTTAGGGTGTGGTGCTAACATCTTCAGAATAACCGTTCAATCGTGATAAATCATATTTATGTTAAATTTTATCCTTTTACATGCTATTATTGTATATTCAGTCAACTTTACACTGTGGAAGCAGTCATGATTTGCCAATAGGGTGTGGAGGGAGCTAAATAGAGTGTGGAGCTGCGCCACAGTCTAAAAGCCTGGCAAGAGCCCTGATAAGCTCTCGTGGGCATGCACGTGCATGTTATATTATTACCCCTATGGATATCTGTTCCCCAGTGGGTTTTTCCAGGGACCAAAGTACAACTATTTCCTTATACCTAATACTCAATTCGCCAAGTAAAACCTAGAAAGGGGAGAACTAATGTCAACTGTCGGCATTTCTGCTTTCTGAATAGTCATTGAAGAAATGAACTTATCATATGTTGCATTTCAACTGAAAATTCAATCTTTGATTATTTGATCTTTATCCAGAGTATCTGTTTGTACAGTTTATTATATTCATGCAAATATATATTGTTCATATTACAGTTAACACCATTAGGGGCCTCATATCTGAAAGGTCACTCAGGTCTCACAGATTATCTGCTTGCACTACCAGGCATTGACATTGACATCACTTGTTTATATTACAGTTAACACCATTGGGGGCCTCATATCTGAAAGGTCACTCGGGTCTCACAGATTATCTGCTTGCACTACCAGGCATTGACATTGACATCACTTGTTTATATTACAGTTAACACCATTGGGGGCCTCATATCTGAAAGGTCACTCAGGTCTCACAGATTATCTACTGGCTCTACCAGGAATTGATATTGACTTTAGGGATGAATCAGGTAATAGATGCATTTCATATTTGCATTTCAGAATGTCAAGATAAATACATAAAATTAACAGTGACAATGACTTTTAAACTTTCATTTTCTTTCATTTTGGTCTAAAGGACTACAAAAGGTTCCAAAAACATGTAATACACACTTGATCAATTTTCAAGGATATTGTAATATTCTGTTCTGTATGAAGCAACCTGAAACATTAGCAGTCATGGCTGTAGCTTGCAATGAGGCAGCTGAGGCATTTGCCTCAAGAAAACAGAGAAATGTTATTTTACACTTAATAACCATTTCCAGGTGATGACACTTAATCATTTTAATCAATGCCTTGTTTTTACTAAATTATTTTTTCTAAATAGGTATGACACTCCTGATGAATGCCCTGACGAATAATTGGGGTGAGGAGGACGCCATCTATAATCAAGTGTGGAAGTTATCCAAAAAGAAAGGTGCCAAATGCACACTAGTTGATGTTGATGATACGACTTGCCTTCACTTCCTGGCCAATAATGAAGTCCCTTGTAATACTGAAAAGGTATTAGTAAATCTTAAGTTAATATCTTATGGAGGGCAATTCCTGTTCATATTCAACGATTTTTGCAGGGTATAGGGTGATAGGGCAATACATCCCTGTTAATAAAGATTGAAAGTGAAACGTGTATTGGATGAACATAGAATGAATGAACCATCCTCCATAATCAGAGTCCACTTAAGGGCAATACGCAGCACAAAATGTACCTTATATTATGTATAACGAATCTCAAAGGTAAACTTCTGTTGGCTTAATGTGTTATCATGAAACATTTTTGATGGTTTTAGAATCCTAATCGTATGCAGTCTGCTATGAAGGAAAGTGTTAAGATAGCTGAATATCTAGTGAGTCAAGGCTGTGACCCCCAAGCTGTAAACCAAGGAGGCATGACTCCACTAATGGTTGCTCTAGGCCAGGTAAAATCTTAATATTTGTTTATCACAGTGTTAAGAGATGAATGTAATATTGAGGTTGTGACTCACAAGCTGCAAACCAAGAAGTTGATGTGTCAAAATCGACTCCATACTAGTTAGAATGTATTAAACGTATTAAAAAATAAATGCTTGAAATGAAGAAACATAAACAAACATAAAAAATCTGAATAATAAATTCATGTATTTCCCCAAATTTGTATTTTCCTCAGGACAACATGAATATTGAGCTTGTGACGTACCTAGTGAAACAAATGGGTGACATCACAGCTGCAGTGGATCTGGACGGCAAGAACACATTGCATTACCTTGCCAAGAAATGCATGGAGCTTCCCATGTTGCAACTTCTCAAGACAATTATAAGTCAGGTAGGTGCATTTCTTCACCCTTTAATTTACAATGCGACTCAGAAAAATGTAACACTCTTATTTTGGAATATCTCTCTCAATTTTGTTATGTCACCACCAAAAGTGGTGACATATTGTTATGGTCTCCGTTTTTTTGCGACGGCGTCCGGCGGTTGGTGGTTGGCGTCCGGCGGTTGGCGTCCGGCGGTTGGCGTCCGGCGTCTGTAACAATTTCTTACAACTTCCTATAACTTAACAAATACTGTTTAGACTGACTTCAATTTTTTTCTAAATCATCTACATGTTCTCAGAAGTTCAAATCTGACTTTAGATTTGACATTTGACCTTCAATGACCTTCTCAAGGTCAAAAAGGTCTTTTTTCAACTTGCTTCACATTGACTAAATTTTTTTTCAAAATCATCTACATGTTCTCAGAAATTCAAATCTGACTTTAGAGTTGACATTTGACCTTCAAATCTGACTTTAGATTTGACATTTGACCTTCAATAACCTTCTCAAGGTCAAAAAAGGTCAAAAAGGTCTGTTTTCAACTTGCTTCAAATTGACTAAATTTTACCAAAAGTGGTGACATATTGTTATGGTCTCCGTTTTTTTGCGACGGCGGTTGGCGTCCGGCGGTTGGCGTCCGGCGTCTGTAACAATTTCTTACAACTTCCTATAACTTAACAAATACTGTTTAGACTGACTTCAATTTTTTTCTAAATCATCTACATGTTCTCAGAAGTTCAAATCTGACTTTAGATTTGACATTTGACCTTCAATGACCTTCTCAAGGTCAAAAAGGTCTTTTTTCAACTTGCTTCACATTGACTAAATTTTTTTTCAAAATCATCTACATGTTCTCAGAAATTCAAATCTGACTTTAGATTTGACATTTGACCTTCAAATCTGACTTTAGATTTGACATTTGACCTTCAATGACCTTCTCAAGGTCAAAAAAGGTCAAAAAGGTCTGTTTTCAACTTGCTTCAAATTGACTAAATTTTTTTTTCAAAATCATCTACGTGTTCTCAGAAATTCAAATCTGACTTAAGATTTGACATTTGACCTTCAATGACCTTCTCAAGGTCAAAAAAGGTCAAAAAGGTCTGTTTTCAACTTGCTTCAAATTGACTAAATTTTTTTTTCAAAATCATCTACGTGTTCCCAGAAATTCAAATCTGACTTAAGATTTGACTTATGATTTGACATTTGACCTTCAATGACCTTCTCAAGGTCAAAAAAGGTCAAAAAGGTCTGTTTTCAACTTGCTTCAAATTGACTAAAAATTTTTTTTCAAAATAATCTACGTGTTCTCAGAAATTCAAATCTAACTTTAGATTTGACTTAAGATTTGACATTTGACCTTCAATGACCTTCTCAAAGTCAAAAAAGGTCAAAAAGGTCTTTTTTCAACTTGCTTCAAATTGACTAAAATTTTTTTTCAAAATCATCTACATGTTCTCAGAAATTCAAATCTGACTTTAGATTTGACATTTGACCTTCAATGACCTTCTCAATGTCAAAAAAGGTCAAAAAGGTATTTTTTCATCTTGCTTCAAATTGACTAAATTTTTTTTCAAAATCATCTACATGTTCTCAGAAATTCAAATATGACTTTAGATTTGACATTTGACCTTCAATGACCTTCTCAAGATAAAAAAAGGTCAAAAAGGTCTTTTTTCAACTTGCTTCAAATTGACTAATTTTTTTTTTCAAAATCATCTACATGTTCTCAGAAATTCAAATCTGACAAATCTGACAAATCTTGACCTTCAATGACCTTCTCAATGTCAAAAAAGGTCAAAAAGGTATTTTTTCATCTTGCTTCAAATTGACTTAATTTTTTTCCAAAAATCATCTACATGTTCTCAGAAATTCAAATCTGACTTTAGATTTGACTTTAGATTTGACATTTGACCTTCAATGACCTTCTCAAGGTCAAAAAAGGTCAAAAAGGTCTTTTTTCAACTTGCTTCAAATTGACTAATTTTTTTTTTCAAAATCATCTACATGTTCTCAGAAATTCAAATCTGACTTTAGATTTGACATTTGACCTTTAATGACCTTCTCAAGGTCAAAAAGGTCTGTTTTCAACTTGCTTCAAATTGACCAAATTTTTTTTTCAAAATCATCTTCATCTTTTCAGAAGTTCAAATTTGACTTAACAAGTTATCAGAAATTCAAATCTGACTTAAGTTTGAACTCATAATATTGTGAGCAACTAGGTGGTGACATTTTGTCATGTTAATGCCTTGTTGAATTTTCTTTTGATATACATGTATAAGGTAGAATTGTGAATAGAGAAAACTTGTATGGTCCAGTTTACTTGCCTTATTTACTAAAATTGCTTCTTCCACTTTGAGATTGGAGTCAAATCATCTGTCCAGGCTGGCATGCTCTCATATACTTTTATACTTCATATATTCCTGCACATTATGTACCTAGAACCTCAGTAGGAATGGAATTCATCATGATATATTCCTGGAAAATTCAATGTTAGTCATCAATTAAACGCTCCCTAAATCAGACCAGTGTTGGAATTAAGACTCTACAAATAACAGGAAAAAATGTCATTGAAACATTCATGATTCCAGGCATCTGAAAAGGGAATGGAGAATCTGAAGAAGATGGCTAGAATGCCAAGTAAGAATGACAAGAGCCTGAGTGTATCATACCCCACTCAACACACTCCCCTTCTCCTGGCTTGTTTCCATTACAAGCGATGTAAGGTAAGATTTAAGATAGATCCAAGTTGATCCTGATGGGTGGATATTTTTCAAAAAAAATTGTTCAATATTTTTCACCACCAAACATTATTGTTATAGCCATTACCTAGTTTCCTAGTGACCCACATTGGTGTTTGTAACAAATTGTTACACTTTATCGTGCAATCAGCTAGTGACATATGCTAATTATGCAAATGCATTTTTAGAAATTTATGCACTTGTATAATGAATCTACATAATGTGATTTTCCAGAAAGAAGCCAAGGAAAATGACCCACCTTCTGTCCGGGAAGAAATTGATAAAATCTGGGAGAATGGCCGTGAGATTATTCACCTTCTGATAGAGAAACTCGATTCTGAGATAGAGTATGTCGTTGAAAGGCGACCAACAAGTGTGGGAGAGAACGGCAGTTCGAGTGAAAATCAAACAGTTACAACTGGTATGTGCTTGAGTATTTTATATTTTCATTTTGGTAACCTAAATTAACAACATTTTCTAATCAATGGACATTGCAAACTTAATTTGACATAAACTGTGAAAATTGTATCCAGTACAAGGATTTTTTTATTTATTTATTTGCTAAAACACTTTTAGAACAGTGGCACATACAACATTGTAATGCAGCATTTTTACAGTTACATCTACAGGGTGACCGGAAAAAAAGGAGACCATTGAAATAGGCAATATCTCCTAAAATAGACTAGTGACATCAATGAAATTTTGCATACATCAGGACAGTTCTATGGAAATTTGTTCCTGAAAGTGTCAATACAAGCAGTCAACTGGTTCAGGAGCTATGATCATTTACATAACATGCTCCAAATAGGCGCAATTGAGACCAACGCAGAGCTGGATACATTTGGCAAATACCCTTACATATTCCGACCTTGTTATGGCATTACATTTAGCATTTATTGCCACCTTTAGGTCAGCAATTGTCTCAGGATTGTTTTGGTACACATTGTCTTTCAAATTGCCCCACAAAAAGAAATCAGGTGGATTCAAATTTGAGGTGTATGGAGACGAAGCTTATCTGACCTTTGGCTTCTGACTCAGTGGTCCCACTCAGTTACAGTATCATCCTAAGGAGGTTTTGGGCAGCCCTTGGTTTCCATATGGGATTTAATTGTGCCATATAGTGGTTTTAGTAACATGGCACTATGCCCAATACCTAAAGTGACTCTTAAGATTGGGTAAATCAGCACTTTGGCAACAGGATGATGAACCACATGTCAGATAACCCTTCATTGCCATTACAGCCTAGACTTGAATCCTGCTGATTTCTTTTTGTATGGATATTTGAAAGACAATCTATACCAAAACAATCCTCAGACTATTGTTGACCTAAAGAAGGCAATCACTGCTATATGTAATGCCATAATAATGCCATAGAGGGCAGAACATGTAAGGGTAGTTTGCCATATGAATCCAACTCTGCGTTGGTCTCAATTGTGCCTATTTGGAGCATGTTATGTAAATGATCATAGCTCCTGAACCAGTTGAATGCTTGTATTGAAACCTTCAGTCACAAATTTCCATATAACTGTTCCAGTGTATGCAAAATTTCATTGATGGCACTTGTCTAGTTTAGGAGAAATTGATTACTTCAATGGTCTCCTTTTTTTCCGGTCACCCTGTATGTAGTAAAACATACATATTAAAATATACATGCATATTAAAAAGTGATTACATATCAAAGGATAATATCAACCTTTGTCTCAGTTTTGTCTTGCTAATATGATGGTCCTAGTTGTCCATGTATTCTACTTTTGGCATAGTTATTCTTTGACTAAAACAGATTGAGACTAATCATTTTTACAACCAGATTTAGCTAACATATCAGTGCAAAGTAAAACAAAACATTTCAGAGCATTAATGGATATTGTAACTTTTCAGATCACTACTGTGCCTCCCACTTCCTCATCAACGTGAACTGTGAACGCCCCCAAGGTAAACCAGCATTCCACATGCTGCTGAAGTATAAACCCAACCTTCAGATAGTGGATTTCACGCTGAGGCCCATGCTGTTAGAGCTGACTATGGTAGGAAGGCTAGAGTGCATACAGACACTGGTAAGATTCATTCACATTCTGAATAAATATCATAACTGGTCACTGAAAACTATTTGCCAACTGCTAAAAAAGATGGTGAAAGCACATGTTTCAATTAATTATAGTTTCCAACCTTTTTTTTGTGGATAGTGTTTGGCAGTTGGTGTTTGGCATTGGATGTCTGTAACAAATGGCAGGTGGTGACATTTTGCAGGTTGATTCCAATGTATATTGGTTATATTGCTTCATTAAATCATGAAACTCATCAAAGGTCATGATTGAGGTCACTCAGATCTAAGATCAGATTTAGATCTTTAGATCAGCAGCAAAACTGTATAATAATTTCTCCTATCCAGAACCACTAGGCTCTGAATGTCAGGGTACTCTTAATATAACACCTGATTTTCTTTCAGCTAGCTGCAGGGGCAGATGTTAACTGTGTATCACAGCGTAAGAAGGAAGAGAACCTGACACCTATCTTGGAAGCTGTAAGACGTGGCAACTTGGCCATCATCAAGACTCTAACAGAGAATGGAGCAGATTTGACCATATTAGAGGAGAATACCAAAAACACACTGTTGCACATAGCAGTCATCAAATATTGTGAAAGTAAGCAGATTTTTGATTATTGATGACTTGGTGTTTGAAAAATGTTAGGTCATTAAATATTGGGCTGTCGATAGTTTGAATGTTTTTTCAAGGAACAAGATCATTTATATGAATCAAACTCTTAATAACTATAATATAAGGCTCTGAACAGTAATTTCCAGAATTTCAAAATTTGACACAGTTCATTTTTCAAGTTACGTCAAGATCTATAAGGAAAGAAGTGTCTATGTATAAAATACTTCAGAAAGTTGAACCTCTGTAAGTAATTGAGTACCTTCAAAATTGAGAACTATTATGAAGTGCCAGAGGTGTTCCACTGTACATACATACTAAACTACAGTATCTTTATTCAGTATCAATCGCCATGAAACTTTTTTTTACTTGTTTTAGGTAAAAGACCTCGAGACAAACTAGAAGTCATCAAATACCTACTAGAGAAAGGACTCGATGTGAATGCCAGAACTGACAAAAATCGCACGGTGCTCCATCTATCTGTGAACTTCAGCTCGGACACAGCTGATGAGCCAAGAGATCTAGAGATATTACTTCTGAGAAAGGGGGCGGATCTGTTTGCCAGGGATGTCAGGGGCAGACTTCCATTACATTACTGCTTTGTTAAAATTGGAAAGTAAGTTATTTTAAGAATATCTCATTTCTTAATGATTTCATAACATTCATAGTACAATAAGAAATGACATGGTTTGGATATAAATTAATGCTGTTTATCTGAATCTTTTACCCACTGCGCTACAAAGTAATGACAGCTCAGAGGTTGCCTGAAAGGCTGGCAATGTAGAACCCCCTGTTAGTACCAGGTGTTTGTGGAAAAATATTTCTCATAGTAATTTACTTGTTATTTCTTCTGGAACAGTTAATTATTACAATCATTGTTTTCCAGCCATAATATAAAGTCAATGATAGATCCAATAGAGATATGCAGTATGCTGCTTACAGCAATGAAAAATGTGGACGTTGATGCTGTGGATAACTTTGGCCAGATGGCGCTACATAGGGCCGCTCATAGGGGTGCTACTGTATGCTGTATGCTCCTTGTACAGGTAAAAAATCTTTTAACATCAGAATTAGATGCTAACTGTTGTATTGTTTAGCTGTTCAAAAATTAATGTACTGTTTTTGTGAAAGAAATAAAATCTCAAATTGAAGTAAATAAATGCAATAAAATGAGGCTGAAAGCTTCATCATCACAAGAAGTGTTTTAATATTGATTTAATTTTTGTGGTGTTTAGAAGGGGTCTCCTGTCGATGTACCAGATTTGGATGGCAATACACCATTGGCTCACAGTGTACTGGCTGTTCATGACAGGTATGTAGAGATTAATGAATATTCATAAAAAAATAAGATAAATAAATAATAAATTAATAAATTAATCCAGCCTTTTTCTAACAAATTAATGCATTTTGTAAATGGATTTAATTGAAATTGTAATGGTAATCAATAAATTATGAAAACTGAAAAATAAAAAACAACAGTGTTTTTAAATTTTCAAGGCTTATTTGAAGTAAAATTATTTAGAGGTCTGACATATTGAATCTTGTCAGTTATAAAAATTTTTGTTTGATATTTCAGTTGTGCTTTAATGCTGATCCAGAAGGGTGCCAACATCAACACTGTTATAGTGACCAACCCTAAAGGAGTTGACAAATTGGAGGAAGATTCCATTGTGGAGTATACAGGGGTGGTAGAAGATATCATGCAATCCAAGTAAGTAAACCTGACACCCCTATTTTATAACAGACATCATGTCACCCTAGTATGTTAACAAAATGTGTTTTGTTGAATATGTACATTTCTGTTATAAAGTGATGTGCCATATCATTTAAGCATCCTTAACATAGATTTTAACATATCATTTATGTAACACAGATTTGAAAATATATATTTCCCTATGTTTTAACACAGCTTAAAACATGATGTGTTAAACCTAGATTTAAATAAAAAACACAGCTAAACAATTATATTTCTGTACATGTAGGGCAGTCAAAGAGCTGGAGCAGCTTGATGCTATTCATACTAAGAACAAACTCAAGCCAGCCTGGCGATGGTTGAGTAGACAGTGGACGAAACCAGAAGTTCCACCTAGGAAAGGCTATCCACTTTTACAGGTAGGTCTAATACATGGTCTAATAAGGTAGTAGTAGGTAGTAGGTAGTAATAGTAGGTCTATAATAGGTCTATCATTATGATGTTTCCCTTAGCATTAGGGCAATCCCAGACACATCCTGTTTAAAACCTGAAAATGACATGTCACTTTATTGGAAATGTGTTTGCACCTTACCAAAAGGGTGAAATATTGAAATGTTGATGATTTGGCACCCTGTTCAGAAAATCTCCAAGAGATCTCTGTGTTGAGTTTATCAGTTGCAGTTGAATTTCCCTTATGCGCTTGATTTTAACATATCAGAAAATAACCTACTATTCACACTTAAACATTTAGAAAACTCAAAGAAGCAAAGTAGCGTACTTTTGGAAGATTTTTATCTATGGAGGAAAGTGTCATATTTACTTACAGTATCTACAATAACTATTCTTTTCATGAAATACTGATTCATTACTTTATTCATTCAGAATGTGGTACAGAATGGATGGCAAGGGGTCACCTACATAGTGCTGGACCTTTTAGGGCAGTTTGGCATGGAGTATGCTGCTGCTGTAGAGGTGAGTGTCAATATAATATGTACAGTTAAACCTGTTATGTTGGTTTGCAGGAAACATGGGGTTTCTGTTTGCGAGGAATTATCTTGATGAGTATGGAGGGCGTTCCCAGTACTGATTTCCTTTTTTCAAAGAAAAGCCTTTTTGAAGGAGTGCGACACGTTTGGTACCTCAAAAAAGTGTTCATGTAGGAGGTTGCAGTTCTACCTTTGGTACCTTTACACAGTGTTCCACTTGGGAGATGTTCCATTTTCAAATGTTCATTTTACATTGTGTTATGGTCTCCGTATTGCTATTGTCTCCGTTTTTGTGACAGCGGTTGGCGATCGATGGTTGGCAGTTGGTGTCTGTAACAAATGGTGGTGACATTTTGCATGTTAATGCCTTGTTTATATATATTATATATATATTTCAGGTGGCACTGAGGATACAAAAATTCCAATTTTCTCTGACATTAGTCAACAAACAGATAGAAGATAGTAAGCTGCAAGTCTTTAACAAGGAGAAACAGAACCTTATACATACTTTAACAAAGGAGGCCTGTCCCTCTACCAAACCAGATTTACAATTAGAGGTAGGTATAATGTTTTACATATATTAACAATGAAGGGCATTATACATCTACCAAAGACTAGACTTACAATAAGAGGTAGCTTTGACTATACTTTAGGTACTAAAAGTGTACTGTAATTTTAGTATTTGAATATTTTCAGTTGATCTCCATACTGCAAGAGAGAGGCGTCAGTATGGATATTCCAGATATGTATAATTGCACACCACTCACCTACGCATGTATGAACCGCAACTACCCACTCTGCAATTATATACTAGGTAAATATGAACCAATTAGATCATCTATATTTGTCACATGAGTACAGAAGTCTTCCTTCGGGACCTCTCACATTAAGCTATGATTCAAAATGTGTTTGTTCATTTTAGAGAACCAAGCGGGGGTTCAAGTGAATAACACGGACAAGTTCAATCGCACTCCACTAGCTGCCTGCTTGTGGAACACAACATCTAACCACCAAGCACCAGCATTAAGGTTTGCTATTAGAGTTTTTATACTTTTCAATATTGTTTTTGTTAACAGTTTAGGAATATTTTACATGAGGTCCTACATTTACTAGAGTTCTCACCTGACTATTAGATGTTTTCTATGTAAAATTATTGGACCCAGAAATTCAATACATCATTACATCATTCCCGTTTATGAATTCCAATATAATTTCTTTTTGTTTTACAGTAAATTAGTGGAGTCCCTGATCCAGAAAGGTGCCAACCCAAATCAGCTTTATGATTTCCCACCAGTAGATCACATAAGTGGATTCCACCAATCAGCAGTTGGTCAGGAATACATGCATAGCAAGCATTCTCATAAGGTTAGACATTTTAATTTGGTTGATTCTTCCTTCACTTCGTGTCAGTCAGTAAGAGAGGAGAATATGTCATCTTAGTTTTGTATCTCCTCAAAGTAGACTTCTTACTTCAAATTGTATTGTGTATGATTTAATTGTATTGTATCGTACAGGGTGACCGGAAAAAAGGAGACCATTGAAGTAATCAATTTCTCCTAAACTAGACAAGTGCCATCAATGAAATTTTGCATACACTGGAACAGTTATATGGAAATTTGTTACTGAAGGTTTCAATACAAGCATTCAACTGGTTCAGGAGCTATGATCATTTACATAACATGCTCCAAATAGGCACAATTGAGACCAACGCAGAGTTGGATTCATATGGCAAACTACCCTTACATGTTCTGCCCTCTATGGCATTATTATGGCATTACATATAGCAGTGATTGCCTTCTTTAGGTCAACAATAGTCTGAGGATTGTTTTGGTATAGATTGTCTTTCAAATATCCATACAAAAAGAAATCAGCAGGATTCAAGTCTAGGCTGTAATGGCAATGAAGGGTTATCTGACATGTGGTTCATCATCCTGTTGCCAAAGTGCTGATTTACCCAATCTTAAGAGTCACTTTAGGTATTGGGCATAGTGCCATGTTACTAAAACCACTATATGGCACAATTAAATCCAATATGGAAACCAAGGGCTGCCCAAAACCTCCTTAGGATGATACTGTAACTGAGTGGGACCACTGAGTCAGAAGCCATAGGTCAGATAAGCTTCGTCTCCATACACCTCAAATTTGAATCCACCTGATTTCTTTTTGTGGGGCAATTTGAAAGACAATGTGTACCAAAACAATCCTGAGACAATTGCTGACCTAAAGGTGGCAATAAATGCTAAATATAATGCCATAACAAGGTCGGAATATGTAAGGGTATTTGCCAAATGTATCCAGCTCTGCGTTGGTCTCAATTGCGCCTATTTGGAGCATGTTATTTAAATGATCATAGCTCCTGAACCAGTTGACTGCTTGTATTGACACTTTCAGGAACAAATTTCCATAGAACTGTCCTGATGTATGCAAAATTTCATTGATGTCACTAGTCTATTTTAGGAGATATTGCCTATTTCAATGGTCTCCTTTTTTTCCGGTCACCCTGTATTTTATGATTTTCAAAATAATTTCAGAAATTTGTTTTTATGTGTAGTAGTTTAGAAGGCTGAATCGATCTAATTAAGTTCACATTTTCATCACTTTAACTCATTTATGAAAAAATACTGAATATGAATTTTTACTTTAGAATTTATTAATTCTTCCATCTCCAGGTTTCCCCTCTCATTCTATGTGTGTGCCTCAACAGTAACCTTGTGTCAACATTGCTGGGCAATGGAGCTGACATCAACTTCCCCGATGACAGAGGGAGAACTCCCATAATGCATGCTGTTAAACTGGTAAGGAATCTGCCAACCATGATTGGTTATCACAAATGTATGTGTTGTGTGTAGATTTTTGGGGCAGATCCCATTGTGTCTCCAAACATAAATAATATTGCTCTTTGCCATACATACTATTTAGAAGGTAACTTTTTTGATTACTTAGAAAGTCATACAAGGCTAGTATTTTTTCAGGCAACTCCAGAATTAAAGAATCTTTAAGCTGATATGTAACACAGAAAAAAGTATTTATTTGCTGTGAAGGGAGATGCAGTTGTTATTTGACACCCTGTATTACACCATATGTTGGGATTCTAAGCAAATAATGGTTGATTTGAAAACACGCACACGAAATAAGACCCCATTACTGATATACAATTAACATTTATGTGCTAAAAATACCAGAAAACTCTTAACTACTCTTCATATAATTTACATCCTCTAGAAAATATGCTAACTAGTTGCACTATTGTACAAAGTAGGAAATTATTCAATTTTGTGTTTCAGAATAAAATGTTCCTTGTCCAAAAGTTACTCACCAAGAATGGGGACACTAGTCTAATGAAGTCATCAGGTTGGTATATCTTTTGTTTGTAGTGTTGAATTCAGTTTACATATCTGATTTATATCAAGGTTATAAATCCTCATTTCAATTTCAATAATCTACTAAATATTGCAAAATTTTCAATGGAAGTAAATTGTACTTAAGAGTACTTATTGACTATTGTATTTAAGAGTGATTAGATAATCTAAGAGGGATTTATTAGTATATTAGTAAGTTTCTATTTAAAGGACTCAAAGTAGAAAAATATTTATTCATATTAATAAGGGAGTCCTCACTTTCACTTAAAATAATTTCACACATTTCAGAAAAAGATGAGGTTATAAACAATTTCAAGATGACAGCCACCAATATTAATCTAGCCGCACAGGACTGCGATGGTAACACAGTTCTACACCATGTTGTGACATCACTGGATGCTGCGTCATATGATAATGAGAATATACTCCAATTATTAATCAAATCAGGTATGATTTTTTCTGTAACCTCAAAATTTGTTGTTTCACACCTCGTTATAACTCCCCATCCTTTACATTTTCATTGTTATATCTCACCATATATGCTCTACCACCAAGCTATGGAGCCGACTGGATTGAAAAAAAATTGTTGCTCTCAAATGAATACTGCATTTAGCAATATTGATTGTCTTACAGGTGCTCCAGTAGAGACAAAGAACAAGCTGGGACAGACTGTTCTAGACCTTGCCCTACATAATCACACATATAACATAGTTAACAGTCTACAACTCAGGACCAAAGATAAGGTAGGTCTTCTGATCATAAGGGTATTCTTATTAGTATTCTAGAATCGAAAAAAAATTCAATAGTCCAAATTAAATGGGTCATAGACCTTTGGAAGGCATCTTTCAGCTAATGGGTCATAAAGTCAATGCTATTACTAGGGGTGAGACGAGTCGAAAAAATCCGATTCGAGTCGAATCCGATTCGAGTCAGAAAATGACGATTCGGGTTTCGAATCCGTTTCGAGTCGCGAAAGTGCGAACAACATCGCTTTTGACCGTTCGTATTTTTAATGCGTCAATGGTGGAAAGCCGGAAATATAAACAAACACAATTCGTCGTAAGTTTATTCTGATTTTATTACATATATTCTTTCATTTATGTGTACATACAATATAATAATTTAATACAAGCATATCCAAGTCATTGAAACTTATATATTCAACGCAATATCGAGTAAAAACATGCATATTGACAGTATTTTTCTGAATTTTTTTATTTTTTCGAATTTTTTTCTCAACTCGAAAATGATTCGATTCATCAACTTCGACTCGATTCGACTCGACTCGAAGCCCCAAACCCGCGAGTCCTCGACTCATCGGGTTGTCGTCTCACCCCTAGCTATTACTGATTTATTTATAGCTTAGGGAAGGTTTTCTCTTAAAGTGGCGACAAGGCCTGTAGAGAGAAAAATTGAAAAGTTCACTTTTTGAGCTATCCAGGCAATGTTTGGCTAACATCTTCTTTGTCAGACCTAGGTCCATGATCGTATTGTTGGATACGTCTCTGCACTTATTGTTCAACCTCTAATTAAGATAATTATCATGGCCTGAAGATGGAATATTTAGAAGATTTTCATACGTAATATGTCATCACTTCAGATATTGTTTTATTTTGTAAATTGCGTTATGATGTCACTATCTTTATCTTTATACATTTTCTGTCAGATATGTCTTCATAATTTATTAAAATCTTCAATTTGCAGAGAAAACCAGACAAGTCTTTCAAACCATTCCCAGTGCATGATGGGATGGATTGGCCCAAACCAATACCAAACTTCTCGGAGGATGCAGCCTTGATGCTGGAAAAGATAGAGTTGGATGAAATGAAGCAAATCGGGGAAGAGGAAACTCAAAAATTACAACCTGACAAGCGTGCCAAAGTCACTAATGGGTAAGAAAACAATCAATGCATGGAAACTGGAAAATAAATATGGAAAATAATTTTAAATGCCAGGCCTGGCTTGTGCTTCCAATGAGAGACTCCCTGTTACCCACTAAATAATTCTGTGAATGTATTTCATGAGTATTTTCATAAAAAAAATTCACATAAAATACGAAATCTGGAAACTATCATTTGTTGTTCAACCAAAATCCTGCTCCATATCTTTGCAACATAGGATATTGCTATCAACTCGTTATAAAAAAGACTCTTTCAATCATTGTAAAATATTTACTCTCTCTCTCTCTCTTACATTTTTACTTTACCTTCTAGTGAGATCCTGATGGACTCAACACAAGACATTGGCTATGATATTTTGATGACCAAGGTGGATGTACAGTTTGGAGCATATGGCCTTTATAACTACTACAAAATGCAGGTTTGTGCCAAAATCTTCAGTACAAATCATTTATTCATTCATATTGTATGACTTTGTCTGTCCGAATTGTAACCAGTATATGGCAGTTATGGAGTAAAACAGGCCAAATGGTTCAGTGCTTTCATTGAGGGATATTCACTCATCTGAAAACAAAACAGTCTTAGTTGAATTCCTCACTTCATTGAATGCAATTACCACAGGTCATATTGCCACTATACAAGCATTCTGATCGTGAACTCTAGCATGTTTAAGATTGGAGAAACTGGCCAATAACAAGCAACCTTTCTCTACCCCCTCCCCTCTTATGCATCCTCCAAAGCATGTATCCAGAATCCGTACCTCCTTCTTCCCCCTGCTATAACCAATTTGGAAGCGCCCGATTAAACTGAATCACGTGATCTAATTATGCGAACTGACTTATACATGATTTCTGTCGCAGTGTTGCAACAGCCAATCAGATTGCGAGTTCTTAATCGGGGAAATGCTAATGGCTTATCGCAGGGGGTAAAAAGAAAGAATATATTCTGGATTTTGAAGCCCTGTGGTTGGAGGATGCTCTTATGCAGTTGCTACTGTATGTTTTAGGTGATTAAACAGAAGACAGATGACCTATATGTACTGTTCAATAACTGGGGTAGGATCGGAGACAATGGCCAGTACCAAGCCACACCCTTTTCCACTGAACAAGAAGCAGTCAAAGAATTTACAAAGATATTTAAAGCTAAAAGTGGCAATGACTGGTCAAATATTAAAAAGTAAGTATTTTTTTCCCTGAACTAAAGTTTAACCTTTAAGGGGCTATTTGCCAAGATCTAATCCATTTATACATCAAATATTTAGAAAAACCTGTTTTACCATATCATCTATGAATTAAGACATTGTTACATTTCATATCTTTTCTGAATATAGTTTATCTTGAAAAATTGCTCCTTTTAAAGACTCATCTCAAAGGAAAGTTTCGTGACAATGTTGTTTTTCAGATTTGATTGGTGTATTTTATGTTCAATTCAAAATTGAATAATGGGAAGAGTTTTGCTTGGATTGTATTAATGGATGAGGTTTGTTCATTTCAGTTTTGAAATTCATCCGAAAAAATACAGATTAGTTGGAGCAGATAGGAGGAAAAAACATAAACGTCCCCAAGTGACCTTCGACGTCAAGAAATCTGAACTGACATCCAAACTACCAAAATATATCAGGGACTTCATGGAAGAAATGGTAGGCTATTTATTTGAACCTTGATTAGCATGACAGTGGTGATTTGACCATAATTTTAATATTATTTGAGAAACCCATAAAAATTATCAATGGTCCAATTTGAAACTGATGAACTGATTTATCTGAAATTTATAACTTAAATTGATATTCAGCTGAAAAAATCCAATATTTGATAGTTAAAAATGAATAGTTGACTTTTTAGCCTTCGATTGTTTATGTAACTCTAGATTTATTGTGTCACCAGCAAACATGGCCGATGCTAATTTGCGTTAGTGTCTTACAAATTGTTAAACTTGATTTGCAATAACCTTCAGGTGGTTACACTTTGTCATGTCTCAATTCTGTCTTGCTTTGATTCATGTGATTCTTCAAATTTTATTTCAGTCAAATCTGACAATGTTGAAGAACAATTACTCCAACTTAGGGCTAGATACTGATGTTATTCCATTTGGTAAACTACACAGGAATACACTAGAGGAGGCCAGGGCCTTACTTGCTCAAATTCGGTAAGTTTTACACGACACAATAAATGAGGAATGAGCCCACCAAATGATGCCATTTTTGTTTATGTCACTACCAGAAGTGTTATAGTCTCCAATTTATATGTGGATGGTGGTTAGCATTTGGCAGTTGGTGTTCCATGGTAGGCAATAGGCATCTGTAACAGATGACAGGTGGTGACATTTTGTATGTTAATGCCCTGTTATAATTGGCTTTGATGTCTCATCATTATTCTCATTTGAAAATAACTATTAAAAACTCATTAAACAGTAATTTTGTACAATTATTATAATCCATTTTAATTATTTCAGTCCAATAATTCAAGAAAAGGAAACTTTAAGAGCTCAACAGACGACAGACACTTTGGAAAAATACCATGACATATGTCAAAAAATTGCCGATCTCAGCACTGACTATTACTCTTTGATTCCAAAACAAGGCTTTGAGTATGAAAGACTTGCACCTATTGACAACTTACATAAATACAGCAGTGAATTTGCACTGATAAACAACCTGCTAGAATTTGAAGTTGCAGAACGTGTCTTGCTAGGTGCACAACTCAGGAAAAATGGTAAGAAATACAGGGTGATACAGATCTCCTATTTTGCCACTTAATTAAGTTAACTTAAAAATTCCCATCGGGTCGATCCAGTAAATCATGCCACCTATTGGTTATGATGTCATTCTTACAATTTCAGACCAGAAATAGAATAAGCATATTGCTCATTTATAAAAACATAGCCAATTTTGTTTACGAACATTGCTACCTGCAAAGCATGACATCATAAATCTGCCCAATGTAGTCTCGTTCCCTAGTTTACTGAAAGGGCCAATATTCATTGGAAAGGTATATATCACATCGGTATTTATATGGAATAAATTCCCTTAGTTTGTAATATTACAAGCTGAATTGTATTTTCATTGCCATTGTAGAGATCCATCCCCTCGACTATGTGTACCAGGCATTAGAATGTAAGCTAGAGATAATACAGGAAACAGATCCAGTGTCACAACATATACTCAGATATGTACATAACACAGGTAAGGCCACTCAAAGTTAAGCTTTGTGTAAAGTCCCTCTCCCTCCAGAAAATAATCAAAATTGTAAAGTGCCCAGATAGTCAGATATGCACTTGTAACAAATAATCAAAATTGTTAAGTTGATATGCACTTGTAACAAATGAAACTGGCAATTGAAAATTATTATATATCACCCCACTCTCTTAAGATGCGGCTCATCAACAGGACATTAAACATATAATTAACATTGAATGACGGAGTCTACTAGGTCATAAAAAACTCCCCTATCAGATGGTACTGAGTAGATTTTAAATTTTTCATGGATGTTTCTTGGTATCATAATCTTAAATTAAGTTTCGGGCATGTTGGGTATTTTGAGGTGGTCATCTTTAGCATTAACATATGATATTGTTCACTCAGTGTAGAATAATTTGCATTGTAACAAAAAGCCTTACATCATACATATATCTAATAATTTGCCTCTATTGCTCTAGATACCAGTGTTGATGTTGAAGCAATATACAAATTCTCCCGTGGCAATGAGGACAATGCATTATGGGAAGGTAACCTTGACAACCACAAGTTGTTGTGGCATGGCAGTAAAGTTACAAATCTAATCAGTATTCTAAACCGTGGACTGTTGATAGCAGTACCTGAAGCACCCAAGACAGGCTACATGTTTGGAAAGGTAAGAGAGCCAATTATCCCTGTGTCATCTTATTTAGTCTTGCTTCAAGTCTTTTGATCCCCCCTTATCTACCTCACCACCAGATATCAGTGATTGGTACACAGAAAAGAACCTGTGGGAGATGTGTTGTGAGGGGTCACAAAGGCTTCTAGTTGGCCTACAGTTTATTTACAATTGAAAAGTGTTAGGTGGAAGGTGGAATACTTATAGAAAAATCATTCAGTCTGTGATATTGTAATTTCAAGATTTCAAAAACAAAGATTTCATGAAAAGGGGAAGATGTTAGAGGTTTTGTTTAATTAGTTTTTATTGTACCTAACAAAAGGTACAATATTGTCGTCAGCTTGACGGGTGGGCGAGTGGGTGGCATCTCACTTTCTTGTTTGAGAAAAATTGTAGTTTAGTTAAGTATGGACAACTGAAGAGCCTGCAAATGTAAGAAAGGGTATTAGTACAAATTAGGTGGAAATTGATTTTATTCACTATAAGTATATAATTAAATGCTCTACATTATTCTATGGTATTGAAATAATGTCAGTTGACAATGGCGCATTTCTTTATTTCATAGTTACTTCAATGTGTACTAAAAACAACAATCCCTTTAGGTTGGTAGTACTACTATTAACCCATGCTCTATGCACACATTTTACTATCTGTTACTAAATTAGCTGATTTTCTTGCAGGGAATATACTTCGCAGATAGCTTCAAGAAGAGCAAGGCATATTGCCATGGCAGCAACACAAAGTATATGCTCTTATGTGAGGTAATTATCCAGTTTATTTTAATAACCTGAATGTTTGGCTTTACCTCTTGAATCCCAAGAATGACGAGATTTCTCTTCACATAAGAGTTGACTCTGAGATCTGGAGTGACAAGATAATACACTACAGAATTCCCAGAATTGTCCCTTGTTGTGTGGGTTTCAATGGCAAAAATTTGCAAAAAATGAAAAACGTTCAGAATAATGAAACTTCATAGGAGACAATACTTCATTAATGGTTTTCTTCATCAAGTAAAATATAAAAGTCACATTTTGTTATTATGAGTTAAGACGATTACATATTATAAAAATAGTGACTGCCATTGAGGGCAATAGTGTAAATTATTTCCCCGAGGGAATATCCTCTACAATGTACTGCGGCTGCGGCTTCGGGAATAGTACATTGTAGAGGATATTCCCAAGGGGAAATCATTTACACTATTGCTCGAAATTAGACAGTCACTATTTGTTTTATTATATACCATATACTGACTCTTGTCCCGTTTCCTCTGCGAAGGCCAAAAAGGCTTAGAAAGCCCCCTCCCCGGGTCCATTGTTAGCATTATAAGCTGTGACATCATCAGATGCTCAACAGAAATGTTTGCCTCTGAGACTCTCACTTGACAAATTCAATCGCGTTTAACACGCGGAATAGATTATCATAACACTTGAAATTACACAGACGTATTGAGCTCAGGGAACTTTATACACGTTGCTTATATTGTATCGTTCACGCACGTCTGTCATGGTGAACGGAGTTGATTTGTGTTTGTGCTCATCCTCCATTTTTCTGTTTTTCGTCTGCGCATCATCACTGCGCAGACGAAAAACAGAAAAATGGAGGATGAGCACAAACACAAATCAACTCCGTTCACCATGACAGACGTGCGTGAATGGTTCTATTTCCAAGGGTAATAGAAATTGCAATTGTGACGTCAGCGGGCAATAGTTCAAATGTATATTCCCGCTGACGTCACATTTGGGGGAATATAACTTTCCGAGGGAAATAGTAAATCTATTTCGGAACACGTGACTAGGTATTGACCAATCAGGATTAGTGTTACATATTCGGTATATAATAAATGATACTATGTAGGTATTTGATATGCTTTGTATCTTCACATTCATTTATATGTTGAATCTTTGATTTATTAATCTATATATGTAGGTTGCTCTGGGAAAGGAAAAACATTTTGAACAGTCCGAATACATGGAGCAGGCAGCTACTGGGTGTCACAGCACTTTAGGGTTAGGGGCTAATATGCCCAACCCAACAGATGATGCGGTCCTCAACTCAGGTCTGTCGACAAATCAACTTTTGAATCAGTTATCAAAAAATTACAAACTGGTGTTATATTTTTAAATTCTTCAGTTATGTTTTACTTAAGATATTTCTGATAAACATATTTTAGAATTTTCATTAAAACATGTATACTGTATGTATACATAATATATGTCCTACCATGAATTGCTCTGTTTGACAAAAACACAAATAACCATAGCAACCACAACTTTTTACAGATCATAGAACATTGCCCCAATGCATAGATATTTTTTATATTTTGTGAAAGTCTCAATAGAAAGAAATATTGGCAAGTACTAAAATGAGAACATTTTGCATGAACTTGTTAAATGACATGGAATTTTCTATTTTTACATTTTTTTATTTATTTATTTAAGCATCATTTGTAAACATAAAATATATGTTTTCAGGTGTGAAGATTCCACTAGGAAAACAGATTCACCGACCAACTCCCCAAGTTAGAAGTGAATACTGGAAGAAATATGGCTGCTGGCCTCTACAACAGAATGAGTACATAGTTTACAATGAGAAACAGGTCGCTATTCGTTATATCGTGCAATTTAGGAACCAGTCATGAATATGGTAACCATTGGTAACCATGCTTTTATATTTTAGTACACTGGAATTATTGAGAGGGGCAATATATTTGTGCTGCATAGTTCATAGACACACATTGTTGTGATGTCATAGACACACATTGTTGTGATGTCATAGACACACATTGTTGTGATGTCATAGACACACATTGTTGTGATGTCATAGACACACATTGTTGTGATGTCATAGGCACACATTGTTGTGATGACATAGACGCATATTGTTGTGAAGACATAGACACACATTGTTGTGATGACATAGAAAAGACACTCATAGTGATGTTGAGGTACAGCAATTGACACTCAGTAATTGTTAGTGATGTACTTGTGTAAAATAGGCAGGTGAGCTTGTGGCAAGATTGTAATATATCTCATACATGTATGTAATTAATATTTGAAACTAATTATAATAAATGCCTTCATACTGATTATTGAACAGGTTAAAATTTCAATTGGTATAAGTTTAAAATAATTTACAAGTAATGAAGCACTATTGTGCACACTTCAAATCTGGACTGTATAAAGGGTACATATTAAGAAAGTGCAAAATAGCCAGACGACTAGTACCATGATATGATGTTGAAATAGCAGAAAATTATATCACTGTCAAATTGGAAAGTTTGAAACAACCACATTCTATAGATTAATTCAGCTTCTGGGGGAGCTCCAACCTAAGATCTGATGCTGAAATATTTCATGATTCACTCTTAACATTTATCTCAGTAGGAAGGCAAGATGGCCACAAAATATTATAGTTTGTCAGAAGTGAAATTTAACATGTACTGAAAAACCTGTGAACGTGGAACACATTTGCTTCCTCATAATATATCTACAGAGGCTCATTTTCATTACTAGTACCTAAATGAAAACTGTTCTGCTTAAAAAAGGTGTTCCACTTTACAGGTTTTACTGTACATTGTGTGTATGCAAAATGAACCAAAAACGATGTGGTCTTTTTACCATGATCGTATAATAACTAAAATGTGAGTCTAAACCCATTTTGACTTTACAAAACTACAAAAAATATTATCTGGGACCAACTTACATGATATGAGTTGATAAGTGTTACTGAATGTGGTCAGATTGCAATATGGTCAGATTGTAATATAGTCAAATCGCAATATAGTTAGATGAGCATTGTTTTAATTAAATGTCCAACATGACTCAGAATGAATTAATGAATTGTAAATTTTTATTAAATTGTAAATATATTGTAGAGATGTAGTATAGTGCAGAACAGTCGCCATTTCATTTTGTATATTCTTCCATATTTTTTGGAAATGTCATGTTCTATGTATCTTATAATGTAGGAATTGGTAACAGAGTTGAATGACTGTATGTATGCATGACAGTATCTTAAAGCTGAATGTGAAATGTTCTTTTTAATTAAAGTGTCAGCAAAGGATAACTATCCAAAGGTTGAAATTGTTTCTATAAGGATATCAACATGTCCCATATGATCACCCATATTTGAGATATTAATCATGTACAAATTCTGAAGATGAACTGAAAAGAGGAACATCCCATTTTTTTGAATGAATGAAAAAACTTTCAAAAATACATAGTATCTCATTAATTTGATCTACCTTTTACATACATGCAATGTTTTCAGATTAAACTACGCATCTGGCATATCAAGCCTAAATATATAAGTATTGAAGGAGTAGTGCAGGACTAATCCAGTATGAATTTTATATATGTAGTTATAAATTAGTAGTTGAAGATATATGAATGAATAAATTAATAGTAATACAGTGCAGGACTAATCCAGAATGAATTTTATATGTGTTCGTAGTTGTTATAAATTAGTAGTTGAAGTTATATGAATGAATGAATTAATAGTAATCCAGTGATATGTATATTATATGAATAAGACTTTTTTAATCAATTTATTTAACCTAGGTCACAGGTGAATATAACATTCTAGTACATGAGCATAAGTGAATATTTGCATATACACTGTCATGTGTGCCAATAATTGTTATTTATTAAATATTAAGATATAATGAAACTTTGACGTGTAGGCAAAACATTGAATGTAATGTGAAGCATGTAGTATCATAATTTATGTGAGCATCGAGAATTTATATAATTAATTCCATTAATTTGGAAGCATGCAGAATATTGAATTCTGAAGTAATGTAGAACTGGACTCATTGCATTGTGGACTGATCCTTCCTCAAAAACGTATTCTCCAACCTTTGCATGAGTTTCGCAAAATCGAGTGCTAAGTTTAGGAAACAACCTGAGTGGAATGAATCATCCACAATGCATGGAGTCTTTGGCTTAAATTCTTTTCACACATTGCAAAATGTTTTCTACAAAATCACCTAAAAGATATGAAATCAATAGTAAAAGAACATATTTTCAATGTGCAAGGGTCAAATTGGAAAAGTATCAATTTCAATCTGTCAAGTTGTCACCTTGACAGCCATTCAAAAAATGACCTTGGGTGGATTATTGGTTCTATAATGCATTGCAGTTATATGAAACACTGTATTCAGATTGGCTGGAATTGGACACACCTTACCTAAGCTATGTGTGAAAATCATATACATTAATGATATGTGAAATTCTATCATGTTTTCAATTTTACAAAATAAGCGATCGTTCGGTTACCCTGATTTTCTATTTCCTACACTTATATTGAATAGGATTATGTGTAGGATTACATGTAGTTGTACATTGTTGTATTGTTAATTTGGTGCTTTTTACATTTGTTAATGATTTGGTATGAACATAACTTACATACACCCTCGTTAAATTAAGATATTTAATTAAATAAATATGTATACATGTACATGTTGTGGGTGTGAAATCTTGTCAAAACCATAAATCAAGTGATACCAATAAATGTGTACAAATGTTTCAACTTTCAACAATTCCATAGCTGGTTTTGCATGTTTTCAAGGGCAAAAGCAGGATTAAACGTATTTCTTACTTTTTCTATTAATTCAAAAAAAAATGTAAAGACTTTCTAAATGATAAAAAATCCAGTGCCTTGGGAATCTTGAATTTTTGGCGCTACACATATTTTTCTTGTCACCAAGATACAAATTATAGGGAACCTTACTTTTTGTGAAGATATTTGATGGAATTTTTAACAAAAATTTGAGTATATTCAGAATGGGTCTTTCATCTTTTATTAAAAGTACACGTGTGTGTATCTCTCATGATAATTTATACAAATATGTCATTAGTTTTGATGAATCCTATCCTATTTTAAAGAATTGTATACTATATATATATATATAAACAGTATACAATTATACATGTATAACTGATACCAGTAATAGAAAAGTATATCTGATATTTTTGTGTACTTGTATATTAGACTGTAGCCTCATTATGTAAATGAGAGTGTAAAATAAAGCAGAATTTTGCATCAATATAAAATATAGACTTTTTGTTGCATTGCTTGGTTACAATGATTTGCCAGCATGTACTGGATGTGTCTGTTTAGAATGTCAAATTTTACTCAATTCATCCTCAATAATTTACACCCCAAAATGTTCGAAATTATTTGTTACTTGATATTCAAAGAATGTCAAGCTTTGGTAATTTCATAAGAGGTTTATATCTGTCCATTGGTGATGTGCAAGGTTCACAGGCTTCTCATTACTGTATCATAAATTGAACATGTTAGAACAGACCTTTCCAATAAGCACTGCCACCTTTTGATACATCAAAGAACATATGATATATTGGCTAGATTGGTGATGTCATAGATTGTACTTTTCAAAATTAGCAAAAAGTTAATGCAATAGGCCTAAATTTATCCTATATTTTGGTTGGACAAATTGCGACACATATGACCCAATGATATCATCAATCTAGCCGATTTCTCATAGATTCTTTGATATTCTAAAAGGTGGCAGGGTTTAACATTTTATTGGAAAGGTCAATTCAGAATCAGAATCCAATATCACCCTATACAGACTGTGATATACAAAAACAAGCGGTGCGGATATAATGTGTGCAAGGTGTGGATATTAAATGTTGAATATAACTGAGTATCCAACATGCCTTGGTTCATGAAATATCACGAATTCAAATTCAAAAATGACTGTTAATATCCACACCACTTGTTTTTGTATAGCAGTCTGTATAGGGTGAATTATACCCCTGGAATATCTGTCAACGTCGCAATGGATTAATTGTCCTTTTTTAAATGTTGGTCAACAAGAAGAGGGCCATGAATTGAAATGTGTCCTGGCATGGACAATTCTGGTTGGCTCAATGAGTCAAGATATTTCTATTAAACTTATAAGGACTGTAGGCAAAGCCATATTTAAAACAGCAAAGTCAAAGGGAAGCTAAATAGACATTTAGCTTGATAGACATTTAGCTTGAGGATCCATAATTTTGTGATATTTGGAGAAATGGAACATGGTCCAAATGCTCAACATAAAATATTCCTATATACATTATTTTATATTATTTGTATTATACATTATTTTCACACATAAACAGGGGTCTTTTTCTTCTTGGCAAATGTATCAGTGTCTATATCATCTTCAGAGTCGCTAGAGTCACTGTCTGAGCTTTGAGAGTATGCCCCAAGTCCAGGTAAGACACCTATCACTTTGGCCATGCCTCCATTTGATGATGTCACAGTTGAATTTTGTGATGTCACAGATGAATTGGTTTGTGTTACTGTGGAATCAGATGTGGCAGTTTCTGGATTTGTTGAATCTGTAATATATAAATAGACATGTACATATAATATGATTCTTTGAGTGATTAAGAATGAATAAATTAGTTAATTGTCTTAATTAATGCTTCTTTTTCTGTGATTGGTTGGACACAGGTCACATGACAAGATAAACAATGTGATATTCTCTTGGGTTGATTAGACTTCATTGGCAAATACCCAAATCTATCCAAATCTACCCAATTCATTTTTTAACATCCATCATAGCTCTGATGCAACAAGGCATTAACACGCAAAATGTCACCCTCCCTCTGTCATTTGCTACAGACGCCAACCACCAAATGCTGTCCACAAAAGTTTGAGACTATAACAATAACATAATGGCACCACTTATGACTTGGTAGTGACATAATAAAAACTTAATTTTGTATCATACCTGAACTTGTAGTTCTCTGTTTCTTTGAGTCTAGATTACTGGAGGAATCTGGCCTGAAAGTAAACCAAAGTTAATCCATATTGTGTAAAAAAGGATCAGAATTGACAAAATCTGTTTGTCATCAAATCAGTCAGTTTTGTGTAACATTTTGTTCTCTATCATAAACACTTCGTTCACTCGGCTCCCATTGGTCGGATCAACACAGTGAAGACTCAGCGTTTGAAGCTGTACATCATATAATTGCAAAAATAGTCACAAAGTATAAGCTAAGGATCATTCACTTTATCAAAATCAAAACTCACTCAGTTTTCCTTTTCACAGCCCCAGCTAATAGTTTCTTCTGCGTCTCTTTCTTTTCTGTTCCCATTTGAGGCCTCGCCACTTTTTTCTCTGTTGATACTTTCGTTGTATCGGTTACCTTCGTTACCATGGCCTCGTAAAATGGGTTAAGGAAATGAATTCTTTTTTGGGATGGTGTATAAAATGTCTATATGTTGTAGATGATTTCATTTGGAATTTTTTTCAACTAATTTATACAGAAGTAAGTAGAGTATGTGCTGAGAAGAGGTGTTCACAAGACACAGATGTTCACTTGAGAGAGGTGTTCACTAAGATAGGTTTAACCGTATATACCAGATCATGGAATAAATTTCAACCTAGTTCATGTATAAAATCTGAATTATCATGCAATCTAGATAAAATAATACTGATTTTTCCCAAAAGGATATTTTGTATTCCTGTAATAACCGTTTCTCCTCTCTTTCTCTCCGCTCTTCAATTTCCTCCTGTTTTTGAGACACAAAATCTAAGAACTCCACTTCATCAGACTCTAGTCCTCTCACCATATTTTCTGTAAAAGAAATGGTATCTAGAAACTTCACAACACAAATTTGTTCTAGTCATCTAATTTATTTTGTATAAGATAACAGGTATCTAGAAACTTCACAGCATTCTTATTTCAAAGTCTAGAAACTTCACTTTTTCATTTTAAGTCCTCTGGTCATATCACAATCACATTTTTTGTATGTGAACATATATTTTACATCATCGTTCATGGGCGTAGCTAGCCATGATGCAGTTAAGGTATGGCAACTATAATATTATTAAGCTTACAAAATACATTTAAACATACTTAATTTATGGGCTTCGTCATACTCTTCTTGCTTTGCAAGCTTATTGGCCTCAAGTTGGTCATACAAGCAACGTGGGTCAAATTTTTCTTCAGGTGCCTCTAAAAATACAGTAACACTAATTAATATACAGAGTGTGATGATTTGAGAATAAAAATACAAAACTTTGAATCTTTAGTTCAAGCAAAATCTACTTTGATCTTAACTTCAAAATACTTTAATTTTTGATTTTTTCTATAACCATATCGAATGTTGGAACAATTAGCCTTGAGCAATCAAAAAATTCTTAAATAGTTAGGAATTTTCTGCTATGAAAGCCATGTAAACATTAAGTACACTATCTTAAATGCAGGCAATTAATCACTCCACCTCAAGCTTAGTGACCATAATGCTATACATGGCCAATATTAGGTAATGTTAACTTTAATCTTTCCCCACTTTAAACATAAACATTCTCAGCTTTGAAACAAATAAAAAATTCAAAATAGATGATCTTCACTCTCTGTTCCCCTAAAAAAGTATAACTACTGTATATTCTTAAGAGATTGTAATAATTAAGCACAATGAGCAGCCTATATATATCAAAAGCCTCAAAATCTTTCAGAAATTTAACCTTACCCATTGGCTCCTCTGGTTTTCTGACTTTCTCCCATTCTTCTTGTCTCTTTTTCTTTTTCTCCGCAATCTCACCCTCGGTCTCAAACTTCTTGAATTGTGGCATTGAGGCAGCTCCGTCAGATTCTTTGAAACTCATGTTTGTATGTGTTAAACAGTGTTCTTATCTATAAAAGATCAAGAAACATCATGATATATCATGGAAATTCTTCCTTTTGATAATCAGAGATTGGTTTGACCTATCAGGTATTGAAAAGTAATGTAGGGCTGGATCAGCGTTCCTCACAAACAATTTTTACAACGCATATCACTTTACTTTTCGATAGGTTTACAACAGTGATGGTGGTCTGTTCGGAGACATTTAAATTTGCTGACTGGATAGCAGATTTTGTTGTTAGCTTTCTGCAATCAGTCCCATGCATCCTAACATTCAGCAAGACTAGATCTGTTTCTGTTGCATCCATGGTGTAGTGGATAAGGTGTATCTGGCTTCTAATGCTAAGGTCCTGGATTAAAATCCAGTCTATGGCACAGATGCATGTAACTAACTTAACTAGATCAGATATACCTGGGAAGTGATAACTAGAGTGCAGCCTGCTACCTGTAAAAGTCTGGTGCTGGCAAAAGTCTTAGCCAGCATAAAGATACCAGTTACTGTTAGATTAATACGGGGAACTTTTTCCATCTTACGAATACATAATATTCTATAACTAGGAGACCATGTATTCTACATGGTTTGTTTTCGAGGTTGGCCAATAGATGTCACTTGGTTCAAGTTCCTGTGAGTTGAACAATCACTGAATCAGAATGTAAGATTGAAAGTAGATGCAAAAGATCTAACAAATGACTAACATATATAGATATTTTTACTAATAATTGTAATAATTGTAAGTTTGTATCAAAAATGAATCGTTTGTTACAAAAATAATGGGGCCCAATAATATTACAGTTTGTTCATTACACTGCTTCAAAGGCAACTAGTTGAACCTGAAAAATAAGAAATCTAAAGACTATTGTTAAAGTTAAAAAATTATAGCGTCACACTTATGTTACGTCACATCACGTCATAATCGGTGCGGAGAGCTGACGAAAATATTGACGAAATGTTGTGCCCATTTCAACATCAATATAACAAACAAAACACCACATTTACGTGTAAGTTATATACTCTTTAATTCAAATAAATACTTGGGTTTACATGGAGCCCAATGTTTTGGTTGGATGGCTTATAGGGAATGAATAATAAGTGATGATTCAGCGACATGTTTTTTCCGGAGTAAATCCCCCCTTTTTAGCATTGGACCTCGTCTGGCCCAGATCTACGACGTCAGGAGTAGATAACTGGGCCAGACAGGTTTGGTTATCACTGTAAAAATGGATGTAAAAAATTGTAATTTTTTCTCTCATAATTATTCGATTTAGATCTGAACTTAGGTCCTTAAGGAATGATTAGACTACTTAACAACGTTAGTTCTATGATCTATTGATTGGGGAAGCGGATAAACCGGTGCAACCAATTTCCTGAGCGAAAAATATAAAAGAAAGCAAACTACCTGAATGTTTCTGAAACAGCACTGCCAAACGTGTTTAAAATCCCTTTAAAATGTTTTGCTATAGCGAGCTCTAACAATAAAAATGCGAACGGTCTTACTTGTCGTTCGCAGATGGTGTTCAATCTTCAAAAAATGGGTCCAAATTTTGGGCAAACATTTTTCCCCAAAAAATATTTTTACAGTCATAACATGGGCTTCCAAACACGTACATTACTACTCACACACAACAAATATCATAAAAATTCCGAACATACACTTCCCGTTTAAAAAATTTGTCGTTCGTACTTATTTTCTTTTAGCTGAGAAGGGGATTCCCCTTACGTCACAAAAAATGCATCTTGGGAGTTTCAAAGTTCTCCACTTGTTCTGATGGCGTAAGTAAAACTGTTTTATTCATGTTTTCCTGACTGAAGTATGAGTTAAATGTAAATCATGTTTCTCTCCATACATTCTTCTTACTTGTAACGCGCTATGCAATGGAATCAAGTGGTAGTATTCATCTCTGAAGGGTTTAGAATTTCTTTCTAAAAAAATGAAAACAAAAAATGGCCGCCATTTCATTTTCATTTGATGTGTTATTTTCTTACCATCTTATGCAACAAAAGTAACACCCTAAACTAATAGTCTTAGCATTGACATAGCCTTAGACATTGGCTCTTAAATAGTCGACGATCGCCTGAAATCAAACCTAAAAGCAAAAATATGTCATGTGACTAATCGACCTGTGATGATTTTGACCCGGGATTTTGACTTCTCAGAAGTTGAAAGATTCATGTCGATCTGATTTTGATTTTAGGTTTATCAACAACTCTTGTTCCAAATTAAATCAACATGACTGAATCAACGATCATCCCCACACGTCTGCGGATGGATCCTATAGCGTCTGACTTTGTGTCACCATCATCTGAAGTCGTGTCTCCTCTCTCTCCATCACAACATTTCCAATACTCACAGTCCCAAGCTCCAACTTCACTTTACTTGTCGAATGATGATCAACAGCGGGTTGTGGCAGCCCAGATTCGACGTGCCAAAGTCAGATTACAGGAAGCTGTTGTCAAAGGAAATAAAGAACTTTGTAAAAAAGAGTGTACTGGATTGTTGGCTATTGATGTACCTTTACACGTTAAATATGATAAACTTCAAGTAAAAGATTTGCTTCGTGACAACTCAAAGGTATTTATAAAACATTTTGGGTTAGCAAAATCCATTATTTTTTCAGTTCATGTGGCTTGCTTTCAAAATATACACCTTCCAACAAACCTTTTTCTTTGAAAATGTCTGAAATAAGCTAAAAAATACCTGTAATTGACTTAAATGTCCCATACTGCCGACATACAAAATTGTCCCATACTGCCGACATGCAAAATTGTCCCATACTGCCGACATGCAAAATTGTCCCATACTGCCGACATGCAAAATTGTCCCATACTCCCGACATGCAAAATTGTCCCATACTGCTGACTTTTACCTCAATAGATTCATTCCCCAACATCTCTGGTAATCTCTAATCATTTATAATTCTGAATTATTGCTAGAGAGCCTTAGAGTATATATATTTTTCTATTAGCATAAAATGCAAATTGCTGACCATTTAAATAATATAAATGTATTCACATTAATCTAATAATAATTGAAGCAAGAAAGATTTGTATCCATATAGAACAATCAAGTTTCTTGTTAAATGGAGTCTTGGTCAACTAAACTTTTACCATTTTTAATATGTAGAGGGAGGTCAGCACATTGCAAGTTTACAAGGTTAGCTTTATTAAAGTTGTCCACATACTTTGAAACACTCAAAAGCAGTTATTCATCATCATGTACACACAATCTCTTAAGTGAATGTAAACCAGAAATGAGTGATGATTGTAAGTTAAGGACAATATTTTTTTCAATTTCTTACACATTTTATATTTGTTTTTTCAGCTTGCAGAAAGTGTAGATGCTACATTGTCAGCCCTTGGGGCGGGGATAACAATCTTAGAGAAATATGCCAAGAATTTACTGAAACCTCTGACTCAGAGACCATCAGTCTGGAGAACTGTCAAATTCTCCAATGAGATATTCAGACAGAGGGTTGCAAACATCAAGGTACGGGACATAAGTGGTTTCACTAGAATTTCTCACAACAGGCTAAATAAACGAAAACAGCAGGCAATGAAAATTAATGGAAATCATAAATTTAACATGGAAAAGTGCCTCAAAACAGCAGGCAATTTCGTGAAAACAACCGGTGAAAATCGCCTGTTGCTTGCTGCTAATGAAACCCCTGGGACAGTACAACTTCTTCACATTTTTCAATTTAAAAATGTATTTTTGAAAATATTTTCATTCTCGCTGGATTCTGGAATTATATTCTAAATCTACAACTCTGTTCAATTTAGGGTTCTGTGGAGATAATAAGAACATTGGGATATACAGTTGAACTGCCAGATGGTTTAACCTATCCTGAAGGCATAGAACCAGACCATGATATCATTCTGCGACTTACAACAGAGCTTGTCATGCTACAAAATGAGCTTACTGCCTATAGAACTGGAAACCACCCACATGCCAATGTCTTGGAAGCTCATCTTCTTCAACTTGATACAAGGTACCTACTATTTTCTTTATTTTTTAAGTCACCACCAGAAGTGGTGGATGGAGTTCGGTGTCTGTAATCACATCTGTAACAAATGGCGGTCGATGTCTGTATCAAATGGTAGGTTGAGGCATTTTGCATGTTACTGCCTTGTCAGTTTCAGTTCTAGCTTGCCATCAATGTTAACATTGTTTAGTATGTGTTCTGATGCTAAATTATGATAGGTTTACCAGTTAATATTTCAGCCACAAAAATGTATCTTTGTATTAATACACCTATAATATACCTCTCGGTGTCTGTAATCACATCTGTAACAAATGGCGGTCGATGTCTGTATCAAATGGTAGGTTGAGGCATTTTGCATGTTACTGCATTGTCAGTTTCAGTTCTAGCTTGCCATCAATGTTAACATTGTTTAGTATGTGTTCTGATGCTAAACTATGATAGGTTTACCAGTTAATATTTCAGCCACAAAAATGTATCTTTGTATTTATACACCTATAATATACCTCGACCTTCTTATAGTGACACAGGAGTGAAGCAAGCTGACATTCAATTGCAATCTATACCAGTCAACCCCACTGGTGCTCCTCTACCTACTGATAGCAAACAGACTGAAGTAAAGGACACTGCTGGTGATGGGGATGAGGCTAAATCAAGTTCAGATGATGAGTTCTGTTCTCTTCCACCAGATGCCACAGGTACATTCATTTAGATTGGGATAATTGAATTGAAAGACCCAGGCCAAAATGCAATTGGAAAATCTGAAATTGAATGTATGGTATATTCATGTAAGCCATATATTCAGTCCCTGACAGACAAGATTTTAAAAATTGTGACTAAAAAATCTATGAAAATTCTAATGCATTATAATTCTGCATTATAAATAAAGATTCATCTCTTGGAATAACTAATGACAACTTGTGAATTTTCAGATGCCCCTACAAGCAGTGAGATGTGCCACGTTTGTGGAGAAACATCTGTGGCTGTAAAATGTGAGAATTGTGAACACGAGACAAATAGCTTCTGTAACAACTGTGATAATGTATGGCACAAGAATCCTAAGAGACAGTCCCACAAAAGGACCCCTCTCTATGGTGACATTCTGGAGAAATCTGATTACCATCAGTCAGAAACAATAAGAGTGATTCCTGGTAAAAGGTATGTAGAGTTAAATGTTAATGCCTTATTATGGAAACACAATACCTAAATAATACATGTAGGTGATCTATTGAAAACAACCTGTTGCCTGCTCATGATATAACGAAAGCCCTGCTTTTGTATATTTAGCTGGGGAGCAGAACAATAAACACACATGCAGCTCAACAAACCATTGTTTAATTTATCGATCCAAAGATTTCTATATCTCATCAACCAGAAAATCACTGAGCCTAAGTTGATGAATTTGATATTAGTTGGTTTACATATTTTCTTTGATTTAAAAGTTGTTGTACTTAATAGATACATTTTTCTGTGTTTCAAGTAGTGCTGCTGTGTCAACCTCCAATAGTCCAACTTTGTTGTCAACAGATGAGCAGCTGAAGTTTCTACGACAACAGCAACAACAAAACTGGCAAAAATCCAAAGAGAAAGTCAGTGCGCCCCATAATGCATCAGATCTGGCAGACGATGTTATTAAGAAGCCTGTACATCATCCCCCAGGGGTAACCACACAACAGTCACATGGATTTGCCTCCAGCAGTTCAGTATCTACCCATTCTAAACCAGGTGATTCAAGAGGTGACACTGTAGGACCGCAGAGCCTTCTAAATTACAACTCACAGACGGGACGTCCCCATTATACCCTCATCTCTGGCTCAAAGCCATCCATCACCAGACGGATGACCCCAGAACGTAGCCCCACACCTACAGGACAAATGAATGTAGGTCCCTGTCCAAAGTGTTACGCTATGATAAATTACAGTGAAAATCGATGCAGCCAGTGCAATGCTCAAATATCAGAGGACTTTAAACTGAAAGTGAAAAAGGAGGATCTTGTCCCTGGAATGCAACATGCGACCCCCAAACATCTAGGTCCACAAGGAGATGTACTAATGCTAGATCCAAATGCTCCTAATCTCACCTTACCAAAACAAAGTCTTTCGCCAAATCCTTCATTGCAGTACCCAATGCCTAATAGCCCTGACTACAATCAACATTTATATCCCCAACAACAATCGCCAAATATACCTGTATCTTCAAATAGACAGCTGCTACAGCAATATAGACCCCCTCCACCACCTTCTTCCACTCTGCCAAATTTATACCCCCCACAGACCATCATTCCAAATACACCTGGGTCAGATACGATGCTCCCTCACACCCAGCAGCCTGTCATTTACCCCCCACAGACAATCAGCTCCAATCACCCTGACTCGACTATTGTACCATCAAACTCCAGTAGACAAATTCCAGACACAAGTTTCGAACATGTGTTTTCAAATGCCGATCCTCATCTCCAACAGTCATCTGTGATTTCAAAGAGCGAATCCCCAAAGGAGGTGTCCCAATCCCATCAAAGAAGATCTAGCTCAAGTGGCGGAAAGGAAGGTTACACTTGTGAGTGGCAATGTGAACACTGTACTTTCCTCAATGATCCTGGAACAAGAGTCTGCTCAGTCTGTGATAAAACAAGTGATAAGCCCATCCTCTTAAATCAAGAAGAATTACAAAGGACTCCACTTGGTGATGTTTTACACCATAGTCAGTCGACACCGTCAAACTTGTCAGGCACCATGCAACATCATTCACCACCAAACCTGTCAGACAGCAACATGCTACATCAGTCTCCAAACCTGTCAGCCACTTTGCCACATCAGTCATCACCAAATCTGTCAGCAACTACTTTACCACATCATTCGCCAAACATGTCAGCTACATTGCCATTTCAGTCATCACCAAACCTGTCAGCAACTACTTTACCACATCATTCGCCAAACATGTCAGCTACATTGCCATTTCAGTCATCACCAAATCTGTCAGCAACTACTTTACCACATCATTCACCAAACATGTCGGCTACATTGCCATATCAGTCTCCTCCAAATGTATCAGCCGCCACTATGCCACACAAGTCAACAACCGATGTGTCAATCGGAAGAAGATTTATAGAAGATCAAGATAAAGTGTATCTTGAAAAGAAAGAAGCACACAGGCAATATCAGCTGAAACTAAAGGCAGAAAGACAGATGGCTACCAATGCTACAGCCATGAAATCAAATGTGAATCCCCCACAGCAAATCTCTGGACCCCAAACACTGAATGTGCTGCCAAGAATAGAGCAGACTGCTTTAGCCCAACCAACCTCAGAACCACAAGGAGGCACACAACATATTTCACCCCCACAGCCATCCCTGATATCAAATATGAAAACCCCACAGCAACCCTTGAATTCAGATGTGCAACCCCAACAACCTAGTCAATCATTTGTGAATATGAGAAGTCATATTGTTGAAGGAGATCGTGTAGAACAAGCCATTGAAGCAATACATGAGGTTCAACCTCCAGAAAATCCTTCTCAAACCATTGGAGAAAACACCTTAGGACAAGGTAGATCACTCATGGACATTGTAGGTGCATCCCCTCAGCAATTCCTACCACAAGTTGGCCAGTCAGGGAAATCTGATACGATTAAGAAGGCCCTTGAGAAAATTGAAGCGAAAAAGCATCAAGAAGACATGATCATCTCGGGCCAAAAGCTGATTAGGCTAATCAGGGTAATTCCTTTCCCTCTTTCTGCTAGAGTTATTATAATTGAGAGCTGTTTGGATCATTAGATGATCATGATATTCATTATAATACAGTGAGGCTTTGGCTTTGAAAGTCAGTTACATTAACTGTCTCATTTAAGTTTTAGGCCACAATGACTTACAATTCTAAACATGAAGTACTTAAAGTAAACATCTTAAGATATTTGGCAGGTCATTAAGATACTTTCATTTTTAATTTTATTTTACTTTTTAGGCAGCTGATGTTTCAGACTTCAGTTTGGAAGAGATGGAAATTGCAATTGAGATATCTGAGAAAGAGGACCCAATTAATTGGCTCCATAAATTCTGGGATAATATGATTGAGACTGTGATCACTATGGCAACCATCCAAGATGGCGGAGAGTTTGGTGAGGTTTCATACATCGAGGCTCGGATGGCTCTTGGAGAGTGTAGAGGAAGGATTCAGGACACAGTGGACTACTGCAGAGCATCACGGGAAAAGAAGGTAGGCTTTGTTATAATGAATGTACAATAACACATATCCCTAAAGGAGAAGATCTTTGTCATAACAATGAGCAAAAATAATACATAAATTTCAAAAATATATATTATATTAATTTGATGATTATTGCCATTATGGGCTTTCAAGGGAAAGACCATGGTGCCATTTTGAGTCATGAATATCACACTAAAACATTTTTCCTTTAATAACACTTTTACTTGCGTTTTCAAATACATGTACTCTTTGCAATGCAGGTTGCTGAATTGATAAAAATGACAGCTTCATCAAGGGAAGATGTTCTTGATAGTCTGTTACAGAATGGTGGGGATGTGGCGGATTCAGCTCTTAGTCTGCATAGACAAAGTCTCATTCAGTTTCAAGGTACATTTGGGGTTCAGCATCTGTATCAAATTTTTACAACATCCAATAACTTATGGTGACATTTTGTCATGTTAATGCCTTTTGTGCATTTTCTTAAACCGTTTTATAATGTTTGTAACAATTTCAGACCATATATGGGCAGATGTTGAAGAGCATGCTGAAGCTATGATCCAGGGAGATATCCAAGTCATCATGAATTCACAAGAAATCATGGAATCCTTGAAAAATGTTAACATAGATGCAGAGGTATGTCAAGCTTTGTTCTGTTTTATAGTGGAATTTTTCAAAAAAGCGAAGTCACATAAAGTGAAAAAATACATTTCAAACTACAAACAAAATCCCAAAATTAATTAAAATGATTTCACCTTTCAGTGTTCTCAACAGAATCTTTTCTCAAGTGGGTGCAAGGTTCTCATTTTTCAATTTTTCAGACCAAAATTAGTCAAAATATGCCAATTTTTCTTTGTTTTCTCATTTTAAAGTGGGTGCAAATGGATTTTCAGGTATTTGCACTGCAAGCCTATTTCAAAATCTCAAGTGGGCACTCAAGCTAGGGAGATCAATTCCTTTATGTATAAAGCATTTTATCTAAATAAGGATACCTTGAACAGTTTAAACATATTCCAGTCAAAATTAGTATATTGTGCTTAGAATTTAGAAAAATTCCTATGGAAGTTACTGTGTGACATCAATACATGTCCAGTATTTGATTCCAGCGTCGTACGAGGGAGATTCTCGTAGAAGGCAGATTAAAGTCCTGGGAGGAAGCGGAGTCAGTGATGAAAATTTTGGAAATAGGAGATGAAGAGATGAATGTTACACTTGAAGATATTATTGAAGCAGTGAAGACAAACTCTGGAGACGTGTATGGTACATTAGATTACTTGAAACAAGAGTGTGAAATATGCTATGAAACCTTTCCTATGCACTATGTGAGTACTATTTGGATCATTGAATGATCAGTATGTAATCCATGCAGAAATTATTTCTTAGAGTTAATTTCTCCTGGGACCATTGAAAATAAGCAAGTAATGAACGATTTATTTTGAGAGAAAAAAATGAATGCTGAGTAACACATATTAAAGGGGAGGGGCCAAACTAAAATCTAATTAATTACATTCTAAGATGATATTGAAATATTGACCTGATCCCTTGTTTATGTCAAACATTTAATATGTGAGTAATCCCTCTTTTTTCAGATCCGTAGTATGATATTGTGTACATGCAGTATATGCACCAGTTGTATGAAGCAGTACATGGAGCAGAATATACGAGAGTCACCTGCTAAGAACTTTGTCTGCCCAGTTTGTCAAGTTCCTGATATAGAGAATAACCCACAGGCTGATAACCATTTTCAGATGCTCAGTGAGTAAAGGAAGGGTGTAGAGGAAGGGAGTGTGGGAGGGGAGTGAGGAGGGAGAGGGGGATGGGAGTAGAGGAAGGAGAAGGGGAGGGGGTGTAGAGGAAGGGAGTGTGGGAGGGGAGTGAGGAGGGAGAGGGGAGTAGAGGAAGGAAAAGGGGTGTGGGTGGGTGTAAAAATCGAACAGGATAGAAATAGACAGTTTCATAAGATATAATATGTAATCAGACGACATATGATAATGATATAATATGATACAATATAATGTTTCTGTCAATTGTCAATTCTGAAAGCATCTAAAAGCTTGAAGATTCTAGATATAAATAAAGAAAAACTTGCCCCTGGAGTCAGTTGATGAAAACAGCTCTTGAAAAACACATTTCCAGAGTTCAGAGAAAATGTTCTTTTTGTTTTAGATCTGATGCTTGGTCAACTGGTTGAAGAAGATGTCTTGGATTTATTTCAAAGAAAACTCCGTGACTGGAATATTCAAAAAGAACCCAACTTTAGATGGTGTGCAAGTGTAAGTCTTTCATTTGAAATATTCATTTTAAAAATAAAGATTTGGGTTCTCAAATTTTTGGAGGGGGGTGTAATGTTAAGATTAAAGCTTAGTGTCAGTACCCTTTGTTTTTTAAATGAATTATTTCAATTAATGAAATAAAATTATTTTTTATTGCAGTGCGAATGCGGTTTTATTTTTAATCCACAAAATCCTGGTCAGTTGAAGATGGTATGCCCAGACTGCAATAAACACACTTGCTTCAAGTGCAAGAAAATTGTAAGTTCAATTAATGCAAATTTTTAGTATCACTTTTATCCATCAATTTTTGCCCAAACCACTAAAATGAAAATAATTCAAATCAATATCTCAAACAGTTTGCCTGGAACTACATAGACAAGATTTCAGAACCCTGCCCTGAACCCCAAAACTGATGCCTGGTAAATGAAGGTAATAAGAAAAAACATTTTGTTTACAGTGGGAGCCCCAGCATCATGGTATCACATGTGAGGAGTTTGCCAAGTGGAAGGCTGACAATGATCCTGAACACCAGGCTGCTGGACTTGCTAAACATCTACAGGAAAATGGGATAGGTACACATGAAGAGATTTATATTTATTAAACAGGGGCCATTAACAGAAACTTTGTAAAGTTAAGAATTTGTAAAATCCATTGTTATCTAACTATGTCGTCATTATATCCATGGTTACAACTACTGATATACGAATTCGGAACTTTAGAAAGTTTTTGTCAATAGAGAGGTTAAGCAACACCACTTTTTACAACGTAAACCGCAAACGGGAAGGCGCGCGCAGGTTTTTCTCAGGAGATGACGTCATATTGTTCTACTTATTTCCCGGTTTACGTACATCCAAACGTGAAAAAACAAAGTCTAGGTAGGTCGTTCCGTGAAGGATTTTTCATACTTTATCAAGTTCGATTGAGATAAATATGATGTAGGTCGAATACATAAATATGTTTGACACAAATCTGTGTACATATCGAGGTCATTTGTGTCCAATCTAATCAAATATAACTTGAATATTGAGGCACCCATTCCATATGTAAAATCTGATGAGATTACATGCAACTGCAATTACTCACATGTCAACTCATCCTCTTTATACATATTGTGACACCATAGTAATAAAACTATGAATGCCTTGAAGACTTGCTTTAAAGATATTATTGCGTCCAGTTGTATTTTGTAAGATTCAAGATGTCAAAGAACACTACCAGGGTGTGAAACATCTCCTCTGTTAACACTTCAATTTGTCAATAAAGTTATGTTTTTTATACTTTTAAAGTAGAAAATAAAACGAAACGCCGCTAAGAAAAAGAAAAAAATCATTTTGAGGTTTGCGTTTGCGTTACGTCTAAAGTGCTCAGCTTAAAGCGCTTGTGTTCATAGTACGTAAACGGGAAGTAAAGGTTTACGTTTGCGGTTCGCGTCATAAAAAATCGTCTTGCTTAACCTCTCTAATGACTCCCAGTTGAAATCTTGAATGCAATAAATCAGTGGTGTCTGTTTTCTTAGTTCAATACACTTTTGCTTTATTTGCTGTCACAGGGATATTTTAAATATCTTGGATAACAAAGCATACATTCGAAATACTGTAATAAAGAAATTTTCCTATATTTTCAATGATGTATGTTCAACCCTAATCACAGGACACTTTATCTTAAAAATGAAGTGCTTAAACTTTTTTTATCCATATTTTGTTCAACAATTATGTATATTTGATTTTACAAAATACAGCCTTGCTAGTCTTAATGAAGCTACATAAGTTAATTCCTGTTAAAGGTCATATTTCATATTTAATTGTAGATTGTCCAAGGTGCAATTTCCGTTATGCATTAGCAAGAGGGGGTTGTATGCACTTTACATGTAACCAGTGTAAGCATGAATTCTGCAGTGGATGCTCTAAGCCTTTCATACGAGGAGATGTAAGTACAATCATACCCTGTTAGTACAATATTAATACCATTTTACCTTGTAAGGACAATTATACCCTATAAGCACAATGTAAGTACAATTGTACTCTGTAGGTACAATGTAAGTACAATCATACCCTGTTAGTACAATATACCATTTTACCTTGTAAGGACAATTATACCCTGTAAGTACAATTGTACCCTGTAGGTACAATTTAAGTACAATCATACCCTGTAAGTACAATGTAAGTACAATTATACCCTGTAAGTACCATGTAAGTGCAATCATACACTGTAAATACAATCTAAATACAATTGTATCCTGTATGTACAATGTAAGTACTATCATTCCCTGTAATACAATATAAATACAACTGTAGGCCTTCCCTGATTCATCAGCCTCACTGTTTCTGATTGATACAGGTGATTGTAGTCTTTTGATCCTCTCTCATCTGTTTCACCTCTTGTGGATAGAGTTGTTTGTGAAATGATAAGGGAGGACACAATGTTTTTCAGGAAGAATTATATGAGATTTAAATGATCTGAAATGTAGATTTTATTGATTTTCTGAAAACTAACGCTGACTACAAAATCATTAATTTTTTGTCTAAAAAATAAGGGACTTTTACCTTTTGTTTGTGGTTGGACAACGCTCTATTGATCTTGTTCCTAATTCAGTTTTCATGTAATCATAGACTATCATGTTTATATTTTAGAACTGCAAAGAGCTGGCAAGCTGTGCTAAGGCTGGGATGCACTGCCATCATCCCAGAGATTGCCTCTATTATCTACGTGATTATGACGTGAAAACACTCCAGCAGCTTTTAATGGTGAATGTCTTTATATCATTTTAATACGAATATTTTGTGGGCACATATCTTTTGTGTCTTAAACAATCAAACAATGTGAAAAGATGTATTTTGTGTCTTAAACAATCAAGAATTGTGCGTAGATATCTTGTGTCGCAAATAATCTAGCAATAATGTGGATAGATGTCTTGTTATATAAAAAATCAAAGCAATCTGGTGGATAAGTTCTTTTCTGTCTTCAACAATCAACAGTTGTGGTAAGATTTTTTTTTTTTTTTTGCCAGTTGTGGTAAGATGTTGTTTTTTCCTCAAACAATCAGTCTTTTAAAACTTGGTTTTCCAGGAAAAGAATGTGAAGTATAACACTGAACCTGCTGCTGGGGCGGAGAATACTGGTAAATGTGGCACTATGGAACAGAAAGATATCGCTGACGGCTTAAAGGATGAGCTATGTGGAAGAGAGGTGCCTCCGAAGTATGCTGGATTATGCTCATTGCACTACAAAGAGTACCTAGTCACGCTTATCAACAACAATTCAATTGACCCAATCGAGAAAATGAATGAGGAAGAATTGTTGATATTGTTACAGCGTAATGGAAAGCAAGCTTTGAAGAGAAAGGAAAATGAGGCTCTCCCTCGATATAAGGAGAGATTGATAGATGTAAGTGAATGGGTTATGAATCACTCTTTAGCAGGATGAGCGATATATTCTCACTTATGAGTTATATCATGGGGATCTGAAAAGAAGTTTTTGCAACATTTTAACTCAAAGAAGGGCAACATTGTACAGGATGGGATATAAAAAAAATCCGTCAGGCAGTTTAAAGAAGTAGAAAGAAAACTCATTTGGCATTAAAATGCAAAAGATTATATATTTATTATCATCAAGAATTGGTTACATATTGTTATAGCCACCATTTTGTGAACAGTGTTTGGTATCAGTGTCTGTAACACTTGTTACACTTTAAGGTAGTGCCATTATCACATATTAATGTCCTGTTGTCCATTGCAGCACATCAAGGAAGTCATCCCATTGCCAAAGAGAGCACAGCGTAATTTATAGATACGAGTTGCAGTCTTTCCACAAGTCAAACGTACAAGGCAGTTTATTCAAGGTTGTGAACTTGTGAATCGTCAATCGACACAATTGGTTCGAAATTCCCGTACTGAACAGAGTATATGTTTCCCATCTGGATCATAGAAGGCAATATTCATGTTTGTTAACTTATATTATGATTCGTTCATAGTTTTGAAATTCTTGTTGGGAAGAGAGCATTGTTCCCCAGCTGAATCCACTTTCGTCCTGCTGCTGATATAGCCAGCGACTTATGTGACAGATTTAAACAGAAAGACATATCGGGCCTGTTGTTTATATACATTACATACACATATAGAGTACCCTCTGAATTTGGGTACATATACAAAGTACTGCCGTTAAAAGGGATTCAGTGCTGATAATGAATTGCCAAACATTGTGATATAGGGATATATTGTATAGAAGACATGAACATACATGTATATCTTAAAGACATTTATTTAAGACTATTTATGCTTATATAAAGGTGCTTTCTCGCAGAGTGCACGCAGTTCAAGTGATTCACAGAGGATTACATAAAATGCAAACCTCTTACAGATCTTATTTTGAAATATGATTTTTTAAGTGTTGCTCATTATATATAATAGGGAGTTTAAGCTTGCATATAAAATCGAAATGCCAACCTATAGTATGACCAATCGCTCATACAAATGCATCACTTTAAATATTTTCCGTCAAGCTTAAACTCGCTAATATGTAGTATTTTGAGAATTTTAGAGAATGAGACTCATGTGAAATAAAGTCATAACTGTTTCTGAGAAAATTGTTAATGGATTGAGACCCTTTCATTGGTTTATCCATAGGCCTAACAAAATGTCAATATTTTTTCCTATAATGAGTTACAAAATGTCAGCGTGTTTCTTTTAAGTCACCGTGACATATTCATTGGACTAAATTTATAATGTAATTCAAATGCAATAAATACAATATCTGTGCTTTCAAATTTGAGCTATTTTCATTATTTTTATCTTAAGGCTTCCATGTTATAAGATTATAGACCCAGTCCTAAGGCTTTGTTCTATTGTGCTGGTGTGTTGAGAACATGCATGGGGTGTGAAATCATTAGTAACCTCAGGCAAATCTGTAACATATGACCTGAACTTCCTTCCTAATTATTATATTATCTTGTCCTGATGAAGCAAGCTATTTGGATATAAGCTATACACACACTACTATACCTAACACCTAGAAATGCATAAGATACTTTGTTTGTCTAATTGGATTGTTTAGTACAGGGTGTCCCGAAAGTATGGGGCCCCCCCTAGGCAGACATATACCAGTATCGGCATAGTATGTATCATATATCATTTTAAAGCTCATCCAAAGTTACATTGATTTGGCAAGTATCAAGGTTTAACTCCCAAATTTGAAAAAATTACAGGCATTTCAAAATTTAGTGTTTGGTAAAAATTAAGTTCAATTTTACACCAAATCACTAGTCCATCTGTCCTTCCAGGCCATCTTAACAGCAGCAATTCTTTTCGGGTCGGATGGCTATTGAGTTGGAAAAGGAGAACGGTGAGGGTAGAAACTCTAAGGAAACTCTTCTAAAGTCCCTTAACAGGTTTTAAGAGGGTTATAAAATTCCACACCCCTATTTGAAGGGCTTTTAAGGTCATATCTGAAAATAATTGCTGCTGTTAGCATGGCCAAAGGGGGATACATTGACTAGTAATGTGGTGTAAAATTGAACTTAATTTTGACAAAACACTAACTTTTAAAATGACTGTAACTTTTTCCCATTTGGGAGTTAAACCATGATATTTGCCAAATCAATGTAACTTTGGATAAGCTTTGAAATGATATATGACACATACTATGAGGGCACTGGAATATGTCTGCCTAGGGGGGGCCCATACTTTCGGGACACCCTGTATATTTTTGAAAGTACCTTATCAACATCTACCTTTCAACCGATAAACCATTAATAAGGAACAGACAAATAAAAACAAACACATAATCATTACTAATAAGCCAAATGGGTTGCTCATGAACACCAAATGCAAGGTATAGTAGTGTGATCATGCATTTTGTTCTGATAAAAGCCTGGAGTGAAATCTTTTTGTCAACTTGTTCGTCGTCCTGAATATTTTACCCGCTATTGTAATCAATATTTGCACTGAACCTATTCATTTACCATGTTTACTATTTGGGCAATCAGTTTTTACCATCCTCGCAGAATCTGATTATGAATTAGACGAAGCTCTCGTTTAAGAAGCGAAGTCGAACGAATGCAAAGGATAATCACTTTTGAGTCTTACAAAATTAATGAAGAAAATCGCACTTCCCACATAAAGCGATGAGAAACGGTGAGGTTTCGAATCAAATTGCAAATATTCATTCATAATTCATTCAGAACTCTATATCTTGATTTATCCCACTATATTAGCTTGCAATTCAGTACTTCGAAAAATGTGTTTAAAAATGTACTTTATTCCTTCATTTCATGAATTGATTGCTATAAAAAAAAGTTGTGTGTTGTACATGTTGTATGGCATCACGTTTGTTTTGTTGTAAGTGCCATCACGACACAAAAATATGAATTACAATTATAGTGGCTGTAAACACATGTTGCCTCTCTTAGTCCTGTATACACTGGCAGGCGAAATGCTTGGAACATAATATGGTTTGCCAACGTAACCTACAGGGTGTCCCGAAAGTATGCCCCCCCCCCTAGGCAGACATATTCCAGTGTCCTCATAGTATGTATCATATATCATTTTAAAGCTTATCCAAAGTTACATTGATTTGCCAAGTATCATGGTTTAACTCCCAACTGGGAAAAAGTTACAGTCATTTTAAAAGTTAGTGTTTTGTCAAAATAAAGTTCAATTTTACTCCACATCACTAGTCAATGAGGCCCCCCTTGGCCATGTTAACAGCAGCAATTATTTTCAGATATGACTTTAAAAGCCCTTCAAATAGGGGTGGGGAATTTTATAACCCTCTTAAAACCTGTTATGGCACTTTAGAAGAGTTTCCTTAGAGTTTCTACCCTCACCGTTCTCTTTTTCCAACTCATATCCATCTGACCCGAAAAGAATTGCTGCTGTTACAATGGCCCTGAAGGACACATTAATTAGTGATTTGGTGTAAAATTGAACTTAATTTTGACCAAACACTAAATTTTGAAATGCCTGTCATTTTTTCACATATGAGAGTTGAATCATGATACTTGGTGAATCAATGTAACTTTGGATGAGCTTTAAAATGACATATGACACATACTATGACGACACTGGTATATGTCTGCCTAGGGGGGGGGGCATACTTTCGGGACACCCTGTATGTATGCACGCGTTGTTTACGGGTGTGTAGGCGTCAATTACGCCCATTCAGACGTAAAATTACGCCCGTGCAGACGTAATTTACGCCCGTGTAGTATGGTTGGCCAACCTACCCAAAGTATACAGGCGAAATTAAAGCCCGAGTAGACGTTAATTAACGCCTGTCTAGACGTAAATTAACGCCTGTGTGAACGTAATTTATGTAATTTACGCCTGGGTAGATGTAAATTTTACAGGCGTTCAAAATATACACACGGGCGTAAATTAAATGATAAATTACGCCTGTGTACGTTAATTTACACACGTGTAAGATGTAACCAATCTTCTGAGTTGTCTAAAATTTAAATAGGAACGGGCGCAAAGGATGAGTCTGGGTATCGACTTAGAAAATATTGAAAATGGTGATGTCTGAAAAACGAACTCAATCACACATATTATTAACAATTTGTATCACAATTGATGAAGAATACTGGCATCAAAGACAATGCATATCATTTGCCAGAATTGAAAAAAATCAATGGCAAATATTAAATGAATAATATATACATAAAGTTTGAAACGTATCCTCCAAAACATTGCTTCCTTTCTTTGTATAGACATTGAATGGTATTTTTGGATAAGTGAATTGGTGTTTATCTGGGTATTCAAGAGATTATAGTCACTCAAATTACCGAGCATCCAGTTTTGACACATCAATTGTGTTGGTGAGGTTACACATATTTCAGTCAAATTCATGCTGAGCACCAAATTTGGGTTTCAATTTTACAATCTCTATACATGACCCTGGTGATGAGTGCTCATTGCGAAAATTAAAAGTGAAGCAACTTTTTTAATGATATTTCTTACATCAAGTGGCAGCCATCTTGTTTTGTTTCAGCAGGGGGTTAATTATGAAAAAGTAAATATACTTATCAAATATATCTAGGACAGTAATAAAAAACATATTTCATATACATTTTACTGAGGGACCAAAAGGGCATATATTCGGACTCATCCTTTACGCCTTATGTTTGATTGGGCAGCATTATGTCCTTATACGGCCATTTGACGCCTGTATTAAACGTCTCGACGCCTGAATTAAACATCTTAACGCCTTTACAATATAGTATTTTGTACAGGCGTTAATTTCGTCTACATAGGCGTTAATTGCCGTATACACAGGCGTAAATTAACGTTTACACAGGCGTAAATTACGCCTGTATACTTTGGGTAGGTTGGCCAACCATTAAACGCTTGAAATCACGCTAACATTGAAACGATTGAACTGATTGAAACACAATTTAGTGTACACAGGGCTTTACAGACTGATCAAGACTCACAGGTAGGAGAACTATAAGCACTATTGGATTGTTATTTCAAATATAACCATAAAACCGTCTGTTTGCAATTCATTCACCGCCCTATTGTCCGGTTACCTTTCTAATTCAAATACCGCTAACGGTATACTTATCTCATTTTAGCATCGACTTTATAATTGATTGTTGTATCCCCTGAGGATATTGTATAAAACTAAAATGTAAGAGCAAATGTTGATAATATGGACGTTTTTGGCCCATCCTTTAAGTCCCGCAGGCAACCCCCTCTGGTCGAAATTTCTATCAAAATCAAGCAATTTTTCAACATTTTGAGCAATTTTCAGGTGACCTTGGGACAAATGTGAAACCCTCCTGGTAGTTTTAAAAGTGAACCCCTCGTTGGCAAAAACTGGCTACTGGTCTGAGATATATCCTAGCCTTAACCCCATGTCAAATGGGGAGGGGAGTTAGGGTTGCCAAAACGTTGAGTTGGTGTGTTGAGGGGTGTGTAACTGAACGCAAAATCAATATCTTCTCCCTTGGCCATATATATGAGCCAAAGGTGGAACACTTTGTCATCGTCGGTTGCAACGCTTAATCTCTTCCTTATATCCGAAGTTTAATGAAGCAAGATGACAATTTGGCCAAATCCCATAACTAAAGCGAACAAAATAGTATGACATTTTCAAACTCTCTCTGACAAGCCATTTATTTTGTTTCTTATGTGTTTATGCAATATCATCATGATAAATACAACAAATTGAAAAGGGGGTTCAACTCAGTGATCAATAAAAGCTGAAGTTTGATAAAAAAATGTCAAATGAAGCTTTTGAGACAATTCTGTCTAAGGAAACCAGCCCAAAATTTCTGAAAATTGCACAAAATATTCATGAAACAACTAAAAACCAACCGTGGAGAGGTGGAGCTAAAATTCTGTTGAATCTTTTTGCAGATATGCAGCCATGCTGGAACAAGGACTTCCTGTCCTCGTTTCCAGTTGTTCCCCTGTGATGATTACGTAGGGCAGACAAAATCCATATTTGATTGTCTCCATTTTAAAACACCATCGACAACTTAATTAGCTGAATAGCAATGCCGCGAGCTATTATGTAATACATTTATTCTATAGACAAAGTGTTCCATGTATTGTTAATAACATTCAAACGCCTTAACTCAAGATGAGAAGACACACAAAGGATTAGAATTAGAAAACTACAATTTTTATGAGCACTAAACTCAAAACAGAAGATGGTGCCTTCTGACGCATTCTTGTACATATATAGTATTTGCGTCTACATTCATAAATGTTATGGACTTTACGTACCTGCTGAGGCAGCTGGACAACAGACATTTGAAGATGCCCAGCGATATTGTGAAACTGCTCATGACGGCCATATTGCAATGCCCAAAAATTCTCTGGAAGCAACGTTTTTGCATATTTCTGCTCTTGGGAAATCATGGAGGTACGTATGGACTATTTAGTGTTTTTAATTATACTAGCAGTAGAAAACAGTCTGTTTATAAAATATTATAATTGTTGCAGACAATGCGTTGCCATGCCATTTTACATATCCCAAAACGCGAATATGACCATCTTTATTTTTTGACGAAATGACACACTTTTCCAAATTGGTGAAAATGAATATCTGAATGTAGAAGGGTTCTACTGTCGCTTTTAGTATACCATTTTAAAAAATTGACATGCTTGACAAAACTTTAAAATCATACATTTACTGAAATAATATATTGTTTTCAGTACGTATTGGATAGGCTTAAAAAAGCCCGATGTTGTTAGCCCTTGGCCGTTGGCACTGGAGGGGCTTGTCGATATAAATGGCTGTAATATTAGTTATATACATCAAGATGCCGATGAAAATACTTGGGACCCTTCAAAGGTATGCGTAGTATCCGAATCTTCCGAATCTTGGGGTTCGATCTGGGTTGAGGAGGACTGTAATTCGACAAAACATTTCATCTGTGACACAACCCGTAAGTAACCATGTGCATATCTATTTTTATATCCAATAATAGGGATAATAGGGATATACATAATATAAAGGACAAACTAATTTATCAATTATACAAGTGGGATGAGTTGTCTTGGGATGACTTGTCTTGGGGATGAGTTGTCGTGTTACCTCACAAAGAACGTGTATTATAAAAGTGCGAGGCTTGTAATAGTTACAATGGAATACCTGCACAAAAATGCGGAGATTGCTTACATGCATCGATTTTTCCAAAGGTATTCAACACTTAAGAATACTCATTCATTGAAAAGAGAAAAAGTACTTGGGTAGAATGCTAAATACAATATACAATGAATGTATACACACTACAGTAAAACCTATTTAAGTGGAACACCTTTGGTATATCTAAAAAGCGTTCGTCTTGAGAGGTGTTACACGTTTAGACATACAAGTAGCAGGAAATCCCCTTTTATGCGATGAAGAAAATGGTGATTGAATTTATGATAAGTGGACGAGATGCAGAAAATCCTCAGGATGAAAAAGATATGAATAAATATAACAAATGGAAAAACAACAGTAAAGAAAAATATCATTAATATGTGGAGCTGGAGTGCAAAAGAAATGCTACTTTGTTCCTAAATTTTGTTTATCTCGTCTTTATCCCATCTGCATCTCGTTGTAGTATCAAGTTCAGATCGAATAAATTGTTCGTTCTCATAATGTGGACAACATTTCCAGCAATTCAGCCCCTTTGTGTGATGAACGAAATTACAATTGCGTAGTGACTGACAATTATAAATACCCAGCACGTTGTGCGTTGTGTGCACACGTTCTGGACAACTTCGTGACATGTTACTTGTAGAATCGAAAAACGGAAATTCCATTTTTAGTACGTCAATCTGGTTTTAACTTCGTTGTCACTACTGTACGTCTAAATGTTTAACAATATGGTCGTCCATTCGCACACAGTTAAAGACCCGTTGGCCACATACTCAAGAACGTTTTGAGAACTAGTGTGGTTTGACTGAAGACAAATTATCATGATAATTTTAGATCTTTTAAAATGTGTTTTGCAAGGCTTTGATATTGGTGGCATTTTATGCCACTACCAACCTTGTGAAATGTTATATTAATAAATATTTTTTTTATGTATATAGCGGATGATAGTTGTTCTCAGGCAACAACAACTGAAGTAACGACAACAGATGAACAATCGACAACAGATGGACAAACAACAACCCCTGAACAAACAACAACAGCTGAAGTAACGACAACATTCGAAGTGATGACAACAGTTGGACAATCGACGACAGCTGAACAAACAACAACCCATGAACAAACAACAAGAGCTGAAGTAACGACAACAGTTGAAGTAATGACAACAGCTGATAAAACGACAACAACAGATGCGGTAACAACAACACCTGAGTTACGAATAACCTCGGAAGAAACAACCATTGAGGAAACAACAACTGAGGTAACGACAATAGATCAAGTATCAACAACTGCGGAGGTAACAACATCTGCTGAGTTGACAACAAGTGAATTAGAGGCACTATCACCTGTAATTATTAAACTACAACAACAGGGGCAGGAACCAGCGAAGTGGCCAATCAAGAAATATGTTTATCCCCCATCGGAAGCTGGAAGAGCAATTCCAATCGGAATTCTTTCCTTATTACTTATAGCTGGAGTAATTCTAGCAGTAATAGTCTCAGATTTAGCAATATTGAAAGACCATTTTGAAAGATTTATGCTGAGAAACATATTTAGCCATTGTAACGTAAAACGTGTGTGGTCAAAATATACCAAGTGTCAAAAATAAAGCTGTCCAAAATGGCTTGAAATACCATACCTAGTCCTTTGTACCATAAATGTATTTTGTAAATTGTATGGTGGTATGGTATGAAAAAGCCACACATTTAGTTATTGACCAAAATGAAAATAAATTCAAAGTTAAAATACACTAGTATACATAAATGATTCTAAGGGAATGGGGGTTTCAAGTTCAACATGCAACGATTGCTTCTGCGTAACCATGTGCGAGTGCATCTATAGCAATTTTATTTCTACGTATTGTATAATGACAATTGAGTTCTATCTAGCAGGTTTAGTTGGCTCTGGTTACAATCTATTTGTATTCTTCCCGGAAGATTCATTTATCGATAAATATGTCTGAAGATGTAAACGTTGTATTCTAGATACCTCGAGCGCGGTACACTAAGCTAATTCCAAGAAGCTGCGTCAAACGAACGCATGTAGAGGGTACCCGGAGCATGCTCCCGGTGAAATCATCAAAAAATGTTCAAAAATACAGTTTTTTGAAATTGAGATTTCTGTCTTAGCCACTTAATCATTTTTGGATTCCTTTCACAGATAGTATTAATAATATGTCATGCCTATCCATGACTGGATGGCTGGATAATTAGGTAAAAAGAAAGACAGATTTTCTAATGTACAATTTTGAGTGATTTTGGGTTGGAGCATGCCTCCACGGAAAATGAGACATCTCTTAATTTACAATTTATTGATACTCTGCAAGTCGCCCTGTATATAGCTTGTAACCTAATCGGACACTGTAATTGATGCTTCATTTCTGATTATTGTATACTTGAAAGAATTAGTTTTTACGGACACTCCGTAATTGATTATACAATTGAAATGTGCCCCTGAACGATTTTTTTACGTGCTGAAGTACATGGTTTCCAAAGCATTGTCTATGTAAATGGGTTATGTCAACACTGAAATAGATATAAGTATCTTGAATAAGAGCTAGCCGATGAATTCAACAGCAGTATAAATACTAATAAGTTTCATGAAAAGTCTAAAAAAGTTCGTTGACATCACTCCAAATATTTTTGAGACAGTACTGTTTGATTTAATATGTTTATTGATAGCTCCTTGAATATTCATTGTTTTGTGGTAAATTGAGTGTGTTAACGAAAAAGATCGACCGGTCGGTGTTTTCCACAGCAGGTAGCCTCAAACGGGGTTTGAGGACAATTTGTAAAAGACCGACCGTCATGTGATTCGATTTTGAATACATGTCAATTGTAGGCAATGTTTGTACCCATTTTGTTCTTTTCAACAAAGTTAAAGTGCTTTAAACGAAAGGCAAGCGCACACTTAGGTTCCCGACCTGCCAACCTATGGTTTCTACGGGAAACTATCCTAATTTTTTATTAAAATCCAACGTAGGCCTTCATCTAATGAAAGTCATGTATTTCTAATAAAAGTGATTTGTTGTTGTAATACTGATTACTGAACACGATTTAATGTTACAATTTCTTGTCTGGATCAAAAGTGACTAACCATTTAAACACCCCGTTGGTTTTTTCCAGATTGACGTTTAACAACTGAGAAATCACACAAAACGTATCAATATCTAAAACGATGACGACGTTATTTTAAAGACCAACAATGTTAGTATTTTTTTGGTTATTTTCATACTGAACATTATATTATTGTTACGTGTGTTTTCTCATCATGATCCAAAGTGACTAACCAGAAAATTGATCTTCTAACAACTGAGACATCACTTAAAAATATGACATTATTACAGATCACGACGAAGTTACGTTTTCATGAGTGTCTTTCATCGTGATTTTAAATGGTTGGATTGTATTCAGTCAGTTTTTTGTTTCATTTTCCTCTCCTAATTTTGCACCTCTTCCACATCTTTATGCAAAAGACCTACAGTCGACCACCTGTACCCATTTATGCATGGAGAGTGACTGGTCGGTGGTCGGCAGTCGGTCTTTTTCGTAACCCCAAATTGAGTTCCAATTAATACCTATACCTATATTGTCCTACAATATACCACACGCTATAATTAAACTGTTTGATATACTATCTCAGTACTAAGTACGAGTCTGTACGACCCCTTTCGATATATATTTGCTAGGTAACTAGCCCGTAAGTAGTAGTTGTGTACTCCTACTTTGTTTGAAAATAGGAATCGCATTTCTTCCTGTCAGTTGAAAAGATGGCGTATGCATGCTTGTATCATCAAGCTGGAAAACTGATTCCGGAAAACTGCGAAATCCTGGTGCTACTGTAAGGGGGATGAAAATCTGAAAACTGAACTAAATACAAATTTTTTTCAATTATCTTCAATTTATATCGATACTATTATAGAATGACCAATCAACTCATCTCACATATATCACTATATACTGTACATTATCACGGGCAAGACGGAGGGCCGTCTGTTCGTAGTAGTAGTCGTCATTTTTCTCTTTCTATATATTATATAAAACGTTTTGACCTGCGTAGAGAGTTTACTAAACTTAGAACAAGTGCACATAATCTCCAAATTGAACTCGGTCGCTACACAAGACCAAAACCGACACCTCTGGAGGAGAGAAAATGCGAAACATGCAATATTATAGAAAATGAAGAACACTATCTCCTTCACTGTACGAAATATAATAAGCAAAGAAGTATAATGCTGTCTAAAATGAAAATGCCAGTACAAGAAAATCCATGTATTTATTTGATGTCTGGTAAAGATCAAAACTGTATAAATGTGCAAATAAATAAAACATTAACCTAAAAATCACAGCCTTGGGTGTCGTATTGGGATCAGTTTGCCGGACTGGTGGATGGGTGCATCTTGCTTCATCAAGCTTCGGACCTATCCTCAGAACGTAGTGATTGAGCGTGGGAACCGACGATGGGATGGGTGGGCGTCCCACATAATTTAGATCCAGTTCAACCCTTTGAGCTGAACCGTTTGAAGGACTACTGATTTCAAATTTTCTGCTGTACGGCAACCGGATATGTCTCTTTAAAATCAAAGCACGCGCAAGGAACCTTGACAATAGTTTTCATAACTTATAATCAATATATTCAATCCAGCAATTTAGACACAAATTATGCAAATCGATGCCCAAAGCCATTTATGATTATATTCAGGTACAATATACTCACCTTCCAGTCATGTAATTGTACTGCAATGTGTAACATACATGTACGAGTCATGTCAAGATCATGTTTTTAGAAGGAATAGACGCCATCACGCTCGGTGATCGTGCAAAATAGATGGAGGGGGGGGGATTAGGCGATTTCTGCAAGAAAACTCAACAAAGGAAGATTTATTTTTTCAAGAGAAAATCTACGATTCAATTGCCAAATGAATAAGCTCAGTGCATGGCAAAATATGTTAGGTCATCTAGTATTCTTTTTGAACTGATACCCTCCAAAGATATGAGATCTATTTAAAAAGGCGCATCATCACCAACGTGCAAAAGTCAACGTTTTTGCTATAAATCTGGCAACAATGGTCTACACGACCTGTAATAAATAGGTATAAGGGACGTTATTATCACAATACTAATGACACTGTTCACTTTTTAAAGTTAGTTTCCACTGATGCGTTATACAAAAAATAATCGAAATAAATTAATATTGGATGGAGGGGGGGGGGAGATTGGATGGAGGGGGGATCGCGTGTATGTAAGACATGATAAGACATGCTATTTGAATTTATTCTTATGACTCCAAATTTCCCCATTTTTGATTCTCCAGAGATATAATATCCAGTTTCTTACTGGGGTACTGAGTTTAATTTTTTTCAAATACACGAGTTCTTGTGAATTTGTTCGATCGTAAAGACATAAAAATCCCCCCTCCATCCACTCCCCCCTCCATCCAAAATTAATTTATTTCGATTATTTTTTGTATAACGCATAGAAACTAACTTTAAAAAGTGAGCAATGTCATTAGTATTGTGATAATAATGTCCCCTTATACCTATTTATTACAGGTCGTGTAGACCATTGTTGCCCGATTTATAGCAAAAACATTGACCTTTGCACGTTGGTGATGAAGCGCCTTTTTAAATAGATCTCATATCTTTGGAGGGTATCAGTTCAAAAAGAATACTAGATGACCTAACATATTTTGCCATGCACTGCGACTATTCATTTGGCAATTCAGTTGTAGATTTTCTCTTGAAAAAATAAATCTTCCAAAGTTGATCTCTTACGTTGCCATAACACCCTTGGTATACGCAGCTAACGAAAATTGACCGATACGGGTCAAAAGCTGGACCGGTACGGGTTAACGGTTTTATTTGAATTTAAAACAGCCATAACTTGCAATATTGACTTCCTCGTGTCTAATTTGAAATATATGATGCCTCCCGATGCTTTTAAGTACCCCAATTTTTTACAGATTTTTAAACGGACCTAAACTCTCTAAATGCGCATTTATGCTCTTTTCTCTCGAGAACGACTGTCTCATTTTCACGATAACTTTTATTTAGTACTTCTAACATATAAGATCTATTTTTCCCCATCAAGGTATGATGTAAATGACATGCTATTTACATCTTGTGAGTTTCAATGACGCGCGTTTGATTTTATAAAAAATGCCAAACTTTGTGAAAAAGAATTTCCTCCGCTTGCAGCGAGAAGACGAACCGGTTCGGGGCAATAACACACATGTATAAAGATTCCTAAATTATGTTCATGCTATAATCACTATTAGATGACTTTCATTGTACCCCCATTAAAATCATACCAAGGGGTATAAATCTGCATACTCTAGTATCCAGTAAACCAACACTGATGAAACTTTCCATGATAGTCAAACATAATGATGTGAATAATATCTGTAAATAACAGGACAATTGGTTATTTATTTTCTTCAAAAATTTGGACACAAGTTAAGAATTCTTTGGAAAAGTGCCACGTCCCCTTTCTAAATTAATTTGCATTGCCATATAATCATGAGCAATAGATTTCACTGTGTGGATAAGATAAAACAGCAGTTAATTTAATATTATCAAACATACTCTGAATGAGTTTTCTAAAATGTTTTTATGGTGTTTCTTCCCAATTTCATTAAAATAATATGTGTTTTGTCTCATGGGGTGTCTTACATTTTGACGAAATTGTGTACTTTTTGACATATGATCTCCGTTTCCATAGCAACCAGTTGACTAACTTTGATGAAACTTATTACTTTTGTAGGACACGTTAAGTACATGATTACCTGTAAATATCAAAATGATTGGTTGTAAATTCTAGGAATTTTACATGGCCTTCCTAGTACCCCCCTCAAAATCAAACAAGGGGGGTATAAATCTGAATATTTCCAAAACGCTGAAAAACTAGACACCAGTATTTTCAGAATCAATGTAGAATCATAAACCACAAATTACCTACATAAAGAGAAATTTGCTATTTTCAAAACCACTTTTACACCACGCAGGGTAAATATGTGTACTCCTACTTTGTATGAAAGTAGGAATCGCATTTCTTCCTATCAGTTGAAAAGATGGCGTATGTAGTACAACTTATTCGTGGGCTTGTCTTGTCAGTCTGGAACACTGAATCCGGAAAACTGCGAAATCTTGGTGCTTCTGAAAGGGGGATGAAAATCTGAAAACTGAACTGAATACAAAATTCCTTCAATTATCTTCAATTTATATCGATAATATTTTAGAATGACCAATCTTCTCATCTCACATCATCTTTCACTAAAGACTAAAGACATTCGTTTTAGTTGTCATTTTCCTCTTTCTATATATAGCTAGAGGGGGGGGGGGAGGTGCAATGATACAGCCTCGGTCCTCTACAAGCTGTGTAAATAACTGTGTTGATTATTATGCAAATAAATAAAACATTAACCTAAAAATCACAGCCTTGGGTGTCGTATTGTGCTCAGTTTGCCGGACTGGTGGATGGATGGGCGTCCCACTTAATTTAGATCCAGTTCAACCATTTGAGCTGAACCGTTTGAAGGACTGATTTCAAATTTTCTGCTGTACGGCAACTGGACACGTCTCTTCAAAATCAAAATACGCCAGTACAAAATTATTTCTAGTCCTACCGAAATATGGTCCTACTCTAATAAATGGTCATACCCTCAATATAATATTTGAGGACCAGTTTTCCCTAGGGATTTTTGTATAACAATAGGGTTGAATTATGGTCCGACTAAGACCACCTACCCTAGAACCACAGACTTAAATCCTCATATTAGGGCCACTTTTACACCGGGTTGCCATAACAATTGTGACTGCTAATCCCTCAATCATATTTGATCTACGGCAAATTTACGACGGGCGTAGCTTCCTAAAATCTAGAGGAATATACAGCATAAAATATAGGGATAAGCAGTACGATGTAGATTTTCTATATCGATTTTGTGAAGCTACGGTCGCCGATCGTTTCTGAGTTTCTAACTCGTTGCAGTTTTCAACGGTCTACTCTTCTTTGACAGTACCCTTTGTATTCGATCGACTTCACTTCTTAAAATAGAGCTTCGTCTTGGTAGTTTATAACTAGACTCTGCGCGCAGGGAACTTCGAAAATAGTTCTCATAACTTATAATCAATATATTCGTTCAGCAATTTAGACACATATTATGCAAATCGATGCCCAAAGCCATTTATGATTATATTCATACACAATATACTCACCGCAATCATGTAATTATACTCAATGTGTGCGTGTGTTACGAGTCATGTCAAGAAGTCATATTTTTACAAGGAATAGACGCCAAAAACATCTCTTACGTTCCCATAAGCAGGGATCAAGAGGTCACGAAAGTGCATATAATTTCAGAAAACTATTGATGTCTTTGAAAAAAGAACACATATCTGTATCATGGTTATCATGCGTATTTGGCAGTCATATAAGCCCAAGATGACACCCTAAACATGGGCCATGTCCTAAATGATATAGGAAAAAATAATCCATATATATCTTGCTAATCTGGCCAGATAATACTGCAAAATGTAATTGACCATTGCAAAATTCGTAAAATCGGATTCGTTACGCCTTATTTTGAAATTTTTCGCGAATGGATCCTTGATTGAAAACGAGATTATGAAATAACCATCAACTATTTATGTATAGATTAGAAAAAAATATTTGATTGCAAAAAATATTCGCAACATGGAGATGTTCGACATGTTACCCACATGTTTATTATGTAAATATTGCAATAAGCAGGATATCCATTGGGGCTTTTATGCCCGCTTTATGTTGGGTAAGATTATACTCTCTTAACGAAAATGTAAATTAATTTTTAAACCAGTCCCTAATCGGCATACGGTATTTGGTTTATCCTCAAACATCTTTACTAATGATGCAGTTGGCTGTGCGATCCATGGTTGGGGGTCGTGGTTTAAATGTTATTTGTATTATATGGGCTAAGATGATCCTAGGTATGGGCAACGGCAAAGTACAAAGGTAAACTCCCCTCCATAAGTTTGGCAACCTTAGCTCCCTCATTGAACTCCGTATTAAAGCCTCTATATGTTTGCATTTTTATTTACATAACCTGTGTACTAACAATATTGATGGAATCTTGACTTCATTTTCAATGACCTCATATTCATTTCATTAACCTCATTACAACAATTTTGTATCATATAACATCATTCTTAAAGCCCAACAAGATTTTATATTCAATATTATACTAAGTAGTCGGGTTAATTATATTATCACTGTAGTTATATTGATATTTTGACTTGTCCGCTATACATGCTCTTCATACAATCTATACATTATAGACTAATGCCGGTCCAGTTTACCTGATCAATTATTTATATTCATTTAATGTTACGGGTAGCCAATAATCAACGACGAGGCCGAAATACTTGGATATACATTCGGTAGGGCATATTTCACTGGAGTTGCACGATATGTATGTATGTATAATTTATTTGCATCTTTTATATAATACATTACATAGAGTGATATAATTAGGAATAAAGATATAGTTACGAACGCGACGACTGGGAAAATCAGCACATTCAAACACTGGAGATAGTGTCAACGCATTTGTACACAAGTCTTCTTGTATTTTAAGCTGTGGAAGTGAACACGGTTGGATAAAGACTGGTGAGACCAGCGTGAACATAGGACAAGAACTTATTTTATATCAATATTTTCGAAGGAGCTAGCGATAATGAGGAAACTTTCAACACTAAAGTTACTGTTTGCATCAATTTTATTGATATTTACAGGTGTGTATCTACTTTATTATCTCGGAGTACACAATACGTACATTAAAACATCTCGAAATAATGGATACGATGGATACGACATAAATCTACTTGAAAAACCTTTTCTTGGAATACAAACACGAGAAGAATCGGTTTTCTCCTCACCATTTCGAGTGACTTTATTTACAACGTTTTCTCAGTCACAATCTGGGAGATTTGAGATCCAACGTAACACAATTCGAAACTGGAATCAAATGAAGCGGAGCCTCGGATTTAACCTTGTGGTTTTCCTAAACACAAGTTCAAATTATTCTAGTGATTTACTCTCGGATTGGGGTGTTATTGCATATACCCCTGTCATGCTCCGCTTTGGCCGACCAGTGCTCAAAGAGATGTACAAGGCAGTAATGACAAAATATGATAGCCACATATACGGCTACGTTAATGGAGATATACTTTTTCATGGCAGTAAATTAAAAAACACATTGAGATATATTCATGATTATTGCACTAGAAACCACACTGATAAATATCTAATATTCGGTGGACGAACTGAATTGACGTTTCAGAATAAAAAATCAACAAAAATTCTCGCTACGGGTGACGATAACGAAATCGAAGAGCTTTATCGACAAGGAAAACTTGGACAGTTAACTGCACTGGATTATTTCTTCAGTAGCAAAACGAGTTTCCCATGGGCGCTCTTTCCGCCATTTGTCATCAGCGTCTATTCGTTTGATTCATGGCTGATGCTGTATAGTAACAAGGCTGGTGTTCAGTCATTCGATATCACTAACACTACCATAGCAATACACCAAAGGGGACCTGGCAAACAGAAAACAAAGGGCTACAAAGCGGCAGAACATTTCAATAACATGTTGTTTTATAAATCATTTCGTGCAACTGGAAAAATGTTTTCATTAGCATGTACAAAATGGAAAACTATCTCGTCTACAAATGGTTCTATTTCTGTGGAACGTATTTCCAATATTACGTTTTACACCGATTTTTGTATTCCGAAAGGACCTATAATCATTCCAAATGACGTAATTTATTAAAAACGTTGAGTAATATCACAATGTACCTCTCTTCCACCTTCATTTACTATAAGAAACATTTTCTATTTCATGCACTTTAAGGAACAGTTTACCTTTAATTCACCAATTCAATTCAATTAAGAAACAATTAGCTTACACTTAATTTCCTTTAACAATGTGTGTACCAGTGTGCGATGGTTGGCTAACCCGCCCAAAGTATGCACGCGTTGTTTACGGGTGTGTAGGCGTAAACTACGCTCATGCAGATGTAAAATTACGCCCGTGCAGACGAAACATCTTCACGCCTGTCGAGTTTATTTTAGCGCCGTAAATAATGAACTAATCAGAGCCTTACTTACATAATGATTCAATGCATCCTTGCTAAAAGAGCAACTCCAAGATTCTTGCGCTAGTAAATAACAATCAGAAGCCTGCTTACATTTTAGTGTGTTGTATTGAGGTCCTTAAATATTCGTTCAAGATTGTTAGACTTAACCCAAAAAAAGTATTCAATTTTTAGAGCAAATTGAAAGGCAAATTGAAGATACATGTACTGTGTCGGCAGTTATCAACACCTATTGTAGAAACGACAAAAATTGCAGTATATTTTGAAAAGGTGTATATGTTTGGTTTCTAAATACGATGATTTTTTGATAATTCTCCAATCTAGGCGTCGGCTTCAGAGGTAGGGACTTAAGCTCACACGCATTTCAGCCTACAAAGCACTATACAGTCAGATCGCTAATGTATCCCTCTAAAGGATGTTTTCATATACTAGAATTATAGTATCTAATCAACTGCAAATTGACTCTAGACTATAACTATATCCTATAGATCTGGATCTGGCATTTTTTTTAAATGTACCGAAAATGTCAGATGATAGTCTTACCTAATATACCTAGCCAACATATGTTCAAAAGGGAGATGTGTACTCTTTGGAATCTTTATGCAGTCCTCTTTAGAGTCACATGTTATTTTCAGGAATACATAACTTATTTAATTTATGATGTACACCTTTCACATTTGCACAAATAGTGCACCGAAATACCCAGAAAAGAAATAATGTTTCATATGCCATCAATTGCAACAGTTGTTCCTGGCACAATCGTGAGTATGTTATTAACTTGCACAAGGATCTTGGAGTTGCACTTTTAGCTAGAATGCATTGTATCATTGTGAGCAAGATGCTGATTGGTTCATAATTCACGGCGCTAAAATAAACTCGACGGGCGTAAAGATGTTTTTCAACGTGTGTTAAATAATGTCTTAACACCCGCTATTGAACATTTTAACGCCGTTATTTGTTTTAACGCGTATAGAATTCACTTCTTAACGGGCGTAATTAACGCCTTGACGGACGTAATTAAAGCCTTCACGGACGTAATTAACGTCTACACGGGCGTAAATTACGGCTGTACGGGCGTAATTTTACGTCTGCACGGGCGTAATTAACGCCTACACACCCGTAAACAACGCATGCATACATAGGGTAGGTTGGCAAACTATTAAACTAGATAGATACGAGTTCGATTTGTATATAATATACAAATCGAACTCGTATCTATCTAGTTTAATAGAAGTGAGTAGGTCCCATAATACTTTCATATTCTTTTGTACTCATGATTTATTTAAATCACGCCATTTCAGTTAAACATCAGTTCAACATCATCATTTCTAAACTACGGAAATACTGATACCCTTCTAAGATATGAGATCTATTAAAAAGGCGCATTATCACCAACGTGCAAACGCCAATGTTTTTGCTATAAATCGGGCAACAATGGTCTACACGACCTGTGATAAATAGGTATAAGGGGCGTTATTATTACAATACTAATGACATTTTTGCACGTTGATGATGATGCGCCTTTTTTAATAGATCTCATATCTTTGAAGGGTATCAGTTCCAAAAAAATACCGGATGACCTAACATATTTTGCCATGCACTGCGCCTATTCATTTGGCAATTCAGTTGTAAATTTTTTCTTGAAAAAATAAATCTTCCAAATTTGTTGTATTTTCTTGAAGAAATCGCCTAATCCCCCCCCCCCCGCTTCCATCCATTTTGTACGATCACCGGGCGTGAGATTAGAATTTTCATAGTTTCTGATTTCCAGTATCCAGCGTTAAAACTTTACTTACTTGTTGATTTTTAAAATGGCCAGGTTTAGATTAGCAAACCATAATTTAAGAATTGAAACAGGGAGACATAAGAGAAAGAAAAAAGATGGCACTTAACAGAATCGACTTGAAGTAAGACAGAATTTGTCAAAGGAGTGGTATCGATATGGTGAACTTTTTGAACACACATTTCTCTTAAACCAGTCACCATAAAATTCTGAAAATTTTTCAGATCGTCAATTTAATGGTCATCTTTTGGATGGTAACATTATAATTTGAAATATACTGGGTGGGCCAAAAAACCACCCCCTAGCCGATATTCCTGATAAAAATTCATTTTTTTAACATCTACACCAACATTGATATATCATTTTAAAGATAATTTAATTTGCAACAAAATGACATATATTCGAAGAATTTTCAACAACCCTGGCTCTAGATAAAACCATTTATGTGACATGGGGGTCAAAAAACACCTTTTCAAATTTCATCGATTTTGCGAACAATAGCCTACCAAATTTTACTGTTCAGTTAAAAATTGCAACATTGTCATGAGTCTTTCATAATTGGATATTATATATTGTTTTCATTCAGTTTTTGAACCATGCCTGCTCAATAAACATGTGTATGCTTATAAAATTCTGTTTATCAGAAACAATGGCTAGGGGGGGGGGGGGGGGTGGTGGCTTTTTTGGCCCACCCTTTATATATATATATACACTTTTCTCTGTATTGTTGTAGAAAACACGTCAGACACTTCTTTTGTTCTTGGTACCATATTTCGGAATGAAAATGACATAAACACAACGTGTTTAGGTCTCTCAATATTGTAATTGTACAAAAGAAAGTTTGGTTGATTTTAAAACAGTATCTTGTTCATGAAATAAAAGGTTTATTTTGATTTTTATCTTTTTTTTGGGGGGGGGGGGGGTTGTTTTAATATTTTGCATACTTTTTGTTAAATCAAGCAAAATTTCCTTTGTATAACTATAATATTGAGAGGTCTAAGAAAATGTTGTATATGCTATTTTGTTCCAACAAGGTCCGAAACATTTTATTTCATTCTCAAGAATTGTTAGAAAGGAACAAATAACAATTGCACTAAAAAAACAAAAAATGTTAACAAAATTTTTTTGGGGTTTCGGTAACAAAATGTCGGAACGTCGAAGGACCTCCAATGCAGATTTCAAAACAACCTCCCCTCCCGCGCACAGCATTTACGTACAGCAATACCCTGGTAGATGCTGGCCGACCTCCAAATTATCCTTCATCAGGATAACGAGCTAACTCAACCTCACTGGTGAAGTTTAAATTGACAATAAATTCATGAAATTCAGTGGAACTGTTTCACTTACGTTATCGTGTAAAAACCTGAGCGCCGGTAATTTAAATTCACTCTGAAGTTTCTTCAATGTTATGTCACAATTAAACGATCTTTATTGTCTCCATTATGTGTCAAAAACAGTCATTAAAGTTGAATTTCTTCCGGACAAAATTCAACACAGCCCCGCCATTGATAACAAGGAAAACATGGCGTCTAGCTAGGGGTTTACAAATTGCATCACAACAAAATTTCCCCCTAAACTGCCCCCCCCCCCAAAACAAGAATTTGATCACAAGTTATATTGCCCCTTTTTCTTGAAATGGGATTGGAAACCCAAGGTAATACATAATAAACACACTAAAGGAGCACGTAGGTAATCGCAAACAATTTCAAACAATTCTTAACTTGAATTATGAATATTTTCTGATCATGAACATGGTTGTATCTTTTAGATACATTTATTATCTTCAAGAAAAGTATATATAGTGATAATTTTGTTAAACAAACCTAAGTGATATTGAAGGGCAATGGACCAATCAACATACCTTTTCAAAAATGCTGACCTAATTTTCACCAAAAATGCAACCTTTTATTATATTGTTGAATGCATAATTAGAATGCGCTTTGAGACATGTTTGATTTCCTAAAAGGAAAAGTTGATTGCTCCAGGGACTTTGAAGATACTGAATTTGGATGACCAAAATGAACTGAAACCAATGGATAGCATGAGATTTTCAATGGAGAAATAACATGGGGAACACATATCTTAAAGCAATTAAGTTTTTCTTTCAATAACTATTTGATACAACAAAATGAAAATGGGGTCAACATCTTTGAAAAATTGTGTTGATGGGCTGATTGCTAGTAAAATATCTCCGAGTTTGTTTGACTTTATTATTACTGTATATAATTTTCTTTGAGATAATGAATTGATCTCAAAGATAAACCTGTCTTCATTGTCAGAAAATAGTCATAATCTAAGATATAACCTTCTGAAATTGTTTGCGATAACCTACGTGCTACTTTATATAAAGACTACTTTAAGTAAAGTTTACATGAAAACATGAAAGAGTAATTAAAATGACCTAGGTTTTACTACGTTCGTAAATTCAAATATGGCTGCCGTAAGCAGAAAATGTTTTCAAAAGATGCGTCAAAAGACACTCTACCTTTAAATTATAAACGCATCATTGTAATCTTTGATAACATATCTTAAATTGCAGACAATGGAGATATATGATTGAGTGTAGGTATTTCTGTCGTGAATTCAAGTTGTCTAGATTAGGCAGTCAAATATTTTGTATTCTCCAAACATTAAAATATCATCTTTGGTAAAAAAATATTTTTAGATTATTATTTTGAGAAATGAAAGTACTTAAAAGAAGCGTTTAGATTATCATTATTTATTTCTGAATTATTTCAATTATCTTTGTAAAACTTTATTAAGCATGTGTTGGAGGATACAAAATGACTTAAAAATTATGTGAAATATAAACATACAATCAAAAGTTAGTTGTATTCGTATTTTTATGTTTATGTTCTAACAACAGCAAAGTATGAGTCATTGCCAAATCAGGAAACAATATGTTTTACTCTCAGTGTCACATATGATCATGTTTTAACTTTGTGGAAATAGCAATGCATGCAACCTTTACATTCCTATTCAACATGCTACATGCTTTCTTTTTATTTCCATGGCCGACACATAACCATACAACTTTGAATGCTGTTGTTTCTTATTCCCTCATTACTCACGCTGCATGTTTTTTCATGATTTTTTTCATATGCCGTTTGTCGTTCTCTATAATGAATGTTTGGCCTTTACCCGAAATGATAAAAGTTGTTTGCACATCTTAGTCATTGTAAGTGCCAGAATACTTTTATATCGATTCCAATGAAAATGATTGCATCCATTGCAATATTTAATACTTCACATGCAATAAATGGAGGTCACCAACATTTGCTAGCATATTGCTGTACGTAATTGTTGGGCGGAACTTGATATTGTGTAAATGTTAGCTCATTGATCATAAGAAGGGTCATTGGAGGGACTGACTTTATGTAGATAGCATTTACTATGAGAAAGTGTAAAATATTTGTATTGTAAATTGTTAGCTCGTGATCCTGAAGAAGGATCATTTGGAGGTACTAACGACCCAGCTAACGACGTTATTTAGCTTGTTTTAACAGGGGAGTAGAGATTGGACATTTTGGAGAGGCAATTGATAAGTTTATATGGAATTAAGTCTTTGATTCCGAAGATCATTTGAGATTAGAAGATCATTTGATCAGACTTTTGATATAGAGACTTTTTGAATTATGTTATTTTGTGGCAAATTTAAGATCCTGAAGAAGGATCAAGATCAGCATTTTCGATACTTGAGATTAGTTGAGATTGAGACATCAGTTTGGATTATAAGCACTCCCTTTGATCTTAAAGAAACATGATCTCAGAGATCACTGAGACTTTCTGGGACTATTTGTAATTATTTGATTATTTGAGACTTGATTGAGGATCACGCTCATTCAGTGGAATTTTAGAATTTTATGGTTGATTTGAGAGAATAAATAGAATAGACACACTACCAAAATCTTTAGTTTATGTTATGTGTAGGAGTTGAAGGGACATAAGCAATTTTGTTACGTCTTGTGATTGACATAACTACATATACCAGCCAAACGTGACCCACTTGAGGATTTAACAATTGACAACCTTCGTTTGTGCCAGCCCGACAATATCAAACATCCCGCTTTCAAGAGTTAGCATCACATACATTTTATCAACATGCTCAAAAATATCGACGCAATCCCTCTGATAGTGAGTTATGGGTTTTTGAAAACTTTTTAATTCTTGTCAACTTCCTGACTACAGCACCCTTCTCTTTTGCGAAGTTTGAATACCTGCGATGGCTCCATCGTGAGTAACAACTTCGTTTCTCTTAATGGGAAGACCACTCCCACTTCCAATTTGACTAGCGCGGTTTGTTGAAAAAAGATTTGTTGAAAAAATTCCAAAATGGCCACCAGAATTCAGGATGGCTGCTTAAAAGATAAGCAGTTCTAGGACTTTGTAGCCTATCCTTTATCATGTATATAAATTTGAAAAAGTGGTTGGTTTTACTGGAATCGCGATGACAAAAGCCCAAAAGCCCTACTATCACAATCTCAGTAACGATCACGATCACGGCAATGCTAAACATGACGTCTGTATCTCAACCGGTGTTGTAATAAAAATCCATAAGTAACACTGTATTGTTTGTATAGATGTAGAGTTCCCTATTATCATGAATCTTTAAAACTAGCCGATGGTAATTGTTCATGGATTTTCATTAATTTACATGTATGAAGCAGTCTCGGTGTCCAGTTGGGAAACAATAGGATAACAAAAATTGTCTTGACTGGATTGTTTCCACATAAAACATGGTTTATTATGACGTTCAACTGTCGTGCATAGGACTCGCGTATACTATATGTGCTTTCATCAATGTATGTTACGGGGACTTTATTGCTGCTATGACGGCAGAACAACTGACCTTTGATGATGCGCAGCAATATTGTGAAATGACCTATGGGGGACACATCGCAATGCCTAAGACTTTCGCTCAGTCCGCGGAAATATATGATTCAACGTTAGGAGCATGGAGGTACGATGTTCAAAATCAAATGAATTATGTCATAATGTTTTTCATAGTATTTTACATTATATCATTTTATTCCGTGTTGTTAATAATGCTATACGGATTTACTTTCAAAGTATTAGAAAGGGGGAGGGAAATTAGCGCAACAGATTTTGGACAGTCATATGTTTGATTTTGGCTATTTCCTGGGGATTTAAACAGGTGCATATGTAAGGCCAACGCATTACCCCCAGGAAAATCACTTCTAGAGATAATAAAATAATTTTGACTTTGAGACGGGGTAGATGCAAACAACCCACCAAGATGTTTTTTCTGAAATGTTTTCCTGATTTTCAACCCCTTCCATCCCTATCTCTAGAAATGATTTTCCTGGAGGTAATGCACTGGCCTAACATATACAGACGTCTCGCAAAAAGGTCGCGCACGCATTGTTACTTTTGTGGCGTAATCCAGAGGATCCTCGCTTTTAACATGATAGAATGTGACGTTTTTGAGAAAAATGTACACACATGAAAATCCTTTCGTCCTCCACATTTACCTCTATATCTCAAAACATTTTAGATGAATAACTCTGATATCATATATTTATTGTTAATGGGCTAGGAGCACCATAAAACACGAATCAATTGATATTTTAGGTGAAATAAATATATGTGTTGCTGTGCTTGAAAATAGGCGAATGGCGTAAATTAGCCCTATTTTAATGAATTTTGAAAACCTTTCGTCCTCCACTTTTCCACATACAACAGAAAACACATACTTTTGCGAACAAAATCAACTATTTATTAATAAACTAGAGTTTAAGAGCAAAATAATCATGTATGATTTATTAAAAATTTATCTCGTATTTCTTGTTTAATGTACACCTGAAAAGTTGAAGGTAACAAAAAATGAGCAAAAAAGGTCGCTGTCAACAGATTCTATTTTTCAAACTCTATGACGTCACAATATGGGACGCTTACTGAAATTCATCCTTTGAAATAAAACTTCTATCTACCTTTATCAAGACGAAAAATAAGTATAAAAGTCATATATTGTTTGAGTTATGAGCGTTTAAAGACGAAAAATAATTCAAAATGTAACGTGTCAACAGGGGATATTTGCCAGATGTTTTGAAAAAAAACTCTTTTTTTTAAATAGAACGCGCAAGAATTGTGAACGGAGTGTAGTTGATCTAAAAACTTCATCGAAACAGCTTTAAAATGATATATAACTTTAATTAGAATATTATCTTATAATCCGGGGAATCAAAGTTACATTTACGCGATACCCTTAAAAAACAAATGCGCCACCTTTTTGCGACACGTCACAAATATTGAAAAATGCTTATTATCTTTCACTGGCGGATCCAGAAGCTAACAAAGAGGAAGGGACCACATTTGAAATCAGCAAAAAAATTGGGCCCTTAAAACCAAAGGTTGGGCCCATACTTTCTACTGCCCATATTTTGTTAAATTGGCCTAAAAAGACCCTAAAAGGCCATGTTATGCCTAAAAGGCCCTCTTTGAGGCCCTACAAAATTTTGGGCCTAAAAATTCTTGCCCCTCCCCCTGGATCTGCTAGTGTCTTTTCTGTGTCTTTTGCTTGACATTTCCTATTTCATGTTGCAATCTTCTTTTTGGATGCAATAGAAGTGATCTTTAAAAACAAATCAATAATGTTTCCAGTGAGTATTGGATAGGAATAAAAAAGTCAGACAAAACAAGCCCCTGGCCATTAGGGTTTTCTGGTATATTTGATATACGTGGTTGTCCAATCAGCTTTATTCCTAATGGCCACGATTACAATTGGGATGCAAGTAAGGCATGCGCAGTTCAAAAATCGTCGGATGCTCTTTGGACGGAACTTGATTGTGACGGGACGGCTCATTTTGTTTGTGAAACAAATCGTAAGTATTAATTTTTGCGTGCAATAGTATGTATGTTATTCACAGCCATGAAGCCCTTTCTAGAATTATCCATGGCCATTTATTTATCAGATAACGTTCAAGCCACGTAACTCATTCATATTTGATTAAATAAAACTGGCATGGAAAAGTATGTATTTTCTATTCTAATTATTCTAGTGCCTGAAACCGATTGTTCTGATTCATCAGCATCCACAACATTTGGTGTCACAACTTCAATTCAATTAGAAAATACTTCAACTGCGAATTATTCTACACTTGATGTCACAACACCAGCAGTAGTGACAGCAGTGTCCAATAATGATGAAACACCAACATTCCAAGAAAATACATCAACTGCGAATTCTTCAACACTTAATGTCACAACACCAGCAGTAGTGACACCAGTGTCCAATATTGATGCAATAACAACATTCAAAGAAAACACATCAACTGCGAATTCTTCAACACTTGATGTCACAACACCAGCAGTAGTGACACCAGTGTCCAATATTGATGCAATAACAACATTCAAAGAAAACACATCAACTGCGAATTCTTCAACACTTGATGTCACAACACCAGCAGTAGTGACACCAGTGTCCAATATTGATGCAATAACAACATTCAAAGAAAATACATCAACTGCGAATTCTTCAACACTTGATGTCACAACACCAGCAGTAGTGACACCAGTGTCCAATATTGATGCAATAACAACATTCAAAGAAAACACATCAACTGCGAATTCTTCAACACTTGATGTCACAACACCAGCAGTAGTGACACCAGTGTCCAATATTGATGCAATAACAACATTCAAAGAAAACACATCAACTGCGAATTCTTCAACACTTGATGTCACAACACCAGCAGTAGTGACAGCACCATCCAATATTGATGCAATAACAATATTCAAAGAAAATACACCAACTGCTAATTCTTCAACACTTGATGTCACCATACAAGCAGTAGTGACACCAGTGTCCAATATTGATGCAGTAACAATGTTTCAAGAAAATACATCAATCGTGAACTCTTCAATAGAAGGTATTGAACGACATCATGGAACAGATAAATGGCCCATCAAGAAGCTGGCTTATCTACCATCGGAAGCTACAGGGGCCATTCCTGTTGGACTGGTTTCATTGACACTCATATTGGGAGGCATTTCTTTAGTCGTATACTTAGATGTAGATCGTTTGAAGAATCAGTTTAGAAGACGGATGATAAGAAATGTATCTAATTTTGTTCGTATGATGAAACCAAGGGCAAATCCTTAGTATAATGTATTGGTATCTGAATGGAGAATGCCCCGGCGTACACTAACAGGGTAAAGTCGCAGTTGTTCAGTGAGTTGTGATGGGTCCCAAAGTATCCCGTGGTGCCCTTTTGATCTTACTTTTTCTATCTTATGTGATCGTTTATGAGTCCCTGCAGAGACGGAAAATCAGTTGCATAATTAATTAATTTCTATTGGTGATGTTGTCATTATGAGTTCTAAATAAATAACACAAAGATTAGCTCTTTGAATCTTATAGTATTTACAAATCTTTTGAAAAACAAAAGAATAACAACTCTCCATAGCGCCAAATCTAACTGAACGAACTGAGGGACGTATTCCCTACCAAACTTCGTTCTGTGCGACAATTATTGAGCAAAATGTATGTTAAAATAGTTGTTTCGATTTACTCACTTCGAGAGCCATGTTAGATTTTGAAACTTATGGCTCTCAAACGGAGAAGTGAACAGCTGATCAATAGTGACCTTTGAAATTGAATAAAGTCGATCCGCGGCTTACTTTTGGTCTCTAACTGTGTCTTACATCAGTATCATCAATCCGTGTAAGTATTGGAGCGCTGGAGTACTTCTTTTTCGATCAAGACTTGTAAATTGTTCATCGAGTTAAAGTTTTACAGACCTATTTCCAATATGGCGGTTTGCTAGGTGCGAGATACGCAACGAACGAAATGAATTTTGAGAATTAGTTAGGTTCGGACAACCTCCGGAGATTTACGAAAATGTCCGAGCAGAAACCGCCATATTGGAATTTGGCAGTAAAACGATTCACTCGACTAACAATTACAAGTCTTGATCGAAAAAGAAGTACTCCAGCGCTCCAATACTTACACGGATTGATGATACTGATGTAAGACACAGTTAGAGACCAAAAGTAAGCCGCGGATCGACTTAATTCGATTTCAAAGGTCACGATCATTGAGCTGTCCAAATGCTCCGTGGGAAAGCTATTATATCAAAATCCAAATAGCTTTCGCAGGAAGTAAGTTTCTACTAATTGACTATTCAAGGACACCTTACCAATTACCACAATTTTGTACAAGCTTATTTTATGATAATTAAGTTAGAATCAATTAGCGGTATTGTTTTCTTGTTTTAGATAATTGTTTGCTGTGGTGATAATCACTAATAGACGTACATGCCGTACTTTTTCAGGAAACACTTAAAGATGGGTAAACAATATACTTTTATTGAATAACATACACATGTACAATATGTAATTATCAGACATCATAATGGGTTCAGCATACCTTTGCATATTACACTCGACTTGCTTTAAGGATTCGGAAAAGTAAAATGCAGCTTCTTGGGTATTGTATTTTATTTATCATCACTCTTGTCTGGCACTGTTCTGGTTCTGTATTGTTCAAAATGTGGCCCATGGGTAGTTACATGGCAACAATACCAATATACATTTACACCGACGTTGAAGAATTCGATACGTGCATACTGAAGTGCTTCCTGCACTCAGCCTGCGTGGCGATCAACTTTCATGAGGAAACTGCAACGTGCGAGGTCCTGGAGTCAGTTGATTGCAACTTTAAAAGGGTGACTTATGATGGCCATGGAAAGTGGAGAGTAGCACATTCATTACCAGGTATGTCGGATCATTTTTAGCTCACATGGTGAGCTATTGCAATCACTCACTTATCCGTCTGTCTGTTCGTCCGTTCGTCTATTTGTCTGTCCGCCTTTCTGTCAACAATTGGCCCGTTTTAAAACCTGTGTCTATAGGATTCCCGTTTGGAGTTATTTTTGTTTGACATCAATATAGAAAAAAAACATATGACTCCTAGTTCAAAAGCTCGCCTATTTTAAAAATGGTCGCCATTTTTGTCTTGCGAAATTCACTTTTAGCCCATTTACTAGCTTTACAAATAATTTCAGGTATCCTGCATTGTTAAAAGCCATTTCACTGTAAAGAGTAGTTGTATGAAATAATTTTGTTACCAAAAATCGGCAAAAAATATATCCGTTTTTTTTTTATTGTCAGCCATTTTAGTTAACATTGATTTGTCCATCTGTATCGCGAAATCCACTTTTGGACCATCTGCCTTTTAACCTCTATCGATATGATTCCCAATTTAAGTTATTTTTATTCAACATCAATATATGTATATCAATCAAAATACTCCCCTATGACTATTAATTCAAAAGCTCGCCTATTTTAAAAATGGTCGCCATTTTTGTCTCGCGAAATCCACTTTTGGCCATTTCCTAGCTTTACAAATAATTTCAGGTGTCCTGCATTGTAAAAAGCCATTTCTTGTAAAGAGTAGTTGTATGAAATAATTTTGTTACAAAAAATCGGCAAAAAGTTATATCCGTTTTTTTTTTCAGCCATTTTAGTAAAGATTGATTTGTCTATCTGTCTCGCGAAATCCACTTTTCGACCATATACCTTAAAACCTCTGTCGATAGGATTCCCGTTTTAAGTTATTTTTGCTCAACATCAATACAGAAAGCTCCACTATCAACTTCTTCTTTATTCGGTACATTAAATATTCCATAAATACCAAATAAAACAAACAATTTACCAAACCTTTACCCAATCTGTCGAATGTTTTTTATTTTATGTTATCGAATGTAATAATCTATACATATTATATTCGCTAAATAGTTTCACTTGTTCTTTGTGTTGGCATTCACATTTGATATTTATACACAGTGTACATGTATTTGTGTGATGCAGCGAATCTATTTGTTTTCCTTAACGCACGTATAATTCAGTAAATACCGAATGCCACAATGGAGTCACGTGATATATTTGAACGATGTAGAATAGCTGCGCGGCCATTTTGCAAATCTCGAGGTCATGTGACAAAATATCGAACAACAACGAAAGTTATCGAATATTACTTTATTGCATTCGGTAAATAGCAAATTAGCTTTCGGTAAAATGCATTAACTATGTCATAGAAAAATAAACCATTTGGTAAATATAGGCAAACTTATTTCGGTAGGGTTCAAATAGAAATCCAATATTGTGCATTTAATGTGTTACTCTTAAGGAATACCATAACAATTTACGCAAAAAACATATCATTTAGCGAATGAAATATGTAATTTAATGCACATAGTATAAAGTGATTGGCTATTTTGAAAACTTAATTAAGAAATATAGACCAAAGAGCAGGGTTTTTAGTTTCGAATAACACCCCGCTGGTCTCGGCACAAACGTTTTCTGTACCCCGAACGACCGAATATCGAATATATTTGAATTTAATGAATAAAGAAGCAAAAATAATCCCATACTCCTGGTTCAAAAGTTCGACTATTTTCAAAATGGTCGCCATTTTTGTCATGCGAAATTCATTTTTGGCCCATTTCCTAGCTTTACAAATAATTTCAGGTGTCCTGCACTGTAAAGAGTAGTTGTATGAAATAATTTTGTTGCAAAAAATTGGCAAAAGTTATATCCTTTCTTTATTTTCTGCCATTTTAGCCATCATTCACTTTTGAGCAACACCATGTTATTTATTTATTTGTTTAAACTAGATAAGACAACCCATTATCTGTGTAATTTAAGTTGGCGTTGATTTACTTATACTCATAAAACAACGAAATGAGTTTTGTTCAGTCATGTGAATTTCAAAAATCATCTTATTTTATGAACAACTATTAATAACGTTGTTAGATCGTAATTTACAGCCTCTGGTTGTGTCGCCCAAACTCGAATTGGTTGCTATAAGGATTCCCAGAGTGACAGAGATATGCCACTTCGTGCGTATTCAGACACATCAAACAATCACCCGGACAGATGTTCAACTGCATGCAGGGAAGCCAACAGTGGTAATGATCAATTTTCATTCTCAGGTTCTACTGAAATTGTGTAAACATAATTATTCCGATGAGTAAATCTATATAATAGAATAAAAATAATCTAAAATGTGACTACATATTTAATTTGATTATAGGCCTACAATACATTCATGTTTCAATTTTTAGATTACATATATTTGGGTGTTCAAAACGCCCGGGGCTGCTACTGTGGATCGACCTTTGGAAAACATGGTACAGCATCTTCATGTTCGAAGGCTTGTACCGGGGACCCATCTATTAAATGTGGAGGCTTTGAAAAACAGGATATCTACGAGATATATGACTTACCTTAATTGTAAAACGTTCGTTAAACAGTCAAGTCAAGTAACTAAGTTAACATTCGAAAATAAAAATCTCAAAAATCGTACATCTTTGATTTCCAAAATGTTATTAAGATTTTAACGTATTAATTTTGAGTACATCTCGAATCAATTCTCAACAAAGCTTTCGCGAAATAAGTATTCGAAATGTTTGAGTTCGGGATGATAGAAGTACGTTAAGATATACTGCTCCTTAAAAAATTCCTTTGGGAACAAGATATTTAGAATCAAAAGAATATTCTTCTTATTGACTCCCTGACACATGCCGACGGATGTTATGTAAGTAAATATCTCCGTTTAAATAATTTTGTAAACGTTGTCCTCCACAGGTGACATTTTTAGAATTAAAAAACAAAATTGAACATTTTGCTTATCTAAATTTATAAGTTTCTTGGAATACAACATATCTGTTAACGATTTATGTCATTAATAATATTTCCCTTAGTTTTCTGTACCCCGAACGACCGAAGGGGTCTATATTACGATTCGAACATGAAAACTCACCAGAATATTGCAAAATCGTCAATTTCGATGTTCATTTCCACTTTTTTCATTTCTACTTCCGGTTGAGCGTTTGGCTGTTTCAATTTGTTTACTTACCTCCTGACCCCGACTTAAGTTTTTTATTGCCATTTCGGCCTATTTTATTGGTTTCACGCATATCTACTACATTGATAATTATTGAAATTATTGAGATTACATTTTTTTTTTTTTTTTTTTTTTTAAGGTTATTTTATTTCCATATTTAAGACATATATAAACATACAATAATACAATAATACATGAATATGGAGAAACAAGCCTACGTTTGCACATTATTGGCTTGTGAAAATACATTTTATACAGCGGATATTTACACATACAATAGTAGTGTCATAATTTACATAAATGCAGTGTTCAGATGGGATGAAGATGAGTGATGATGATATGAAATTTGGCAAGTTACAAAAACGTTTGTGCCTAGACCCTGCGGGGTGTATTCGAAACTAGTAGCCCTGCTCTGAGGTCTATATTACGATTCAAACATGAAAACTCACCAGGGCCTATTTTATTGGTTTCACGCATATCTACTACATTGATAATTATTGAAATTATTGAGATTAGAAAATTTTGGCTCCGGACAATTTCTCCCTGCCATTTTGAATTTTGCAGACGAGAAGGGATGCGAAAAGAACGGAACGGCCTAAACTGACCAATGAGTGCACTGAACGAAACACTTAGTACAGAGCCGGGAATTGATCTCGAATATAACCCAGCTGAAGCATTGACTTTGTTTACAGTTTATAGAAGGTGTGAATACAGTCATGTTCGAATATCAATTCGTGACCATCATATTTTCAACCAAGAATTGTAAGAACTTGAAACATGTTTTTAGTTTTTCAAACCGCATATCCTCATTTACGTTCTTTGACAAGGATGAATCCATTTGATTTTCTTGATTTTTCTTCAAAACTACCCTTGCAATTGAAATATTAGTATGTAGGATATTACAGTAAATTAACACGCATTTGTTTTTTATTTATGGTTGGTTCATAATGAAAAATGACAAATAACATACATCTTCTGAAGTAGGGGTATACAATGACATAGTGGAAATTCAGAAAATTAGGCCATATCCCCAAGATTGCTTCACCAATATGTAACAGAACATCAAAATTATCATTTGCACGTTTGCTGATAGGTATATTGAAAATAATTAACCAGGGGTTTTCTTCAATTGTGGCACCATTCTTAGTAAATATTGATGAACATACGAATTTCGAATGTTGACTTAGTTACTTGACTTGACTGTAAAAAATGGAAGAAATAAGCAGACAATGCCACAAATAGCTATGACTAAGCAATGTGACAAGTTTGTGATTATTGAATTGAAAAGCAATTAATTCAATCTACCCTTTGGACTCGTTCGACTTCACTTAAAAGAGAGCTTCGTCTTCTTCTTCAGTAGTTTATAACAATTATTATAGCAATTATGAAATGTTAATTTGATGTCATTTTTTCTTATTTAAATCCTGTTATCTACTTGTGTAATTATGATCAAACGTCTACAATAAGAAACAAGGCATTAACATGACAAAATGTCACCACCTAATTGAAGCAAGATAAAAAAGACCTATTTGACCTTGAGGAGGTCATTCAAATTCAAATCTATTTTGGCCTTGAGAATGACATTGAAGGTCAAATCTATAGTCAGATTTGAAATGTTGAGAACTTGTAGATTATTTTAGAAAAAATTGGTCAATTTGAAGCAAGTTGAAAAAGACCTTTTTGACCTTTTTATTAGCTCACATGGTGAGCTAGTGCAATCACTCCCTTGTCCGTCTGTCCGTCTGCCAGTTTTAAAACTTACTGTCAACAGGATTCCCGTTTTAAGTTATTTTTGTTCAACATCAATATAGAAAACCCCCCTATGACTCCTGGTTCAAAACCTCGCCTATTTTCAAAATGGTCGCCCTTTTTGTCTCGCGAAATTCACTTTTGGACCATTTGCTTTAAAACCTGTGTCAACAGGATTCCCGTTTTAAGTTATATTTGTTCAACATCAATACAGAAAACTCCCTTATGACTCCTGGTTTAAAAGCTCGCCTATTTTCGTCTCGCGAAATTCACTTTTGGCCCATTTCCTAGCTTTACAAATAATTTCAGGTGTCCTGCATTGTAAATCGCCATGTTACTGTTAAGAGTAGTTGTATGAAATAATTTTGTTACAAAAAATCGGCAAAAAATGATTTTCAGCCATTTTAGTTAACATTGATTTGTCCATCTATCTCGCGAAATCCACTTTTGGTCCATTTGCTTTAAAACCTCTGTCAATAGGATTTCCGTTTTAAGTTATTTTTGTTCAACATCAATGTAGAAAACTCCTCTATGACTCCTGGTTCAAAAGCTATTTTCAAATTGGTCCCCATTTTTGTCTCGCATTGGCCCATTTCTTAGCTTTACAAATAATTTCAGGTGACCTGCATTGTAAAAATCCATGTCACTGTCAGAGTAGCTGTATGAATTAATTTTGTTACAAAAAATCGGCAAAAAGTTATATCCGTTTTTTTTTTATTTTCAGCAATTTTAGTAAACATTGATTTGTCCATATGTCTCGCGAAATCCACTTTTGGACCATTTGCCTTAAAACCTCTGTGAATAGGATTCCCGTTTTAAGTTATTTTTGTTCAACATCAATACAGAAAACTCCCCTATGACTCCTGGTTCAAAAGCTTGCCTATTTTGAAATTAGTCCCCATTTTTGTCTTGCGAAATTCACTTGTGGCCCATTTCCTAGCTTTACAAATACTTTCAGGTGTCCTGCATTGTAAAAAGTCATGTCACTGTAAAGAGTAGCTGTATGAAATGATTTTGTTACAAAAAATCTGCAAAATTTACATCTATTTTTTTATTTTCTGCCATTTTAGCCATGATTCACTTTTGAGCAACACCATGTGAGCCCAGTACCCACGGTACTATTTATTTTACCTTAAGAAGGTCATTGAAGGTCAAATCTCAAACATTCAGTCAGATTTGAACTTCCAATAACTTATAGATGATTTCGAAAAAAAATCGGTCAATTTGAAGCAAGTTGAAAAATACCTTTTTGACCTTAAAAAGGTCATTGAAGGTCAAATCTCAAATCTTAAGTCAGATTTGAACTTCTGATAACTTACAGATGATTTTGAAAAAGTCGGTCAATTTGAAGCAAGTTGAAAAATGACATTTTTGATCTTTTTGACCTTAAAAAGGTCATGAAGGTCAAGTCTTAAATATAAAGTCAGATTTGAACTTCTGAAAACATGTAGATGATTTTGAAAACAATTCAGTCAGTCTATACAGTATTTGTTAAATTATTGGAAGTTGTAAGAATGTGTTACAGGCGCCAACCGCCGACCGCCGATCGCCAATCGCCGGAGACTATAACATTAAGTGGTGACATAAAAATATTTTTTTCAATCTTTCTCCCTAACACCCACATCCTTCACTTCAATTATTAGGTTATTAGTTTGGTTCTTTGCTTATGTTTTGAGCAATCATTACATACATTAATATACAGGGCGTTCATGAAGTTCTTGCAAAAGTACTCTAATTTTTTTGTTTCCCAATTAATATAACTGAAATTTTCACTCAGTATACCTACACTAGTCATACATTTGAATCTTGAATTATAACGAATAGGTCTTTGAAGAAAACAGATTATGATTGCTATAGTAACACGAGTCGGAGGTAGGCGGAGCAGCATTGAAAAAGAATTGAAAAAAAAAATTTAGAAATTCAAGAAAACAAACACTTGAAGATATTCATAAGATGTATGGGAAGGAGGCTATGGCCAAAAGAACGTACTAAAACAATCATTGATGGTAGAACAAATGGTAAGGACGGACACTGCTAGATCAGGCCGTCCAAGAACGAAATCCAGTGAGGATCAGATGACGTCAATGAAAGCCATCCATGCAAAGATCAATCGCAAGAAATGTTCCAAATGGGTTCTGCCATCTGTTTAAGGAATGGTAAGGAAGACAGTCGAGGTGTATAGACCATGATGGACATTATTTTGAACACACATACTCTTGAGATACTGTTATTAAAGTACATAGGACAAGTTAAAAGCATTTTGAACATTCAAACAAGACAGATCCTTTTTTCCTGCTCCGCCTACCCCCGACCCATTTGACTATAGCAACCATAACTTTTTTCTGCAAGGACCTATTGATTATAACTTAGGATCTCAATGTATGAATAGTGAAGGTATAATGAGTGAAAAGAGCCAGATTGACTGAGATACAAAAATGTTAGAACAACCTTTGCAAGAACTTTATGAACGCCCTGTAGTTTGGGTCTGCGTTAGCAGCATGCATTCACGTGTATCTATATACTAAATAAATATAAATTTAGGTTACCACAAGACCACGTTTTCGCTTTTGATGTAATGTGTATATAAAACGTTACTTTCTACTAATGTATCAAGTTTTGGATATATCTGTACCAATGAGAACTAAATGTCTAAGTACATTTTTCTCTGAGCCACCTTTTGCTTTTATGATTTAATTTCTCTCTTCCAAAGTCACAAAAAACTAGAATATATGTTACACATTGGGTAGATTATCGCTTCGTAATGATTGCACGTGGCATGGGTACATGTGGCAAGTTGATTTATTTCATAAAACAGATCGTTCTAAGAAACAACTAATTTGGAATTCATATAGTTTCACTCATTACGTTTTGATAACACTTGGTAAAACTACAATTTTAAAGTGGTTTTAACTTCGCATAAGCCTTCACGAGAAATCATATTTTATTCCAATTATGTCGATAATAATGATATGAGTGTTAACAATAATAAAATGAGTGACGAATTAAGCATACATAGAAAAGAAATACAATAAGCATAGGCTATGACTCATTTTTTTTATTTATAGCACTCTCTGTCTATTTCTTAATAATCATTTATAATTACTTGAAATAATTATAAGGAGAAAATAAAGGATTTTATATAAAAACCAAGGTCAATGACAGGTCAAAGATACACTGAAGTAGTATTATAGTATATGTACTTCAATGACCCTCAAGTAGTGTACCTACCAAGTTAGATAATACAATTACTGATACACCTGATAACATCGATAAGGTAGTTGAAAGATTAGCCAACACACCACACGATGTCGTAAATGGGATTGGTCCATATTTGGACATTACGTTTCAACATTATTATAATGACAATGAGGCGTCTATTCAGGTATGTTTTATTTCCTTTTATAATTATGTATCATCGAACTAAGATTATTTAAATTAGAGAAATGAAGAAAACTGATTATTGAGAAGTAATAATTATGTATACATTAGTTCTTGTATAAAGTAAAAATATGTTTTCATGAATCATCAATGTCGCTATCCTATTTGATGAATTATGGGCATTCACCATCTGATTTATTAGAGTCTCTATCAAAGGGATAATAGGGACTTTAAAATCTCACAATAGCCATTCACACATTACGTTGGTATGTGTATTTGAACATTTGGACTTTTATTTAGATGATGTAATGTGTGCCCATTTTGTATTAGACCAATCAGCTGTTTCCAATTGTTCTATGATCTCCTGGTCTCTAAATTATTTAGGGGACGAAATGAAGCCATGTTGTTTGAAATACGAGGATTCACAAATAGTTTTCAGAATATACAAATACAAAATCAAATACAAAATTCGTATATGTGTCTAATTTATAGAGTTCTATGATATGATAGGTAATTCAATTAGGTAATTTCCTGTATTCTGTCCATTCAAGTCACTTGTCCAATGTGCATGTTTTGATATGTGGTATCAATGAAAAATGAAGGTCCACATTGCAGTGACCTTTTAATCCCTTACTATCATTACCCCAAGCAAATGACATGAGGTCGAAAAGTGTCTTCATAATTCAAAATCATGTACCTTACTTAACACTCAGAAATTAAGTATCCTATTTAACCTTTTTGATTGTGAATGGTATATTGTCTTGTGCCAGGAATATACATATTAAACACATGATTTCAGATTTCAGACTAAACACATACTTGTGTAGATGCTTCGCGTGTGCATTTTCGATGTTGTCTTAAAGTGTTTTTATTTAATCTTCCAGGTTGTATTTACTTGTTGGTGTTACATGTTTGCTAGGTGAAGATAAGCTATGTCTAGGCTCATCTATTATTGAAGGTTAGTATATGAAAATGATTGCTGGTTTAAAAATGCGAAGTGAAATCAAAATTGTATGAACCCAAGAAGCCACGCTAGTTATCCACCATGATATCAAATAAAAGTCATTTTCCTTTACATATTTGTAGGATAACTAGTGCCAAATCTCATAGACACACCAAAGTCGTATTTCCTTTATATAATTGTAGGATAACTATTGCCAAATCTCATAGACACACCAAAGTCGTATTTCCTCTACATAATTGCAGGATAACTTGCCAAATCTTATAGACACGCGTACCAAAGTCATATTTCCTTTATATAATTGCAGAATAACTATTGGCAATTCTCGTAGACACACCAAGGTCATATTTCATTTACATATTTGCAGGAAAACGATTGCCAAATGTCATAGACACACCAAAGTCATATTTCATTTACATATTTGCAGGATATCTATTGCCAAATCTCATAGACACACCAAAATCTTATTTCATTTACATATTTGCACGATATCTATTGCCAAATCTCATAGACACACCAAAATCATATTTCATTTACATATTTGCAGGATATCTATTGCCAAATCTCATAGACACACCAAAGTCATATTTCCTTTACATATTTGCAGGAAAAAAACTACCGAATCTCCCTTTGAAATATCAAAGTAAATTGACAGTTACTTTCCCCATCAAAAGTGTGACAATTTCTGTAACAGACGCTGCCAGTCTATTGGATAATATAGGAGCATTGGAATATACATATGCTGGGTTTACCTATAAGAAAATACTGAATTATGGCATCGAAGAGACGCTTACTCTTAATATGGACACAGGTAGGTAAATAGTATATGAAGAGGTCAATTAGGAAAATAAACCTCAGAAAATCTGGAATAAATTTTAGAATTGACAAAAATGCCCAACCAGACATTGAAATCTCGCTTATTCTTGTTTTTTGTGAGATTTTAAGAGATTTGGGTATTAAACCTCCAATGATTTACTTTTCCCTCTTTGAAATAGCGTATTTGTTCAGTGAATAATAACTTTGGTTTATAAAGTTACATTTTCTTGTTTTAACTTTTCTAAAAAATGTCATATCTTTATTGATGCAATGTTAAAATTTTTTGATTATTTGTTCGACAACCAACATTTTCATGATTAATCCCAATATGTACATTGATATGCCATTTGAATTTTAGACAGATTCAGCCAACACCCTTTGATAAACTATGAAATTTAGTGACCATTGCAAGTTTTAACATTGAGGCCAATGGCAGTCTGGTCCAGACTGGTGTCTCAAAAATGTACCCCAAAGTATATCAACAGCACAGATAAACCAATCAATATTTTTTGACATTTTTTGCATTGTCATATAGCCAAAACATGAGAGTTTTCTCCCCAATACACCATTTTTATTTCAGTCTTGCCTTTCTTATGCTCTGTATTCTTACTGCTACATTGTTTATCACATTTGATAATAAATCTGGTGAAATGTTTTGGATTTCTCTTCGGATGTTGCCCTAAGTTGTTCTAGGTCTATTTGCTTAAAATGAGTATTAAAACACTCCTTCAAATAGCCACAGAGAAAGATGTTTGAGGACGACGATGGCAGAACAAACACAGAGAATCGGGTCAATTATCGGCAAATGATTCAGGAGTCACCTTCCAGAGATACGCATGCTAGCCTGGAGACCAAATGATAAATAAAAACACAGTGGTTTCAAATTAATTGAACCCTTCTACTCACAACAAAGGCTACACTATCTAGTTTCTTGAACGTCTGGCCTCAGGGGGCTATAGGCCATTATGAGGGCCTCCCTATTCACCAGACTTGACGGCCCATACTTTTTCTCTGTGACTACTTGAAGGACCATTTTTATGCTAAACCCAAGCTAAGAGACCTGGAATAACTCAAGACCAGCATCCGAACAGAAATCAAAATATTCCACCAGAAATATCAAATGTGATGACCAATGAAGTAGTAAGGATGCAGACTGTCATCGATATATGAGGTTATATTGATTATGTGGTGTAAAGGATAAAGGGTTAAAGTATCAAAAAGGCAAGATTGAATTAAAAACTGTGTATAGGGGAAAAACTTACATGTTTTGACTTCAAGATCATGCAAAAAATGTCTGAAAATATGGATTGTCTGTGCTGTTGATATACTTTTGGGTACATTTAATTTTTGAGACACTATATGTGAGCAATTTGTCTGAAGTGTAAAAATTGCCAATTTATGGAGGTGGAAACAGTTTTTAATCAATTTGATATGTGCTCACGTTCCAGTTCACGATTTTATTGTGTTTCTAAATATAACTATTGAATTCTAAAATTAGTTCAAATCAGATAAGATTTTATCTGTTTATCAAAACTGTATGTACACTCCCCTCCATACGTTTAACAACCGGAAGTTATCAAAAGATGGATGGCCAATATAACCTGCATATATGTTACATTGAAATGTTTTACAACTTTAAAATAAAAAAGATTCTTTGGTTGAGCTCTTCAACAACTAAAATACATAGATGTGACTTTGTAATGAAAATTGTGACTTAATGATTTTTTCCTCCTGAATCTTGATATAATATTTACTAACCAATGCAGCAATCTTTGTTACGGAAATTAGTTACTCAACTATTATGTTTGTCATCCTTGAAGTTGTAAATATCACATGTCAGAAAGCATTATGTGCCTACCTTCTTTTTATGAATTTTAAATAATTGACTTATTGAATTAAAAATATTTTAAAGGAGATTGTACTGCATCCGTTCTGAACAATACATTCACTGGCATAGAGCTAGGTGACCACATAGTAGCACTGCCATTATTCGAATTACTAGCAAAAGTAAGGAACGCTTCAGCGTACACCGGAGTGTCATCTGTTAAAGGGATTAAAGTCGATGGATGGCTGTCTAATATTGAATTGATGTCAGATGGGGAAATCCAACGTTTTGATGTCAGTTTGTTTTATACACGTAAGTATCTCTAAATATGTAAAATGTGAAATGCTTTAAATACAGTAATAAGAAACAAATAAATGAAAACAGGGGTAAAAATTGTAAAAATAAATGTACCGAAAGGGCTGGGAAAACTTGAATTTGCATTGTTATTTACCAAATTCTTAATTTTGAGACAATAAAGCTGTTATCGTGTGTCTCATTCCTGTTTTTAGATGAGAGTTGGGATGTGGGATTGAAAAATTCCGTTCAGCTACCAGTACGTATAACCTTGACCAATCACAGCGACACGGCCAGCAGCAACACAAGTAACGCGGAACAGATTTATGACATAACACACTATGAAGAAGACATAACAGAAGCTGAGAAACGAGAACTTTTTCAGGTGTGCGTTTAACCAACATTTCAAAATCTTAATGCAAATAACTAAGTGCCCACTGGCGGATCTGGGGGGGGGGCCTGGGGGCCCGCACCCCCCTTGAGTCAAAAAGGGTCAAAAAGGCCTTAGGCCCCAAAAGGTGGGCCTTTTTGGCCATTACTTGACCTTTTAAGGCCTTATTTTTAATTTCAGGCCAAATTTTGAAGAAAATGGGCCTTGGGTTTTGGGTTTTAGGGCCCAAAATTTTTTCTGCGCAAGCGCGAAGTTTTTTCTCTCACCTGAAATTTGGGCCCCCCTTATTGCTTCCCAGATCCGCCCCTGGTGCTTATACTTATATCCATAAAATTCAATCGATTCGCTAATATATTGTATATATTCATAATTCGAAATTACTATAGTAAAACAAAGTTTCTGTCTTCGATATAATTTCCTTATACGAATGGCTTACATTTTGACATCTTGATTACAGACACCCTCTAGAGTTGTATGCAAACATAGGAAGAACACTATGGAGCTGCCACCCATTCCCCAATTTTTCAGCTATAGATCAGAAGTTGTCATTCCACATATGAAAGTGATTGGATATGTCAGTGTATGTATCTTGTTCATGCGTTTTGTTCGTGCGTTCCGCAATGTTGAATTTTGTAAAATTAAGTAAAACTTGAAGGGGATGAATTAAAAAAAAAACTTGCCCACTAAGATAATTGTTTTCTTTGAAATTAATTACTTATAGAAAACAATCTTTTAACATTTAAAGACATGTAATGAACGAAAATGCAAAGAACCTTTTCATTAATCCTGACCTCTTTTGATGAACCAAGGAGAACTTGTGTATATTTGGGAGATTTCTAATCAAATTGATAGCTCTAGGTTAATCGTTTTTCTGCCTCGAAAAGGCTGGGTAACGTTATTACCAACATAAGGCGTGATTTGCAAGGTGTAACACTGAGTAACACCAACACACGTGACAATGTATATTCTTAATCTTATAATAAATGTAATATTTAATATTCAGAGATGGTATGATTATACACGGAACCTTGTGTACCAGAACTACAAGCCAACCCCTGTAGGTATCATACCATATGGTTATAATCCACTGAAGAACATAGATGATTTTAACACAGGTAAAGCACCCACTGGTTTAGTATTACTGTAAGCTAATAAAATGAGATAGAAATAACTTTTAAATAAAGAGGGCAGGCCAATCAATATGTCATTGAAAGGTTGATTTGATTCTACCGCTGCTGCCATCTTTAAATTATAATCGGTCGAAAACCTATGAGTATTACACTTTCAGTTTGCTTAATTTTTCTCAATTCCTTTATCACTATTGTCGATGAACGGTATACACTTACTACTACAACAGGTCGTACCAAAGAAATCAGATATTTCATAGCATTTAATGGAAGGAATAACTTGAAAATTAATGATTTTAGGACTAAGCTACACAATAGACCCACAGCTAGGGAATTGCACTGTTGCCCAAATCTATAGATTTGGATATGACGCTATGCCAGTGGGGAACCAAATACTAACAAGGATAAAGACACCGGGAGAGTTCCTGTTTCTGAATGAAGAGGGCGGCACATATACCTATATCGGCAAGGTACTGCGTCTTATAATGGCCTTCAATAGAATGCCCATGGTTTTATCAATCATTTTTGTATTTAGAATAAACATACAGCATGGTAAAAACGGCAATCCTAGTTCTTTTCCTAAAATGACAAAGATATGGGGGAAAAACAGGGTTTCGTTTTTTTACCACCCTGTATGTTTGAAGTGTATTTTGAATATGGATCGTGTTTACAGTACAGGGTGTTCAATAAAAACCTAAACTCTTGGTACAACATTTAAGTTGATTTCAGAGGTTGATTCGAGGAGTCGATTGTGACGTGTGGATATCCGAGAGAAATGATTGGCCACGACCAGGTCAACAGTTCAATACAACATTTGAGTGGGCATTTACTGAGGTAAATCTTACAACCGAATTAATGCTGGCTTTTAGTCTTGCTTCTAGACCCTTGGACCCCCCCTCTATCCACTTCAACAACAGTGTGGGGTGTTCAGGGTCTTAAAGCACGAGTAGCTGAATAAGTAACAGTCGAAATATGCTAATTATGTTACTGTATAACAACACAAATAATTCTGGTATTCCCTGGTAAAATCATGTTCAACTCATATGAGATATTATTCAATCGTATCCGACGGAAACTGAAATTATAAATGGGTGCCCAATTGTTTGTCAAAGTACATTATTTCATATGGTTATCTTTCAGAGAGGTTGGAATATTAGCAGTGGAAACATCTACCAAGAACAGACCCCAATGATGATGCAGATTTTTTTTGTGAGTTTGTTTTTTGAATGAGAACCATTTCTATATGCTACACACCAGTAATGATCGGTCAACTTCTCTGGATGTTATTTGAGGGTATGCAACGATGAAGAAGCGAACATAGATGATGACGAAATTGAGCTAAAACATGCAGAACTTTTTGAAATGTTGCTCGCTATTCATATCTGATTATCGGGATAAAACGCTGATCCAAATCCCTTGAAACATTTTAGAAACAATTCATTGCTGTGATGTGCGTAATTTTGAAAAATCAGCGAAAACAGAAAAATTGTTGGTTATTTTAGGGTCCATTTCAAACAATATATAACTATTTGGAGTTTAACAAGGAGCAGCCGTCGATATGGGATTATGACATCACCATATGTTATGACTACACAAAGAAAACCAGAGTGAGGCTTATTATGACAGGTAATTTGTTTGAGAATAAATGTATCAAGGTAGATATTTAATTCTGTCCTAATATTCAAGTCTATACCAAATGAGAATGGGACAATAAGTCATATGGGTTTAAAATACGTATAACACTTTTACATCCAAGTTCTCCCAAAAATATATGTATCAATCACTGCACGGATTTTATACTCGTATTCACTGCACTGCATATCAGAATAAATACATGTTGAATTCTTTAAGCCACCCTGTATAGTCTATATACTGTTCTAGGAGACAAAGTGTCCCTTGTGGAGGGGGATGACATAAGGTTTAAGAATACAGTGTTGGAGACTGTAGTGAACTCAACAGGTGTTTCCCCCATCAGAGTAACGGATGTACAGGTAGGTGATGGGCATATAACTGAATCATTATTTATATAATACGTTATTTGTTCAAAAATTCGAAATGTTTGGTACAATTTGTAAAAAGCATGCTACTTTTGTCAATATCATATTGAAATAAAAACCATTCCCATGGCTACGAAACTTGGGTAACAAATTTGTTAAATCGTGGTCTCAAATTTCGTAAATATTTCATCGATTTCTATATCACCGCCACAAGTGGTGACATATTGTTATAGTCTCCAACTTTTTGTGGACGGTGTTCGGCGTCCGATGGGTCGTATTTTGGCGTCTGTAACAAATGACAGGTAGTGACATTTTGCATTTTAATACCTTCTTTCAGATTGAGACGAGTGCCTATAGTATCTATGTTGCTATGACGTTGCTCGAGAAAGCACACATGCCGGGAAATGTGGCGAACCCTGAAAAGGAGGAACCTCTAGATGTAGTGGTTGACAAACTGAGCCAGCTCATTATGGAGGGGGAATTTAAAGTCACTGTTCCGATCAATATACCTCCTTATGACGTATGTACAGTCAAGTTATCAAGTTACCCTTCTCGATTATTACTTAGACCCTGTTTATGTTAGGCGATTTGAAAAATCTTCAAAGTCATAAAGTTCCAAAGCATTGTAATGAAGGAACAAAACATGGACAGGCTTTCATACGCTATCAAATGAAAACTGTCGATTGTCAGATTTATGGAGGGGAGTGTAAATCAATATAAGTACACCAGTTATAACAACCACCATACCTTTAAAGGGTTCCGATAAGCTTCCCGTATAAAAAACAATATGGCTTTAATAAATGTGTGACGATCTATACTGTACCAATGTTATACAAAAGTTAGAGGTGTTGACACAACGACCTCGATCCTTTGAACCCTTGAGTATTATTCCGGGATCGAGCCTTTTATACTAAATGGTGAGCAACACCAGAAACGAGCGTTCGATTTGCTTAACGATATGCGTCACCCTTTAAAGGAATGTTATGATTATTCGTATTTGTCAAAATATGCCCTGTGCGCAGAGTCTAGTTGTAAACTACCAACGAAGCCATCTTTTTAAGAAGGGAAGTCGAACGAATGCATTGGGTAGTTAAACTGATGGTGTCTTAAAAACTAAAGTTCGCTCTTGAATGAGTTGTCCCTATTACATTCTATGAACTAAAATGTCTTGTTCATTGTTCTGGTGTGTAGTTTATAGTATGTCAACCTGTTTCAAACTTTGGTTAAATATTAGACAGTTATTAAACAGATTTTTTTTTTTTTATTCAAGTTTTAGGTTTACATTTTAATGTAAGGTTACATGATAATACAGTTAATACAAATATAATTATAATTTCGTCGTTCATTTTTTTTAATAAGAATGTATATAAGGGGGGGGGGTTACAGGGGAGGGGAGAGGCTATAATACTAGATCTAAATATAGTGGGTCAAAGCAGACAGAAATGTTGATGATGTACATGTACATGTAGTTGTATAAACACATAATTCATGCATATGAAATAAACATATATCTATAAACATATAGATATTATAATATTTGCAGATGGTTACCATATATGCATATCCCAATAGACAATTGAATAAATAGAAAAATGTTCCAATTTTTATTGGCCCATCCTGTATATCTAAAATATATATATTATTGAAATTAAAATATTTTCAGATGGTCACCCTTTATGCATATCCCCTACCAGTGACTGTGTGTAATGTTACGCTACCAACGAACGCAACCACAACTCCTCAAACTATCCAACCAGTTAACCAAAATGTGTCACCAGGTATGCAAAAGTAGCTAGCCATTTTGATTTTCGAGTATACTAGTTGAGCGCCTTATCTTTGGCGTATCATAATTTATTTAGATATGTTACAATGCTATTTTTTAAGTAACCTTCATCTGAATTTAAATGTTGTCCATTGCAAGCTTTGTCCAACGACCAGGCATGTAGAAGCCTCAATGTATATATGCTATCAAATATTTCATGTTTTAAACGAAATAGTTAATCATTTACCTGAAGAAGTAAAGAAGAATAGACTTTTGAAATAAAAATATCTTGTTCTTCATTGTTTTCAGGTGTTTGTGTTGCAATAGCTATCGCCTCAGCAATAATAGGAGCTTTGCTTCCAATTCTCATCCATGCTGCATTTAAATACTTCAAATGTCGTCAAGCAAACGACCAATTCCATCACGTACGTTTCAATAGTGACTCTGATAGTGTTAAAGCTGATCATGGGACATTTGGGAGGCCTATAAAGAGAGGGCCTGAGCGTGGATCGCTGAGTGATATGCCACTATCGCAGTCGTATCAGAGACCTCACCAGCAGAGCCTTGATAGCATGGATAGTAGGACAGACCCAGCACAGATTGGCGTCAATATGAATAAATGATCATGATAAAGTAATAGAGTTTGAATATAGGCGAGGTATATTTTGATAGGCGAATCAAAAAGAGCATATACGACCATTGTTGCCACTTGGGGTCCGTTTAATTTCGAGAGTTTGTGAGCATGTACGAATAGTTTGTGGTAAACCAACAAGTCAATCTGATATTCACCACGTCTTTCTGCTTTATGAAATATGCCTCTTGACCCATTTGAATACTCTTTATTTGACAGCGTATAATTACGTTCTGGAATTTCATGTAAATATATGTAAATATGATTTTATGTATCATTAAAGGGGTCTTGAAACAAATCCAACGGGGAATTTTGGGAATTCAGTTTCATGTGTTCATTAGAATTCTGCATAAAAATCCACCGTGTCAGAGTATGGGTACTATATCAAGTACATGAAACAATAATTCCATATACCTATCATCACAGGAAATATTCCTTAATTCTGTGTCGGAATTATTCACATTTATTCAAGTGGCAAATGTCAGACATGACAACATGTGTATCAACATAGTGCAACAACTGTTACATATACTAAAATGTTACACCAAAAATCGGTGGCTAGAACATCACCACTTCATCTACATAGATTTGTAAATAATTATCCAAGATAATACCTTGTATATTTGAATGTAAAAATACTATATGTATATTTTCTTTAAAAGAAATAAAAATGTTTTGAAATCTTCTTCCAGTTACTTTTTTGTATTTCTGAACACTTTTTTTTGTAAAAGTATCAATACTCAAAAATAAATTCTCAATATATGTGTGAAAACATTTGCGATCCCAATCCCAGTGAATTCTAATAAATTATGCTTTCGGGTAATATCATAACCAGGTGTGAAAGAAATTATGGTCCCCTTTCTTAAAGGCCCTGATTGTGGATACGATAATAAGGGAAAGAGTTGTATTTCACACCCGGTGATCGTGAATTAGGGACGGAGGGGGGGAGCAGGCAATTTCTGCTAGGAAATTCAACAAATCTGGAAGATTTATTTTTTCAAGAAAAAGTTTACTATTGAATTGCTAAATGGATAGGCGCACGGTATGGTAGAATATGTTAGGTTTTCTGGGATTTTTTCTGAAACGATACGCATCTAAGGTATGAGATCTATTAAAAAAGGCGCAAGGCCATCAACAGGCACAAATCAACGTTTTTGCTATAAATCAAGCAACAATGGACTACACGACCTGTAATAAATACTTGTAAGTGATGTTATCATAACTAAATTAATGTCATTGCTGAATTTAAAAAATAAGTTTCCATACGTAAAATAAAAAATAATCGAAAATAATTAAAATGGGACGGAGGGGGGGAGGGGACGGAGGGGGGGGAGTAATAATTCTATAAAGTGAAACAACTTCACATGAATTCTTGTATTTGAAAAATGAACTCATTAACTTAGTAAGAAACTGGATGATATACCCCTGGAGACTGAAAAATGGGGACATTTGGAGTAAAAGGACTCAAAGTCGAGAAACATCTCTAATCATGTCTTATATACATATTGCTCCCCCCCTCCGTCCCCTCCCCCCCTCCGTCCCAAATTCATTATTTTAGATTATTTTTTATTTCACATATGGAAACTTATTTTATAAATTCAGCAATGACATTAATTTAGTTATGATAACATCACTTACAAGTATTTATTACAGGTCGTCCAGACCATTGTTGCTTGATTTATAGCAAAAACGTTGATTTGTGCCTGTTGATGGCCTTGCGCCTTTTTTAATAGATCTCATACCTTAGATGCGTATCGTTTCAGAAAAAATCCCAGAAAACCTAACATATTCTACCATACCGTGCGCCTATCCATTTAGCAATTCAATAGTAAACTTTTTCTTGAAAAAATAAATCTTCCAGATTTGTTGAATTTCCTAGCAGAAATTGCCTGCTCCCCCCCTCCGTCCCATATTCACGATCACCGGGTGTGTATTTAGGTCACCATTTAAATCAATGGAAAGTAGGACCATAATATGAAACGACCTCCTACCCTTTTACACCGGGTATCATAAGTGGTTTTGAAGAATGGAGCGAGGTAAAATGAGATGTCTACAGTACATAAAATATTAAGAAATGCCATCCCCATTTGGTATAACTGAGTATACATCAAACAACAATTCAAATTAAACGAATTAGGAAAGTGAAATTGTTCTTTGACACCATCTTTAACACAGGAATTCTTTAACAAAACAGGACTATAAAATTCTGTAAAATCCTTGTTTCTGACTAAAGATTTGATGAATAAAACCTTTGATTTATACTGATATTAGATAGACAAGAATGGTTTGGAAGGTAAATTTTTCTTTAAATATGTTTTGACTGAGAAATACTAAGATACAATTGATCAATTTCTATGAAAAATCTGTATCTTAATAGTCTTAGCGAGTGACCAGATCAGCGTGACCTTTGGAGTTTTAACACAGGCCATCAATTTCATTTCCAAATATAGAGCTGTCAATCAAAATCGTGAATGAAGTGGAAAAGTAAGTTATTTTTAGTTTGATTGAAGGGGATGAACTTCATCTTGAATTGTTCTCGGGAACAAAATTGAAGTTTTGTAACAATGTTCAAAATTTAATTTGTAAGCATTAAGAATGTTTTATAAATATTTGCAGTTCATAGTGACCAACTTACAAAGATTACAATTTTTATGAAAAATGGTGGCCGTTTTGAATTGAAACAAATCTATCAACTAGTATTGCAGTTATCATCTTGACAGACGAACTGATAGGCAGGCGGATAGTTTTTCTATATTCCTACTGAACTTTGTTCGATGGGATAATTAAAATCGGCTTCACAATATGCGACTCTTATAGTGGGAACATGATCAAACACAACACAAGAAGTTAGTTTCAGTTCATTTTTTATTTCATGCATTTCATAAATAATCTTAAAATTGTTGCATATATGCCTTAGTTGGTATTTTCCATGAAAATATACCAATCATATTTCAATTAACTGTCTAAAATATACAAAATATCTTCCTTTGATCAACCTTGTCTCTTATGGCAACTGAAGCCTTAGATTGCTCCAAGGAAACTTAAATAACTATATTTGCTCATGCGCAACAACTCAGTTCATTAAAAAATGACCTGAAATTGAAAGAAAAATGCAAAAATCCTAAGGTTTGATCATGATCAGTAATGAATGATTGATCATGATTTGAAATGTTTGATCATGATGAGGAAAGTTTGATCATGATCAGGGAGGTTTAAGGAATTAAAGGACGGCTATATACCGTTTTATAGGGAGCAAAATAAGGCTTCAATCATCAAAATTTACAAGTGCTGACATTCCATACATTCTATACACTAAAGCTATCATATAAAAATAGTCTTTAATTTACCTGAGAATTCTACATTATGTTTCTGAATCAAAATAATTCATGCATGTTATTGGGAGAAAAATAAATATTTGTTGTCTGAAAGATATCATTCTTACAAAACCTAAAACAACAAGGAACACATGGCTATAGTAGTCCCATGTTCTCAACAGATCTATGCTGCCCCATTTTCTATGTAGCCCAATGTTCATGATACATGTGTACATGTTACAAACATGTTCATGCTACATGTGTACATGTTACAGACATGTTCATGATTCATGTTACAGACGTGTTCATGATATATGTGTACATATTACAACTGTTCATGCTACATGTGTACATGTTACAGACATGTTCATGATACATGTGTACATATTACAGACATGTTCATGATACATGTTACAGACATGTTCATGATACATGTATACATGTTACAGACAGGTTCATGATACATGTTTTCAGTTAACAATTTAAAAAGTAATGTGCTTAAATAAAAAACATGTCATTGATAGCCAGAATATTTCACATTTTATTGCATGATTGCTTGGCAAAGGTTTCTCAATGTCAGTCTAACCTACATGCATTCATACTTATCAATAGGAAATTAAGTTCACTCAAAATATAAAATCGGGTTTTTGTCACTTTTCTACTAAGGGTATCAATACTATCATCTAATTTCTCTAAAATCATAACAAGATTAATTATAAATAAATTAGAACCACTAAAATTCAATTCAATGCATGTCTGCAAACTACTGAAAGACACTTATAAAATTTCACTTGCACTTGATTTTGTTTCAGCCATTTTTACTGTGAAAAGATATTTGAAACAAGTTGGGAATTTGATTTGCAGCTGAAATCGTTCATGTTTACATCATGCTTTTGACATTCAAGACTATGGTCTAAAAAATAGTGTTTTAAAATCATGAATGATAAAATTATTGCTCAGCAGCAATGAAAGAGATCATGTGTTTCCATGTAGTGATGAGATTTAGCTGTATCTAATCGCTTTCATTCTTTCATTGTGTTCAATGTTTTCGATCCACCTCTTTCTCCGCATTTAGCATCTATTTTCTTCACTTTCAGATGTTTTGATCTCGCATGTATACAGTCATTGTGTTGGTTTAACTCATCCACATTGTTTTTTACATTACAATTCATCATCGTCTGCTTAAATAATATTGCATTATGGGATACATCATTGGCAACAGTTCAGTTCATCTCAATTGAAGAGATTCTGAACGCTACTATCCCAGCCCTGGTGATTATTCACATTTACGTGCGTCACATATCGACCAATCAGCTTGAGCGAAGGTTGTAACTGTGTGGCACATAGTGAAGGATAGCAGATTTTTTGGTACGATCTTCAGAAACTAATTCATTGACAGTCTGTTTCCAAAATTCAAAACTCAGCCGGGAACTCTGCAAAATAAATGAAAATATTGCATTATTGAGAAATTTGAGAACAAATATTGAAGGCTCTCATCGAGTCTTTTGAGTCAGTGCAGCTCCAAAATCCTGCCCTGAATCAACACTTTTTATTATATTTTTATTTCAAAATCTGTAAAGAGCCCTGATTATTAATGTAGCTTATATATTTGTGATTTATATTAGACTTCCAATTTATCCTGCCCTAATTACTCAGATGCGAGTAGGTAGTTACCAGTTTCGCCACCAGGTGGCTGATTCGGGGGAATTAACATGGCAGGGTATTACAAAATTCCCTTAAACTAGAATATGCATCAGTTTTAGTGGTTCACTTTTCATATTACCCTTATGTATCTGGTAGTTATACAAATTAAAATATGTCCAGTAAAAGAAAATATTATCTGCCCAACACAAGAAAAGATATTTCACTTTTTGTGGTTTTACAACATGGGGTCTATGGGGAATCTCCCCGACCTAGAAGTCACATTTTCAAAGAAAATTAAATTTTCAAAGTTGATAAACTCTTTTCAAAACCACATTTCTAAATGTAATTTTACATGTAGATTCCAAATATGACATCAGTTTGACTGAATTGTGAGTTTTTAATGACGTAAATCAAGATTATTTCTACTCGCATCTGGGATATTTAACACTGAATATTGGCCAGAATCCATATGTGAGTAGTTGTAGCTAGGTAGCAATGTTTCTAATCAAAAATACTAATCTGAAAAATCTTATTGCTTCATAAAACCTATGACATTATGAGCCTGGAGGTCATTAACAGAAATTTCGTAAAGTTACAAATTAGTTAATCAAATGGTGTAACCATGGATATAATGACGTCACAGTTAAAGAACAATGAATTTAATGAATTCTTAACTTTAAGAAGTTTCTGTTAATGCCCAAATATATCCGTGATTTTGTGCAGCACAATGTGGCAGGGTTAACTGGAAAGGTATATCAATATATTTTATAAAGATTACATCAACCTCAATATTATACTGGTCTGTGAATGTAAACATTTCATTAAATTACTAACCTTTTCTAGGGCACTGCAATCTTTGTCTTTGTGTAGATAATGTTCTTGCCAGAATACTAGCAGATCCCTGAAATATTATTACTTCATATACAACATATATAATGACTTCTAAATGGCAAATATTTTAAATAAAAATGAAAGCTACTAACTTAAACTGTTCAATTGAAATCTAATGTGATTATTGCACCGATAATCTCCGAAGCAATATTAACCTCCACAAAAGATCCAAAATGAGTAAAAGCACTACTAGATCTTGTGATACCCAGTATGCCTGTAGGCAGTTGGTAGCAAATGTATTATTCATTACTAAATTTGAACGAAATAAAACATCGCTAAAAAAATTAGCATGCAAAATGTCCCCACGTGCCATTTGTAACAGATGCCACCTGCCGAACATTTTAACAGATGCCAAACACCAACCACAAAAATGATTTTACTCCTATAACAATAAGTCACCACTTCTGGTGTTGACATAATAAATGATACAAAATGCTTTCTCGTCAAACTGATAAGTCCCATCATGTGTTTTAACCCATTGCTGAATTACCTGAAATTCTTCATCATAGTATTCCCTCCCTTTTTGTCACATCCCTTTATGTGTCTCTCCTCTGACAGAGCCTTCAGGTACTTTGGCATCTTATTTTCCTTGTTGGAGAACATAAGGAACACTAGAGATGTGTTCAAACAACTAACATTTTCCTGAAAGGTTAGATCAATAATTAAAGGGGCTCAATGTCTATTCTCTGATCCTATATAAGAGTATAAAGGGAAGATGTTGATAATAAAAGAGGCCCAACGTCTTTTTTGGCTCTTTATAAGGGTATAAAGGGAAGATGTTGATAATTAAAGGGACCCAACGTCTTTTTTGATCCTTTATAAGGGTATAAAGGGAAGATGTTGATAATTAAAGGGACCCAATATCTTTTTTGATCCTTTATAAGGGTATAAAGAGAAGATGTTGATAATTAAAGGGGTCCAACGTCTTTTTTTGACTCTTTATAAGGGCATAAAGGGAAGATGTTGATAATTAAAGGGGGCCAATGTCTATTTTTGACCCTTTATAAGGGTATAAGGTACAACTGACAGTAACATAACATGTCTATAAATTACATAACTTACAAGTGCTGTCCAATCTCTTATAATGAATAACAGAATTATTTTCGCAATTAAAATAGAACATACTTGTTTACTTTTCAATTTACAATAATACACAATTTGGATAATGCCAATGGATTATTACTAGTGATTATTTTATAACTGGCTTTATAGAGGTTAAGCTTCATAATAGTGATCTCTTAAACCTTGGTGAGATTTAGTACACCTTTCTTAAGGTGTATACCACAATAGAGATAAGCTTCATTATATTAAATTATCTAACCTGGGTGAGATTCTGGACATTAATGATGTTGATGAGTTTATGTAAGTACATCATCTGCTGACCAAAGTTAGAGATATGTTTCAACAGACGATTGTCATCACTCTTGTACTCTGAAACATAACACAAAAGATACTTTACCACAGGAACTGTTAACATATTATGGATGAGATACAACAACTACTATACAGCCTCTTTGGATTTTGGCTGAAGGCATAACAAATGTTCAGAATGTTACTATTCACAGTGACAATCAAAGTCACTCTATTTTACCTTATTTCTGTAGTCTTTGAGGGGCTTTGGTTAAGTATCAATCATTCAATCCATTATTTTAAGCTATTTAATTATATCATATTGGGGAATGAACCAGATTTCCAGACAAATTTCACACTTTTGTCTGTGCTACTTTATAAACCACACATGAAGCAAGATTCAAAATCTACTATCTTCAAGTATCAGTGATCTCCCTAACATTTAGAGTAACGGGTGCTGCACCGATCAAGATGATGTAATACTGAAATTGCAACGAAACAGGAAGAGTAAAATTAAGGTTTAGCCCCCCATTGAGAAATCACTGTGATTATGACATACCTTGGCCTTTAGTTTTGTTGGTGAAATCATCCAGTGACAAGATGAGGGCCCTGAGGAACATGTTGGAGTCAACAAGACTGCGGTTCATGATGGAAATGAACCTGTCAAACTGAAACAACAATTCAATTCAATTTATTCATACATTTAATCATTATGTGTATACATATTATTAATAACAGGTGGCACCACAGGTGATGCTTATACCCGTACATATAGTAGTTAAATCATTTAGTATATCATTATGTTGTCAAGTAATCAAAAGATACAACAAGAAAATGCAGCAAACTCCTCGAGTCGAGGTCCCCAAGTCAAAAAAAATCCTTACCCTATCATATATCTGTTGATTATCCTGTTTATAATATGTATAACTGATTCAGGAGCGTGGCACTGAACGAACCTATATGCCTATTTGTTATTTGTTTAGTTGTTGGTTGGGTAACATGTTTATGACGTCACAAATGATGCAAAGAATATTTAAACCAATCAGTGAAGTCTATATTAATTGTTTGTTTAGTTGTTGATGTGGCGATACGTGTCTGACGTCACAGGTGATTGCATCATATTCCAGTAACGCCATTTTACGACATTGCATAATTTTAGCTGATTTTGGCTTCATTTCACTTTATTTGAAAGACTTTTTAAATTTAATAATGAGTCAGTACTTTTTCTTATGAATATCAATATTTGAATTTGAGGTCAAAGTCCGAAAATTTGATCAACTGATTGAAATCACATTTTAAAGAGGTGAAGAAGTGAATAATTACAGGAGCAAACGTGATCAATGGTTCGAGGTCTCCCGCTCCTACTTCGCGCTGCCTTCGGCAGAGGAGACCTCGAAAAAATATGGGAATTAAGAAACATGATTTTAATTTGCACAATATAGCAACAAGATTCATAAATAGCGTTACATTGAGCATCATAATACATATTAATGTATATGGGTATTTTGAATTTGGGGCATTTGAAGGTTGTACAAAGACTACTTGCATCACTTTTATAGCATTTACTTCTAGCTTTACATAAGGCATTAACATGTCATAATGCCACCACCTAGTAAGTTACTAGAAAAGACTACAAAGACTCAAATGACAAACGCCAACCACCTAACACTGATGGCGATGACACTATGTCACCTTTCTCGGAGGTTATAAAATAACTAACAAACAAAACAAACACAAACCTTGGCATCTGTGTCTAGCACCTTATCGAAAGCCCTGAAAGAGTCAATGTTGAACTTGATGAGCTCTCCCAGGAGATCAAAGCTGCTCTGGAGAATCTCTTTGGGACGGATATCATGGTCTATAATGTTGCTTGAAATGTGCTGGAAAAAACATAAGGAAATAAGAGAAAATGTACATAAACATATGCAAGGTATAAGGAAACGGGTGTCACTGAAGCTCTGGCCCCAATTTTTCAGCATATATGGCAAATCAAAAGGTAACTGTACTGTCATTCAATTTTGAGACTAAGTCTTCAGTATTTATGATGTACTCTGCATAATGTTGATTTATGGTTTTCAGATTGTCATAAAAGTTTCCATCTAAAGGCTACAATTTATTAACATCAGCGTTGTTTTAGGAATTTTTGGTCAATGATTGAGTGTTTTTATAATTCCAATTGACTTTGCCTATTTTATGGTTTTACTTTAATTCTAAACTTACAGTAAGAAGACCTCTCCTTAATAAGAAGACCTGGTCGCAGTAAGATGTGCTGCCTCTTAAATAGCTCTCAACAGCTCTTGCTAACCAAAACCTACAAGTTTAGAAAATAACATATGGATGAATAACATGCAATAATAAGGCATTTATATGACAAATTGTTTCAAAATTGGTCAACCAGGATTTGTAGCCACGATTTAACCTCCACAGCACATTTTGCTCCATTAAATGTTAAAGATTTTGCACATAAAGAATACCAAAACACTTCTTTAGACCCCCTAGCCTGACACCTACTATATCAATGTTTTTAGTGTTCCGTACCTGAATGTTGATGCAGTTGGCTCTTTTTTCATGACTTCAACAATCTTGGTCAGTAGACCCTTTCCACCCCTGCACACATTATCTCTGTAAAAGTAACAAAACACTCATTGATAAATAATACACTTGAAATTCCAAATGCCTTTGTAGATTATCCAACAAAATTGACCAAGACCTCATCAGATCTTGGCACTTTTATTTTGTTGGGCTCTTAAATGTTATTTCTTCCAGTGTTTTGTATTACTTATCATAGCACAAGATCATTTTCAGTATAATAATTATAGTTTTCATGATGATTCAGTATCTTTTGAACCTGTGTAACTAAAACTTATCGAGAGACATTTTTGTAAATAAGGAGCAATCCGGTATCCATCAAAAAAGTTGAGGAAATTACCAAACTTTACTTCAATAACAAGAGATAGTGCAGACTGTGGAGATGACTTACTGATTGACATTGTCTAAGGTGTCTATAGAGAGATTAGCAGCTTTATTGTTAATCCTCTTCAACTCAGCTAACTCACTCTTGGATAGTAACAGGTGTTTGTGTTCTGAGTGGTCACAGAAACTATGGACTAGACGTAGGAATTGGATTTTCAGTGCAACTTCTGGGCTGCATTCACAGCTTGCATTGTGGCCTCGTAGTCTGTGCCTTGTATTCCTGGAACCACTGTAATGTGTTAACATAGAACCCTTTGCAGGAGTGATCTACTTTGTTCTGCACTCTTTAAATGAGTGAAAATCCTCTGAATTCAACAAGCCAATCAGAGCTTGCAATGGATCAGGCATAGCAATGTCAATATACTTGTATGTTTAAAATTAAACCTCTGTGTGTTGAATTATTAGCATGGCTGAGGTGGGCTGAGATTGATTGAACACAAATTGTACATAATGTACTATGAAAGTGCATCTTTGATTCATGATAACATATGTATATGTTTTAATTTATTCCTATATATTGACATCTGATATGTCCAGATTACATGACAGATTAATAACAAGGCATTAACATGACAAAATGTCACCACCTAGTTGCTCACAATATTATGAGTTCAAACTTAAGTCAGATTTGAATTTCTGAGAACTTGTAAAGTCAAATTAGAACTTCTGAAAAGATGTAGATGATTTTGAAAAAAAAATTTGGTCAATTTGAAGCAAGTTGAAAACAGATCTTTTTGACCTTTTTGACCTTGAGAAGGTCATTAAAGGTCAAATGTCAAATCTAAAGTCAGATTTGAATTTCTGAGAACATGTAGATGATTTTGAAAAAAAAATTAGTCAATTTGAAGCAAGTTGAAAAAAGACCTTTTTGACCTTTTTTGACCTTGAGAAGGTCATTGAAGGTCAAATGTCAAATCTAAAGTCATATTTGAATTTCTGAGAACATGTAGATGATTTTGAAAAAAAAATTTAGTCAATTTGAAGCAAGTTGAAAAAAGACCTTTTTGACCTTTTTTGACTTTGAGAAGGTCATTGAAGGTCAATTGTCAAATCTTAAGTCAAATCTAAAGTCAGATTTGAATTTCTGAGAACACGTAGATGATTTTGAAATTTTTTTTTAGTCAATTTGAAGCAAGTTGAAAACAGACCTTTTTGACCTTTTTTGACCTTGAGAAGGTCATTAAAGGTCAAATGTCAAATCTAAAGTCAGATTTGAATTTCTGAGAACATGTAGATGATTTTGAAAAAGAAAATTAGTCAATTTGAAGCAAGTTGAAAAAAGACCTTTTTGACCTTTTTTGACTTTGAGAAGGTCATTAAAGGTCAAATGTCAAATCTAAAGTCAGATTTGAATTTCTGAGAACATGTAGATGATTTTGAAAAAAAAAATTAGTCAATTTGAAGCAAGTTGAAAAAAGACCTTTTTGACCTTTTTTGACTTTGAGAAGGTCATTGAAGGTCAAAAGTCAAATCTAAAGTCAGATTTGAATTTCTGAGAACACGTAGATGATTTTGAAAATTTTTTTAGTCAATTTGAAGCAAGTTGAAAACAGACCTTTTTGACCTTCTTTGACCTTGAGAAGGTCATTAAAGGTCAAATGTCAAATCTAAAGTCAGATTTGAATTTCTGAGAACATGTAGATGATTTTGAAAAAAAAATTAGTCAATTTGAAGCAAGTTGAAAACAGACCTTTTTGACCTTTTTTGACCTTGAGAAGGTCATTGAAGGTCAAATGTCAAATCTTAAGTCAGATTTATATTTCTGAGAACACGTAGATGATTTTGAAAAAAAAATTTAGTCAATTTGAAGCAAGTTGAAAACAGACCTTTTTGACCTTTTTTGACCTTGAGAAGGTCATTGAAGGTCAAATGTCAAATCTAAAGTCAGATTTGAATTTCTGAGAACATGTAGATGATTTTGAAAAAAAAATTTAGTCAATTTGAAGCAAGTTGAAAAAAGACCTTTTTGACCTTTTTTGACTTTGAGAAGGTCATTGAAGGTCAAATGTCAAATCTTAAGTCAAATCTAAAGTCAGATTTGAATTTCTGAGAACACGTAGATGATTTTGAAAAAAAAATTTTGTCAATTTGAAGCAAGTTGAAAACAGACCTTTTTGACCTTTTTTGACCTTGAGAAGGTCATTGAAGGTCAAATGTCAAATCTAAAGTCAGATTTGAAGGTCAAATGTCAAATCTAAAGTCAGATTTGAATTTCTGAGAACATGTAGATGATTTTGAAAAAAAATTTAGTCAATGTGAAGCAAGTTGAAAAAAGACCTTTTTGACCTTGAGAAGGTCATTGAAGGTCAAATGTCAAATCTAAAGTCAGATTTGAACTTCTGAGAACATGTAGATGATTTAGAAAAAAATTGAAGTCAGTCTAAACAGTATTTGTTAAGTTATAGGAAGTTGTAAGAAATTGTTACAGACGCCGGACGCCAACCGCCGGACGCCAACCACCAACCGCCGGACGCCGTCGCAAAAAAACGGAGACCATAACAATATGTCACCACTTTTGGTGGTGACATAAAAAGAAAAATAGAAAAACACATACAAACATCACCACCATTACTCAAAATATCCAAATATTTGGGTGTCATCGTTTGTTTAGTTACGTTTAAGTTATCAGAATTTTAATGACCAATTACAGCACTGATATTTTTTCTACAGTACATTAAACTAAGCAACAACTAAAACGGTATAGTATGTATTGGTGTTGTAAGAGTAAACTTGTAAAAAACTCACACTTGACACTTCCAGATGAATTCATCAAACATATTACTAAGGCCAGGAATCATTTTGAGGTCTGCTAGCTTTCTCTGCACCTACAACCAAAAAGATAGGAATAAATGTACATAACAAAACAAAAGATGACATTTCAAAGTTTAATTCTGGTTGAGTTTTACTTGAGTTGTGTTTTACTGAGTCGAATTTGCCAGAGTTGAGAGTTTTACCAGAGTTGATGGCCTGTTCCTCCAAATTGCTGGGTAGGCAAAAAATGTAAATCTGAATAAGTTTGTCAAAATTTATTGCTTGTTGGAACATTGATTTGTATGGAAGGTGGGAGCAACATTTAACTAATATATGGGATAATACAATGATAAAGTCCAGTATTGGGACATCAAAATTCCTAAGTTTAAGTCAAAGTCTAAGACAGTGAATTCACATACACACGTTTTACTGTATTATAATTCATCCAGCCACATATATTTCACCTTCAAACCCAAATCATCCAAAAAACTTACTTTTTTCCTATGTTTGCCTATTAGGAATAGCCCAAGTACGTAGACAACCTGCACTCGAGTGACAAGATCTGCTCCCATTTCAAGACCTGGCTGGTGAACCATGGGGCCTGATGACGAAACTGGCTCTGATATACCTAGCATAACAAACAACATTTGAAAAACATTTGCAATAATTTGTTGGAAATTGAATTACAGTACTAATATCTAGTATCTCATTCACCATTATTCAGACATCATAAGTTGCTTCACTGGTCTCAATGTGCCTATTACACAGCCAATATAATTCGGCGCTGTTCCGGCACCATTTAAGCACCGAAAATTTTCGACGCCAAAATTTGGCACCGAAACGGCGTCAAAAATCAGACTGCATTTTGGGGGTGTACCTTTTTCTATAGAGGAGTGTGGATATTGATTTCACATAACTATTGCAAAATATTTCAGAAAGGGTAGTTATTTTATAAATTTCTGAGATCATTTACAGATGAGAGAAGTCATCTTCACATCAGAGTTTGATCTTCATTTGTTGAAATGAAAATTCAGTATCGAGAAAATAGAAACATCTCTCCTACCTCCGATGAAATTCTCCCAGTCATCTGTGATTGGCTCATCAAAGGCACAGTCTGATAGGCTGTTGTCTATCCACTCCATCCAACAGTCAAGTTCACTCTGCATACTCCGATATCGAGGGGTATCTTTAATATTAATACGAGCTTTAATGCACACATGTTGGTTATGCACAATTCAAAGGTTTGCTTGAATCCCTCAAATGCAGGGTGGGGCGGGGGATTTTACAGTGGGCTGATTAGTTGATGTGTTATATTCAATGGCGTAGCGTCATATACGCATAAAACGCCATGGCGTACTCTCAAAATTTAGAGTAAAGTTGATTTTTAGATTGAATTGTCTCACACTTGAAAAATGGATAAAATGACCAATAATTTAATGTCATTAGTCCATTTCGTCGGAATTTCGTATTTTAAGACGCCCAGAACGCTTCAACTGCAATCTCATTTTCAAATTTTTTTGGGGGAGGACCCACTCCCTAACCCCCCTCAAAGATCGTTCACTTCGCTCCCTCGTGGCGTACACTCAAAAATACCCACGCTACGCCACTGATATTCTTCATATTTTTGTCATTATTTAGTTTGTGTATTATTTCTTGTGCTTCCTCGAAATAAACAAAACATAAGTACTTACATACTTTAATACATGCAATGTCAACCAGTCTGTCCAGCAAGTCTGGTATACTTAGAAGTAACTCTGAAAAAAGGATAATAAGACAGAAAGTAATTGGAAATTCATTTAGAATTGTATTCAACCAGAACCATTTGACTTTCATTACAAATAATAAACAAGGCAAAATGTCACCACCTGCCATTTTTTACAGATGCTGATCGCCAAACACCTGAACACTAGAAAACATTTCACATCAACAATATATCTTTGCAAACCAAACTCGTCAATGTCAGAATAATTAGCTAATAAAAACATTGTTGGAACTAGTTCAATGTGTATTTATTGCGCTTGATATTTCCATACAATTTGGGATTTTGACTTCTGTCAAACAATTTCCTTTCTTTTTTCCAATTAAAAACAAGATTCTCATGAGAGACATCAAATTCCTACCTTGATTTACATCTCGTACATTGACGAAGCCTTTAGAGCGTTTCTGTTTGTTTTGAGCAAATACTGAAAACAAAATAGATCATGTTTGCATTTATAATGTAGCTAGAAAAATTGCAACCTCAATCACAGTTTACTTAAAAAGATTAGGTAGGCTCAGCTAAACGAAAAATAAACCATCTGTATAAATAGTGTTGACAAAATGACAAAGTGCTACTTAGTGATCAACCTTTTATCTAAGGATAACAGAAGGATAAGACAATAAAATAGAGAAACTAAGAGAACTTACGGGAAGATTTGTTTTCATAGATGTCCAGGTTTGATATTGTTACTGCAAGTACCCGGCAAAAGATGGCCAACTTTCTGTTATCTAACTTTTTGATTATCTGGCGAATGTTTGCTGGAAATAAAACATGGAAAATAGAAAGAGCGTATTTCATAATATTTAGGAGCTAATATACTATGTTGACTAAAGTCCTTGTAAAATGGTATGTTCGAGTTAAACATTTAACAACTTATTTACATTATTCAAGCTGTTAGGAACATTCATGAAGTGTCATTCTATAGTTTTTTATATATTTCATTTTTGGGCTACTTAAAATTTTTAATCTGCTTAAAAAATCTTAAAATGAGTTTTTAATTTCATTTATATTTGTTGACAAATAATTCTGCATGAAAAATATTATAGCAAGGAGATATACTACTTACTGATTCTTGTGAGATTAAAGACCTGCCTCCTTTGTTGTAACATGTCCTCTAGCATCGTCATAGCAGTGAGAGCTGTCTTATTGTGACATAGGAGGGTGAATAAGTACATAACAACATCGTCATGTTGTGTCAAGAGATCTGCAACTTCTTCACCTTTTTCTGTGGAGATTATACGGGTGAGCACTTCTAGGCACATGCTCTTTAAGCGCAATAATGTATCTGTTTCTTTGGATTTAACTGCATTAAATGGAAGCACCGATTCGAACATAATTACTTTCATTAAAATCTGAAAGGAAAAATGTGATTAAATGTAGAACACAATGAATGGTGTAATAGCAACAAAAAATATTTAGTCAAAGATTGAATGAAGTTTAGGGTTTGTGCCATTTTTAAAATGGTTGACTGAAAAGCTTTTTTATCTGTAGAATCCAATAAGGTGTCGGAGTAGACTTAATGTACATGTGATGTGACCACAAAGGCAATTGAGAGGTAGAATCATGTGTGATGTCATTCAATTATCAGACATAGAGCAATGGGAGAAATAAGTTGCCTTGTTAGGTATGCCAAGATGAAACATAATGTGAGATCACAAAACAGAATGAGACTTTTCAGAAAAATTTAACTAATTAATTAATTAAATATTTTATCAAATATGAAATCAAGGATGTTCTTACATTGACACCATCATGTTCAATTAAAGCTTTTGCTGTTTTAGCAGTTTCTTCCTGTGCCCCAACATCATCCTGGGCACGTCTGCTCTCATAGTTGGTGAGGCTACCCAAAATACTCTGAAACATTGCATTCTATTTATAATGGGAGGCAATGCATGTGATACTCTAAAATATTGCATTCTATTTATAATGGGAGGTAATGCATATGATACTCTAAAATAATGTATTTTATTTATAATGGGAGGCAATGCATGTGATAATCTTCAATATTGCATTCTATTTATAATGGGATGCAATGCATGTGATACTCTAAAACATTGCATTCTATTTATGATGGGACGCAATGCATATGATACTCTAAAATATTGCATTCTATTTATAGTGAGAAGCAATGCATATGGTACTCTAAAACATTGTATTCATTCAATAATGGGAGGCTCCCTATAATACTCTGAAATATGGTGTTGTTTTAAGAGACTCCACATAATACTTACAAATAAATATTGCATTCAACAATTTAAAAGGGGACAAATCTGAGTTAAACTGAATTTTCCTGAATAATATCACGGGCAATCAATTGAAAGCCCATGATAATATATAGGATTATTCCAGTACTACTAATTAAACTCTCCCACATTAATGCAAAATACCTTTAAAGAATCCATGCATATTTTGGCATCAAATCCTGGTCCATAGCTGCACTTGTCAAGTTCTGTTAATAAAGCAGGCACATCTCCCATCTGGAACCGATCACTCATATCATAGACCATGTCCATAGGAACCTGTAAATAAAACAAAGACTTTCATATATATTGCAAAGTCTTTAGTCATCAGTTTGATACGTTTTTGATGTTTTTAAGCGTGTGAGAAACGTTTCACTCGACTTTCTTTCAGGTTGAAAAGTGGCTATCCAAATGACACCCAAAATAAATTATCTATTATCTTGCATAATTCTAAATAAACTTCAGTAAAGGTTGAATGAACTTTTCAAACTATGTCATGCTATATCTAGGGTGAGTTATTAGATAATTTATCTAGAGTCCATTTCACTGCTTCATTTCGTCAGTAGAACAGCAAAAATAAGAAATTGGGAGACCATTGTGCAATAATATATGGAAAAGTATATTCATAATGTACATGAATGACATTTGTATATCTTGGATTGCTTCTAGTTTGGCTTATAAAGCGTGTGGCCTCTTATATTTCGACGTTTCTCTGCCATGTTATTTTCAATAAGATTAACATGGCTGAAATTCTTCAAATTACAAGACGGCACAGGCTTATTGCACAAAAAAACTAAAAAATCTGAAATATACAAATGTCATTCATGTACATTATGAATATACTTTTCCATATATTATTGCACAATGGTCTCCCAATTTCTTATTTTTGCCGTTCTACTGACGGAATGAAGCAGTGAAATGGACTCTAGGATAAATAATAAATACAAACTGGTCTGCCTATAATAAAAATTTATTTCGCTATTTTTGGGAAAATGGCTTGTTTCTTAGGAAGTACTTGTACAGTATTTATGGTATTTTCTTGTAAAAAACAATGAATAACCCATGGAGCTTGGGATACAAACTCATATTCTGCAAAAACTTGAAGTTCACTCTTTCTAGAAAGGGATGCATGGGTTATAGGCACATTTGTGCTTTAGAGACAATAAAATGACTTTAATGCTTTAGAGATGCTTGTATGGTTTAAAACCTTCTCTGAGGATTCTATTTCCAAAATATGTACAAAGGTTCATTCAAAGTCTGCTTTAAAACCTTTAAAGGCTTCTTAAACTAAGGATTAAGTGTTTCACGGTCAAGTGATTTTAGTATCAAGAAAACTGTGACATTGTTCTTCTTATGAAGCGTGGAAGTAAAAACTTAACTTACAGAAATCATAGTAATCATTTGAACATTATTTAAAAACATTTAAAAATCTAATCTAATGCAGAGATTGAATAAAAATGAAATCAGTTATGCACAGACATCGGAGAACACATTTCAGCATTAAAATTTTTTGTGGTTTGATCTTGTCCCAGATAGTAATAATCAGCTGTAATATTTGGTCGTTAATTAATTCTAATGCTCAGAATTCCTTTAAACAGAGTAATATTACATTTGGGTGATCAACTCATCGACAGTCGGTGACGAGAACAAAGGTGAAAGGATTACAAAGAGAGACTCAGTACTGTACATTTGTGAGTGTTACTAAATCCTGGAATGTAAGTAAGAGTGACATTCATTAGCAAAATCTTATTTTTTAGATAAATAAATTTTAAAAAATGCGATAGACTGGTCTAGACAGTTTGTTCCACCAGCATTGGGTCAAAGCTGAAAAATGAAGGACATGAATGTGCATGGTATCAGACAAAAACATAAAAATATCCTAAAGATATTAGACTGTCTATCAAACAATAACTTTCAAATGGAAAAACTAACAATACATAGATCTATAAAACTGTTTCAGAGATTGAATAAATGTTTCATCCCAGGTTCTTAGCCTAATTTCTGGCTCTGGTTTTTTCACTTTTTTTTACCTGTGACAAGCGGACACATCCTTTTGCTGTCGATTGTTTGGCGTACGAGGACCGAAATATCGTTCTCTCATATGGTGCCATAGGTCTTCGTGACTTCGGCATTGTTATATCGTTTTGAAAATACTTTCATAAAAGGATATAAGTGTGTAAAATGTATTCTAAAATAAAAACACGTCTTCTCTATTTTTTGATGGCGGCAAAACTGAAATTGCGACTGCGCAAATCTTAACTTCCGGCGAAAGTGAAACCGAATTTTTTCATTCTAATTTTAGTCTATTTGATAAAGATCTATTATAAATGATTAAACAAGATAAAACCTTATTGAAATAGATTTTTCACAATATCAATGTTCCAACATAGATAAGATGGTAATGAACTGTATTTCGATTTTTATGCTTGAAAAAGTTTTACACTGAACGAAATAACCTCAAGTTGACCTTGACTTGAATTTTCGAGACCGGAGTCATGGCACTACAGAAATCCCTTGTTTTGTCTTCACTTGTGCGTAATAGCACACGAACAGCTTCTGTAGTTTTGCAGACAAGGCCAGGGTTAGTAGCTTAGTATTTTTGTTTGATAATTTAAATGACCAGATTTCATATTCGCTCAAATCTTAGCCTACATCATTTGAATTTTTCTGACAAAAATTTCTAAAAAAGATTCACGTTTTCTTAGCATGCCTTTTTTCGACAGCACAGGTAGACAAATGAACCAGATCTGATTGTATAATTTTTGAGAAATGTATTTCAGTCAAAGTCATATTTTGGTTCATCCTATTAGAATAACTCTTGTGTTTACATTTGAGTGATTTGTCATCACGTCATTGATGACCTCATGGGCTCTGATGACCTCTAACTTCACGAGAGTTTTGTAACATCGGAGAGGGGGAAGAGAATTGGGTCTAAGGAATTTGAGGAAGACTGACAAGGAGGATTAGCTCGCAGGGTTCCAACTCGATCCTCAAGCTTGGTTCTGGTATGACCCTAGATGTTAAAAACCCATTCATTGTATCACATCCCTCATATATTTGTACACAGGTCATGGTGGACAGGGGTAGAGATGGGACCTCCTGATCCCATTCTGGGAGTAACTGAGGCATTCAAGCGTGACGACAACCCAAAGAAGATCAATCTTGGTGCAGGTGCTTACAGAGATGACAACGGCAAACCATTTGTGCTGCCCTCTGTCAAAAAGGTACATTTTGACATTAATTCAAACTTGGTTAATTTGAAACAGGATCATATATGCTAATATAAATGTGAAAAGGTCACATCACCTTGGTGGGAATCAAAACCACAAACTTCAAACTAGAACTCATTATTCTCCAACTTTTTGCCAACAGAGCAAACTGACTCTCATCAAAATGTTCAAACTTCGGGTCTTTAGGAAAATAAAAATATTTCAAATCATGATTTTAGAAAATATATAATCTCAAGTCGAGTTACAGATATTTAGAATAAATTGAATATCATGACTTTCAACAATGTGTGAAAAACACCTGAAAAATATGTTTTTGCATGTACATGTATATCTGTTAATCTCTCTTAATTGTTTGTATATTTTAGGCAGAGAAAATCATGAGTGAGGGTAACTTTGATAAGGAATATGCACCAATTGGTGGCCTTGCGGATTTCTGTAATGAGGCAGCAAGGTTGGCTTTTGGAAATGACAGTCCAGTGTTGGCTGAAAAAAGGGTAGGTTCATTTATCATACATTTTCGAGAGATATGAGTCTTGATCAATTTTTCATACTGTACAGTTTATTCCAATATTTTTGATATAGTAATAATAAACTTCTATATTTATAGTTAACATTTTTTTGGGTAATTAAGTTCTACATTTATAATTTTAAAAATTGAATGGCTAATTCAAAATTCTGATATTTTTTCATAATTTAGTCTAGTAATTTGAAATTGAAAGTCAATTTAAATTCTGGTATATTCTTAACTACAGTTTAAGGAATGGTATAAAACAATGTTTCCCAGACTTTAAAGGACATATATAATTTTGCTCATATTTTCAGAATGCCACGGTACAAGGTATTTCTGGCACAGGATCTCTGAGAATAGGAGGAGCCTTCTTTGTGAGTACTAGTATTAGAAACAATTTACATCGTTCGAAACCCTCATTTTGAGTATTTATAGTTTCTTATACATGTATTGAGTACTTCATTGTTTTGAATATCTGTATTCAGAAACACTTTTTGGTTGAAATGCCTTCTGGCATCAATGAGGATTACACCATATTCTGAGTTACACTTGCAATGTTTTATATACTGTAGAATTCAATGAGAATGAAGACTACCTAAGTAGAAACCAATCTGATTTGTATCAGGTTTGTATTGGTCCTAAGCAAGACTAAGACATTAAATACAGTATTCAGTGCATAGCAGTTTGTTTCAAGGCTATGTATAAATGAGAATGATTGTTAGGAGCAGTGATTTTTTCGTGTGGGGGGGGAATTATTTTTTGACAAGTTTCTCCAATTCCTTGTATCTTGAAGTGTCAGTGTTTATAAATTGTTACCACTCTATCTTTTGTAACAAAATTGACCATTGTTTTGCTGAGCTATAATAGAAATGTTGCCTTTCATCAGAAATGCTCATGAAGACCCTGTTAAAGTCTTAATGCTCACGAACAATGTGGTATTCAGCTAATAGGTCTAGCCTACAACAGAGAAGTAATTGATTTGTGTTGAGTTTATAAATATATAAGCAAGTTAGGTTCATGTATCCAAACAAATGTTCTACTCTCATACTGTATAGTACTTGTGGTTCTTGTTATACAGAAACTTATCAGGTTACAATGTCAGATAAGATATAACCTTGCTACATGTGTAACTATGAAAACATATAGTTACTGATCAATGTTATGAATATACAAGCCGTAGCCAGTAGTAAAAAAATCCAAGGGGGGGGGGGTTAAAATCACTGTAGTCACAAAATGGTGAAAACTGCATGATTTTGAAAGTGTTCCTCCTGGCTATAGGCCTGATATATTTTGGCAGTTTTAAAATATGATATCTCGATAACAATACTGTCATTAAAACACCATTATTGAACTGAAACATAAAACATGTATTAAGGGGCAATGGAGTTTAACATTGATCCAATTGGAAGTATTTGATAATTTAAGAAATAAAGTAACTTTTGTTGTTAACTATAACAAAATGAAAGTATACTGTACTAGCCCAACCTTAAGTACAACTACTATCTTTTATCCATTTATATTCATTAGCAAGTCATCTTCTGTGTATTTGTATCAAATATTTGAATTTATAAATCAATCAGTCAAATTAAAGTGGTTCTGTAGTTTAACATAAAGGCTAATTACCCAAAAATTGGGAAATGTCACTTTAACATTTAAATGAAATATTTTGATTTTGACCTATGTTTTCTACCGTTTTCTATCATGTTCACATAAAATGTAAAGAACACTACTTAATTTATGAATCATGAAAAAATCTTACCTATAGGTGAATTTGTTATATCTATTAGGGAAGTTAAGTATGTAAGCAATTTACGTACTAGATAAAGCATAAGAATGAGGTTTTATAAGAAATAATACACCGAAGGCCGAAGGCCTGAGGTTATTATTTCTTATCAAATCGAATTCGAATGCTTTATCTTACTTAAATCACACAGACTCTTATCACAGGCAAAGGGTCTATTATATTACAGTTAAAAGGTCTTTAATCCGGAAAAATGTGATTTCTTTTGTATTGACTATTCAAACTGTGAATTTTGCAAACTTCAACCAGGCTCACAATGACCCTTGCTCTTATTGGTTAAAATTTGTTGTTATATAGCCAATTAATTGTAACAATAAAAATAGTTGGTTGCATTGACCTCATGAGTGTGAGTTGATGTAAGTGACTGAGTGGGCTATAATTAGTCTAGCTTCAGTGCACTACAGGTGACTGTCCAGTCCAGAACATTGAATTTGAATACAGCAGAATATTTGTAAGTAAGATAAGATCAATGATGTAGATAGCAACAAAAATTGATAAATTGTTTTATTCTAAAGAATGCACAGTAACAAGAGAAGGGTACATGTATTTTTGTATATTGTTTTTAGGGAATGAAAACTATCAAAAACTGTCAATGGCCATTTACGTCTCACTTGTTTTTGATAGCTTGCCAAGTGTACATTCTTTAAAAACAATAGAAAAATAATGCACTTTCCTTTTGATAAAACCATACATTCTTAAAAATAAACCACAGCAAATTCTATTGTGTTGCTACCCAAGTGGGATTTAATGTTTTATATAAATCTCTGTTATATTCTACTTGTAAGGGAAAAGGCACTATTCTTCCAGTGAGTTTTACAACACACAAACATGTTTGATTGATTTGAAAATGTTGAACGTTTTGAGTTTTAAGTTTTTACAGTGAAAAATGTGCATAGACCTATTTTATTAGATATTAAACTTATTTATTGAATATTATATCTTATTTATTATTCAATTTTTTCTTTCCAAAGTATATAAACTTTATGTACCTCATAAATGTGAAATATAAGATCAAGTGGCTTATTATAAACAAACAGAAAGAACAAGTAAATATATATAATGTTTTCTTTATTTATTTCCCGTCATTTTCAGAATAAGTTCATGGGCAACAAAGACTTCTACCTACCCACTCCAACCTGGGGAAACCATATTCCCATATTTGGGTAAGCCATCATCAGAATAATTTTATTTTACATTTTTATAAGTTGTTTATGTCGCCAAGAAAGGTTATGACCTAACAAATATGTATATATCATGTACATGTTAAGAATTTATATCATTTTGATGTTGTCTGCAATATGTCTAGTATATCATGTCACCATTTATTACAAATAATTAAACTCTTAATTGCAACTTGTTGGTGACATTTTGTCATGTAATGCTTTGTTGTATTATTCATTTCATGATGTACATGTAAATAGAAACTGGTCATAAAAGTAGAATTTCAGATTTAACATTTCAGTTAAGCTAACCGTTTTCAAACAAGGTAATAGACCTAGTACAAAAGTGAGATGAAGTGACTGAAATGCATGTAGTGTGTGACTGTAATAGTAATTGAATATTATTTCAGGCATTCTGGTTTAAATGTCAAGTCCTACAGGTACTACAACCCTGCCACTTGTGGTCTAGACTTTGAAGGAGCAATTGCTGATATAAGCGTAAGTATGCAGATCCCCTCAGGAGTCATTATCTGCAGTCTCATCTCTTATATGAGTTATACAACACAGGACTCCTCTCTCTTGTCTTGGAAGTCATACTTTTGAGAAATCATCTCCATTTAGACTTTTTCCTAACTCATTACATCTAAGTAGTTATTTCCAATATTGTTTTCTCTCTTAGGAGTCATCTCCTTCAGATGTCATGTTCTTGATAAATCATTTTTATTCAGGATTTTTCGTAAATCTTGACTCTGAACAACTCCCTCAGCAGTTATTTTCTTCAATGATTATCTCCCCAGGAATCATATCATGATAAGGATCATCATGAGTCGGAGGTAGTCATCTTTTTTTAGTTTCATTTCCTGGAGGAAAGAAACATTCATGAATATATATAATTTAAGGATTATACCAGATCTGCTGATTGCATTGATTTAAAACTTAATTTCCCTCTGAGATTTTTAGAGTTTGTAATAATTTTCTTTCAGAAAATCCCAGAGGGCTCCACAGTTGTACTGCATGCATGTGCCCACAATCCTACAGGTGTTGACCCCAAGGTATGCTTCTCTCTGAAGTTAGAAATATGATAAATTATTCAATGTCTTCAATTTACTTTTCTTATGTTATCATAAACTGATTGGTTTGTTCACACAGGCTGATAATAAGATGGGTATTCCTATATGTACTAAATTAATAAATATATTTATGTCGTCTGTCATGACTGATGTATTATGGGAAAAATCTTTGTACTTCTAGCCTGAATAATGAGCTGACAATAGGATGATAAATAATACAGACAAATATAACTCTGAATACATTAAGTAAGTAATATAAAATCATGTAAATGTTGATGCCGTCTGCAATAGCTGATGCATTATGGGAAAAATCTTTATATTTCTAGCCTGAACAATGGAAGGAGATTTCAAAGGTAATGAAGGATAGAAAATTGTATCCATTCTTTGATATGGCCTACCAAGGTTTTGCCACTGGAAATGTTGATGGTGACGCCTTTGCCGTGAGACAGTTTATTGAGGACGGTCACGACCTAGCACTCTGCCAGTCATTTGCCAAAAATATGGGACTCTATGGTAATATATGTTAATGTTATCCATTAGGGGTGAGACGAGTCAAAAAAATCCGATTCGAGTCGAATCCGGTTCGAGTCAGAAAATGACGATTCGAGTTTCGAATCCGTTTCGAGTCGCGCGAAGTGCGAACAACATCGCTTTTGACCGTTCGTATTTTTAATGCATCAATGGTGGAAAGCCGGAAATATAAACAAACACAATTCGTCGTAAGTTTATTCTGATTTTATTACATATATTCTTTCATTTATGTGTACATACAATATAATAATTTAATACAAGCATATCCAAGTCATTGAAACTTATATATTCAACGCAATATCGAGTAAAAACATGCATATTGACAGTATTTTTCTGATTTTTTTGATTTTTTCGAATTTTTTTCTCAACTCGAAAATGATTTGATTCATCAACTTCGACTCGATTCGACTCGACTCGAAGCCCCAAACCCGCGAGTCCTCGACTCATCGGGTTGTCGTCTCACCCCTATTATCCATTCACAGTACCCCCATAAATGTCAGGATGATTTCTCGAATCACCCCCACAACTACTTCTTTATTGAAATCTCGCAGTTGTTTAAAAGTTGAATAATCGGTCCCTGGTCAGCATTCTATATACCCCGAGTTAGGTTAAATGTTTTGTCATAATTGACTGATGATATGAACATAATCCTTGTCACTAGATAGTTCTTGTAAAATGGTCAATTTTGATTTTTGAAGCCATTTTTGGCACATTTCATTTTTCATTGATGAGCCTTCATTGATTAACCTATGGTAACCTATGATTAACCTAAGTAAGGCTTAGATATTCAATTTCATTATGCTAAAATGAAGTTTGTGTGTTTAGGTGAGAGGGCTGGAGCATTCACATTAGTGTGCAAGGACAAAGAAGAGGCAGATAGATGTAAGTACATGCACACTGTATTGTGAAACACTTGGCATATAACACCTGGCAATTGGCATCCACCTTTTACATCTGACATTGGCCATTCACCCCTATTATTTAATATGCAGTATATATTTCCCAAATATATGGTTATACCCCTAATATTTTGATACTTATTTTAAAGATCATTTTGCAATGGTCTCTTAGTCTTACCCTCTACTTTATCACTAAGATTTGGCATTATATAACCACTTTTATTCGAGTTTGTCCATTACATTTGTGAGAATTAACTGATACACTTTCCTTTTACCCTTACACTTGTCATTTACCCCTTACATATAGGATTTTATAAGCCTGGGAGATTAGTTGTTAGATTGTCAGCGGTTATGTCCAGCATTGGATGCCTGTAACAAATGGCAGGTTGTGACATTTTGCATGTTAATGCCTTGCACATTTGATATTGTAGGTATGTCTCAATTGAAGATTATAATCAGACCTATGTATTCCAACCCTCCCATCCATGGAGCACGTATCGTCACTACTATTTTGACCAACCCTGAACTTCGAAAAGAATGGTGAGTAATGTGTCTAAATGCCTTTGAATAATGTTCCTTTGAGTAATATGTCATTGAATACTGTGTTATTGAGTCCTTTAATTATGTGTCAATGACTAATGAGTAGAATATATTATATTTTTTATAATATGTCATTGAGTTATGTGTCGTTAAATAATGTGTCATTGATTAATGTGTCAATGAGACATTATAGAACAGTTAAGTTCCGCTCTGGAAGTAATTCTCGCGTTTATATGTTATTCCATTATTGCAGGCTGGTTGATGTTAAAGGAATGGCAGACAGGATCATTAGTATGCGTGAACAGCTGACAGCTAACCTAAAGAAAGAAGGCTCCTCATGTAATTGGAGTCACATCATTGACCAGATTGGAATGTTCTGTTTCACTGGACTCAAGCCAGACCAGGTATAGAATTTATATTGTTAGTACCTCAGTTGAAATACTCGATTTTGATTGGTCAACGAGCGGTGAATAATTTTAACTGTACACCGCGCAATGCATTGCCGGTGAATAATATTCCCAGCATTCCACTAAAATGACGTCATTATCAGACGATAAAATGGCCGCCGCTAGCACTAGCCGTTTCAAAAATGTTGAAGATGAGGATATTATTAGTCTCTTAGAGAGTAAAGACAGTCAAAATACGAAGAAAAATCTAAAACTTTGTACAAAGCTTTTAGTGGACTTCGCCCAGGAGAGTAATTTGACTCCATTGAGTGAACTTACTGCCGTGGCAGATGTAGATAATTTTTTGAAAAAGTTTTACGTTGGTATTAGAAAAAAAGACGGTGTACTTTATAAGTTGAAATCATTTCAGCTTCTTAAATGGGGAGTGGCACGATACATTAGAGAGACACTTAAGATGGACATTACCAAATAAATTATTTCTTAATTATAATATCAAAATAGCATATTGTGTTTGAAATACAACATGAACGTCTCGAGGGTCTGGATCCAACTCAAGTCAACTTCAAGGGTCAGAAAAATCTAAGATATTCTTCGGGCTAACAAAACAATTATAGACCTCTCCATTCGGTTTACTGTCAAAATTATATCCCTCGACTGTAAACCTCGACCTACGGTCTCGGTTTACAGTCTCGGGATATAATTTTGACAGTAAACCTCTGGAGAGGTCAATAATTGTATACTGTTGTTGTAGTTTGGTTACTGAATACTGCGATCTGTATATTTCGTATTAGAGGGTTGTATTGTTTCGTTACCTTGTACTAATTAAGTGTTCAGTGCATTAAACAGTAGTGTACATATACTGTATTAAGCATCAGCAAATTTGCATCCTCCGATCACAGGGCTTCAAAATCCAGAATATATTCTTTCTTTTTACCCCCTGCGATAAGCAGTTAGCATTTCCTCGATTAAGAACTCGCAATCTGATTGGCTGTCTGAACACTGCGTCAGAAATTATGTATAAGTCATTGCGCATAATTAGATCACATGCAAATTTGGAGTTTAGAAAAATCATGATACTACCATAATCAAATAATTCCGAAATTGGAATGTCATATTTTTGGGTTACCTTGTATTTATTCCAATAGTCTAAATTTATCAAATGTTCCCTTTCAGGTTGCAAGTCTAACAAATGACTACTCTGTGTATCTGACCAAAGATGGCCGTATCTCTGTCGCAAGTATTTCTTCAAAGAACGTCGACTACCTAGCATACGCAATGCACCAGGTCACAAAATAAATCCTGACAGTACTCTCTATATATTATAAGACAGTGATATATGAAAATTATTTCTCAGAAAATAAATTTCCCAAAAACACAAATTTTAGTGAAAAATTGTTGAATTTTGCGCTGAAAAAATTATGATATTAAACTTAGGACTCGAGGAGACGATGAATATTTTTGGAATATCATTTGAGTCTCACTACGCATTGTGAGAGCAGACCTTGGACTTAATGATGGATTTTTTCTCCAAACCACAGTTACATATTTAGGTACATACACTTGACTGCATACACACTCAATTTCATTAGTAATCACTCTGGTTTTAGATCATTAAGGATCTGAGAATTATTCTTTTTATAATTATATTAATCTTTGTGGTGTGGTATTACTAGGCATGTTTCTATCATAAACCATGGCAACTTGAAATTATCAGCCATTTCTGCCATTTAAAGGTACAAAAATTAGTGCAGGGAGCCATTCAACAATCATCTACCAGTGTCAAAATATATTTAGGTTTGGATATTTCATCAAATTGTTTTCTCTCTACAGTCCTTGTTGCCCCTTTAATTCAGCACGATTCTGCCACTGACAGCTCAGAACCATTTTACCACTCAGCCTAGTAGCTAACAGCTTCAGTTTGATACATGTAAAAGAGCAGGATTAGCATACAGAAGCAAAGAAGCATGGTATTATGATAGGGGTGTGCCTCAAGGGTCTAAAAGATATTATATTTATTCATTGAACAGTATGGGAATAACCATGGGCTTTCAATTAGAATTAGAATTATTTTTTCTAGTTGAAAGCTCATGGAATAACAACTATTGAATACTGGATATTTCATTGTTATGCTGTATGTAAAGTCTACATATATATTATACTGAATCATGCACTCTGTATATGTTTATGAGACGAATTAAAAGTATAAAATTAAAAAAATATGCATGGTTGCTTTATGTGTATTACATGCATAATCTTACATGTATATGTTTATGTTATCATGATCTCTCAATATTAATGCCTCGGCCACATTTGATCTACAACAACTGTATGGTGGCCATAGCTTTCCAAAGGCAAGAGAAATATGCAGTATAAAATATAGGGATAAGCACTACAATGTAGATTTTCTCTATCGATTTTGGCTGCCGTAAGCTCGCCTTAGAGGAAATGTGACGGAGGCTTTACTCATTTAGCATGATATAATGAAAATTGAGGAATTGAGGAATCATGTCTCTATGATGGTCTGATTAAAATGTGATTACAATCATGATTTCAACGTTTTGAAAATATACTTCTAGTCTATGTGTCTTTTTCCATTGATCGCTATATTAGGCAGATGACCAGGGCAAATAAGCCTCAACAGTCGCTTGTTCTAATGAAAAAAGAACTAGTTACAATGTTTTATTCAGATTCAAGATTATGAGACATCTTTATTTCTGATTTTGTATTTTGAAACAAGTAATACAGTAAAACCTGCATATAGTGAACCTATGGACTCACAACATGTGTTCACTGTAGGTAGGTGTTCATTTCAGAGAGGGTAGTTTATACAGAAGTCAGTAGAGTATACTAAGGGGAAGGGTGTCCACTAGAGACAGGTGTTCACTAAGACAGGTTTTACTGCACTTTCGGTGCATCTGAATGTATGCAAGTGTCAAATCATGTGAGTTTGCACCATTTAGACGCGAGTTACTCCAATAATATGTACTTGAGTGATTGAGATTACATTTTTTTGTATAATTTTGTTGTTTACTGAAGTAATTGATTGAATAAATAGGATAATTTTTGAGGTATGAGAAAATTAGAAACTGTGTTAAATATTCGATAACATTTTATTGTCACCAAACAGTATCTGTAGTTACGTTGTATATTGTATTCTTCAAAATATGGTTACATTGAAGATGACTCTTTGCCTATTATAATTGAATTACTCAAGACATGAAAATAGTATGGGGCTATTACACACAAAACATCTGGGCTCACTTTTCCCCAATGTGTGAATACTTTGGGGCAGACAGCAGGCATAGCATGGATACGTGGTGGGCAAAACAAATGGTTTTACAGTAAGATATCCCCATCATGCAAAATACAAATATTAATTGATTAATCAAAAAGGTAATGCCCAAAATTAGCCACACTGTGGCGAATGGTGAGTCAACACGGCTAATGTGACAGCTACTACTTTAATTAAATGAAGTCTAATGTGATACAGGAAATGCTCCACTCGGGTATGTAACATTGTATTGCTTTCATGGATGTTTTATTTATTTATATTAGTAGATGCTTTCATGGATGTTACAATTGCCACATTAAGTGGAATTTTTCCTATTCACATTCTGAAATGTGTGATAACTCATAGTATCATTTAACCCTCTTTCATAAAAACTATAAAACCATTATGAAGAATCTTTCAACATTAACAAGGGATATCACCTGAAATACAATGCTGAAGTAGATTAAGTTTACACTAATCTGCCCTCTACGTTTTGGTAGAGCCAGCAAATATTATCCAAATAAATCCTCAATAGTCCTATTGAATGGTTTATTTAGACTTACAGTTTCATTATGATTACTACAATGGGGTCCTTTGTCATGCACTTAAATATACCTTTCAAAAATAAAAATATTCTTGAAATTTACATAACTTTAAAAAACATGAAAAGTTCTATCAAAGATGAAAATGCATGTCTCGGATCAATACAAATATACATGTGCTGAAAATATGATTTCTCATATGATCTTTTTGTAGGAATTTAGATTCGAACTTGAAATGTTGAACATTTCTCTCAAGGGTGTTATGTTAGGACTATTGTAGAAGAGTCGGAGTGCGACTTGGATACCTCTAGTTACCAGTCATTGAAGTAAAAGTTCAATTCATGTTCTGATTTTAGACATTAACTGGATTATTCACATCTGTACATGTACAGTAATTGGAGAACTTTACCAAAGGTATGTAGATATCTTGTCTATATTCTATATAATGTTTGATTATTTTTGTTGTTGTTGGAAGTTTAGTTTTTGGCAGTATGTATGTTCATTTATTTGAGCTGTGCAGTAAATACATGTAAAGTGATATACCCAGGATTTTTCTAAATCTTAATTTCACCTTTTTTTCCTGTCAAAATATCTGAAATATTTCATCATTTTGGCAGTGTGCAAACAGATTTTCAAGAGGGTGGCATTAATGTTCTGCAGGCTGCAGTACACTGTTGTTCTAATGCTGGGAAGATCGCTACAGAGCTCAATTAAAATGCTTTAGCAAGCCAAATCACTCATTGAATACATATTTAGAGCTAGTGTCAGAAACTATTCAAATAAAAATGTGGTATCAGTAATTTTATAAAACAATCATTTACACACTGTAATATTCCAGAATTAGAATCTTCTGAAGAATTGAATGTTTCCCTGATTTTTTATGTCAATGCCACAAGTGGTGACATATTGTTATAGTTTTCAACTTTTTTATGGATGTTGTTTGGCAGTTGGTGTTTGGTGGTTGGTGTTTGATGGTCAGTGTCTGTAACAAATGGCAGGTGGTGACATTTTGCATGTAATGCCTCATGTTCTACTTGTACTAGTTGTAAGTTTGTGTTGTACATAACCTTGAGATCTCTACAAATCTGCCTCATTGATCATTGATTTTCAAACCAATTAATTATCAATATCAGAACTTGAAGAATGATAGGGATTTCCATTGTGAAAATGTTCAAGGAAACTGTCCATAGGTCTGATTGCAATGATACAGTGTTCTTCCCTCTTTTAAATAAAAATCATACAATTGGCTTATTTTGACCATTTTTGCTAGTGATGAAAAATAGAATTTGCACCCACTTGAGAAAATATCCAAGGATAACAATGAATGTGGATGTGGAATTCAACAGGAAACATACTGACATAAGGCATTCATTAATAACATTAAGGTGACATACTGGATTGCATTTCTATGTTATTTTGATCCTTAATGTATTTCTCATAGCAATAACTATAAATAACTGAGTAATAAAATGTAATTTACAGTAAAACATGTTAAGTGGAACACCTCTATAAGTGGAACACTTCCACAAGAGGAACACTTCACAGAGTTCCATGGACAATTGACTTAATGTTAAATGAACCTCTGTAAGTGGAAAATCTTCCAAATTGAACACTTTTAGCAGAACTAAGGTTTTCCACTAACTAAGGTTTTACTGTATAGCTCCCAAGAAAGATCAGAGTTTGGCATTATAAGAGATCATAGTTTACAATCAACCCCTTTGAGTACATTCTGAGAATATCAGGCAGGGAGTTCTGATTATAGGAAATTTGCCATCACATACTCAGATACTCGACACTGCATAAAAGAAAATGAATTAGAAGTGCATGACTTATTAGATGTTCTAGCATTAACCTTGAGTACTTTTTGTATTTTATTGTACATTATCCTTCTAATGCTCTCGTGTTTGTAGATTCAGTAATTGATTTTTTGAGTTTGTTTTGTGGTTCTAAAGACTTCTCTTATTTCCAGTAAATACAGACACGGTTATAGGATCTAGACTGACTATGAGACATTGAGACTTTACAAATCAAGGTAAGATATTATTATTATTATGCACATAATTATGTTTATATGATTCTCATAAATAAATAAAAAAAAGTTTATTATTTTATGCACATTGTTTTATGAAACTCTTATATTAAGCAATAAAATGTCCAAACCTATTGTTTCTTGAGGGAAATCAGCAATAAGTATAGAATTTTCATATTTATAATTACAAAATTTGATAATCTCTTAATATAACATTTATTTTATTTTGTTAAAGTGTGGAATACCTTAAGGCAAAATTAACAGATCAACAAGCAAATTAATTCGAATGCAATATCAATATTTGTTGTCTGGTATAATGAACTTGATCATGGAATGGGAAATCTATAAAGTAATTGAATTCTGATTAGTCTTATTGATCTTGTTTCTGCCTTAACATTACACGTATATCCATTTGTTACAATCCAGCTATGCCAATACATGATAATCGGGCCCGTAGCCAGGGGGTCCCCCCTGGGCCCTGGCCAAAAATTCTTTCAAAATCATGCAGTTTTTCACCATTCTGAGCACTTTTTAAGTGATTTTGGCCATTTTTGGACCAAAATTGTCAAAAGTGAACCACCCCTGGAATTTTCCAAAAGCTGAACTCCTCCCTTGGCAAATCCTGGCTACGGGCTTGATAATACATGTATAAAACTAAAATATTTGCACCAGCCTTTGGATATCCTTGTCTGGTACTTACGAAGTTATGAATAAGAATTGTCCGATTTAAAGATTTTCATATTTTTTCTAAAGTGTGAATCACTGCACTTCATATTTTCTCAAGTTGACTATTTCTGATTTATTCTTATCTCAAAATTTTGCAAGATTGCTAAACTTTGTAGCAAGTTATTTGCAGTTGTTAGGTTAATTAAAAGTTTATTTTGGCTATCACATTATTTGCTTTTTGAAATAGCGTCAATTGGTTTGCACGTTTCAAAAGATGAAAATGGTCATTCTGGGCAGAGAGCAAATATGGTAGCAAAAGACTGACCATTGTAAAATTGTCAAAAGTGAACCACCCCTGGAATTTTCCAAAAGCTGAACCCCCCTTGGCAAATCCTGGCTACGGGTCTGATAATGCATGTATAAAACTAAAATATTTGCACCAGCCTTTGGATATCCTTGTCTGGTACTTACGAAGTTTTGAATAAGAATTGTCCTGATTTAAAGATTTTCATATTTTTTCAAAAGTGTGATTCACTGACTTCATATATTCTCAAGTAGGCTATTTTTGATTTATTCTAATCTCAAAATTTTGCAAGATTGCTAAACTTTGTAGCAAGTTATTTGCAGTTGTTAGGTTAATTAAAAGTTTATTTTGGCTATCACATTATTTGCTTTTTGATATAGCGTCAATTGATTCGCACGTTTCAAAAGATGGAAATGGTCATTCTGGGCAGAGAGCAAATATGGTAGCAAAAGACTGACCATTGTAAACATGGTATAGAATGACATAGGGTTGTTTGGCTTTTGAAATAGTGTATTGATACCATTGAAGCTTTTCATACTGGACAACTCTTAAATAAACCACTAATATGAGATTTGTGTTTCAGATAACAGCTGAATTTATAAAGACTGGACATATCATCAAGAAAAATGTAAGTGTCTTACAGTATACTGCATAAGTGGTAATTTTCCCCTAATCATTTAATTTGCCAATTGCCTAATTTTTGCTAGGTTCGGAAAATTAAATTACGGAAGTATCACCTTCATAATGTTATCCAAAGGGAAGTTTCTTGTGAGTAGGAAAATTTTAAAATTTGAACATTCAGCAAATTAACCACCCAGTTTAAAAACCACTTATACAGTATTAACAATTAAGTGTTTCACTATATCCTTAACTTAAACTGATTATACATTAAAACATGCCTCATTCAAATGGAACTGGGACTTGTCTCTGTTAAAGTGTTCACATTAGCAGATGGGACCAGAAAGGTGTTCACATTGAGACATTTTCAAATTGAGAGGTCGTTGTATATGCAGGTTTCATTGCATGTACCTTGTGTTTATTATCAGATACTAAAAGGTGGATTTGAATAGGTGAATCCTATACATTAGATCTTATTTTTTAAAGAAAAACCTTTGATCCCAAAAGACTGACTCCCTTAATAGATATGTGATGCTTACATTTCTAGATCATTATCTCCATTTTCAAATGAGAAAAACATTATTGTGCTTTTTTGACTTCCATTTTAATGACAAATTGCATGCTGTTTATCTTGAACGGCTGGCTGTTTGTTATCTATTTTCTACTTTTTGAAACGCATTTTGCATTGAATTATTTTGAAGTGTGAAACACTGTTTCTTTTAACCCCTTTCAACAATGTCAAGCTAATGTATACAGCAACATCATAACCACAACAGTAACACCTTTAGAGTTTCACTCTCATTCTCTACAATGAAAACACAAGATTCTCTTTTAGAAAATTGAAATGTTTACTTTGAGAGTGACTGAATGATCTTACTTTGTAATTGAGTTCAATTGCCAAATATTTTGTTTGCAAATCAGAAAAAGTAAAGGTTTTGAAGTTCGACGTAACCATGTGTCAAAAAGAGAAAAGTAAAAGAAATGTTTATGACTGTAGGCTATTGATTCTGGTATTGATGTTAGAAAAAGATAATTATTTGCTCACGGTGGTCTGGATTTTCAAAATAATAAACCCATTTAAAGAATTCATTATAGACTAATCCAACATCTACATGAACCATGATTTCAATTATATTTAATTGTTTGCTATGTTGGGATAAACATATGTAGAAGTTATTCAATTACAATTTTTGAAAGGATATCATTTTTATTCAATGCTTGCCTGTGCTGGGGAGATTTTAATATTCACAGGAATAAATAATAGAAGTACTTTGACATAGAAATATTTCACACAAAGATAAGAAAAAATTCAATCAAATGAAAAACACAAGCGAACTGTGCTAGATTGACCTGCTTTGACATGGAAATGATTTGTTATTTTTTAACCAAGAAGGAAATTAATAGCTCATTGCGGGTGGTTGAATATTCAAATGAACCCAGTGTTGTATTGCACTTCAATTTCAGTTGTGTACATATTATATTATACAGCAGTCTATTGATATTTGTGTTTACTCCACCTTACAAAACCTGACTTTTACTTGACTGTTACTAGGTACCCATCAAACAAGCCAAAAGCCAGGTCCTTCCAAAAAATCATTGTTCATGCTTCTCCTTACAAAATATCATTAAAATATGAGGTGCAATCCAGACAAGGTATTAAAATAAAGGAAATGGTAATTTTATCAATAGATCCAAATCATAAAATTTTCAAAGTTTTTTATCGAGTGAAAAACATTTTGCATCTTATATGGTCCCTTTGAGGTTGTATAGCAAGGATAGCTATTGCATATGTAGAATGTACTAGCTACTGACTCTACAGAGTGCTATCAATACTTTGATACTTTGATACACGCACAGTATTGTTAATACCTGTTTATTTGGATTATAACTCTTATTGGAACAACTTGCTTTAATAGGTCTTTGAATCTATAGTGTAATCATGGAGAGGTAAGCTTTTAAGTTATGTTTAATCTTTTAAGAAATGTCAAAATTTTGCATGTCAACATCAGATCTGGAATGATTAAAACTAATCTGGTGATAATATTACAAAAATACTGAATAAAAATATGAATTGCAGTATGTTCATTTTTTATGTCAACACCACAAGTTGTAACATATTGTTATAGTCTTCAACTTTTTGTGTATGGTGTTCGGTAGATGGTGTTTCAGTGGTTGGTGTTTGGCATTTGGCAGTTAGTGTTCAGTGGTCTGCCTCTGTAATAAATGGGAGGTGGTGACATTTTGCATGTTGATGCCTTGTCTTCAATTGTTATTGTATGCGTCAGAATCAAAGTATCATGTTATCATGGTAAAAATAAGACTCAAATAATAAGTAATATATAAAATACATTATACTAAAAATATAGAAGTAACATTTAAAATCTGAAATCTACTAGGAGTATTGGTTCTTTGGCATTTCTAATCAAAATTTCTCATCAAAATTCCAATCCAAAGAACAAGTAGACTAATCATGATTTGCCCTTTTTTCAGAAATTTCTTTAAAAGAGAGCTTCATCTACACTTTTTGAAAAAGAGATAATTAATCCCCTGATCTAGCCATAGCCAATCAGAACAAGTCAATCAAATTCAGCTATCCAATCAGAAGTGCAGTTATGTGCATTCATAAGTAGCTGGCATTTATTTCATATTCAAATTCTCATGAAACGTTTATGACAGCTACTTTTGGGGTCATTAAGGTCTTATAGGCGTCAAAATTATAAAATTGTCTGTTCTACCCAGAGGTTAGCATTTATTACTTGTCTCTTGACATCAGGGTTGTTGTTGTTGTCTTGTACTCAAATAGCTCCTATAATCATTGGTTAATCATTAAACTGATGGGATTTATAATTAACTTATTATCTGAAAAGTAATAAAATATAAGTTACTCATAAGTACACTCCCCTTCAAAAGTATGGTAATACATATCCCCTACTTGGCCATGGTTAAATTTTGTTCATGTTTACAAATTAAAAAAATACATCATAAATTTCTTTAAAACACATAAATTTTTACCTGATATAAATTAAAGCATATTTTCTTGTTGACATCAGAAGCATAAACAAGCATTAGCATGCTATCAAAAGGGAAGTAAATGTTTCCAAACTTTTTGAGGGGAGTGTACCTTCTCAAGAGCATCTTATACTTGCTAATTGAAACAATTTATCTTTGTCATCTACAGTTCTGTGCACAGCTCTCGAGATAACAGGACAAGTGAAGTAATTGGTCCATGTAAATGAAAGAGGTAGTCACCTCACATAATGACATTTTTTGTGGCTGTGTGTCAAAGTGTCACATACAGTAGTTTGACATTTGCAAATGTCAGAGATTCATAGAAACCTTATCTTAGTTTTTTGTGTTATTGTTTTAGCAACAAAAGCTACATAAAAGAACAACTCGGACATTTTTAATTTTTATTCTGTTAAGATATAATAACACCAAAACAAACCATTGGATCAACTGGATATATATCAATTGGATTCTGTTTGTGCAAACTCAACACTATCTGAAGGTATTTATTGTAGAATATTATGCTTGAAATAATAGCTTGTACTTGAGGCATTCAAGCTGTTAACACCATGGACGCTATGGTAACCATAAAGTATGAATATATAATACGAAATAACCAGAGTTGAAAATCAATTTCTAAAGTGCAACCCTACATTAACCAGACATTTCAAGGTGGTTTACATTTCAGCGGGAGAGTTGAATCGGATATGAATGTTTATTATCACCATAGTAACATGAAAATATCAGAATTATAAATCTTTGATCTTAATAAAAGGATGACACTTTCTATAGGTTTTATCTAGGGTTAGATAGCTCATCTTTCTTCATTTATACTCAGACTCTACTTTACTGACTTGATGTATGTAATTTTGGATACCCTGGATGAAAAATATCTGCTATCAACAATAATGTCACTTGCATTTAAGTGTCTTGATCAATCATAGTTAAATTCAAATTTTCACCTGGTTTGTGTTTTTTACAGAATCAATTGTGCATTCATTGAAATAGTATTTAGTACTCTAATAGATGTAAAAACTAAGCCATTATTGGTGGTAAACAAAATACAACATAATATAGGTTACTTACTGGAAGGGATCGAATATGAATGTAAGTTTGAGGCACAATGTGAAATAGACTGATATGATATTGATGTAGGGAGCATATAGATGAGACCCATCTGTAATCCTGACTAGACATTACCTGTTTATTCAATAAATGGTCCATCTGTTTCAATGGGCCACAACTTTAACACAATTAATGCTCATGTTTTAGCTGATGTCTTCCAGATTTCCAATACCAGTACAATTTTTCCAACCCCAAATTATCCAATACATGTACAATATTTTATGATTACATATTCAGAATTTTGAAAATTGGTATACTTATTATGAAGTCGTAATAATTTGTTATTTGTTTCCAGGAATCGACTCCCTCGACATCATGTGGAGTGGCACTGCCACTCCAGCCCCACCCCTAGGATCTCAGCCTGACCCCCAGGGAACCAGCCAAAATCGCAAAGACTTAAGTGGTAACCTTCTAGAAATTTTCCACGCAAAGAGCTGGGTCTCTGATATAGATTCAGACTCTGATAGTCAAATTGATCCTTCAACGAAACACAAAGTTAAGAAATCAAGAAAAAATCATAAGAAAGATCCAGAGAGTGGTCTTGAATCAAAAGAAAATAAAGTTGAATACCCCCCTTATGTAAGACTACAAAGACGTCCTACTGTTGACTCCAACGCTTGCATAGATTCGAATCTAGAAACTGCTGTTAATGTACTTAACAGTCAAAAAGACAACACTGGAGATCTAGAAACTAAAAGCAAGCCAACGGATACAACCAAAAATTCAGAGGAATTTGAAAATCAAAAGCGTGACTTGTTTCTCAAGCTCCTAAGAGGTGAAACAGAAGATGGTAACCAACCTACACAAGGCTCTGTAGATGACCTAGCAGTTAGCGATAATAATCTAGAATATTCAGAAAGAGAAAAAGAAAGAGATAATTCGGAAGCAGAACAATTAGAAAGTGATAATTTAGGAAAAGACCAATTAGAAAGAGATAATTCAGAAAAAGACCAATTAGAAAGAGATAATTCAGGAATAGACCAATTAGAAAGAGATTATTCAGGAAAAGACCAATTAGAAAGAGATAATTCAAGAAAAGACCAATCAGAAAGAGATAATTCAAGAAAAGACCAATCAGAAAGAAATCAGTCAATAGACAAGTCAGAGTGTAAAAATCAACATCTTCTCAGAGAGGAATTGGGTGATAATATTCAAAAGTTCCTATTATCTGAGGATAACAAACCAGTCACACAGATTAATATAAATGATCCGTCAGATACACATCAACCAGAAAATCAACCCATTAATGTTAAAACAGAGGATATCAAATCATTAGTATCCCCAGAACCACACACGGAGAATAGCATCAATAAAGACGTGGATGTAAATTCTGATGAGATTAACACAGATAAAGTTGAATCCATTGAGGAATCCCATTCAAATGAGAATACCACTGAATCTAATAACCAAGTCCAAGTGAATGATATTAACAGCCCAAACAGCCCAAAGAGGATACCAGAAGATTCTGTGATTGCACAAAGTGAGAGGACAACCACAGAGAGTGACACACATAGAGCCGTGAATGATACAATTGCAATTCCACAAATCATATACCAGGAAGCGACTCCATGTAATTCTGATGCATCTGATGTTGATGAGCAGGCAGACAATAATTCAAAACAAGAACTTCCTGATCAAACTGACCAACAAAAGGAAACAACAAATGAGAAAGGCATAAAGGATAGTCACCATCAGGATCAAGACAACAATGAAGTTCCAGCAGAGGATAATGAAATAGAAGATAAGTTTACTCAAGGACAGGTAAAGGAACATAGTCCCAAAGAAGATTTACATGAAGATAGCAAGAATATTGCTGTCTGTACCACAGAAAAACCTGACCATCAACTTGGTGAAATAACAGAAACTGTTGATTATACCAAGCCACTGGAAAAGTCACAAAAGGGAAATAACCAACCAAAGAAAACTGTGAAGTTCAGTGATGATCTAAGTGAAGGGGATATTCTAATAAAGGACCCAACCTCAGAATCAAATCAGCTTCAATCCAAAGTTGTAACACAGAGTGTTCATGGAGTATTGAAAGAATACAGTAAAGAAGATTTACACAGTGACCAAGACACTGCGAATACAGAAATCCCCATAGACTCTTACTCACAGTTAGAGAGGTCTGATTCCCCAACCAATAGTGACACATCAACTTTTGATGCCAATCTAGATGAAAATCTTAAATTTAAATTAGCGCTCAAAAGAGGTAGCATTCAACTTAGAGCCAAAGCAAAACTCAAAGAAGATTTACACAGTGACCAGGATACTGCCAATACAGAACTACCCATAGACTTGTACACACAGTTAGAGAGGTCTGATTCCCCAACCAACAGTGACACATCAACTTTTGATGCCGATCTAGATGAAAATCTTAAATTTAAATTAGCGCTCAAAAGAGGTAGCGTTCAAGTTAGAGCCAAAGCAAAACTCCAAAAGGCTGACCATCATATCGGTGACAGTGATAGCGACTTTACTGAGACTGAGACAGATATTGATGATCCTGAATCAGTTACTAAACATGGGCAAGATGAACATTCAGCTCCATTAGTAGATATAACTGAAGGCGAAGATCGGCAAATATTGAGTTCTAACAAATCAAAAGAACTTGAACATACAACGCATGGTATCATACACTTAAGAGACACTGAAACCCAGCCACAGCCAGGAAAGAGAAATAACCAACGAAAGAAAAGTGTAAAGTTCATTGAAGATCTTAGTGAAGTGGATGATTCAATAAAGGAGCCAACCTCAGAATCCAATCAGCGTCAGTCTAAAGTTGTAACACAGAGTGTGAATGGAATAAAAGTGAAAAAGAAAGATTATACAGCAATCAATGACCTTAAAGCAGGGGAAGAGATAGACATTGAAGCTGATGCTCAGCGTGATAAAATCCCAACCCCTCCTGCTGGAAAACCAAAGAAACAATTAATTAGGAAATCTAAGTATTCCTCAAACAAAAACACAGAGAAACCATTAAAACAAGAGAAGGGGAGAGAAAATTCATTGAATAAAAGAAGTTCAAAATCAGTCGAAGAGGATTTAAGCAGTGACCAGGACGCTGAAACTACAGAGATCCCCATAGTCTCTTACCCGCAGTTAGGGAGACCTGATTCTCCAACCACTAGTGAAACATCAACCTTAGATAGTGATATAGAAGATAGTCTTAAATTCAAATTAGCACTCAAAAGAGGTAGTGTCCAACATAGATTACTACGCAAACCTAAACTCCAAAAGGCTTCCCCGTTGAAAATCAAAGAAGTTGTCATCAAGGATAGATTTCTCTCTGACGAGGATTTTGGTGTTAAATCATCTGATGAACAATCTGAAAAATCCATTGAACAATCTATAGAAAAGAAACAATCAAAACCAAGTGTCACAGAGAACGACAAAACTACAGAATTCAAAATGTCTGCCAGATCAAGAAGTGCTTCCCCATCAGGTAGATCAAAATCAAAGGACCCCAGTCCTCCAGTAGACTTACCACCTGATGTAATGACAGAGAATATTCCTATCATCGCAAAATATGATACACCAGGGGGCCCTACAGGAGACCCCTTAGAAGAAGTTGCACAACATTTGTTTAACAAGATGAATACAGCAAATGATGGCAAATTGACACCCAAAGAAGTTGAAATGGTAAGTGCTATTTCTATTAAATAAATCAGAGTCAAAAACTTCTGATGATTGATGTTTGCACACATAAAATAATCATATTAATAAAATTACTTAGTAAATGCTAAACCTTTGCACGAAATACTTATAATGTTAGATAATGATAAGTAATCCATAATATTTGATGTTTTTTCTACTACACAATACAACACTAGTTAACTACCAGTTATCAGATGTTTCAGTATGTAATACAGGAAATATTCCACGAAAGGTAACGTTTTTGTGATATGGAATATGCATCATCACAATTGACCAATCAAAATGCTTAGAAATTCCTTACCATATGATAAAATATACAATACAATGCAATGTAATACTATTAAGTTATTGACAATACAATACTTTTTTCAGTTCTTCAAGTGTCCCTCAATGAAAGCAATGTCCAAACAGGATACAAAGAAACTTAGAAGTTTCATAAAATGGAAGGTATGTAGTAAATATTATCTTTCTTAATGTTTCAGCCGATTTGCCCACAAGCACTCGTTTGCATAGGCTGGGGCCTCATAACCCGGGTTTGCCACTATCCAGTCTGCCTTTGCATAAAAGAGAATGTTTCATTATTCGAATCATTCGGGTTATTTTTGGGAGTTTTCAAACCAGAATTTAATTGCTTTTACTAGAAGGTTTCCTCATAATTAATAACATTTTGACACAGACTACAGATCTCTGGAAAACTTGCAGACACAACAGATTATTAACAATTGAGGATGGTAATAGGGGGAATGTTATTGAAATCATGTAACACCCCCCCCCACTGTAACACCGTCCTCTTGTTTGACACCCCACTCTGTGACACCCTCCACTCCTGTGACACCCATTCTTTTTGTCATCAACCCCTGTAACATCCCCCTGTGACACAGTCCTCTTCTTTGACACCCCCTCTGTGACACCCTCCCCTCCTGTAACACTCTTTCTTTTGTCACCAATGCCTGTTACATTGTCCTCTTTTTTGACATCCCCCTCTGTGACATCCTCCCCTCTTGTGATACCCTTTCTTTTTGTTACCAATCCCTGTAATCCCCTCCGTTGCGTTGTAGCAATGCTGCCCCCAAGCCATTATTTGAAGCATCTGTCTGAAGTACAAATGTTTGCGCACTGGTAATCTAAGAAGGGGTAATTTGATGAACAATTGTTTCATATCATGTAAAGATCTTTCTTGTTCCTCTCCCCATTTCACTAAATGTTAGCAACCTTTTTTGGTTAAATCTGAGATTGGAGTTGTGATAGCTGCATAGTGTGGGATGCATTTCCTATAAAACCCAACATCTTTCTTTGTAACTGGGACCTTTGCCTCAATAATCTTTTTAACATTCTCTGCTTGAAGACTTGCCTCACCTTGACTGATATTGTGAGCCACAAACTCTAGAATCCTATCAAACATTTGATTTTTGAATTCTTTGGAACGGAGCAGACAATGTTTCAACATGTTCTTTTCATGTATCTGTGTGCACTATGACATCATCTATGTAACTATCTACATTTAGAAGGCCATTTTACACTTTCCTCATCATTCTGTAACAAGAGGCTGTTGCATATTTTGCCTGAATGGCATCCTGACAAACACAAAAGCACCATCTGGTGTAACAAACCCTGTTTTTGGAACATCTTGCTCCACTACCTTAATTTTCCAGTAACATTTACTTAAATCAATTTTTAGTGCCACACATTGCGATTTTGACTGATTTGGTTTTGGTCATGAGTTGTGAAACACATGTTTGTGCAGATGGCGTCCCACCCTTGACTACTGTGATATTCAACAAAAGAGATTTTAGTTCTTCATTAGAATAAAGATGTATTTGCACATAATATACTGCTCCAGAAAACATTTAAAAATTGGCCATTAAGAATTCCCAAGATGTTTTATAATTTCCCGCAGTGTCAATTTAGCTATAGATTCTTTATCTGGCAATTGCAATAAGTATTGTTTATATTGGAATTGAGAAACTGCAATATTAGTGAAACACAAGAGATTGGGATGAGGTTAATAATGCTGTTCAATATACATTGTGTGTCACCTATTTTAGTTTAAACATTAAAAATATTAGAGTCTTTTATTTGTATCCTGTGCTGTTGCAAATTTTGTGTGCAAGTTCATTAATGAAACCTGGTAGCTCTTTGACATCATAGAAACCCTTAAAATGTGTGTCCATTGGCTCTGATGAAATTGCTCCCCAAGTCTCCTGTTGGTCTTCCAGTTTCATAGGTCGGGTACCAGGAAGTACGAGTAGAAAAATTTCGACTGCCTCCATTCCTGATCTCTCCTTGAGAGCCTTAGCAGCTCTGATCGTATTTACCCAGCGTTTACCTTCCATCGTCACTCCATGTGTAACAAGAACAACCAGGTTGTGAGCAAAAGGTCGATCTCCCCAGGCAGGCGTAAATACAACATTGTTTGCGTATTCAAGCGCAAGATCAATACGACTCTTTTTTCTTCTAAGCATCATCGAGGCACTATCAATTGCAGCTAGCGTTCCTGCTAAAGTGCTTGAAGCTGTATCATTAAATAGCATCTCGGTCGTTACTTTTTTATTGTACGTAAGAAGAGCAAATTTCACGCAGTGTTCAATCTCCCCAACATTTGGGAACCCATTGACTACAAGATTTCTCATTGCATTGCGTACGAAGGTTGCATTTATGGGTATCCTTTTACTTGAGTGCTCCAGAATTATGAGAATATCTAAGGAGGGATCTTGGTCACATATGCTGGGGATCATTTCTGTCTCTGAAAGATTAAATAAGGTTTATATCAATCCTAGAATCAGAGATTGCCAAGCCCACTGGGTAAAAATTACAATAGATGGTTGACAATTCAAATAGGGAGAGAAAAGCACATTTTTAGTCATTTGATACATAGAAAATAAACTACATGTATCACATGAAGATTTCTGACATGTCAAGAGAAAACCAGAAATATTAAAAGAAACTGCCATATATCTTAAAGACCAACAATTTTGAATAAATTTTCAGATTATGTCAATCATTTACATTTCTCACCTGGGCACATCATATTATCTGATAACATTTCAAAACGATCATACACAGTTCTGGCTAATGCATTTAAGGCACTCATTTCTTCTGAGTATGGAAATATGTTGTCTTCATCGGCAAGAATACCGATTTCATCGATCATATCACCAAATCCAGTTGTATCGCTTTTCCAAGGTAACTGGAGTATGAAAACGTATGTATTGTTCTTGGCACGGAGCCGACTGATCGAGGCCTTTGTTTCATTAATGTATTTCAGCTGGGTTTGACCATCAGTCAGAAGAAAGAGAACATTTGGGCCGCGACTATCTTGTTTACCAGTCTCGAAGAAATCTTCTCTTGCCATGTCGATAGCTTTGCTTGTAACCATTTCACAGTCTTCAGCGCCATATTCAAAATCCTTTATAGCATTGATTACGTCATTTTGGGTAACTGCATCCCCAAATCCAAATGCCTTACGAGAGGCACTGTCATATGCAAACAAACCGATCTGCGTTGAACGTTTATTGTTGCTATCAGGAGCACCGATGCGATCCAGGAACCTTACAAGTGTCTCCAAGAAGTCTTTCATGTCATCTTTGATATCATCAGAGATTCTGCACGAGGTTTGGAACCCAAATACTATATCACTGCAAACTGAAATCAGAAATATGCTCATTTTCTTCTTTATTAATTCATTTTGTCTTTCTTTTTTCTTTCGTGATTGCTAAATTGATTAGAAATGAGCACTAGCCATAAGTTAAACTCAAATGCAGGCTACCCTTGTTATATGGCCCATCCTCTTCCATTTGAAAACTGTTGATGGAATATAATCAATGGAAATATTGTTCAAAAAGCTTTTAGAGAGTTTATCATCTTTTGTCAGAAAGTAGGTCAAATAAGGTGAAACTCAGTAAGAGTGACCTACATGGGTTTTGGCATTTTTAATGTTCAAAGAAAAGTTCAACCATTCTAAAACTTCAAAATAATATTAAACGAGATTTGAAGTAATACAGCAAATATCTATCATTAAAACTCTTATCAGCCTGCCATGTAAATGCTGTCTGTCAAGTTTATTTTTTGTATCAAAACATATCTTTTATAGATTCTACATGTTATATTGAGTGTGGTACAGGGTGGTCAAAAACAGCAACAGCAACTGCATTTTCCTCATAGCTTTGTCATTTTAGGGAATAACTCCCTGATATTTTACATATTTGCACATCATTCTATTTCCTACTTTCCAATTTTAAAACCTTAAGATTGAAAGACACAATGTTACAGCACTTTTAACAACATGCTCCAGGTGTGGCCATCATTGCGCTGTAGGCAAACCTACACAAATTGTCAATGATCCTACTGCATTCATCAGCAGGTATTGCCTGAATGATACGGATGATCTCCTCTTTATAGTCTATAATTTTCATGAGGTCATTTTTGCACAATCTATCTTTAGCCTTTCCCCACAGGTAGAAGTCAGCAGGTAGGGACATTTTGGACGACGTGTGCAGGCAAGGGAAAGATCAATACCCGGTGATTTCAGCGGGAAGTGGCGTTTCGTTCAGTGGATGAGCTGCGCGCGCACGCATAAATGTGATTATCAATATTATTTAGGGGAGGGATATTCAAGCTTATTTTCGTCATAGGCGCGACCCAGGGCTGTTGTCTTAAGGACATTTCGTTGAAAATTAGCCATTCGGCTAATAATTTGCAAGAGTTTGCGATCTTATAATGTATAACTGTTATTCAGACACATATTTTGACACGATTCTGTTGGAATTAAGCTTTGAACCGAGAGATATTCACGATTGATATGCACATTTTTGATTGTGCCATTGCTTTTCCATTGCACAATCCATGTATTGATAGAAGTAACAATAATGCAGATTGTTTTACCTTCAATACATGGCGGATTCACTACATATCGGTCTATTAAATACCATTTTGTGCCCTAAATAGTTTTATATTTCCATCACGCCCTCTGGAGCCTGGGTGTGTTTGTCTCATTATGTGTATGCGTGTGAATTGGTGGGGCTGGTAAGGCCACCAATCCCCTGGCTCCGCCCATCCTTTATTCTACTTCCCACTTATTATAATTTATGCTGAATTATTAGGAATTATTTTTCTTGCTAATCAATCGTGAACGCAATCAAAGTTTCAGAAAGGATCAATCAGGCAATCGTCCAAAATCCAAATCAAGTTATAACATTATATGATATTCAGCAAGAAGTCCGGTAGAAATATAGAATATTTAAACATCAAAGCTGAAAGTTAAAAGCTAATCTGTCAATTTTCTGTCTGCAAGAGAACATTTACATTTGACACAATAAAAGACTGAGGCTTTGAAATCTCGGATTCCCCAGGAAAATATGACGTCATACTAATTAGCATAAGAATTTCCCTAGTGGTCTGGGTCAAGCATCGTCCGAAAACACAATCCGATAAAAACATGCTAATTTCTAAGGAGATGGGAAGTGTATGACGTGTTTATCGATTTTGTTTAACGATTTAATCAATTATCAAATTGTTTAAGTTGATAAAGTGGTCACACTTGCTTCAATTCATAGCGTAATCGACGGATAGAAACTGCACCGAATTCCCGATATCCTACCCCGTATTATGTAGGCTATAACCACAGTGACCTGCAGATGGCGCTATCACAAACAAGTACTGCACGAACCGATAAATTCCCGGGTATTGTAACGCCCTTGGTGCAGGTTTGCCTACAGTGCAATAGTGGCCACTAGAACATGTTGTTAAAAGAGCTGAACATGTGACTATCAGTCTGATGGTCATTTTTTTTTTATTAACCATTGAAAATTTTATTCCAAAAATACAAAATAACATACCAAACAATTGCCAAAGTCGAAGGACATTGATGGCAATTTTAAATAAAATCTGTAGGAATTCATAAATTTTGCACAATTAGTTTTTCATGTCATTTTATAGTTGAATATAAATAAGGAAAAAAGTCAATAGAATATCGCTTCACTACGCTCATGTATCATAATTATATGTAAGGTTTAATCCCTTGGCCAAAGGGATTTCAGATGTATCATTTTAGACTTGATTATTTGTTCAGTAGTTCCAAACCATGGTGGATGATATATGCTACCTATATTAATAAGTTTTTCATTAACATCTGCTGGAAATTTAATGGTCTTGATCAAACATATTAAGTCCATCATAGTGGGTATGGATCCCTATCGTTTCCAGTCCTGCAAGTAGTGTTGTTCTTGTTATGTATCTGGTTTCAGTACTGGTCATTAAGACATGTAAGATATCTGATACCCTTAACTGAGATTACCATGCTTATAGCAGACACTTGTAAGTCTGGCTTCCTACTAGAAACACATTAACTATGTAGTTCTTATATTATGTTTGATGTATAATAAAGTCTTGATACAAACACAACATGATGTCAGATGTGGTCTCACATGAATAAGTAGATCAGAGACAATAACAATGGCAAGTGGATACTCAAAGATAGTGAAGGAATTAGACTTTTATGGCCCTAATCTCTCAGAAGATTGGAAGAGATGGAGAGAACTTATTGAATTAATGTTTGATTCTCCTGATGCCACAAAATGGAAAGAGCAAGAGAAAGCCGCTCAAATTCTCCTTCTTATCGGCGAGAAAGGAAGGGACATTTGCAGATCGTGGATTGCCACTGGGGTACTTTCGGAATCACAAAAGAAGGAGTCTAAAACCCTCCTTGATAAATTTGAGGAATATTGTACACCCAAGAAAAACAGGTCGATCCAGAGGAAAATGTTCTATGAATGCTACCAGTCGAAGGATGAGTCTATTGACGAGTTTGTTACAAAACTTAGACTTATTGGCAGAGACTGTAAATTCTCCGATCTTGACGAGATGATCGCCGACATGATATTGACACATTGCCATTCAACACAAGTCCAAGAGAAGCTACTAAGATACGAGGAGGACCTCACATTAGACCATGCTCTAAAGATAGCACGCTTATACGAGCAGAGTAACGTCCATAAGAACTCTCTAAATTCCCGCACAGAAAGTGGACATGAGGAAGTCTGTATTGTAAAGAAGTCGCAGTCACAAAGGTGTGACAACTGTGGACTGATACATAGAGGAGGCACGTGTCCTGCGGCTAATGAGCAGTGTAACGGATGTTTAAAATTCGGGCATTTTAAAAGATGTTGCCGTAGTGGGAAATCTAGTGAAAAGGACTCTAGACAACGGAGGCAAGGCAAATCTGGAAAACGTAGAAACCCCCGAAAAGTGAACCAGGTGGAGGAATCAGTATCTTCAGAAGATGAAGTGTACTTGGGATCTGTAACCACTGAAATCCCAAACACCCAGACATCAAAGATAGCCCAGATTCCCGCCAAAACCCCAGATATACCCAACTCCAAATCCTGGATTATACAACTAAAAACAGGTGGGCACACCCTTACTGCTAAGGTGGACACAGGTGCCCAGGCCAATGTGATTTCACATGCACTGTTCAAGAGATTGAGACACCCCCCTATGAAAGCTTCTACCACAAGGCTATTTACCTACAACAGGCAGCCCCTGGACGTCATGGGTGAATGTGATATGCCTTGTAACTTTGAAGGGATAAACTACAAAGTGAAGTTCATAGTAATTAAGGAGAAAGCTGACACTTTAATTAGTCTGCAATCAGCTATTCTCTTTGGCTTAGTATCCAGAAGGAACATTTCTACAGTTGGCTCTGACAGCACACTGACCACAGACCAGTTGGTGTCGAATTACAGCTATTTATTTGAAGGCCTAGGCTGTCTGCCTAGCAAAGTGCACATTACCCTTGAAGAAAATGTCACGCCTGTGGTACACCCCCCTTACAAGGTAGCTGTTCATCAGAGAGATAAATTGAAAACTGAATTAGAGCGAATGCAAAAACAAGGAGTAATTGCCAAAGTGGATGAGCCTACTGATTGGGTGAATAATATAGTTTTGGTTGAGAAGAGCGACAAATCTCTTAGGATATGCCTTGATCCTGCAAACCTCAACAAAGTTATTAAAAGGGAACCGTACCCTACTGCCACAACAGAAGAGATCAGCACAAGATTGAAAGGTGCTACGAGGTTTACCAAATTGGATGCGACAACCTCATTTTGGCAACTTGAACTTGATCACGAGAGTTCGTTGCTTACTTGCTTCAACACACCCTTTGGACGATATCGATTTACACGTCTGCCATATGGACTAAACATATCTACTGAAAAGTTCCAGATGGAAGTTTGTAAAGTCCTAGAAGGAATAGATGGCGTTGAAGTCCAAGTGGATGATATATTGATTTCTGGCAAAGATGAAGAACAGCTTAAGCATCGAATGGAAGCAGTGTTCCAAAGAGCAAGTGAGAACAACCTCAAGTTTAACAGGAAGAAATGCCAGTTTAATGTGCCATCAGTCACATATGTAGGACATACATGGTCGAGAGATGGACTGAGTATCCCGGATGATCGGATAAAAGCGATAGTTGAGATGAAAACCCCCACAGATAAACAATCACTGAGTCGATTCCTTGGCATGGTGAATTATGTTGCCAAGTTCGTACCACGCTTATCAGAGCTAAATGCTCCCTTGCGAGAACTAATGAAAGAGGATATTATTTTCGAATGGAATAAGCCACAGAAAGAAGCGTATGAGCAGCTGAAAAAGCTTATAACTACAGCGCCAGTTCTCAAGTTTTACGACCCCAATAAGCCATCAGTGCTGAATGTAGACTCTTCGAAAGATGGTCTTGGAGCTGTCCTACTACAGGATGATATGCCTGTATGCTACGCGTCAAAATCGCTAACCCCTGCCCAACAAAACTACTCCCAAATAGAGAAAGAGATGACGAGTATATGTTTTGGAGCAACGAAGTTTCACCAATACCTCTATGGTAAGCCCTTTGTCGTGGAAACTGATCACAAGCCCCTGGAGGTGATCGCAAAGAAAGCTTTAAATAAAGCCCCAGCTCGATTACAAAGAATGCTTTTGCAAATGCAAAAGTACGATGTCACAATCAAGTGGAAACCTGGAAAAGACATGGTTATATCAGACACTCTCAGCAGAGCATGCGTAGACAGTGACATAGAAAGCTCGAAAATTATCGCTTCTATCATGAATGACATTGATCAACAAGCAGATGGATTACTTCAAGCTTTACCCATGTCTAAACCAAAACAGCAAGAGTACAGGAACGCGACCTCGAATGACCCTGTACTGCAACGCATTATGGAATATTGCAGAATTGGATGGCCTGAAAAGACTGATGTACATGAGTCAGTCATGCCATATTACACCTTTCATGATGAACTTAGTACAGTTGATGGTCTCGTGTTCAAAGGCCTGAAACTGGTAATTCCCACATCAATGAGAGACGAAGTAAAGTCACTTATCCATGAAAACCATATGGGAATCGTTAAAACTAAATCCATAGCAAGAGAGACACTCTATTGGCCCAACATGAATTCCCAGATCGAGGATATGATAAAAAACTGTGACATTTGCAAAACCCACAGAAATGCCAATCAAAGAGAACCTATGATTCCACATGAGGTTCCTATGCGCCCCTGGGAAAAGATAGGTGTTGACCTATTCTCACATAACAACAAGGATTACCTAATTGGAGTAGACTACTACAGCAAGTACCCTGAGCTGTACTCACTCACCAGCACCAAGGCAAAACCCATCATAAATTGCCTAAAAGCCTCGTTCAGCAGAAATGGTATTCCCCAAACAGTATTCAGTGACAATGGTCCACCATTTCAATCATCAGAATATGTAAAATTCAGCGAAGACTACAACTTCGACATTGCTACATCGAGCCCGAATCTAGCAAATAGCAATGGCCAAATTGAAAGGACAATACAGACTGTAAAAAATATTATCAGAAAATCAGATGATATTTTCACAGCCATGCTGAATTTGAGAAACACCCCAATTGATGCGAAGATCAACAAATCCCCAGCAGAATTACTTATGGGTAGAAAACTGCGATCTAAAATTCCTACAAGTGATGTTCTACTGAATCCCCAAAGCCCAGATCCCAACTTTCGCACAAAACTTCAGCAGAAAAAGCAGATGGAGAAGAGAAAGTATGACCTCCGCGCTCGTCCCCTTGCCCCTCTTCAACCTAATACCCCTGTCAAAGTCCGTGAGAAAAGGAACAATAAATACATCTGGAGAAATGCAACAGTGACTGAGAAACTAGATTCGCCCAGATCATATCTAGTTGAAACCCCAGATGGAGGACAATTTAGAAGGAATAGGAGACATTTAATTCCAGCATAAAATGTGTGAAATGACTGTCAATAATATAGTGTAGACCCAAGACTGGAAGTGAAATGGAAATATCCATATTTGCAATGAAGGTCAAGGATAGACCAAATTAGCATATCAAAATAAACATTGTAGTAAGACTGTAGTAAACTCTTAGGTCAAGAACCTCATTAGCATGTAGTACAAACATATGCACTGGACATTTTATCAATGAATACTTAAGTTCATGAGACAGGTCAGATAGTTCAAATTACATGGCTAGTAAAGTTTAAATGAGCTCCCTTACAAAATATTCAGAATTAGTAATGATCATATTTCAATGAGATGACTGTTAAAAGTCTAACTTGTTTTTAAACTAAAAGAAGGGAGATGTTATGTATCTGGTTTCAGTACTGGTCATTAAGACATGTAAGATATCTGATACCCTTAACTGAGATTACCATGCTTATAGCAGACACTTGTAAGTCTGGCTTCCTACTAGAAACACATTAACTATGTAGTTCTTATATTATGTTTGATGTATAATAAAGTCTTGATACAAACACAACAGTTCTCTGTCCAGTCAGCAGTGGGCATTTCAACAGGAAATGTAAAGTTGTCTGGTTTAAATTATCACATAAACATTTTGGATTTGCAACCCGTTCAAAATTGTATGCATGAAGATGGGCTTGCAAGTGAAGTCCGGCCCTGAGTCAGGTCAGAAAAGGAATTTCTAGGTAACGAGGTATGGTCTTTTTTAGTTTTGACCTTGATAGGATAGAAGCAGGGCTTCTATCGCCTCTAACTATTTATTCTATGGTCTGATGGAAGGTTATTCCAAAGGGTCATTTTTTTGAAAATTGTTGATTTGGTAGCCAAGGCGCTTGTTTGAAGGGGAATCTTATAGTAGTGAACACACTTGTATGTCATTCTCATAGGACCTGACAAGATTACAAATGAAAGGAAGAATGTTCCTCTCTTCTAGAGGATGTTTTCCAGTTAAATGATGAAAGAACTTTATCAGTGTTCGAGCCATGGATTGCTCCGGAGACTAGACATGCCGCTCTATAATCAAGAGATTTCAATTTGGTATCTGATGCACATGCATGTATATGATGTCACAATAGTCAAAATGAGGGAGTATATACACATTATATAATGTTTCAAGATGCTTACTTGACAAGATTTTGCAGAGTTTCTTCATGGGTCTCATCAGGCTTATTACCTTGTTAGATAATTGATCAATGTGAGCTTTGAAATTTAGGTTTTGGTCAAGAGTAAGTCCGAGGTGTTTATGAGTATTACATCTAGGGACATCTATGTACTTCCCCATTCATTTTCAGAGGAGGAGGTTCAATATTGATGTTTTTATGACCAGAGATTATCAAATCAGCACTTTTCTGTGCTTTTTATAACATTTTTATGTTGAGGCCCAGTGGTCTAAATGGTTCAAATCACTTTGAATGGGTTCATGAATATCAAGAAATATAAATGTCTTAGAGATGAGATCATCTGGTAGGTCTTTAATGTATAGCAATAATAGGAGGGGTCCTTATTCTGAACCCTGAGGAACTCCTGCATTGATTTTATAATTCTTAGTATGAGAGTTGTTATTATAAATTTGTGCATCTGGTTCTTAAGCATCTGGATGTTGAACAGAGGACCAATCTGATATGTTATTATTGACCTGTCTCTGATATGCCTATCACTTAAGTATGATTAATGAGATGAAATTGTTGTTACAACCGAAGTCTTTTAATTTTTTAATTAGCAATAATTTATGAGGGACGGCATCTAAAGCTGAACTCAGGTCCAAAAATGATGAGCGTATATGCTCTTTGTTATCAATATGTTGATGTAGATCATGTACAATATTTATTAGTTGATTTGATGTACCATGTTTAGGTAAGAACTCACTCTGAAGTTTATACAAAAGATAATGTACAAAAAGATGAGAGAGCAAGTGTCTATGAATAATGCGTTCAAAAACTTTAGACAGAGTACTTAAAAGAGTAACAGGTCTGTAATTTGAGACAATGGTTGAGTCACCTTTTTTGTAAATTTGAATAACTTTTCCATCCTTCCAGAGATCTGAAAATATATTCTCAATAAGTATTCTATTTAATAGGTTGCTTACTGGTAATGAAAAAGAGCTTGCACACATTTTCACAACTTATTTGAGATTTCATCAGGACCGGGAGATTTGTGTACATCCAACTCATTAAAAAGTCAAAGACCTCTTGTTGTGATGTTTTGACGTCTTGGAGTATTTGATTGGTTCTGTTGGAAAAATAGGTGTAAGATTTGCATTATTTTCAATCAGATTTTTTGTACAAAGTATTTCATGAGCATATTTGATTTATCCAAGCTGGAGCATGCAGCAATGTTATCATTAGGCATGTATAAAACTGGATGAGATGTTGTTTTTTCCTAGCAAGTCTTTGATAGTGTCCAGTTATCAAGTGAATTAAGTAAGATTTGATAAATGGTCTTTTTTAGCTGTCTCTATTAATTCTTTCACTTTGCCACTTTTTGTTACATACTTTTCTTTATATGTTGCATTGTCAGTAGATTTAAATTTGTGATGGAGCCTATTTCTCTTATAGATCTCATTTTTAATGGAACTGTTGAACCATTGCTGGTCATCGAATCTTATTGAACGAATATTATTTTTAACATTTGATTTAATAATATTGAGAAAAAGTTTCACAAGTTTGTGGTACCTTCATTAATAGGATCAGCTCCAATAAAACTCCAGTTCAAATGTGCTTAATATCAGAGAGTAATTCCCTAAAATGACAAAGATATGAAGAAAATAGCGACAGTGTTTTTTTTACCACATTGTAAAATGATATGCTTGTTCTTACTTGATCCCCACTGTCCATGAATTCCGGCCACCCCTAGCATTGTCAAAATTACTGCTATTAGGTACATTTCCCTTGCCATGTGTTTTGTAGTTTGTCTGTCTATGTGTTTAATGTTTATACTAATGAGTCATTGTATTCTGCTTTGGTTTTACGTAATGTTAGGCTGACAACTGGTTTTTATTTGTATTTAAGCTTCATTGGTTCTGTAAACCATTGCTCATTTTGTTGGAAGATTTTAAGGTCGACATGGCTATGAGTTTAATGTTAAGAGATTATTCCTGAAAGAACATTTTACACACATTTTACTAATTGTCAAGTAATTTTTTAGAGTGTGTGTGTTGTATGCATCTTTCTCTAAACAAATTGGTCATGACCGTCTCCTCTCGATTAATTATCCTGCCTTAGGTGCTATTCCTATCATTAACCAACCTATCGTTTCTACGGGAATCTATCCTAATTTTTTACTGAAATTTAACAATTTCGAAACAAAAATGATTTGTTATCGTCATAGCCTACTGAATACTGAACACGATATAATGTTACATGCGTTCTCTTATCGGGATTAAAAGATGATTCAGCGCTTTCATCGCCAGGAGCCAAACAAGAAACAATTGCCTATGTTTTATAAAACATAAAACAATGACAAATATGAAAAATATATAGAGGGCAGAGGGCATGTCTTATTCTTGTTGTTGGGGATATCCAGATTTTTTTTGTACAGGCACCGGGGAGCAAGATTAGAGAAATGGCAGCTTCCTTTGTTCCAGTCCTCGCCTTTATGACATCAATGGACCTGATTGTGTTCTGGTCCATCCATCTGTTACGAGAATAAGTTCATTGAATGCAAAATCTTGATCGCCCACCTTCGGTGTGATAATAACATTATCTGCAAATTCAAGAGTGAGATCAGTATGCATGTTTTCTTCTGCATATCATCGACTCGTTAATAATGGCCACCAGTGCTCCTTCTCTTGTGCTGAACATGGTGGCATCTCGGGTTTTACTTTTTCATTATACGTGAGAAGTGTGAAGTTTATTGAGTTATCACCATCACCATTCGTTAACTAATTCCCCAATCTTATCAAGGACATACTCGTAATTGATGTCTTCATGTTTAATGCTATTTGAATGGTCGAGAATAATGAGAACATCTAGAGGGCCATTTTGATAACATGGAACTGTACCATTTATTTCTCCCAGGGTTAATTAGATCCTAATAGACCTATACAGTTAGTACATTTGTATGTTCAGTGCTATACCGACCTGGGCATTGGAGATCTGGCAATGTTACATTGATATGATCACAAACAGTCTTTGCCAGATCCTATGAACCATTTTAATATTGGAATATTCTATCTTGATCAGCTAGCATATTAACTCGTACACTGATAAAAGAAAATTATACAGTATATGAAAAAAGCATAAAAGTATATGATCTGTTTCAGAAAAAGTCCATCCCTGTAGAGAACCTAGTTCCACTAGCAAGAGAGCTTATGAGACTGCAATATAACATACCAGGTGCTGTGGAAATACTCTCTAATGAAGAGGTCAGTAGAACTTTCATGAAGGTTGTTGTTCTCATCATACCCCAGAATACAGATACTGATTAAATGACTCTGATGCTAGTAGGTAATTTCCAGTTTCTCCACCAGGTGGCCCGTTTGGGTCAGATAGGATGGCGGGTATTGTAGAAAGTTCCCTTTAACTAAAATATATATCCGTTTTTATTGGTTCAATTTTCAGCCTTTTATGTATCTTATGATGCAAATTAAAATATGTCCAGTAAAAGAAAATGTTACCTGTCCAATACAAGAAAATGTGATTGTATAACTATGGGGAATCTCCCTAAACTAGAAGTCTAGAACTAGAAATTTTTCAAAACCATGTACTTTTACATGTAGATTTCAAATATGACATCACTTTGAATGAATTTTGAATATTTTATGATGTAAATTCAGATTTTTCTACTCGCATTTAGTCTATTGTATCTATAAACTATAAATTTGCAATATACACTTTTGCCGGAAAGTCAAAATAGCTCAAAGTAGTGGTATAAAAAACATTTCAAAACTATGCAGTGATCTCCTCAGCATTAAAGCAAGTGGGTGTAGCACCCACCTGAGATTTTGAAAATGGCTTGCACCCACTTGAAAATCCATTTGCACCCACTTGAAAAGAGAGAAATCATGAAAAATTGCGAATTGGCATATTTTGACCAATTTTTGTCTGAATTGTGAAAATGAGAATTTTGCATCCACCTGAGAAAAAAAATCCTTGGGAGATCACTGCTATGTGTGATATTGTTATACAACAAAAATTAATGAAGTACATTTGGTATTTTTAACAATGCTTTATATTGCCCTAAACCATCAAAATAGAAGAAAGTCGGGCATGGGCAATTTGATCATTTTGCAACAATAAGTTGGAAACATGTATCAATAGAAAGCAAATCAATGCATACAAAACATCTTCAAAGGAGTGGTATCGATATGGTGAACTTTTTGAACACACTTCACTTAAACCAGTCATCAAAAAATTCTGAAAATTTTACACATCGTCAATTTAATGGTCATCTTTTGGACCTCAACACGTTGTGTTTATGTCGTTTTGTTCCAATGAGGTTTGGATAGATGTTTCATTTCATTCCGAACATATGATACCAAGAACAAAAGAAGTGTCTGATGTGTTTTCTAAAACAATATAGAGAAAAGTGTATACTGGTATATTCATTTCAAATTATATTGTTACTATTCAAAAGATGACCATTAAATTGACGATGTGTAAAATTTTCAGAATTTGATGACTGGTTAAAGAGAAATGTGTGTTCAAAAAGTTCACCATATTGCATATAATGATGTGAGTTTGGCATATGATTATACAAATTTCATGATGGTGTGAGTTTCAAATCATATAGTGTCACATCATATGGTTCGACTTCATGTATTGTGTATTGTCCAATTTATTTACATTTATATAGTATAAGCATATAGGATGGCAAAGTTCATTTTGAAGTTCTCATGTTTATAGCACATATTAGCATATCATTCTCTCAAAAGCCCAATTAACATATGGACACTATCCCTCAATACTTGATGAAATTCAGTTTTTCCACTAATAAATCCATTGTTCATAAAGCATGATGTAAAACCATTGTTATGTCATATTATATAAATGGTAAAATAACAACATAACAACATTATGATAAAAATCAAAATCAACATCCTGGTGATTGTTTTCATAATACCCTTGTATAATGAAATTTCTATTTTGTTGTCAGTGAAACTATTCAATCATCTAAGGTTTACACAAGATAAATAAATAAAATAATGCAGGATTCACCTTAACTGTTGCTAGATAAAATTAGAATTAATAGTTATATTGTATGATTGCTAAAATGGCACAGATCTACTAGTCATATTTCGTAATGAAATAAGATGTGCATTTTACCATGATTTGTGTACTGTAAATGACCATTCTAAATGGTTATTTTCATTATGATACATGTACATTTTTAAACTTACAGATAAATTAAAATATGTAAATTCCTATATTCTAGTAATAAATGAATTACAATGTCAAGGAACATTTGAAGATGGTTTGAATGCATTGATTTTCTATTCTATTTCAATTTTTCAATTCGATTTTTAATTTCAATTTATTCTTAAAAGATCTCAGACGATCCTCTTTTGAGTAAATAGGTTCAACATTTCCCTATCATAATTTTTCGAATTGTTTGTTTGATATTTTTATCATCATGAGTACTTGACTTCATAAAAACCACTGTATTTATGCCCAGAAAGTATTCATGGTGAAAGATATGACTGTCTAAAATCACTTGCCATACTGCACATGGACCTTTCCAGAATGATGAAATTGAAACCGGGCAATATCAAAATTTGGCCATGAAAATTATATCTTTACACTTTAAAGCCAAACACCTGATATTTTCTAACACCTACCATTTTACTCAGCCATGATTTATTGTCAGAAATAATTTATTATGACCTTCCGGCAAAAGTGTGCCAGCAGCTGGTACGTAGTATTAAAGGAATTCTGAGTGAGAGAAATGACAAAATATTGCTTATGGGACGAGATCAAATGGCTTTGACACATTCTTTACCATACCTTTACCCTACCCTACCTGAGAAAAATCTCAAATGAAATAGAACTTTTTTAATCCTCAGTCTAAACATGGCTTAATTTTTTCTGTTACAGGGTGAACTCTGTCATTGGGTAGAAGTCCACCTCGGCAAACATACCTTCTATTTCAACAAACAGACAACAGATGCTACGTAAGTTGACTGAAATATTGTATCAAATTTCTGCCCCTTGTGCTCTAGCTCAAAAAAGGTCTTAAGGCCCCAAAAAGTGGGCCTTTTTGGTTATAAATGGGCCTTATAAGGCCTTATTTTTTAATTTTAGGCCAAATTTTTAAGAAAATGGGCCTCAAAATTTCAAAATTCGGGCCCACTTTTTGGTTTTAGGGGCCCAAATTATTTGGGTGTTAGATGATATTTAGTTGAAAAGTCCCTAAAAACAACAGGCGAATTTGTGAAAACAACCTGTGAAAATCGCCTCTTGCCTGCTGCTAATGAAACTCCTGTATATATTTTAATTTATATGTCTGTTTTAGGTACAAGATGCCAGAGGAATATTTCTCCAGTCTTGATACTACATTATTCTATGATGGGGTGCTGCATCTTCTTAGGCTGGAACTGGAGGGCTCAGAAGATGACATGGAACTCCCCTTTGAAGAGGTAGTCATTCATATCATTTTTGATACCTTCCTTATACTTGAATAAAGTCTCTGGTTTGCCCATAGTTTGAATCTTCCGCAATCAGATGCAAAATGTAACTAACACTCACGGCTAGGATACTTCAAGAGGATCCTCTTTCAGTCCTACTTGACAAAATTGAATTACATACCAGTTGTCCATGTTATTTTCCATAAACTTTGGGTATTTATAAAAAGATGGCAGAGCCGTCCACCTACAGAGAATAGTAACCAGCAAAATCAAACTATCGGAAATTGTATAATTGATTACCTCTTTTCTCATGCATTTTACAATGTACTGACTTTGTCTATGTTTCAGTTGATACGCATGATCCAAGGGGGACTGACCCTCTCTGACAAGGACCTGAAAGCCATCCTGAAACAGTGCAAGTAAGTGATGTGTGCAAATCGTAAATCTGGCAGATGTCATCCTTCATCAAAGGCCTTCATTTATATTTCAATTTAGAAGGAAAGAAATGAAATACCCTTGGACCAAGGATTCATACATGTGTGCTACATTACTGTATGCTAAATTACTGAATGCTACATTACTGTAGGCTACATTACTGTTTTGGGCTTCGGGTGATAGAAAAATTGTTCATAAAAAGATGGCTGTTCAGTCAACCTGTTGATACATATTCTTTTCCATGAATTATCATACTGCCATCTTTATTTTGGCCTTAAACATAATGTGGTAACTGTACTGTATTTTCACTTTTTATTGTTAGAACATCATCATTAGTTTTGGTCTTTATATTTGAGCTTTAATTGGCAAGAAGTAATTTCTGATCTATTTTTATTGATTATTCCTTACTTTGTACACTGTTTTCATGAAAAAATATTAAGTTTATATTGAACTAAATTGCTTTTAGTGTTGTTGTATATTTTTCACCCTTGTGTATTTTGATATTTAGTATAATGGTAGCAATTTTCCAGGAAAACTAAAGAAAACTCGATGGCTCCTAAAGAATTCATCCCCTTTGTGAGAAGACAAATCATGGAAGCGTATGAGAATAAAAAAGCTATGCCAGTGAGTAAAACTTTTTAAAATATTACAAGAATCCTGAAATGCAATTTGACATCAATTCGATAGTCTGCAGTCTCAGAAATTCACAAATAAAATGTCGTGCATCAGGAATAAGACAATAGTGCATAGACAATATACAGCTAGACTAGAAGGCCATCTTGAAATCATTAATGCAATTTCAATGCTTGATTCTAAGATAGAGCTTTGGGATTAAGAATGAAATAATAAAAATGTTGGCTTTGCCGTGACCAGGATTCGAACCTGGGTTACCACGGCCACAACGTGGGGTCCTAACCACTAGACGATCACGGCTAAGCTAGCAGGCCAACTTGAAATAATTTATGCAATTTCAATGCTTTATTATTTCATGATATAGCTCCAGTGATTAAAAATAAAATAAAAAAAATGTTGGCTTTGCCGTGACCAGGATTCGAACCTGGGTTACCACGGCCACAACGTGGGGTCCTAACCACTAGACGATCACGGCTAAGCTAGCAAGCCAACTTGAAATTATTAAAGCAATTTCAATGCTTTATTATATCATGATATAGCCCCAGGGATTTAAAAAAAAAAATGTTGACCATGCCGTGACCAGGATTCGAACCTGGGTTACCACGGCCACAACGTGGGGTCCTAACCACTAGACGATCACGGCTAAGCTAGCAGGCCAACTTGAAATCATTAATGCAATTTCAATGCTTTATTATTTCATGATAAAGCCCCAGGGATTAGAAATAAAATAATAAAAATGTTGGCTATGCCGTGACCAGGATTCGAACCTGGGTTACCACGGCCACAATGTGGGGTCCTAACCACTAGACGATCACGGCTAAGCTAGCAAGCCAACTTAAATTAATAAAGCAATTTCAATGCTTTATTATATCATGATATAGCCCCAGGGATTTAAAAAATAAATATTGACCATGCCGTGACCAGGATTCGAACCTGGGTTACCACGGCCACAATGTGGGGTCCTAACCACTAGACGATCACGGCTAAGCTAGCAAGCCAACTTAAATTAATAAAGCAATTTCAATGCTTTATTATATCATGATATAGCCCCAGGGATTTAAAAAATAAATATTGACCATGCCGTGACCAGGATTCGAACCTTGGTTACCACGGCCACAACGTGGGGTCCTAACCACTAGACGATCACGGCTAAGCTAGCAGGCCAACTTGAAATCATTAATGCAATTTCAATTCTTTATTATTTCATGATAAAGCCCCAGGGATTAGAAATAAAATAATAAAAATGTTGGCTATGCCGTGACCAGGATTCGAACCTGGGTTACCACGGCCACAACGTGGGGTCCTAACCACTAGACGATCACGGCTAAGCTAGCAGGCCAACTTGGAATCATCAGTTCAATTCTCTTGCCATATACTTTCAAAATGCCTATGGCTAAATGTTTTATAATGACTTAATTATATCTGTAATCAAAGTAATTAAAAAGCTAACAGAACATATTATTTTGATTTGAAAGTATCCATGCTGACATTCATAAAGAGATTTAATTTTTATGTGTTTTTTTCGAAAATATAAAATATTCAATTTTAAATGAAAGATAAAGGAATTAATTTTGTCAACTTACGTATGTCAAATACTTAAAATAATTTGACCATTTGTCTCACCCATTTTTGGAACCTGACTATGCTTATGTTTGGTAAATTAACATGAATGTTTTTCATTTAAGACTGACTGGTGCCCCATGGTTTCCCCACGATATGGGACATTCTTCTACAACAAGAAGACGGGGCAGGTATCCCAGAATACACCCGAAGAACTGTTGAAACACCATCATTCAATGGTCGACAGAAAGTATGTACAATTTAAATATTTTAACACATAAACAACCCCATTTAAAGTATATTAGAAAAGAGAATGAGGAAGTTCTTAACTCACTCCAAAGTGTGTTTTGTTAGTATTTACACAGACTGAGGGCTTTTATTCTCTATTGGGGGGGGGGGGCTGACATTACATCTCTTATCTGGATACTCTTGCCCCTTTATTGGGAGTGCCACCTATTGTTCACATTTTTATGTCACCACCACATTCCACAAGTGGTGACATATTGCAAAAATTCTATAACTTTTTTTCTGGATGGTGTTCAGCTTTTGGCAGTTAATGACTGATGTTTGGTGGATGGCGGTTGGTATACAGGGTGTCAAATAAGTCCCGTCCCCCCCTCTACAGCCAAAACCAAGATATTTGGTACCAAGTGTGATATATCATTGGAAAGGTCTTCCAAAGTTACGTTGATTGGCATATATCTGACGCATGTCAATCAATCTCACAAATTTTTACATTGTATCAATTGAGGTGACCATATGCCTAGAAACATGGCAATTTGGCATATTTGGCAGGATTTTAAGAATCGGGTATAAGAAAGGTCAAGGGACCAAAAGATGACTAAATATGTTTATGGCAATGAATTTAACCAATTTCTGGATAGGGTTAGATGTGTAGAAAATAGAGGGGCAAGGAAAGTGCTGAAAACCATTTTGTAACAAGTGGAATGCGAAAAAGATCAACTTTTTGACGTATTTCTGAGGTCATATCCTTGTCATTTTGACGCAAAAAAGCTACTTAAAGGAGGGCACGTAAACTATAAAAGACATCATAAAAATATAGGTAAATTTCATCCAAAATACTTGAGAGTTGGTGAGTTAACATAACTTTGGATGATCTTTCCAATGGTATATCACACTAGGTACTGTCTGTTAAGGCTTTAGCTGTAGCAGGGGGGACGGGACTTATTTGACACCCTGTATGTAACAAATGGTGGGTGGTGACATTTTGCATGTTAATACCTTGTTCAAATTTGTGATTTGCCTTTTTTCAATCACTCATTTATTCTTCTCTGATTTGACAATTGCAAACTTTATATATTTATTAGTGATTTAATTTCAGTCATATCCCTGTGGTGAAATATCCGTCCAACATTCTGTTTGAAGAACTTATTACAGCTACACTGTTGCTGTTTGGATAGTGATTTTGTCGTCTAAGTCAAAAATTCCTAGACTTTTACATGCTGTTGCAACACTCCAAAATGTTTTCATTGATGACAATATTGGCTTGTCACATTGCAAAGTGTTTATTATTTTCTAAGCCATGTTTTAAGTTGGTGATTCTTTTTCGTTTTGCATTATGGAAAAAATGAAAGTAAAACATTACCAATACAATTTTCCTGTATTTTTTCATCAAACTCATTCTATTAGTTAAATATATGAGTTTTAGCCCTTGTTTCTATTTGTTTGATGTGTTAGTTTAATAAAAGTAAAAGCTCTGAAGTACATAAGCTGCCCTTGTGAGAATGTCTATCTTGGCCATGCCAATTCCTCTCATTTCTCTGTAAAATCTGAATGGACTGTCTAATATTCTGGCTTTTCTGTTTAATTAGGAATTTCATCCACATGGCTGTTTATTTTATTCCTTTCTGAATCAAATATTTCTCATTATATTCTGCATTTTAAAATAACGGCCATCATAATATTTTTCTTACGGCTAATCCCTAGTAGGATTACTTGGTGATCTTGTAAGAAACTCAAGAAACAAGCCACTCTTGGAATCTCAATAGACCACTAATAGTACATACATAATCTATAGCCATTGTGTATGGTAGTGTTTTGGAAAAATTGAATAAAACAAAATGTGATTATAGGAATAACTGGATACCTTTAGCAGATTAGAAAAATATAAAGATTTGTAAAATTGATCTTGGATATTCTCGTGGAGAAATGGAAAAAGTTATTATTTTGAGAAATTGAGAAAGCCAATTTGAACAATGAGTGGATTTATGAATGATAACATTTGGAAGATTTGTCTGATAGCAATGAACTATGAATGGCTTATTTAAAAAGTTGCAAGAAAAATTGATGGATTTACTAGCAGTACTCAAGGAATGGATTTATTAGCAATACACAATGAATGGAGTAATTGGGAAACATTCAGCTTCACTTCCTTCTTACTATCTTTCAAATAGAACTGTATTTTATTCCTTTTAATCCATTGACTATTATTTTTAAAGCAAAAATGTGATTAAAAAATCCTTGGAAAGAATTAGGAATGAAGCATGATATCATGATTTATTGCATGATATGTTTTATGGAATTCAAATGAATCATTTGACATGACATCTGTAAAAAATAATTTCAAGAAAGTAACAATTAAAAGGAGACTTATTAAAAAATTAAGGCCATCATTCTTGTATAGCTATGGATAAAAGTAAAGCTCAGAAAGAAAGGAGGGGAAGTACCCAGAATTCCAAAAGATTAACACATATGGGTAATCTAAGTAAATCAGTAGAAAAACCAAGGATAGAACCCAAGCTAAGATTCTATGGATCACATAGTGCCTCAAACATTGGCTCAGAGAGTGTTAAGAATGTTGGCAGGAGATTTAGCCTTGGAGCAGTGGCTAGTATGGCGTTACAAAGTTCCAGAGATAAGAAAGAGAAAGAAATGTATGGAACTAAAGGGCAACTTTCTGTAATTCTGATCCTTAAATATGTCAAATAATATTTTCGATTCATACTGATATTAATTTTAACTAAAATGTGGACCATCTATAGATTTTGGGAACACATTCTTTTCTGCTATATTTATAGGTTGACATTTGGGGTATAGCATCAGAATTACAGACTCTACCATATTAAGAGAATATGTCTTGGCATGTATGATGTGATATATTGAATTATTTCAAACATAATTTGCTTCATATTGGAATACCTTTAGGTGAAATATGTTTTTATGTGATTATTTTGTTTCGCATCATCTTGTCATGTTGAATGCCAGTGCTCTCTTTGATATTGTACATGTGTTCTGCTTAATGAATGATGTCAAGTGCTTATAATGCTACATGCTCAGATCTGATGTCATGTGTCATTATTTGATAATATTGATGTCATGTGTTTACAGGGAAACCATAGCTGCTGGATTAAAGAAAGCCTTAGAAGAAAAGGCTGAAGTTATTGAAGAATTGGAAAATGAAAGGAAACTGAAACAGGTAATTATAGAAGTTCATTATTGCAGATTTATGCTTTTTATGCCACTGAAATTTATAGCTCAACTATAATACCAGCACATTGACTCATTAACTGGCCACATAATTTTAAGATAGTGAATTTAATAAGGTTTCTTAGTGGGCACATTCTGAAGGTCCACATTGACACAACACATATCGTTTGGCACAAATATTTGACTAAAGATACCAGTATATGATTGAAGGAATTAGAGGTGGGGTAGGATTTGAACTTTGAGGTCAACTTTTTTTCAAAATAGGCAAATTTTCTTGAATATAAGAAAATGAGGCGCAGAGGGCCAATTTTAGGCTGTAAATGAAACATGATAAAATGAAAAACTGATTCACACAATCCCTGACAATCCCCTTGATGTGGGGCCTGACAACAGTATTGATGGACACATAAATGTTTCATTTTCATAATCAGGAGCTGGAGGAAACCCTAGAAGACATGCAGCTTCAAGCCAACAAGTTGAATCGTGACATGAACAAAAGTAATTCCTCGCTGGAGAAGTCTCGCCAGGAGGGGCAGAAGAAAGATGTCAACATAGAGAAGTTAGAACGAGATAAGACTGTCATGGAACAGAAAATCAAAGATCTCGAGATAAGAGGTATAATATAGCGATGGTTGAAAATTCAGTGAATCCAAGTATTTTTTGTACCCTTCAATACTCAAATGCAGATGAAAATACTTACAATGTCATTTCAATGTGATGCAATTAAGGAATAAATTTTGTAATGACATTCAGTACTTTCAATAGATGGCCATACAGTGGGTTTAGTTGTATACATTAACATGTAAAAATTTATCAGAAATCTCCAAGATTTATTGATAATACCTAAAATGTCTTGATACTGAATCTTCTGACATTTCCTAATTATTTTTATTGTATGTGAACAATATCCAATAAAAGGGTATTCCCACTAAATGAAATGGGTTTAAGATAACAATTATTCCAAAAGTACAATTAAAAAGATGTGATCTCTTCCAAAATATGTAAATAATGACTGGATTGGATTCTTTGATAATTTAATAATTTTACTTTCCCATATTTTAGCTAGTGAAGCAGATAAGCTGGACAGAGAGGTTGATAAAGTGAGAGGGCAGCTTGATGCCAGTCAGCAGAACACAAGAGAGAGGGATCATGAGATTCGTCAACTTCAGTCGACACTGGCTAGTACACAGAAAGAACTAGAGGTATGATATAGGTTTATTCTTTAAACCTAAATGTTATATGGTGCTAGAATAATCTATACAAGGCATTAACTTGCAAAATGTCACCACCTGCCATTTGTTACAGATGCTAAATGCTGAACACTGTCCACGAAAAAAGATGGAGACTGAAACAATATGTGGTTGTGACATACCACCTCTGGTTTTGACATACAAATCATTACATTCATCAGATGTACAATCAGCAGTAATGAGAAAGAACAATGTACATTCTATGTACACTCTATGTTTCCAAGGCAACCTGTATCCATGTATTTTTGTTGTTTGCCTCCAGGTTGCTAAGGAGAAGATTCACATGCAAAATGAGAAGATATTGGACCTCAGAGCACAAGTCAGGGAGGAACTCGCCAGAAATGAGAAAGTAGAAAAGGTAGGTTTTTGTTTTGATATCTCTGATCAAATATGGAAGTACTATTGATGATTTATACATTTTTTTTTCAAGCAGCTTTTGCTATCATTTTACCTTCAGATAGAATTAATTCTAATGTGCAATTGACACCATATGTTCTTCACTTAATACATATTTAACTTTGTACATACATTTAGAATTTAGACACAATCCCACGTCTGAAAGATAGGATAGAAACCCAAGATGAAGAGATCAAAACAGTAAAGAAACAGCTGGAGGAGAAGACCTACCAAGTACAATGGTGCAGGAAGAATGTCAAAGAAACCAAAGAAAAAACAAAGGTACATTTACTAGTTCAGTCACTGTGTCCTCATTGAGAGGTTTAGGCATGTGAAAATGTGTGTTTGAAAGTTGGCGCATTTTATTAAATTGTTCATACTTAATAATAATTGTGATAGTAATTGTTTGAATTATTTTGAAAACTTATGCATATTTAAGCGCTGGAATAGATTTGGAATAGGATCGTCTGAATTATCTGAGAGAGAACATCAATAGGATTGACGTTCTCTGTCAGATAATTCCCATTTTCACTGAAAATCCTTCCATATTCCACCTAACTATAATATAAACATATTTAGAACTGTTTTAAATAACTAAATAAAAATATTGTTCATATTTCTTTTCTTGTAGCAAAATGACTTTGACTATGTGGAACACGTGAAGCTTGCGAGAGAAGATGAGGTCATTAAAAGTGAGAATGTGACCCTGAAAGGCCTACTGAGAGGGAAAGATATCCTCATAGTACAAAAGTCACAGGAGCTAGATCTCGCAAGGTCAATCTTGACAGAACTTGAAAATGATGAGGATGAAGATTTTGCTTGGCGGGTACAGGAAGTGAAAGAAAGGCGATGTCGTCTTCATCCAACTTTTGGAGACAATAAGTAAGAAACAAGGCAATTAAGCTGCGATTCTCAACCAAAATAAAACTAAAGTATTTCTTATTTAAAATGATATGTAAATAACACAATCAATAGACTTCGATTCAAACATTCTTTCCTGAAATCATTGAAGCTTAAAGAAAATATACATGATGCACATTTAAATCTGTTTTAAAATCTTCGTTTTAGCAATGGTAATGAGGGGACCATCAATGGTGATAACACATCAATGAAGGAAGTAAAGGTTCAGCAATATAGGAAACCCCAACAAAAGGTACCATTATGAATAGAATGTATCATTATGTATAAAATGTATCATTATGAATAGAATGTGTCATTATGTATAAAATGTATAATTATGAATAGAATGTATCATTATGTATAAAATGTATCATTATGAATAGAATGTGTCATTATGAATAGAATGTGTCATTATGTATAGAATGTGTCATTATGAATAGAATGTACCATTATGTATACATTATGTATAGAATGTACCATTATGTATAGAATGTGTCATTATGAATAGAATGTGTCATTATGAATATAGAATGTATCATTATGTATAGAATGTGTCATTATGAATAGAATGTATCATTATGTATAAAATGTATCATTATGTATAGAATGTATCATTATGAATAGAATGTACCATTATGTATAAAATGTATAATTATGTATAGAATGTACATTTTGTATAGAACGTATCATTATGAATAGAATGTGTCATTATGTATAAAATGTATCATTATGTATAGAATGTATCATTATGAATAGAATGTACCATTATGTATAAAATGTATCATTATGTATAGAAGGTATCATTATGTATAGAATGTGTCATTATGAATAGAATGTACCATTATGTATAAAATGTATAATTATGTATAGAATGTATCATTATGTATAGAATGTATCATTATGTATAGAAGGTATCATTATGTATAGAATGTGTCATTATGAATAGAATGTGTCATTTTGTATAGAATGTATCATTATGTATAGAATGTGTCATTATGAATAGAATGTGTCATTATGTATCAAATGTATCATTATGAATAGAATGTATCATTGTGTATAGAATGTATCATTATGAATAGAATGTACCATTATGTATAAAATGTATCATTATGTATAGAATGTACCATTATGAATAGAATGTACCATTATAAAAGTGAAAAAAGGATGGTTAAATGAACACCTTCATAATGTACTGAATATATTTTGTTCATCACCAATGAAGGTGAGCAATCCTTTTTGCCTATTTATCCTCATATATTTATGGTAGAAGTTAATGTGCACTCATATGCTCGTAAAATTGCCAATACATGCCAGACCATGACCTTATGTATGAGTTGTGTACCATTGTAAACTTTGTTGAAGGACATAATTATAATGTGAGTTGAAATATTACATGGGCAATCAGTGAAAAAGAATCAGAAATAAAAAAGTGTGCAGAAGTATGTTAACCAATGCTTATGTACTGTGTGCTGATTAGTTAAGGAATAAATAATGATAGACCATTCAATATGGTGAAATTCAGTACGAGTTGGACAGAATGTCGTACAAAGCACAAACCGAAGGTGAGTGCATTTGTACTGACATTCTGTCCAGCGAGTGTAGTATTTCACCATATTGAATGGCCTATCATTATTTATTCAGATTCAAACATAAAAATGGAAACATTGTTCAGAGAATTCTTAGGGGGTGCATAAAATAACCAAACTTGCTGTTATTTTCGCCATTCATAGGAGTGAGGTCACAATATATAGATACACAGATGATTGAATAGAGCATGGTTATACATCTATGGAGAAATAGAGAACATACATTACTGTCTATGCTGCATTTTGATTGGTTGTGAAATTCAATTAAAGCATGGTCATGTTTGAATATGTAATAAATACTGTTAGTAACAATAAATGTATGTTTTCCAGGGTGGTAAATCTGGCAAGATAGACATCAACAACCCACCATTCGCTCTCTCGAACAGCACTTCAGAAAGTAGCGACAACTGGGAGCATAATCACAAACAGCAGACGCACAGACATGAATCAAAGTTTCTTGAGGATGTACTCCTCGATAACAGTGACAATGATGAACAGGATGCATTCATGTATACCAGAAATCAAAGCTCCCCAAGAGAGAGCACCGATTACAATCAAAATAAAAGGTCGCCTCGTTCTGGATCTGAGATCAAACGTCCTAAAACTGCTTTCGCTAGAACAACCCAATATAGAACTGATAGGGACTTCAGGGAGGACAGAAACTTGGGTAAATCATACGATTCTGATCGGGATCATCGCAGGTCAAAAACAGAGCCAATAAGACGGCCTCATTCTGTTAACTCTGATGTTAAAACTGTAAGCAGTTTAATGACACTTTATGATGAAGACACGTTAAAATCTCAGTTTGTTAACATGGGGGATAGAGTGTTAATTAAGCTCCCCCAGGCCAAGAGCAAGCAGCAGGGTAAGGGAAAGGGGTCCCAGGGTTGTGAAATGCCCCAGGTGGCAGGGGGCATAGTGAAATATGTGGGAGAGATGGATGACAACACAAACAGTCACAGAATCAGAGTTGGGGTCAAGATGGATGATACTGGTAAGCTAAGACAATATTTGCTGATTAGAAAAGTTGAACAAAGTAATGAAATATTTGATGAGGACGTACACATATGCTGAAGGCTCCAAAATCTCCAATATGTAGTTTCTGAAAGATAATAGGACTAATTTACAGGATAGTTATATTAGCCTCCAAATACTTGTTTAAATGATAATATTTATCTGCTATGCGTCAAAATATTTAATGAATGGCTCTACAATTTCAGTTGGTGACACGGATGGAATGTTCAAAGGAAAACGTTACTTCTTTGTGCCAAAGGATCATGGGAGAATTGTGAAGATCTCCAATGTCATATCAGTGTTGGACACCAAGGTAAGTGCAAGGGAGGGTGCAACCCAGGTATCAAAGATGAAGTAATTGATTGATGCAAGAGAGGATTCATCCCAATTAATAAAGAAATCAGAAGGGTGCAGTGGAGGACTGTTCCTACTATATAGCTTTCATTTTTTAATCAATGGGTTTATTCCGTAACTCAAATATGCATTGTAGGTATACAGGGGCAAATTGCCTTCCTGCATTAGAGGTCTCTTTGTGAAAATAGACAATAAAAAACAGTGTTCCCTCATGAATGAAGATATCATTTTGTGCTGTCTGTGTAAAAGTGTATATTTATGATAAATCCAGACTAACCTCAATAATTTGTCTGCAAAGCAAAACTGTTTGTACTCTAAACAGACTATGTAAATCAAAGTTTTCCTACAATATCACCATATAGACTTATTTGAAAATTCTTTAGAAATAATACCCGTGGCCAGGCGATGTAGCTTAATGAAGAAAAGTTGGAACATGTGTATTTTTATAATTCTGGATTTCTATTTCCAGACTGCCAAATACAAACCCATGAAGCAATGTGTGAAGGAACTTCTCTCCGACGCAATAACTGATGTACAACCAGCTCATGAGGACTAACACAAAGAACATCAGACTTAATTCACAAATCAAAAACGTCAATACATATAACTATTACAGGGGACTGAATACAGTCTATCAAGGAAGTCAAGAAATTGATTATGAAGTTTTGAACTAACCATGCCAAGTCCTATAGCTTATTGGAGAACTTTTATATCTGAATATGAAGTCTGGAACTTCAAAATATTATTTAAGAACTTGTAAAACTAAAAATAGAATATGAAGTTTAGAAGTTAGAATATGTATTGATTATGAACTTGTATTTTAAGTTTGGTCCAAAACTCAAACATAAAATACAAATTGAATTTGAAGTCCTAAACTTTGAATACAAGTTCTGTATGGAATTTGATGTTCAATTCAAAAATTGAATATGAAGTCAACTTTAATAAACATTAAAAAACTTAAATATTAATCTAGAACTTTTATTCAAAGTCTAGAACTCGAGTATAAAATCTCGAAACTGAATTCTAGAATTCTAAAAGATCAATTTGAGAATATGAATCCTATAAATTAAGGACTTGCATACACATTGAGTTCTTTTAACCCAGAACTTTAGTTCAAAATGAATTGTTAATATTTTTATATGTATGATTTTGCATTAAGCAATTAGCATTATGTGATATAGACTATATTAGGCATTTTTTATAATTTGTAAGTGATGTATTATAGAAATAAACTGTAAAATATAATGCTAGACTTATGTTGAATATACACTTTTTATGTCACCACCAGAAGTGATGACAAGTCTCCAACCTATTTTGTGTCTGATGTTTGGTAGTTGATGTTTGGCATCTGTAACAGCTTTGCATCTGTAACAAATGGCAGGTGGTGACATTTACCTGTTAGTGCCTTTTTACTTGATATTATGTACACAAATTTTGTATGGGGTTAGACATTAAATAAAAATATGATTTTACTCGGATAAAACATTATTTCACTGTTAGCAAAGACCACAATTTGTCTAAATGATACATACAACTTGATTTATAAAATGCTTTTATCGAACTTCCATCTTTTCTTATCAACAAGTATAATACTTTGGTTATACTTGTTTCAAAATGTCACCATCAGTCATTTGAAGTTGTAAGAATTCGTTACAGACACCAAACAACCAAACACCAGACACCAAACCACGAGAAAGTTGGAGACTAAAACAATATGTCACCACATCTGGTGATGACATAAAAATTCCAGGAATACTGGCTGTTAAGCACTGAGGGCCATGGCATTACATCATTATTATAACCAACAATTAAACAAACACAACCTTTGGCTTTTATTTTTTTTATTTGTTAGACGAGAATGTACCATTCTCCATAGCAAATCCATTCATCATTCATAATAATGTATAATTTCATAATGTCAATCAGGACTTTATGCTATCAAAGATGACAGAAGGTTCCGTGAACTGATGTAAGCTGGGATGGAAAACTTCCTCTGGGAATTCATCCCCATCCTCTGGGTAGTAGGTTGGCATCAATGGTTTCGAATCACTGTTTTCTAGTTCTCCTTTACGAGTTGGTAGCTGGGAGTCATAGATTCTTGAATAACATAGATTGGGTCCAGGCATCCCTGAGCCAGTCACATATAGTATGTTATACTTGTAGTTGATTCTCACTATCTGAAATTGGAGAATATACCAGTCACATATAGTATGTTATACTTGTAGTTGATTCTCACAATCTGAAATTGGAGAATATACCAGTCACATATAGTATGTTATACTTGTAGTTGATTCTCACAATCTGAAATTGGATATACCAGATACATATAGTATGTTATACTTGTAGTTGATTCTCACAATCTGAAATTCGAGAATATACCAGTAACATATAGTATGTTATACTTGTAGTTGATTCTCACAATCTGAAATTGGAGAATATACCAGTTACATATAGTATGTTATACTTGTAGTTGATTCTCACAATCTGAAATTGGAGAATATACCAGTTACATATAGTATGTTATACTTGTAGTTGTATCTCACAATCTGAAATTGGAGAATATACCAGTAACATATAGTATGTTATACTTGTAGTTGATTCTCACTATCTGAAATTTAAACAATATGAAATTGGAAATATGTTTTACTGTCCAATAAAATGGACCTGAAATCCTTACAAGGGTTCCCCCAAATAAGGATATTACTGGCATATATACCTGGCATATGCAGATTGTTATTCTTTTGGGTCTTAAAGAATTATGACAATAGAAAAATATGTGGTATTCCATTGGATATCAATGAGGATAAGGGAATATATTTGGATTGGGAATATTCAATGGAACATATGGAATAAATATGGTATTTCTCACTTTTAGACATACTTAGAGGTTATGTCACTATGAGTTGAAATATGCCTGAGTTCCCCCAATATAGGCCGACCTTGGGAGGCTCTACATATTTGGGCAATAAGGAATATTTCACGTCATAGTGACATAACTTTGTATCAATGACGTCACACATCTGAGTGTGTATAGAATTTGATCGAAATCAGTAGTTATTTTGTCATGGTTATTAAAGAAATCTAATATCAAAACGAGGCACAGGGGCTATATATCGGGGTAATTTGGCAATATTGGTGGATATAGCCCGCTAACTTTCCCATTGGTTTCCATAGAAATGCTTCGCTTGGTATGTAATTCATGTAATTATTTCATCTATAGTTGCATCAATTAATGTAACCACTTGGTTTAGGTTTACAATTGTTATTACTGCTGATGATAACACCGCATACTGTCACAAACATGCAACATCATTCAGCAACATGTGACATAATTCGGCAACATGTGACATCAATCAGAAAACATGTGACATCATTCAGCTAACATGTGACATCATTCAGCAACCATGTGACATCATTCAGAAAACATATGACATAATTCAGAACACATGTGACATCATTCAGCAACATGTGACATAATTCAGCAAACATGTGACATCTTTCAGAAAACATGTGACATCATTCAACAAGCATATGACATCATTCAACAAACAACGTGATATCATTCAACAAACATGTGACATGTATGTGAAGTAGTTGTGACATAAAAGTGATAACTTATTACAATACATGTACATTGATTTTGTTCAAATTATAAGAAAGAGTTAGTAGACATACCATGTTGCCTTTGTTTGTATTCCAGTCCATCCCCATATGTCCTGGCATTTTCTTTCCTTTCCATATAGCGGCTTTATCCTGAAAATATACAAATGGTCACATTTCTTCATATTTATCGTTCTCAAATTTGAATTTCATCTGTTTAGCTCAAAATAAAGGTAAAACCTGGTCTTTTCCCATTCTTTCCTTGCCCACATATCAAACAAGGCATTAATACAAAATGTCACCACCTGGTTGCGATTACAGAAGTGTAACAATTTGTTACAGATGACGAAAAGCTGACATCAAACACTGGGTGGTCAAGAAAAACAGTTGCTATAACATTTCTTGGTTGTGACAAAATTTTCTCAAAAACGAAATATGATTATGAATTCCTTGATCTTTAATTTAATTTTAATTCTTTTATGCACTCATATATCATTGCAAAAATGCATGTACTGGTTGACCAAAGAAGGCATTTATCCAAGCAAACCTACAAAAGATATAACATTACTAACAGAACCTGATTTAGAACTCATGCTGACATGGAAATAAATTACTCTATCGATATATGATATTGTCGACTTGACTTGACTTAAAAAACAACCCATTGAAACTCAACAGTATAAACACTATATTTGTTAATGTTTAATGAATTCATCCTATTTTAATATTATATTTGAACAGGTAACGTTTATACCACCACATAATTAATCCTACATAGTCACTTTTCATCATGGAATTGTTTTCATAATTGGTACATCAGTATATTCTAGTTATGTAGTTCTAGTTAAATATCCGCAAAAACACATTTAAATGAGAAAATAATAAAAATATATAATGCAATTAGCCCATCACACAATCAAAAAATCATAAGAATTTAAGTGATTATTTGTAATCGCATAATATAACTGTTGTATTCTCAAAAAACATTGTGATTTACATATTGTGTGGTTTTACCTTGCATAAAGATGCCAGACAATTCATCGATGACATATACAGGGAGTCAAATAAATATGTTCCCCCTCTTAACTTTAACATTGACATAATGTTACATACATTTTTGTCTGTATGACATCTTGATTGTTCTATAGCACACTAACAATGAGTAACATGACGTTTCAGATGATTAGCTCAACTAGATGCACTTTTATGCACTCAAGTTCATACTTTTTAAATTAAGGGGGAGAACATATTTATTTGACACCCTGTACATTCATGTTTTAAATTTGAAACACAAGTCTAGAGAAGTGCCCATTGATATGACCAATTATCTCTGAATTTGCTGAAATTTATAGAAGGGCAATAGTTTATATAAAGTGTTGCCTACTTTTTTCTATGGACATTGTTTTGGCTTATGAAAGTACATGAATCTGAAAAGTACAATATCTCAATATCCAATTCCTACATTGGTGGTGACTTAACAAAAGAAAACCAACAATAAGAACCAATACACAAAACAGCACTATGAAATGTCACTACCTGCCATTTGTTTCAGATGCTGACTGCCAAAGACCAAAATGCGAAACACAGAACACCAACTGCTGAACACCGTCCACAAAAAAGTTAATGACAACAACCAACAGACAATAAAAATTCAGCAGCGTAGTGGAAATAAATTATATCAAACCACATTTATTAAATTAGAAAAGTTATGTTCTATTGTTATTCATACTTTCTGATGACATACCAAAGCCACCCAACCACATACATTTGATACTACTTCCAATTAATTCTCTGTTTCAAATATGATGATGAGAAAACTAAGAAGATTATTTCATTCGCAAGAGAGACCTGTTATATATAACAAGCTGTTAGCATGCAAAATGTCACTACCTGCCATTTGTTACAGATGATGAACACTGACCTCAAAAAGCCAGATGCTGACAGTCGAACACAAACCACCAAACACAATCAACAAAAAATTTGAAGACTGTAATAATATGTCACGACTCCTGGTATGAAACCTCAATTTATTCCAGAATAAATAAGGAAATAAACAGGAAATAGAATTGATATTAAAAAAATCCGTATCGAATCCTGTATCAGCCAAAATCCCATATCAGATCCCTTATTAGATCCTGTATCACCCAAAATCCCATAACAGAATGTTTCCCGGAGATTTCTCTTTAAATCAATTTATACATTGTTGTTCTATTCTTAAACTGTAACTTGTTAATAAAAGTTGACAGTGTTACCTAAAAAAATAATATTATGTCGCCATCATCAAACTTGAAAATGAATAAGTTTCAGATTAATGTGATGGAATATGAATTTTTCCTCGAGAAAATATGATATTGGCCTTGGAAAATATTGCATTGTTACTTGGTCAATATATTTTCCTTTGTATTAGCCAATATCGTATTTTCCATCAGAATGAAATTCATGTTCCATCCCCATTAAATAACCTCTATATAAATCCCTATATGGCCACTTAATGGTGGGTCAAATAAAGATTCCTGTAATACTAAAAAACACCTGGATCAGAAAATATTAAATGTCAAAAGAAAGTTTTGGCAAAATTCATGAGTGAGGGACAAGGTAGTTTTAATATTGGCTTTCAGGTTGAAAAAAGGTGGTTACTGATGAAGCCTCATGGAGATAGATGAACAGAGACTTGTAATACTCTAGCCTAACAACCATTATTTTTTATTTGCAATTTTTGTCTGGTTTTCCATATGTCATACTAACTCAGCCTCATGAATAAATAAATATTGTTGGAGTAAGAGTCTGCTGTTTCATCACTCTGGGTCACAACAAAGGATCAGGATAAAGGCCGTAAGAAGTTATCACCTATTTGCCTTATATTCAAAATGTTTATAAATACTGAACATTTATTTTTTGTATATTACTTTGTATCTTTCAACAATTCTAGTTTTATATTATATACAGCAAAGAAATGTTTAACAAGGCAATTCTATATAATTTTATACTTAAAGCCAGCATGAATTTTGGATCAATCATTATTGGTATAGCAGTTGATATCCTGTTACTGACACAATATGGTAAGTTTGAAAACTATTTTTACCTTTTTCTATATGGTGAGGAAAGCCTACCCCATACAATGAACACCATAAACTCTTAACAAGGCATGAACATGCAAAATGTCACTACCTGCCATTTGTTACAGGCACCAATGGTTACAGACATTATGTTACAGATGCCAACTCCAATCTTCAAAAAATAATGTGTCACCACTTGGCATGGTGACATAAAAAATTATTATTCTCATTTTAAATACCATATGTAAATGTAAGTCTAAATAGAATGTACATTATAGCTATATATGAGCAGTGTTGGTGAAATGTACAGATATAAGATGTTTAAGCATTTTTTAAGGAATGTCCGAGACATGTCCTGATATAGCGACTGCCATACTCCAATCAGAAGAGCGTATGAAATCCTTCATAACCACATTGATTGAGAAACATGAAGGAGAGACACAAGCGAATATAGAAAACCTCAGAAGAGAAATTATTGGAAAATGTGTTGGTGGTAAGGTTATGAAGAATGCAGCTTTACAACTGTCCTTTACTCATATTGAAAGCTATTACATGTAATATCATTTATTACTGGCACTATAACATTTTTTATTATTCATTTCAAATTACTATATAATTAACTATAAACCATAACAGTCTATTACATTATATTTTTATGTGATTATAGTATGATTAACTAGACATTATACATACATAAATATTTTTTTTTATGTAAATGAAGTATTTATCTAAATTAGCACATTGGGGAGACTGGGGTGAATGGAGTGTATGTGACACTACAATATGCAATATTGCCCACAGAATAAGAAAGTGCTATGATGAGAATGATGAAGAGGTGGATCCATCCCATTGTGGTAAAACTGGTGATCACATTGAGAAGAAACAATGCTGTGAGGGTATGTCTACAAACCTACTTATAATCTTACTTCATATAGCATATAGCAAACCCTAAGACATAACATGAGGGCCATAGAATAACCGAAGACATTACATGGGGGACCATAGAATACCAAAAGACATTACATGGAAGGCCATAGAATACCCTAAGACATAACATGAGGGCCATAGAATAACCGAAGACAAAACATGGTGGGCCTTAGAATACCAAAAGACATTATATGGGGGCCATAGAATACCCTAAGACATTACATGGGGGCCATAGAATACCCTAAGACATAACGTGAGGGCCATAGAATAACCAAAGACATTACATGGGGACCATAGAATACCAAAATACATTACATGGAAGGCCATAGAATACCCTAAGACATATCATGAGGGCCATAGAATAACCGAAGACATTACATGGGGGCCATAGAATACCCTAAGACATTACATGGAAGGCCATAGAATACCCTAAGACATTACAAGGGGACCATAGAATAACCGAAGACATTACATGGGGGCCATAGAATACCCTAAGACATTACATGGAAGGCCATAGAATACCCTAAGACATTACAAGGGGACCATAGAATAACCGAAGACATTACATGGGGGCCATAGAATACCCTAAGACATTACATGGAAGGCCATAGAATACCCTAAGACATAACATGAGGGCCATAGAATAACCGAAGACATTACATGGGGGCCATAGAATACCCTAAGACATTACATGGAAGGCCATAGAATACCCTAAGACATAACATGAGGGCCATAGAATAATCGAAGACATTACAATCCCATTGAATTGAAAGGTTTGTCATAGAAATCCTAAAGATGGTACAGAGTGAATCATAGAATTCTTTTAGAAATAAGGTTCCCATGGTGTAATTGACGTTCCTTATATAATTTCAGAGCTTCAAAAAATTGAAAAGAAAAAGTTCTACAAAAGTCTTTCCGAGGATGGGCCACTACCTGAAGCATACATAAGGGCCGTAGGTTCTAACATAGCCATAAAGAGAAGAAAGATTTTATCGTGGGTGGTATCACTCAAGTTTCGCAAAACATCCCAATTTGAACATAAATGTGGGGGAACAATTCTTAGTAATAAGTTCGTAGTTACAGCAGCACATTGTATCTGTGATGCTGGAGATTGCTGTGATAGTGAGAACAAAGTCATGTATGTATACTTTAACATGTCTTTTCTAAAGTTATTAAAGAATGGGGGGGTTGGCCCTGAACAAGGGTTACAAACTCAAAGCTGCCCAAATGACAATAGCAACCACATCCAACTCTTGGTATTGGGCTTGGAAAAACTAGTCAGTTGTTTGACAATGAAATGGGCGCCAGTATGATTAATTGTGGCTATCTCGGTTTCAACCTTCGTTGTAAACCCTGTAGGGGTAGGATTTTCTGTTGAAGTTTTCCATTAGAATATGTTCCATTTGTAGTTTTATTTTGTTAGAACTATACTTATATGGAAATAACAAATGACAGGCGTGGGGTTCAATACCATAATGAAACATTAGGCATTAACATGCAAAATGTCACCACCTGCCATTTGTTACAGAAAGATACCGTATAATTTCATAACAAATTGAGCGAACTATATGCAGAAAACTTAACATTGTACTTGCTAAAGCAAGAACTGATGCATTAAAAGATTTTAACACATGTATTTCATATCAAAATATCACGTATGTTTATGAATACAGATGTGATATGGACCAGTGGAAGATAACAGCTGGTGAATGGAACATTGCTACACCTAGTAAAGTTGAACAAAACAGAGGAGTCGGGCATATCATTGTGCATAAAAACTACAATAATGATATGAATGCAGACATTGCTTTGATTAGACTTAAAACAAGCTTTGAGTTCATGAACAATCCGTACATACAGCCGAGCCTACTTCTTGCTAAGGAGTGTGGGAAAATAGACTCAGGCGGCAAATGTATTCAGAGTCTAACAGACTGGGCAAATAAAGTGAATTGTGTGACTGCAGGTTGGGGACTAAGTAAGTTGAAATTTAGTTTTACAGGTGTCCATACATTCTCTTTACACTTCACATAGTTTTGTATCATAATTGTAAAGAGACTTTATGGACACCCTGTATATTCTCAACACTTGAATGTGTGGATCATACTTGCCAGTTATAATATTGGTCTAATTCAAGATCATTATAAGACCCCACAGAACTTCCTAGTTATCTTCCTCAATGTAATCAAGTTGACTGAAACTTAAAACAATCATATAAAATAACAGTGCCCACATGAGTACCAATATGAGCAAAAACAATATGTATTTATATGTATTTCATGTTATTTTGCAGCTCCTAATAGTGGTCTTACTAAAACAGGAAAAGATGTGGAAGTTTGGATTAATACTGATAGTCCAAATAAAAAGGAGAGTGTCATCAAAACAGAGAGTAAAGGCAATACATTACCTATATGTGAGGTTGGGAATTTATCATATTTTCAAATATAATGTATTTAAAGGGACATTTCTTGCAAGACCATTTCTCTCCTGATATGGCAGCTTTGATCATATTACTTTCCATATTTAGCAGAATACAGGAAATGTTTTACTATGACCAATATGATAATTCTAAAATGTAGCACTCATTTCCAGTAAGCTGATATCTTCATACTACAGGAACTAAAGGGCTTCACTGGTACTTACCTAACATTCAGCTTTTAATACTAAAATGCTTCAGTGGTATTTTAGTTACCTAACATTAAGCTTTTCATACTATAAGGCTTCAGTGGTATTTTAGTATAACCTAACATTAAGCTTTTCATACTATAAGGCTTCAGTGGTATTTTAGTATACACCTAACATTAAGCTTTTCATACTAAAAGGCTTCAGTGGTATTTTAGTATACACCTAAAATTAAGCTTTTCATACTATAAGGCTTCAGTTGCATTTTAGTATACACCTAACATTAAGCTTTTCATACTGTAAGGCTTCAGTGGTATTTTAGTATACACCTAACATTAAGCTTTTCATACTATAAGGCTTCAGTGGTATTTTAGTATACACCTAACATTAAGCTTTTCATACTAAAAGGCTTCAGTGGTATTTTAGTATACACCTAACATTAAGCTTTTCATACTAAAAGGCTTCAGTGGTATTTTAGAATACACCTAACATTAAGCTTTTCATAATAAAAGGCTTCAGTGGTACTTTGTATATACCTAACATTGAGCTTTCTCTAATACTAAAGGGCTCCAGTGATAGTTTAGTGTTAAGCTTTCTCATACTATAGGGCTTTGGTGCTACTTTACTTACACCTAACATTTAGCTTTCTCACACTAAAGGGCTTCAGTGGCACTTTAGTATATACCTAACATTAAGCTTTCTCATACTATATGGCTTCAGTGGCACTTTAGTGCACATTAAGCTTTCTCATACTAAAGGGCTTCAGTGGCACTCTAGTGTATACCTAACATTAAGCTTTCACATACTATAGGGCTTCAGTGGCACTTTAGTGTATACCTAACATTAAGCTTTCACATACTATAGGGCTTCAGTGGCAGTTTAGTATATACCTAACATTAAGCTTTCACATACTATAGGGCTTCAGTGGCAGTTTAGTGTATACCAACATTAAGCTTTCTCATACTATAGGGCTTCAGTGGCAGTCCGCTCATGTGTACTATCAACACAACAGGAATGCACTTTATTCCCCCACAACATATGGTTGTACTAGGAGTAAACAGCGTAAAAGAACCAGAGGGATGCCTGAATAGTGAAGTAGCAAAATTCACTCAAACATCTCTGTTTTACTACATGGAATGGATATCACAAAATGTTATAGGTATATCATTTTACACATTTATTTGATGTCACTTTCACGACATTGTCAACAACTATGACTACAAATCCAACTATACATACAATTTTACTAGAACTCTTTGAACTAATATGGTAATATATCTAATAACACGTCAATTTTGCATGAAAAACATGTAGTTCAAGTCATGATATGGCGTTTTTATACCTTATACTTGGTATGGGTCCCTATTGCTTAAAGACCTCCATTATTGACAAGTACTCCTATTTCATAGGTTGGAGCCAATGGGGAGGATGGAGTAAATGTTCCAAATCAACACAAAAAAGGTTTCGACTGAGATCGGGGTTTTTCCCAGAATATGGTTATCTACCTAGTGATGGGCCACTTTACCAGAGCTATAGTGGTGACCAGTTACAGGTGGAGGAGACCAATTGTGGTATGTACATAAACATTATACATATAGGTTCATCTTGGAATGAAATATCGCAATAGAAATACATCGTGAAACGCTTTTTGAGCAGACTCTTCAAAATATCGATGTCAATATATATGAGATATCACAATAGTTACAGATGGAGGAGACCAATTGTGGCATGTACATATATGGTAGATTCATCTTGGAATGAGATATCACCGTAGAAATCTATTGTGAAACACTGAACACAAAATTAGGCTTTTCATGGAGACTCTTCTAAAAGGGCAAACGAAACTCAAGAGTAACAAAAGTCAAAATTAGTAAAAATTTTATATCATGTATATATTATTCAAAATGTCATTTAATGTGTAATGTGTATGATTGCTTTGATGTTTCCATTTAACTCTAAACAACTCCAACCACAGAAATCATAGTTAAAACAACCACAAAATTGACAACGCCAACAACCAAAGAATCTACAACCAAAGAATCAACAACCAAAGAATCGACAACCAAAACAACCAAAGAATTAACAACCAAAACAACCAAAGAGTCAACAAGCCCAACAACCAAAACTCCAACATCTTCTCCTACAGAGCAAGGTAACAAAACTAAATTCATATATTGGTAGATATGTTCATATATTCTTTGGTGTTTGACAAATTACCACATTTAGGCAGAATTCTAACAATTCTGTTAAGAGACCTTTCCGTTGAAATGCTGCCACCTTATATTGCGCAAAATAAGCTACAGTGAGTAGTACCCTAGGTTATATTCAGCAGATTCACGATGTCCAAACTCTTGATGTGTATGTGACATACATGTATAGCTATGATTAACCTCAAATTTAACACCCTATGGTGAAAAGTACTGAAAATGAGCCCCAGTGAGCTAATATAAATTGATTACATCTTAAAGTACCGTATTCTCTGTAATTAGCGCCCAGGGCGTTTAGAAAATTGAAAATACATTATTTAGACCATTCTAATAAGCGCCCATGTATGAAAGAAATCAGAAATCCCGAGGAATTTCAAGTATGGCAATTTTTCTTGACAAGAATGCATTTTCTTCAACATATTTTTATAATAATATGACAAGTGCTGTTATTGGAGAGAATACGGTAAAGATCGCTTAGACAATATTGACAGTGGTTGAAGACCCGTCTATGTCTAATTTATTTCCGGCATGCCCACTTTGTCATTATCGCCGATTACCTTCAATATTTCCACTAGAGACTGCTGGATATCGATCTAAAGTTATACATTATTTCTAATTTGATGAGAGATCATCATTATTCGTGCAAAAGTCGTGTAAAAGTCGAGAAACATTAAAAAGAAACCAGAAAGTTCACGACCTTGACATGCGCAGAACATCTGCGCAGTAGCTTTTGAAATTTCTGAATGCCGATAAAGAACAATTCCTTCATTCATTATGGACTATTTGGAGACAATATTAGCATGGTATGGTGTGGGAAGCACCCATCGATAGATATGTATTGAGAGGATGCATAGAATTACAAAACGCGTCGTGTTTACAGCAGTTTTAGGGTAAGTACTCTATTATCGCCCGCTCCTGGATTTTGAGAAATATTTTTTTCCTGATATATTCTTCAATTCTTGTTGATTCCTCGATGTTTCTTGAACTTTGTGAAGCGGGGTGGGCGCTTATTAGAGAGTGGGCGGTAATTACAGAGAATACGGTATATGATTTAATGTCCAGTATGTGTCAACTCAATATGACAACCTTACTCATTTCAGTCAGCTGTAAAGATGTTGCAAAAGGAAGTGAACATAAAGGTAATATATCCCATATTTACATCAATATCAGGTATATGCCATGATTAGTGCACATTAAGTGAATGAAGCATGCAAATAAATTGCATATGAGAAAATTGGGGCATATATCGAGATGATATCAGTATCCAAATACTTATCACAAAAATTACTGTGAGTACAATATGTTAAATGATGAAGAGGAAAAGGTTGATAAGACTAAAAGAAATGGCCAATATATGATAAATATAAATGAAAAAATGAATATATCATTATCCATATTCCAAGTAGTAATAAAGGATAGGTATCGATATGGTGAACCGAATTCAACAATGATTTCTCAATTATTGAAAACATTCTGTACAAAAACACAGTATTTTATGTTATGTTGACTGATTGACAACAATTTAAAATTATTTAGAAATATTTTATATAACTGTTTTTGTTAACATTTTTTGTTTTTTAGTGCAATTGTTTTTGCTCCTTTCTACCAATTCTTGAGAATGAAACAAATGTCTTTCCGAACCTTTTTGGAACAAAATAGCATATACAACATGTTTTTAGACCACTCAATATCATAGTTATACAAAGGAATTTTTGGTTGATTTTAAAAATATTCAAAAAATTAAAACAAAATCCCCCCAAAATAGATAAAAATCAAGATAAACCTTTTATATCATTACAATTACAATACTGAGAGACCTAAACATGTTGTGTTTATGTCGTTTTGTTCCAATGAGGTTCGGAAAGATGTTTCATTTCACTCTGGAAACATGATACCAAGAACAAAACAAATGTTCGATGTGTTTTCTAAAACAATATAGATGAAAGTATATATTTGTTTTTCAAATTATATTGTTACCATTCAAAAGATGACCACTAAATTGACGATGTTTTTAGATTTTTTTAATGACTGGTTTTAGAGAAAAGTGTGTTCAAAAAGTTCACCATATCGATACCACTCATTTGTGACATAGTTAATGTTATTGTGCAAACCTATATTTCTTAACTTCAGACATGGAGCTGAAGAATATTGTAAATGGTACAACACAGAAAGCCTATTTGAAGAATAAACTGGCAGGGAAAATTAACTCTGAAGCTAAAAATGCTATTGATGGCCATACTGATGGTAATGTGAAGTCCTTAATATCCATAGTTTTGTACATCATAGTTTCCCTTTCTTAAGTACAAGAAAATTTAAATGAAATTATTTAAATGAATTTTTTTTAAAGTGAATTGAAGGTGTTAAATGAGAAATAAAATATAGCCTCAACTGTATTTATACAAAATTTCTGCAACAATTAGGTATCCACAGAAAAAATGCACAACACCCATGCGCCCACTCTCTCAGTAAAACTAATGAACCATGGTGGTTGGTTGACCTGGGAAGATCCTACCATATATCAGGGGTCAAGTTGTGGAATCGCCGAGACTGTTGTGGTAAGACTTCATAGAGTCTCTGTGTTCAACTTGAAAAATAATACACTTGAAATTCATATCTAAAAATACTTCTTTGATATGATTTATAAGAATTGAATTAAGATCATTTGTCAAACTTGAACTTATGGGCATTCTAATTGCAAAATAACAAATCCAAAGTGTTAACTTATAATGGTATAATACTAATTATCCATTATTTTGAAAACTGTATAATTGCAGTGAAAAGAAAATATGGATTTGTGAATCTTAACAAAATTGGACCACTTGTATTGGAAATTTTGCTTAGACAGATGAACAGATAAATTGATTGACAGACCGACAGACAGACACAGGATTAGGGTTTAACAATATCATATCCTACCACACTTTGCCTAACTATGCTGTTTATCATATGCTAATATATATTATTATAAATGATTACAGGAGAGAGACTAAGAAACTTTGAAATCATGGTGACAAATGAGTTAATTGGAGATAAAACTGATAGGCAAAAAGATTCAGAGTGGAAACAATGTACAAAAGTTAGTGGGATCTTAAATACTGCATCGGAAGTTCTATGTTGCCAGACACCAATGCAAGGGCGATACTTAAAGCTGCAGATGCTTGGGGAAAAGGAGACATTAACATTATGTGAAATTGAGATATTTGGAGGTACTGACTCCAGTGTGGACTGCCTTTGTTATTTAAAAAATAATTAGTAATTCCTTGAATTCTTTCACAGAACTCTTAATTTACTAGATCAAAAATTATGCCAGATTATTTATTTAATTGCAGTTTACATACAGTAATTGGAGAAAGCTAATTAGCAAGTCTCTCAGAAACATATTTATCCAAGAATCTCTGTAATAAAAAATTGTTAGAGTATTGTTTAAGTCAATAAATTTTGAACTGTAAGGCATTAGACCTCAATCTACAGGAATCATATATATATGTACTTGTTGCGTGTTTACTCCATCAATAATACATCTGTTTTACTTAAAATCACTATCTATCAATCTCTCCCATTCCAAATTAAATTATGCCTATGTTGTACCACCAGACCTGTTGTTTATAACAATGACTATGGAGGTGAGGGGTGTGGGGGTCACAATGGTTTGAGGAACTATTTAATGATCCAGTTCTGCACTACACCTTTTGGAATGTATTTGAGAGAGCTGCTTCCTTTTGCCCCTAGCTGGGATATCAAAACAATGGTAGACAGCAGGGTGATTTGCTAAAGTATTTTGAGAAAAAACTTCATAACGAAGAATTTATGCCAGGTGTTTCAACAAAGCAATTGAGCCTACTGTGTAACTCCAACCAATGAGGCATAATATAACAACTCTCAAGAATGTGACATTATCTGGTTTCTTAAATGCAGTATCAAATATGAAATTCATTCTGAATTATGTAGATTATGTAAATTAAAATGCTATTTCCCAATGTTTATCACTGACCTCTGTATTGCATTGTTTTGTATTTTGGTTATCGCCATATATTTGGCGACAATACCTCATATTACGTATCTTACGCATTTAACCCTTGAAGACCAGGCCAAAACCCCTCCTTGGAGATGCCCTGTGTTATTTTATGTGTACTGGTACACAGACATTTAAGTACAACACGACAACCTTTTATACAAGTTAATGACCACTCGTCAAACACCTAGGATTACACTTCTATGTTAAAAATTAAATGATTTAAAAACATAGTGGATGGATATGTCACTTACCCCACCTCCTCCAGTGGCACCCATTTTCCTGTGAAACTTTGTGGAACCATGGGATGCTGGACCACCTTTCATTCCCCATCGTTTCATAACACCTTGAAAGCCATGTCCAATACTGAAATAGAAAATGTAAGAATTTTGTAGTAGTCCCAATCCATTTGTTGACATTTGTTAAACCAATCCTCCTAGAATTCTGTAAGTTGAAATTATAAATTCAGGAAATGGAACTAGCAAATTCTGCGAAGGAAAGGCCCCATTTCCATATGATTTCTGAAAAATGTCTATACAGTTTCAGATGAAAAATTAGAGAAATATAACAAAATTATTGTGAGCAATCCATTCATTAATAGAATTTATTATCTTACAAATAAAATATTATATTCAATCTTGCAAATGAGCAGTACACTGTACACAGGGAAATGACAGTGAGGTTATAATTTATCTTACGTCTTTGCCCAAACATCAATATATTCAATCTTGCAAATGAACAGTACACTGTACACAGGGGAATGACAGTGACATACTGTACTGTATTGTAAAATTGTTAAATGTAGGTTTACCATGTAACTGTACTGTAATTGTTTTTTGCAATTGCTTTAACATGCTTATTCTTTGAAATAAAAAAAAATTTATCTTAGTCTTTGCCCAAACATCAACATATTCAATCTTGCAAATGAACAGTAAGTACACTGTACACAAGGAAATGACAGTGAGATTATAATGTATCTTACGTCTTTGCCTGAACATCAACATATTGGCCAAGTCTAAAGTGTCGCACGTCGAGAGGAGTCCCTGTAACAATCAGAATAAATAACGAATAGGAGAGGATGAAAATCATTAGTTCCAAAAAATTATTATGGATCTTGTCAAAATATATAAATTTGATTCTAAATGTAATCTATTTTTTAACTTGCTAGACAACTTATAACATTGTCAATGAAAGTTGTAAATGTGCTATTCAATTTTATAAATCAATTGAAAGATCCAGAAGGAAACATTGTGCTGTAAAAACACTTATGAACACTGCTGTCTAATGTAAAGTACCTGGCTGTATAGCAGCATTAGGTGTAACAAGGAATCTGGTCATCTTCCTCTTAGGAGGGACCCCAGATTCTAGGAAAAGATTGTTGTATGGCTTTGAGTACTGGAAAACAAAGTAGTGCATAGTATAATACAGGCTTATTCTTATAATATGTGAATAAAACTGACATTCTAATTGCTTATATACCCTCTTCCATACCTTATTTATATAATGAGACCAACTCTTGAGCAAAGTATTCACAATATATTGAGAAAATCAACAGAAAAAATCGTATCAGCCGGAATTCGAATCCGGAAATCAGGCACCATCCATTGAGAAGTCAGACTTGCTAGAGACTGAGCTACCTCGCCATGACTGATTATTGGTGTTCATTTTTTAAACTTATATAATAATTTCAGAAAAACATCATGAAAGTTCTCTCATGTTACTTGAAAATGCTCGTTTTTTCTACAAATATATTATTCCAGCAGAGCATATGTTTTTAGTGGTATCCCTATAGGATGAATGACTAAAAATATCATACCATGGTAGGGTTAACACTGAGTGCGCCAACAACTAACGAGCCATAGGGTCTCTTCCATTTAGGTTTCCAGCCTTTAGTATGTATGTATTCCTCAGGAGGAGTGTAGCGAATAACATGGTTGTCCAGCACCTGTAACAGATGAAGATGTGAATTCTATTCAAACTCATAAATTATATACTATACAGGGCGTATAAAAAAAACGCAATCTCGTAAAATCACAAAACTAGGGATAACTACATCAATTTTATTTAATGTACCATAAAGCCATGTCTCTCCTCTTTGCAATGATATGTCATTCATTCACATGTGGTAATGGTTGGGTGAGAAATCCTTCCATTTGCACAGTGAGTCAAAATCGGCTCTGCGCCAAGTTTTAGATATTGAAAAAATCAGTGCAAGGGCTAAGTGCCAATGGAAGTTTCCCTGACTTGAATTGTTGCGTCTTTTTCTTTTGGAGCTATCTCAGGAGCATCTGTGCTCACAATTCCTCCACCAGATATTGCAAAACCTCGAGAAAGAATTGCCCATGGGCTGCTTTTCTTTGCTTTAACCCACACATGATTCAGAGCTGATGTGGACAGATGAGCACATCTTTATGTGCAAGGAAGTGGTAGCAATTTGGAGCGGTATAGGATGTATTCTTGCAAGAGTATGAGTATGAACACTTTACTGTCTGTGCCATACCTGTCACACCTTCTTCCAATAGCACCAATGCCCCTTGTACTGACTTTTGCAATGTTTTAAACTTGGGTCCGAGCTGAATTTTGCCCAACTTTGCAAAATTAATGATTATTCGGCCAGAGATGACTCCCTGTGAATGAATGATATTCCATTGCAAAGAGGAGTAATTTGGCTTTTTGGTACATTGAATTAAAAGGATACAGTCAGCATTGGTTTTATGTTCTCGTCCAATATTGCATCGGGCTCCATACACTGACTTTTGCAATGTTTATAATTTGGCCCAAAGCTAATTTTGGCCCACTTTGCAAATGGAATGATTACTCACCCAACCATGACCAAATGTCAATGAATGATATATCATTGTAAAGAGGAGACACGTGGCTTTATGGTTCATTGAATGAAATCAATGCTGCTATCACTGGTTTTGTGCTTTTTCAAGATAACAATCTGTTGCGTTTTTTTTATATGCACTGTATACCAGTACATGTTGGATTTTAACACAATATATTCCTGACATTGTCTGACTTTTTTACAACATGCACATTTTATTGTAAAATCATTTTCCCATCTTGATTAAGAAATATTAAATTTGCAAACATATTTAGACTACACTTTTGGGTTCTCAATGAGTTTATGCTTCAATTGAAAATATATTTCTCTGTGGTTAATAGTTCCTAAGACAACTGGGCATTATAAGCTATGAAATATCATGTTTAAAACCATGGTCAAACCATGATGTCACACTGGTTGTTCATGATCTATGTCTGTATAGAATTAGGGGCAGAATGGTTTACCAACAGAATATACATTATCTTAAACCATGGTCAGAGCAATATCAGGTATATAACAGCAAGTGATAAATCACACATTTGGGATATGGATGACATTTGGATAAATATATATAAGCACAAATGCCAAAGGGAAGGGTGACTAAAAACTTTAAAGAAACCCAACAAGAAAAGCAAACTGTAAGTGTAAATCTGTCATAAGAAAAGTAGACCCTATATATCCCAAAACCATAATCTAACGTGAAAAGAAACAATGTCTAACATCCCCCTCCCCCCTCCAATCGAGAACCAATATCACAATCCAGGACCAGAACACCAAGGGACATTTCATTCATACTGAAGTCATTACAATACATGTTGAAGAAAAATTGAAAAAATTGATAGCCAATACTCATAACATCAGGAATAGTTGTAGATACTAGCCAACATTGTTAAGATTGTTATTGTTAAGATGGATGATATCAGGGATGATATGGATATCAATTTGTGTATATATTGAGAAGTTTAAATTTTAAAAAATTCTCAATTTTTCAAAATTTTTCATCTTTTCAACATTTTTCTCTCATTTAACAGATGATTCTAGGTTGATATTGCTCTTGACTCTAAGGTTGTTTAATTCACCTGTCGGGATAATATGATTTATTGTGCACCTCATTAAAATACTCAAATCTGATTGGTTAAGAGCTGCAGGGTCTATTGCCATACGTGGCAGCAAGATCTCGTTCTATCCAGTATTGAAGCAACGAGATCTCCAACAATCCCATATGCCAGAATACCTATCCTCCGAAAATACTAGGCTCGGCTTCTGTTTTAGTAGACCCATTCTTTAAAATAAAGTATTTCTCAAGGGAGACGGATAATAAAATAAATAAATAAATTTGTTTAATATCCCTCTGATGATATCAATCCTTGTGATATTCCCCATATCAAATCATATTCAGTTGGACAAATTTTTTATTTTATTGGAACTGGGTCAAGTAGTATGAATTAACCTTCTTCTTCCAAAGTCCCAATGTAAGTATAATAGACATATATTATACCTGACATGTCGCATCCTCATTACAGTAAAACCTGTGAAGTGGAACTATTCTTGTGAGTTGAACACAAATGGTATTTCCTATTTACTGTGCTTAAATGAACCTCTGTTCGTGGTACACTACTTTGCGATACCAAATGTGTAGGTTGGACATAAATATAAATGAGGGGAAAATGATGGAAATAGCAGTGAGACATCTAGTTGAAGTGATATAAGTGATATTAGTTGGATATATAAACAGGTATTCACACTATAAATACTGCATTATTATCTTACCTCCTTTTAACAAAAAAATACAGAACAAAAGTTTTTGAATTAAATCAAAAAATCAAAGCTTGTTTATTTCACTCTGAATTTATTTACAATGTTAAATTGTGATTTTAAACAGCTGGAAATCTTGCAACAAGAATACCAAATTCCACTCCATCTACAAACGCTCCTTTTGGGTATATTAATACACCTTCCCCATACTTCTTGGATACTATCTTACTGTTGACGAGATTATGCATTACTGGTCTTTCAGGAATAAGTGTGAAGCTGATCTGATCTTCAAGGCCACAGTATTTAGTTGTGTTACAGATGACATCAATGTATAGAAGGGAGCTTCCAGCTGGTATCACTCCTTGGCAATCACTTAATTTGTAGTCATTTAAAAATTGAAGTATATAGCCACCCACGGAACATGGAGGAGGGTTAGCATATGTAACAACATCTTCACCATTCGATTCAAACATAAGTTGGAATTCTCCTAAAGGATCTACAAATCTTTTCCACATCAAACCTTTGCTGAGAATTGTTTTCTCATTGATCAGATCATCTTCATTTGGAACAGGAAAGTTTATGCCATAGTTCTGTTCCACATACCTCAGAAAGGAGTTGGCTAAAATAAAATGAGAAAAGCCATTTTTGTTATGTTCATGAGTGAACTAGAATAAATAGATGCAAATTGTATGTCTCACTGAATTTTGTATAATTATACAAATGAACAATTGAATTGAACATTAGAACTAATTCCTGAAATTGAAATACTATGTGAAGGTCAATTATTACATTTCTGTGCATATAAATAAGATCACATTTCATAATATTGACAACTAAAAAGTTGAACAGTTAAAGAATGCATAAGAATTCAGCAAATAAACTACACAATGAGTACTTCATGAAAGCATAATATTTGGATACCTAAGATAAACTGAGTCACATTTATCAATAATAACATAAACAACTTTTCTATGCTGTAATACAAGGGCTGATATGTTCAGATATCATCATAGAATGAAAACAGCGAACTAAATGACTGATATCTCGTGACTCAAGCATTGAATCGACTCTTATAACAACCCATCAGACATTTAACCCATGTACATAATTGCTATAACTTACCATACTCTAAAATTCCATTTCTATCACGACCAAAGTAGCCATGGTGCTTTTGAAATTCTTCAGAATGTGTTAAACCAGTTGAAGGGAGACCTGTATCCCCACTAGCTCTTGAGTAGATTATGAAGGTACGATTGAAACCAAGAATGCTCTTTGCTTTTCTGTCATCACCATTTGGTTTACATGTCGAAATCCCACATTTCAACTTTCCCCCAATTTTTGACTTCCTGATATGAACTTTACTATGATGTCCAAAAACCCGATCCATCAGGGAAAATATCACCAATGTAAAATATATTTGGATAAGTAAAGTGAGCTTCATGATGTATGCCCTGAAAATATGCATGCACTTTTATGCACTGAAAAATGTTCATTCAAATATTATGGTGGCCATTTTGAATTAAGAAGCCATATAACATTTTAAGGAGACACTGTTTCTGATTCACTTTCATATATAACAATTTTTAATTATAAATAAATTTCAATCATAATACAATTCTGCACATGAGATCTCAGCCATAAGTTACAACAAAATAATATGTAATGTTGTCACCACCAAATTTCAGATGTTCCAGTAACAAATACTGTGATGATGCAAATTATGTTGATTTGGCATATCAAAGAAATATGTGTAGTTAATATAAATCAACGGAAAAAATAAAACTTTAAAGGTGAATATTTTCCCATGAAAACTATTTTCAAGAGTAAAATTAAGATTTGAAGTTTCTACATTATTTCAATTTACGACTTTGTTGATTTATCATTTTGGAAATTTATTAATTCATGTAAAATGTATACTTATAAAATGCAAAATTATTTACGCTTATCTTAATACATATAACCATGGTGGTCAATGCTTTCAAAGCCACGGTGTGAACTGTGTCTGGCTTACCATAGTCCAGCAGCAAAATAGAGTTTCATATATAAGCAGAGAAAACACATTGATTACTTGAAAAAAAAACTGCTATTTAAAGTGAAAATAAAATTTTAGCTACTGTTTCAACTCAATCTGAAAACTGTGACTTCTAGAAAAACTTCTTGACAGATGTGGAGAATATGACCGAATAATCTTCCATTTTGGCTCTCAACTGCAATGAAACACAAGTAAAGTTGCGGTCCTATTTGTGTGGCTTCAAAATCACCGATCACCCTGATAACACTGAACTTCAACCAATTGATTGGTGTGAACTGTGTCTGGCTTACCATAGTCCAGCAGCAAAATAGAATTTCATATATAAGCAGAGAAAACACATTGATTACTTGAAAAAAAAACTGCTATTTAAAGTGAAAATAAAATTTTAGCTACTGTTCCAACTAAATCTGAAAAACTGTGACTTTTAGAAAAACTTCTCGACAGATTTTGAGAATATGATCGAATAATCTTCCATTCTGGCTCTCAACTGTAATGAAACACAAGTAAAGTTGCGGTCCTATTTGTGTGGCTTCAAAATCATTGATCACGCTGATAACACTGAACTTCAACCAATTGATTTTTCCAATCAAAGCATTTTCTTCAAACCAATGAAGCAATGACAAAACATTATAAAGTTTGTATAATTTAAGATTTGTACTTACGCTTTGTTTCTCCACTTTTGCCCTAATGTGATACTGATGGTAAAATCTAACATTTATCGGTTTTACGAAAGTCGTTATTATTTACGCAAATCATCATAACAAATAATGAGTGTTTATCTCCCAGTAAGCAAATCATTTTTTATTTATAGTTCAGGGAATTGTTATTCAACTGAAAACAATAAAATGTGTTTAATAAGGTCCTTGTGTATGTGTCTTAACTCAGATTTGTATTGAAATGTATTAAAAAAATTATATGGCGATTTAAATTTTTATTTCTTATATTTTATATACAACATATTCAGTTGGGCAAAATTTTAATTAAATTATGTATTGGAATCGGGACAAGAAGGAAATGTCCTTCCTCCTCATGAATGTTTTCAAGTGTCACATGCCCCATCCTCATAACAGTGAAACATGTAAGTGGAACACCTCTGTAAGTGGAACAATAGCTCCTGGAGTGGAAAATAAATGACATTTCCGGTTTACTTCAGAGTCCAATGAAAAGTTCAATGTAGGAGAGCTAACTAAATTTGGATAGTTAACTCCCAGACACCCCCTCCCCCTGTTAACTAAATATGAGAAATGTTGATCCTCGCGGCATTTTCAAAAGTATATCCAAATGCACTTGAGTTCATCATATCGTAGAAGTATACATGTTTTGAGCTTGTTTTTTAAACCCCAGTCTCGATGTGTTGACAGTCTTACATGTGAATGAAACCATGGGCTTTCAAGAAAGCAGATGACTGTCCCCGGATGACTGTCCCCGGATGACTGTCCCATGGCTGTCTTGGGACTGTCCCCTGCTCGTGCCTGAGGTTGAGGATTGATAATTGAGCTTTAAAAGCTTGGTTATTGGCACCATACCACTATGGACTAAATGTGGTTTTAAAACTCGGTTATTGGCACCACACCACCATGGACTAAATGTGGTTTTAAAGCTTTGTTATTGGCACCACACCACCATGGACTAGATGTGGTTTTAAAGCTTGGTTATTGGCACCACACCACCATGGACTAAATGTGGTTTTAAAGCTTGGTTATTGGCACAACACCACCATGGACTAAATGTGGTTTAAACAATATTTCATTAATTTTCAGTCTCCTAGTCTTCTTTCAGTGCAATCCGTGGCTCCATAATTTTTTATTGATTTCCAAGGTTCAAGGTTTGTGGGACGATTTTACTTTTGTTACCAACTCTAAGCGAGTCACTCCATAAAGTTTTCACTGGTCTTTCATAATCTGTTATAGAATTACCATAAATTGGCTTCACATTCCTCTTTAATCAAGTTTTATGTGATGTTTTATGATAAAATTTCTTTCTGAGCAACATGGGGAATCCACCCTGGACGAAATGATTGTGACAAAGATTCCCAGGAATTCAATAATTGATGTTGGCAGAGCTTAATTTGGGACAATGACTGATGATTTAAATGATCCTCTATAGTTTCAAAACCTTTGAAGTGGAAAACTCCTTCAAGATACCCAAGGTGTAGGTTGAACATAAATACAGATGAGTGAGAAATAATGATAATAAACATCTCCATCCTTCAACCTGATACGAGTTATACACTTCAACTGGTATTTAAACTGCAGCTACTGTATGACTACCTTTGGGATCAGCATTAACCTCTTTTTTTAACATAAAAAAACAAAACAAATGTTTTTGAATTGAATCAAAAAATCAAACCTTGTTTAACATGTATTTTACTCAATTTATTTACAATGTTAGATCATGATATTAAACAGCTGGAAATCTTGCAACAAGAATTCCAAATTTCCCTCCATCTGCAAACACTAATACACCTTCCCCATATTTTTTGGATACTATTTTACTGTTGACGTGACGCTGCTGTGCTGGTCTTTCAGGATTTAGTGTGAAGCTGATCTGATCTTCAAGGCCACAGTATTTAGTTGTGTTACATATGACATCAATGTATAGAAGGGAGCTTCCAGCTGGTATCACTCCTTGGCAATAACTTAATTTGTAGTCATTTAAGAATTGAAGTTTATATCCACCTGCTGAACACGGAGGAGGGTTAACATATGTAACAACATCTTCACCATTCGATTCAAACATAAGTTGAAATTCTCCTAAAGGATCTGCAAATCCTTTCAACATCAAACCTTTGGTGAGAATTGTCTCCCCATTAATCAAGTCATCTTCCTTTGGATCAGGAAAGGTTATGCCATAGTGCTCTTCTACATATCTCAGAAAGTATTTGGCTAAAATATAATTAGAATACACACAACTGTAATGTTACAAGTAAACTATTGCAAGCCAATAAATTGAATACTAAAAGCATACAGTACTTTCCTTTTATCTGAAAATCTGCTTGGAACTATACCATTGGATTTCTATGGGAAATTACTTCAAGGGTAGGGTTCTTTATACCTTAGCTGATGTTAATAATATGAAAACTTTGGTTGTTTTTGAATTAAAATTAAATATCTATTTCAAAGTTAATAAACATATTTACAAATTTACAGTTTGCGATGGAATTTTCCAAATAAAATTCTACCTTTAACTTTCCTTATCTTAACACTAATCTAATTAACTTTTCTAAAAACTAACTTAACTCACTTCCAATAAACAATAGTTTTCAAATTAAATTTTAATATACTCAACAAGAAGTATATTTGCACTACTGTATATAATTGTAACCGCTCACTATTGTCATTAGTAAAGCCTGCTGTCGTCAATAAAATGTAATTTTATGATAATTTAATTATATCACCATATTTTGAAGATCCACTGTTGTTATTGTACGAAACACCTGCAGTCTAATAACTCTGCACACTGGTCTGCATCAGCGATAATAATCTGGCACGTACACAATTATAGTTATAGTTACATTGTCATAGATGCACAAACACTCGCAGTTTGTAGCTCCTGCACACTGGTTCACACTATCGATATATAAACGGATATGTACACGTCTTGTCTGTAGTTACGTCAAATGTTCATTTTACAGATACACAATTCTTACGGTAAGAGTAGCTCCTGGACTCTTGCAATAATGTCATATTCACATCACAGATTTTAATCACACGTATAATTGTCCTCATCAGTAAGAACAATAGCACGTTAATATACACACTTGTTTCACTTTTCATAACGATTATTAGTTCTTAATCAGTTAGTAAAAGTTGACACTATTGTCACAATTTTCACAAGTTTCACTATCACTATGCAATCACATAAGTTCATAACTGTTGTAGAATATCTCATATTCTAGTTAACTTTCATTTCACATATCTCAAATGATGCATAATTCACTTCATATATATGAAAAATATCACATTCCACATTTGTGCTTTTCTCACTCTCTAAAACTAGTTCACTTCTACTTTTTCCCTACATGTCTACTCTATATCACATATATCTAGCTTGTTCCCAGTTCCTACACTTAAAATTACAGTGCTAATTTTGACCTAATTTGGTAATAAGTGAATGTAAGAATTTGTAGGAAAGGCCAGGGTAATTAAAAATTTGAGGTATATTAGGCTAAACCAATTTAATAAGGTAGTATTTGTGACATTACCCCCTTGTTTGAGAATATAGTATATATTCTTTAAAATACAAGTACACAGTATGTAATTTATGTAGTGTGAGTAATACTATATGAGTATATGTAGTATGTAACTAAGTTCTTTTATGGTTATATTAGACATTTCTACTCAGAAAATCTGCTCCAAAGTTATCTGCTCCTTTAATGACTTCAATTGTGTAATCATATTGCTGTAGAAATAAGGCCCATCTTGTTAATCTGGCATTTGTCAATTTAGCTTTTTCCAGATAAGCTAATGGTTGGTGATCTGTTTGTATTTTGAATTTGGTGCCATGTAAATATTCTTGAAATCTGTTGATTCCCCAAACTACTGCCATACATTCACGTTCTACAGTCGAGTAATTTTGTTCACGAGGTGAGAGTTTCTTGCTTGCAGTTGAGACAATGTGCAATAAATTATCATGCTCTTGTAGTAATATTGCACCAATTCCCACATCAGAGGCATCTGTTCGCAGGACAAATTGCTTGTCGAAATCCGGTAGTTTCATGATTGGATGGTTACCTAGTTTTTCCTTAAGTTTGTTGAAGGATTTGGAATGGTTTTCTTCCCACTTCAGTTTATTTGGGTTTCCCTTTTTGGTCAAGTCTGTCAATGGTGCTGCAATTGTAGCATAGTTGGGAATGAACTTTTGGTAATAACCAATGGATCCCAAAAATGACCTGATTTCTGTTTTGTTTTTAGGAGGTTGTGCTCTTAATATTTTCTCTACTTTCTGGTTTTGTGTGTGTAGTTCTCCATTTCCAACTTCATGTCCAATGAATTCTAAGGATTCAAAACCAAAGAAGCATTTTGATGGTTTGACAGTTAAACCAGCTTCTTCAATTCTCTCAAACAACTTTTTGAGAACATTGATGTGCTCGCTCATTGTTTCTGTATATATAATTACATCGTCGATGAAATTTTCAACGTTGTCTATGCCGTGTAGTATCATTCTCATCATTTTGTTGTAAGTACTGCCTGCATTTTTCAAACCAAAAGGCATTCTCTTGAAGCGAAATAAACCATGATGAGGTGTTCTAAATGCTGTTTTGTCACGATCTGCTTCAGCAACAGGTATTTGCCAGTATCCCTTACAAAAATCTAGTTTCGAAAATATTTTTCCTTTTGACAATTTTGCAAATATAGATTCTGCAGTGGGCATTGGTTCCGCATCAAATACTGACACCTTGTTCAGCTGTCTAAAGTCAATCACTGGTCTATTAGTACCATCTTTCTTTTTAACAAGGAAGAGAGGTGCTGAGTATGGAGAATTGGCTTTTTCAATGATATCATACTTAATCATTTCATCTATTTCTTTGTTAACATCTTCTTTTGAAGCATGTGGTATTGGGTATGGTTTCCTGCATGTAGGTTTGTCAGATGTAACATGTATTTCATGTTCTATTAAGTTTGTACAACCTGGGTTTGAGGAAAAGATTTTTCCATACTTTTTGGTGATATCTTGGAATTCTTTTATTTGTTTTCCATCTAACTTGTCATTGATTTTTATATCATCTACTGTTTCAGTCTTTCCTATACAATTTTGCATGAGGCAATCATTATTCATTTCTTCATCTTCATCATCATCTTCTTCTATGATTCCAATTGCACTTGCAATGGTATTGATTTGATTCTGGATTCCATCTTGACTTGTAATTGTTTCTTCTTTGTTTCTAGTATTGTATTTCTTTAACATGTTAATATGAAACAACTTCTTCTTTTCTCCTATCTTGATAAGGTAATCATTGATTCCTTTTTTCTCAATGACTTGGAATGGCCCCTTCCAGTGCATCATTAATTTGTTGTTGTCAGTTGGAAGAAGTATGAGAACCTCTTCTCCTGGTTTTAAGTTTCTTGGCTTTGATCTTTTATCAAATTGTTTCTTGTATCTGTCTTGATTTTTTTCCATGATTTCATGAGCTATTTCACATGTAGCTTCAAGTCTATTCCGTAAATCAAGTACGTATTGATATGTTGTTTTTATCTCTTCATCGGCTATTTCTTTGGTCCAAAGCTCACGTAGAATTGCCATCGGTCCCCTGACAGTTCTGCCATATAGCAACTCAAATGGAGAAAAATGTGTTGATTCTTGAGGTACTTCTCTGTAGGCGAAAAGAAGTGGTTCCAAGTAGCGATCCCAGTCCTTTGGTTTCTCGTGGCACATACGCTTCAACATAGTTTTCAGGGTCCCATTGAAACGTTCTACCCCTCCGTTTCCTTGTGGGTGGTATGGCGTAGTGGTGATCTGCTTTATAGATAACAGTCTGCACACTGACTTCATGACATCTGATACGAATTGGGTACCTTGGTCATCTATCATCTCTCTTGGAAATCCTACTCTAGAGAAAATTTTTACCAATGCTTCGGCTACACTTTCCGTGTCAATATTTTTCAGAGCTATTGCTTCAGGATATTTTGTAGCACTATCTATAAGTGTAAGGATGTATCTATTTTTCAGATCAGTTACTGGGTATAAAGGTCCTACTAAATCAATACTTATTCTATGAAATGGAGTGTTGATGATAGGCATCTTTTGCAAGGGTGCTTTTGGTACTCTTCCTTTAGGTATAGTCCGTTGACATATGTCACAAGATTGGCAATATCTTTTGACATCACCGTGTATACCTGGCCAGTAAAATTGAGAAATGATTCGATCTAAGGTCTTCTGGGTCCCCAAATGGCCTCCAAGTAGGGAGTCATGGCCTATTTGCATCACTTGTTTTCGAAATTTCGATGGAACTATTACTTGTGATATATTCTGAGGGTGTTGTTGATTGTTGTTATCGTAGTTTCGAATTAGTACACCATTCTTCCACTCAAAGAAGTAGGAACAGTTGTTCTTAGTTGTTTTGACATCTTTTGAGTCAGCTAGCTTTCTCACCTTTTCTAAGGTTATATCATTTTTCTGCTGATCTTTAAATTCACCATTTGATATTCCAGTTACAATGCATTTTGGTACTTTTAATTTTCTTTTGGGTTTACCTTCTTGTTTTGCTTGTTCTCTTGTCTGTACTGCAGCTAGTACAATTTCTTTGTCATCAACCTTTTGTGGCTTGATCTTGTTTGTTTCATTATTGTTGTGATTATTTTCCCCAACATTATTTGGTTCTTCTTTGATGATCATATTTTGGGTATTTTGATCATTTACTTTGCTGGGTTTAATTTTCTCGTGTTCTTCTGCGTTTTCTTTATTAGTTGTACTGCTCAAGGTAGCACCAGGAATTTCACCAATGATTAATTCACAAATTGGATTTTCAATACAAATGGCTTCTGTAGTTCCAGTGAAAAATGGAGTTTCTACATATATTTCGGCCACATCTGCTGTTCTCATGGTTCTATCAATCATGATATATTTCTTCTGCTTTCCTGTTAACTGTTTTTTTGTCACAAGGCTTGTTTTCACTACTACTCCGCTACATCCTGTGTCGCGAAGTACATTCACTCTCTTATTTCCCATAAATCCGATTTCTATAGGAAGTTTGGATATCTTTCCTTGTTTATTATCGCAGCTGCAGGATGAACCAACGACTGCTACATTACATCCACATGACAGTATTATACTTTTACCTGGCTTTATTTCACAGTTATGTTCTCTAATATGACAGGATGCAGTTGAAATACTATCATCATCACTGCACTCATTCTCAGATGAAGGGTTTTCATCTGATTCATAT